CGCATATACATAGGAGAGCAGTGAATGAAGCTCTCACGAGAAACACACAACATCGATGCCTATCGATACGTAAACACGCCGCAGAACCGCTGAGGTCTGCGAGTTCCGCTACGCAAGGCGGCTAAGCGCGCAATTCGCGGTTGCAATAAGCAGAAACGGGGCCAACGACAAGCGAATCAAAAGTAATTAACCCGAAGCCAACAACAACGTTGCGATGGAACGGCGGCGTGAATTGGTCTCCTCCCACGTGCAAGCACCACGCACACAACGCGTGGCACGCCGCACAATTATACGCACTATATACAAGAGGGGAACGAGCGGCGCATACAGTTCAGCCAGGCACCGCGCGGTCACGCCCCTTCTTCCTGCGCGTACACTCTCCGTGTTGAACGAGGTAGGCATCGTTCGGAGCTGCACGCGGCGCAAAACGAAACTATAGCAAGAATCCGAGGCGAGGCCCTACGGCCCACGCACGCACCCGCGCTGCACTTGGCCTAATCCCTCTTGGGAGGCGCGAACGGGCCCCACACACCGCGCGAATCCGGATCAAAGCGATGGGACCCCGGGGCACGGAGCCCCGTCTGGCGCGCGTTTTGTTTGAGTAGCGCCGTCGAGGCAGACCGCGTGGTGCCCCAAGCTTCCATCCCCTCCCCACCTCAGGCACGAGCGCCGACATCGGTAAAGAACAAAAGAGCAGGAAAGGAAAACCCGTTGTTCTCGTTCCTTTTTATGCTTCCTCCTCCTCTCTCTCTTATCCCTCACACTTTTCGGCTGTTTCCTTCTTTCCTCCGGTTCATCGAGAGGTAGCACCACCGATGAAGCTGAGGATCGGAGAAAGAGAAAAGAAGGAAGCGATAATGGTCTTCGTAAAGGGGGGAGAGGAGAAGGCGCGCTCTTCGCAGCGACCGATGCTGCATCGGCAGCAGCATCAAAAATAGCGGGAGGAACGCGCGGTGGTCTGGCGCGCCGCCGGAGTCTCCACCTCCTCTCCTCTTAAGAGCGGCCCCAGTGACCCGGGATGCGCCCGACTTTCGAGGGAGGGGATATTCGCCGTCAGTGGAGGCGCCTGCAGATCCTCATCACCTGCGCTCAGCGACCGAGCCTCAACCGGCGCTTGTCCCCTTGATCGCGTTCAACGCTCTGCGGGAGTTCCATTGACGGCGACCGCCACGCGACAGAGCGAACGAAGGAAGCCTCGTCGGGGTGTCCGAGCGACCCGCCACACCGTCGTCGTCGACGGCGTCTGAGAGAAAACGACCAGGACTGACCGGCCGGCACGCTTCTTCGGAGGAATCTCTTCACGAAGTGAGTCGGTGTGACCAACAACACGCGCCCGCTCCCACGCTTCCCCCGGCGCGCGCCCCGTCGCGTGCCTGCGCTACGCGACGGTCACTTTCCCTGCATTGCGTGCCGACGTTGCGGGAAAAGCGAGAGCTTTGTCAGCTGCTGAAATGTCAAAATACTGCGAACGGTATGGGAAGAGTTTTCTTTTGCATTCCGATCGGACTCTATAGAGGAAGAAAAACAACTTTTATAAGGGGAATCGGCTTGAAAGCTAGATGGGTGGGGCCCCACGCAGAAGCAAAACTGCTATTCGGCCTAGTTGGAACATATTCATCTTGAAATGTTTGCGCAAGCACATGGGGACAGAGAAGAGAACACATACGGGCGCGATGTCCCCGTGTGCTTGCGCAAACATTTCAAGCTGGTCCAGAATGGCTATAGTTACGTACTTTCGGGTCCGAGCTAGCACAGAGAGCCTCGAGTTGTTCCAAAGTTTTCCATACTTGAAGCTTCCTGTTATGAAATCTTTTACTACAACCCCATGGCGTTGTAGAGGGTCGGTAGAGAGTCGCGACACCAACGTTGCTTGTTCGCTTGGTTGGTTGGTTTGTGAGGTTTAACGTCCCAAAAAGACCTGGGCAATGAGAGACTCCATAGTTGACGTTTTCGTCTTAAAAACAGCGACATGAACATTTGTCTGCATAAGAATACCAACATACCTGTAACCCAAGTAATTGCCGTAAAGTGCTCGACATCATGGAAATAAGAAAATTTGTTTCAATAGAACGATAATGGCTGTGGGTGTACCTTGTAGTTATTTTTAACGATAATATACGCGTTCGTACGAGCCAAGACCACCATATGATAATGAGACGCACTGCAGTGTAGGCCTCCAGACATTTCGACCACAGGGGGTCCTTTAACGTGAACTGGAGGGCCAGCAGCCTAGCAGCGCAACCAGTGGACCAGAGTGGTGGACCACCCCGTAAAAGTGTGAAGAAAAACATGGACCAATCTCGAATGAATTGAAAACTAAGATAGCGCATCACTAAGTGACGTGACTGCAACTGCTGCATTCGCTCGCCATCCGCCAGAACTCGTCATCACCAGTGCTGGTTAGTGCGCTGGCTTCTCTTGGCTACAGATGGCTAAATGATTGCAAGAAACTCTGCTTGATAAGAACGCAGAGGGAACTGCGAGCCGTAATGAGTATGATGCGAATATAGGCGAGTGCGCTGTTGCGAGATAGCGAAGTTCGGACAATAGCCTGAACGCAAGTGTTCCATTTAGTATGGTGAAGGCTTAGGTTAGGTGGCATTGTTATAGCGCGAAATCAGGAAAAAAAAAAAGGCTCACCAAGGCGTGTGCCCTTTGACGTCTTTGTGTATCTTTCGTCCTTGTTCTGAGTACGCGCTATTACAGTCATCATGTTCCATTTATTAGCGGAGCCTTTTGTTACATGTATCTGTTCCAGCTTGATTCATTGATTTGTGGGGTTTAACGTCCCAAAACCACCACATGAGAGACGCCGTAGGGGGGGGCTCCGGAAATTGAGACCACCTGGGGTTCCTTAACGTGCACCCAAATCTGAGCACACGGGCCTACAACATTTCCGCCTCCATGGGAAATGCAGCCGCCGCAGCCGAGATTCGATCCCGCGACCTGCGGGTCAGCAGCCGAGTACCTTAACCACTATAGACCACCGCGGCGGGGTTCCAGCTACTGTTCCAACTGTTGCATTCCCCAAATATACGTCATCAAATGTGAGCGAACTGCTTCCCACACGTTGCGCTGCAGCGTAGTATGGTATATATAGTATACTATCGTATATTATAGTGTATTGTAGTGCAGTATAGTGTAATATAGTATAGTATACCATCGTATATAGTACAGTACAATATTTGCAAGAATCCATTTCGCAGACAGATTCACAACTGATCAAAACACGAGCAAAAATTTTTAACAGCGAGGCTGTTTAAGCTGTCAGTAACGTGTTCCCCGTCATAAGAAACTGTCATTATCATCATCATCATAAATCGGCACGCGCTTTCTTCATTCTCTTGGCAGGGCAGATGTTGAGGATATCAGCAAGTTGTGCTCTGTCGTGTGCAAAACTCCATGGGTCGGCATGCGCCACAGGAGTGGGGCAAGCCACACTATATACCGTGTACAGTACAGCAGAGGCAAACAAAAACGAACACGCGAAAAAAGTGCAAGAGAGACATAAAGCGATAGAACGAGAAAAAAATGAAGGAATAAAGACATAAAACTATAAAAATAAAGAAAGACACATAGAGAGAGAGATATAAAGAAAAAGGAAACGATACAAAGAGAGAGAGAGAGAGAGAGAGAGAGAGAGAGAGAGAGAGAGAGAGAGAGAGAGAGAGAAAAGAAGAAATAGAAAGAAACATAGAAAGAGCGAGGTACTGTACGGTGCGAAGAACTTCATTTAAAGATCCGGAGAAGTGCCACCTCTTACACAGCGGGCTGCTGCCACGTGGGAATTTTGAAAAATGGCGGCCGAGCCCTACTCACTTGTTATGCCGTAGTGCACGTAACTGAATGTTGAAACCAAAGGGAGTTTACCCTACTCTGTGCCTACTTCACCTCCGTATTTCGTGAAAGAGGTGACCGAGCTTGCTGTTGGCGTGACCGAGCTTGTTGCGGTCTTGCAGAGCAAAACAAACCCACCAACGCCGCTGGCGTCGGTGGTTTTTCTGCTCTTCGTGCATTACAAAACAGCCACTTGCCAGCAAAGTAAGCAGTACTGTCTTTTCTTGCTTCTTGCGTACGAGAATCGTCGAAGTATACACCACCGGATAGCGTAGTGGCGTTTGCGAGCCACGACAACAACCGGGTGACAGCGCATTCATCCCGCGTTCGCCCCGTAGTAGATGGCATATTCGGCGGCGCTGGGCGCGTCCAGTGCGAACGACGCTGCGTTTCGGCGGCAGGGGAATTTCGGTCGCTGTAGAAAGCGGATGTTTCAGTGTGAACTAGGCATTAGACCTATCCGAACCGCCGCATCACAGGCTCTCTGGACAGCCCAAAGTTGATACTGATATTCCGAGCTCCTGAGAGCCCAGCTCCACTTCTGCTCTGTGAGGTCCTTATCCACACGTAACAAGGGGCGTCGCCAAAGCATGTGATCCATGCAAATCACACGTTCCCGCCGCGATAACTCGCGTTATCAAAACAGCCCTCATGTTAAAATCGGTTCGAAGAGCTTTTTTTCTTCTTTTATGTGTATATATATTTTTGCAACTAAATTGAATCGAACAGTAACCCATTTATCTAAACCAGAAACAAAACCTCGAAAATAATAAAACTGGTTTTACGCCTCCGTCTTCGCGTTTCGGGGGAAAAAAGATGCGGACTCTTGAACATTAGACAGTAGCCACTCCGACGAGGATGCTAATGGAAGTGCTTTGGGTACGACTTGTCCTATCGTAAAATAAAACTGCAGTGTATTCCACCATCGAACAGTGTCTTTTTTCAATGAGCGAGGTTCACTCGAAGACACTTCCAAGGCCGGTTATAAATAAGCTGTGTGTGATGGCTCTTCCTTTCAAAAAAAAAAAAAAAAGGTTTGCGGATTGTATAGACCAATCATTTCGTGCCGAAGGTGGGAATCGCCTGAAGCATGCACGTTCGTTCGTCTCCTGCAGGTGACCCCGTGCACCATCTCGGCCCGCAGCTGAGCCCTTCTCGAAGCCATGGACGGAGGCCGGCGTGCGTTCGCCATCCTGCTGTTACTCGCACTGGTCGGATTCGCCTCCTGCTATTTCAACGGTGAGCTGTAGCCGCAACCACTGCGACAGAACTGAGGCGCCCAATCACTTTGTTAACGAACGCTCTCCGGACGCCGCCATATCTCCTTCTGTTAATATATTAATAAGTGTGACCCCCCTCCCCCCAATTGCACTGCCGAGGCTGTGAGATCAACTTCTCTATACTGCATTATATCAGTTCAGAAAGGAAGTGATCTTTCTCTCCGTTGAAGAGGTCTACAGTTCATACATGCCGTATTGTTCTCGTGACACCTAACAAAATGGGCCATGCACTGAAGATAAAAAAAGAGGCCTGGCAATACAATATAACTTTTTTTTAAATTATATGTTGCAGTTGCACAAGCTGTCAGTCAACGTACAGCTCATGAGATGTTGTAGGGAGACTGGAAAGGGAGGGGGGGTCAGTGTATGACAGGATACTTTATAGCTGCTCTTTTTTAAGGGGTACATATTAAAAAAAAACAAAAAATAAGCGAGGCGTCAAAACATCCGAACCTCCCCTTTGTATCCACCCGTGAGCGCCGTGTGTATTGCCTACAGAGACAAGTATAGTGGCAGCAGCCACGCAGCTATAACATGCATGCATCTGAAGTTCTTTTGTGCCAACCCGACTCGTTAGTCACTGTAAACATGCATACTGTGAATGTTCCGTAACTTCCCAGGGGCATCCTCAGAATTTTTTCCAGAGAGGTGCATCGGCAAACAATATGGGGGGAGGGGGTGTCACTAAATTTCCGTGACATGACCGTACAACGTGCAAAGTTGGCTACCAATCCTGAAAGCCATTTTAGGTGGATAAAAGGGCCATGAATGTGCTAATTAAACTGTGTGGTCTATTTGTACTGCATAAAAATAATCTCCGAAGTTCCAAGAGTGGGGGGGGGGGGTAGCCCCCTTCCCTTTGTACCCCTTTCGGACACTTAAGGAACCTCCGTAGAGAACGTTTAACAGAGCTGGCGTGCTCACTCGTCTCTCTATGAACCCGACGTAGGTGCCGAGAACTCTCTGTACACGTTGGACGGCCTGGGCCTACCGCTGGTGCTGCCCGGCAGGTACCCGTCGAGTCGCAGCCACGCCAGGAACGTGGCCAAGTTCTACGGACACCCCGTTCTACCGAGGACGAGGTGGATGACGGAGAGCTCGTACAGGTCAGGTAGGTGTCGAGAATAGAGATGCGAAGGGCAGAGAAAAAAACAAGAAAATTCCGAAAAAGAAACCTCTTTTTTTGGCGCACTTGGAAAAATTGGCTGAAATTTTCGAGGGGTAAAACGTACAGAAATAAAGCCTAGGCAACACCCAGCGCTGACCGTGAACCCAAAACGATACCAAAACATCAAACGACGGCTGGCCACTCGCCATCGACATCGCATTAAGTCAGTTTCAGCGTCAGCTTAGCTTGAGTCGTTCGGGTGTGGTCGTGTTAGGAGCGGTTTCGGATGTGTTTGGTGCCCGTTGTTGTTCAGATTTGACTTTCCCCCGTACACTGCTTATAAAGCCGTGTGCAAGCAGATTCTGCAATGGTTGGAATAATCCATCACGTGTACATGCATATACTTCACGGTCGCTATACGCTTTTCCCATGCAACGCGACATCCTGACATGATGAAGAAAGCTACAGATGAAGCCAGTGGTACTGACTCTGAATAAGAGTTTGAAATTCATATTTTGACCATCTTGATCAACGTTTCTATAGTCGAAGCCACCACGAAACAGACATTTCTAGGTTCTTTGTTCTAACTGCCGTAACAATTCTAGGAAGCCGCACCAATTCACAGAGAGCTAAATGAGTTCGCGGTGATGTTTCTCCCCTGCATTCGATCTGTTAAATGCCATATTCGTTCGTGAGAAGAGAGAAAGCATTTAATTTCTGGTATTTACATAATGAAAATTAATGCTTTTGACACTTGGCAGTATACGATTACTATATAAAAAAAGAAAATTTGTTCTTTTCCATTTTTTACCAAAATTTTAGAGAAAGAGTGAAAAAAATTTCTATGCTCAATATTTTCGAAAATTTTGCGAGTCGACAACGGAGCTGTATTCAGTTATATCGTCGAAAAATGTGACTAATAGTTTATTTCGACGTGCAAAATACCGCGTTAGACAGCCAGTTTTTGTGAAGATGAAGCAGGGTTACGCTCTCTGGCTTCTGTGAATAAAGAAAAGGCAGCAGTAGGAATCGTCTCAGATTACCTCGGTTGGTCATTCTCGGTAAGACTACCAGACTTCACTCCGGTTTTCGAAGCTGAGCTCCTGGCTATTATTTTAGCGCTACGAAAACTTCCTTCAAACGAAGAGAGTGCAATGATAATTACTGATTCTCTTTCGCTGTGTACTACTCTCACAGCTTCAGAACAATCAAGAGCTCTAGCGACATTACAAACATTAGTTCCACCTCATGTGAAGTTCCTGAAGTTAGTCTGGGTCCCGGGACACTGTGGCATACGGTTGAATGAAATAGCCGATTCACTATCTCGAGCCACACTTGATGGCCCTGTGATCTCGGTACTACCAGAATCGGAACACATAGTGTCGATCAGATATAGAAAATGGGCTATTTATACGGATATTATGGAAAATATTACTAAATATACGGACTATCAGCACCTAACATACCCCTGGAAACCTCAGTGGAGTCAATCTAAAAAGTTAGAAGTTATTTTAACCAAATTTCGATGTCGTGTCCCTCCATTAAACTTTTACTTGCACAGAGCTGGTCTGGCGATATCCCCCCTGTGTCCATTCTGTGAAGAAACGGAAACAATAGAGCATTACTTTATAACATGTAAAAACTATTCATTAATTAGGAAAAGACTTTTAATTGTTCCGTTTCAAGCAGTAGGTTTAAATTTAACTGCAGATAATGTTCTAAGTTTCGGTGCCTTTAGCTTGGGACATTGCCACAGGAGCGTATTCGATGCTGTATGCAATTTCATTCGAGAATCAAAGCGCATGTCATAATAATGCCTGCTTAAATATATTTCTGACGACACTTGTCTAATTTTGAATGAAATTTGCATATTCATTTGATTGTGACCGGGTGAGATAAGCTCGATTGTCTGGTCTACTCAAAATTTCTGCCTTCCACTGTAGTATTACCTCACCTTTTCTCTTCTTGATTCAATCTTCAATTATTTGTTTAGTTTAATATTCCTTTTTAGTTAATTATTATTTTCTATTACATCATTAGTTTTTTTCATTAAGGATAAACCTTTTAATATATCTCATATAGGATACTTCTAGATTTCATGGCCAATCCCCCATAGTGGGTATGTGCCAGTGCGAAGGGGCAACAACAACAACAACAACTCTCTGGAGTGCATATATAGGTAAGTTTGTTGAATTCCTTGATATAAATAATAAGCTGAAGCAAAATTTTCACTGGCCGTAATCGCAAGTATTTTCCTGGGCATGGTATGGAGTATGCCATTGGCCGGCTACACTCAGTATACACAGTAACACGTACGACATCATGATTGGCTGTCATCTCCTGCTAAGTAAAGTATATAAATGTAAGAACATAACCGCGAAGACGCATGGCAATGTGATGACATATCGCCTTCAACGTCGTATAAGTGTGTGAATGAAGTGTCTCATTTTATATGTATATCTTTATAACCGAGTCTTAGCAATAACGATCGCGCGAACTAACACTGAATTGCATTAATTGCACGCGTAAGCATCAGCAGCGAAGCCAGCATATGTCCGCATCAAAGGGTCGTTTTCAAGCAAATCTTAGATCAATGTCGCGTTCACTCTGTGCACGCAGAGTCGGATACCTCGAAAAAAAAAATTCGAGGCAGAACGGCACGACAATTTAGACGACACGCACGTAAAAACGCGACTATGGGACAAAATTAAGCATGACACAAAAAGGCGTTTGTATGCATGCTATTATTGTCGTGGTACGATCGACTCTCTCGAGTACAATCGATGACTTGAAGAATATTCGACCGAAAGACAACACGTTCACTTAACTCTCTGAGGAGAGCGAGCAAGTCTCGTCACATGAAGTTAGAACGGTAAGAATCATTAGGCAGTGGAAGCAAACTGACGCTGAGCTGGTTGAAAGACTTAAACGTAATTAACCTCGTTGTCAACTATAGCACGCGGCAAACAGCGAGGCACTGCATCTCTATCACAATCTCAGCTCAGAGACTCAATTAAGAACAGAGTAGAAGGTTGCTACATATTCTACACAAATTAACTCTACGGGCGCTTCTCAGCCAGAACCTCAATAATTATGACCTGTTTTGGGCAATCAAAAGCAGTGTATTCCTGACTTGCAACCGCATAAAATACAGGTAGCAGTTTGTCCTTCAACAGTTTATACCCTGGTTGAATTTATAAACAATTTGTTTGTTGTTGTTTTTTTCTCAGAGCAACGAGTATGCATGGCGAGACGGTTAAGGAGGTTTAAGAAACACCGCTCCCACGAACATAAGGAAACCACTCTCGAACAAATTTCTCGATCTGGTTCTTGCCCTGATGCCCCACTAAAGGGCGCGTTGCGCCGATTTCGTCTGCTTTTAACATTCATCCTAACCGGGGCCCTGAATCACGAAGGGGGAAGACAATGTCCATCTGTTAAAACTTTTCCTTCTCACAGACACCGTACACGAGAACGCGCCAACAACAACAAGAGCGCCATGCACATGCATTTAGTCTAATCGCGTATAAGCGAGACTGCGCGTTGCGCCCCCTCCTCGCCCCAGCCCGCCCACCCGTCCAGCCTTCTGCCGAACCATCAATTAGTCACTTTCCTGCAGTGATCAACGCGCGGTGTATACAGAGCAATCGCTCGCTGCATGCCGCTGCATATACGCGATGCACGTCAATAGTCCAGTGAGGCGTACAGAGGGGGGAGGCCCTTGAACCCGAGCGGGTCGATCAGCACCGAAGACGAAGTGGCGACCGTGAGTAAATTAAAACGAAGAAGAGGAAGAAGGATGCGCATTATAACGAAGGACGCGTATTAGCGAAGGACGTTGGCCAGGGAGCGGCGCCAGCGACCGATTCTCCACGCGACTCTGCGCGCAGCCCGTCCCCATGCACGATCACGCCGCTGCGTAATATTATTACGGCGAAAACGGGGGCGCCGCAGGCGAAAAAGGGCGAAAACGGAGCCGTTGCGTGGTTACACGTGAGGTCCGTACTATATAGCGTAGCCCGGCAGAAGAGACCACAAACGGGGTCGCGTTTGGCCTGCGATGCCGTCAAACAACGCGTCACGGGTCTCGCCGATGCCCTTTTTTTCTTTCTTTTTTTTTCTCCGACAGCTATCATAGTACGGGATCGCCCGATTAATATGCGCGCAAGCGCGCACCCGTGGAGCCTAATCCCGGACGCTCCTTTCCCTGTTGGCGCCGCGGACGAAACTAAAATCACAGAAGGAGCGGCCGTCCCTTCACTTCTCCCGCTGCATCTGCGACCACCGCATCATGAAACATCCGCGATGACAGACTTGGGTTGCCTCGTTTGCTTGGTTGCTTGCCCCGCTGCATCTATTCGCGTTGCGCGCAGCGGGTAATGAGTATCGTCTAGCGCGGGACAGCTCCCGCGTGTGGGGGGCTTCGACTCTACTCGCACTCTTCCAGGTTAATCGTCTTCACTGGCCGCCACGTGCACGTGAACGAGGCGGAGGAGTGGGGGGGGGGGGGGGGTGACAAGTGACCTGACACCAAAATGACAAAAACACCCGCTTGGTGGGAAGGCCGCCGGGAATGCGTCGAAGATGCGTGAACTGCTTGTACGCGCGTGTATACATCTCGTGACCTTGAATCGTCCCATTCCTTAGCCCCGAGAGAAAACGGCGCGCCGCGTCCGGCACACAGTCCCCGTTTTGTGTTCGCACGTCGTAGATAGATAGCCGTGTTTGTCGATGCGGGCGATCGGGCCCGAGCGACCTGGCGCCAAAAACGAACGATGCGAAAGCGTGTCGGCTCCGGTTTAGTTTCGATTGGTTTGCTAAACGCGATAAGGGTGGGAGAATCCGGGACGAACCGAAACGGGCATCACATACAAGACTGTACAGCTCGGCTCTCAGCAGAATAAACTGCCTGCGCTAGAGACAGCAGCGTCCCCTCGTGTTGTTATTCTTCGTCTGCCGGTGCTGATGAACAGATAGGAATACTCGCCTTTCCTTTTAGGCTACGAGGCGGGATAGTCAAAAGGGCGACCCGGGTACTCCACGTGGTATAACCACAGATGAATATATGCTTTGCGATAAGCAAGGACGCACCGTGCACGATCTGTTCGCGTTCCGCGAGACCGGTTTCACGCTCTACGCGTGGTGAACGTGGACGAGACGGCATATCTATGGATGGTTGCCCACTTATTGTGTCACACACTTCGTTTGTGTCCGTGTGCGCGCGTTCTTACGCGGAGATTCAATCGCGGATGTAAAAGTACGATGGCGTAAGCACAGATCGTAGAATACCAAAGGAACACTTTTCAATAGGCACGTACCGGTGACACGGACCTTGTGACAACCATCTACGCCCCCTCCCCCTTGTTTTTTTTATCTTAGCACAAAAAATTTTCGGATGAAGGGGGGGGGGGGGCGGGTGTTTTAATTTGTTTGTATATCCGTGCGCATAAGCGTGGCAAGGTTCCCCTTCAAGGGAGAGTCGAATGCTTTTCACAGTGTGACCCCCTTCTTATTACGTAAATGCATGGGGCAGACATCGCCCCCCCTTTCTTATGTGACTAACGGGGAAGGCCCTGCCCCCTGTGCAAACGCCTATATTTGTGCGTGGTGTTTGTATATATATATATATATATATATATATATATATATATATATATATATATATATATATATATATATATATATATATATATATAATAACTTCCCCTATACATTCCTTGCCATTATTGTCTGTTAGATTTCACTAATATTTTGTCAAAATACAGAAAAACGGATCCCTTAGGTATACACTTCTTTCCCTTATATATATATATATATATATATATATATATATATATATATATATATATATATATATATATATATATATATTATATATATATCCAAAACCACGACATGATTTTGAGAGATGCCTCGGTGTTGTGCTTCATCGGAAATTTTGACTTCCTATGGTTATCTGAAGGGCTTTTAAACCACCCAGAGGCCGAAATTCAGTTGCGGCGAGGAACTTCTGCTAGAGTGTACAACGAACACAGCCGTGAGAATTTTTCGAAACGCTGCTGTAAAAGCGCAATTCGATGCGTTTGATTATAAAAACGCGCGTGGGGTAGCTGCTTTCGCTATTTTCTTCGCTACCCTCCGCTGGTATCCTCTCTTAAAGCCGCTTTGCCCTCTTGGCGACTACCCCTCACTCCGCCCATAACGCGAGTTTTCTTTTTTTTTGCCTCCTTGACCAAAAGCAATAGTGACGGGTAACAATGGAATGCTCGACCCGAGAAGGCAATAATCAAGAAGTTATCCATTGAACATTGCGTACCACACGATAAGGGAGAAAAAAGTTAATTAATCAAAGGCATAGAATAGAGGTCGGTGTAAGATGCTGTGTGATTCAGATAAACAATAAAAGAACCATACGATGATAGCGGTGATGGGTGTAGTGTTTAATGATACGGAGTTTTGCGTGTTCTTCACAAAAACAAAAACTGTGAGATAGCGTGTGGAAAGTACACAGCTTTTTTATACGTATTCAAATCTAGTTCATCTAAAGACTGTGAACGTCGACCTTACACTTTTGATAACATATTGACCTACAAAACACAGACAAAAAGCCTGAACAAGTTATATGAACCAGTAGGTAGAAATGTGGTCGGCACACTAATAATAGGAGCAGAACTTGTTGCTTCCCATAAAACTTCCGGTAAATTCAGTTATCACGCTCAAATACCAAAGCATAAGGCTCGTTTTTTTAAGTTGTGCTTGGGCAAAAACTCTTTCTACGCTTTCACGCAAAATGAAGGTGCTTAAAGTTAAGGACTAAGTTTTGTAATGTTGTGCGTGGCTTGAAAGAAAATATATTGAAATCTTTTGTTAGTCACAGAGAGAAAATCATTGAAAATGATGAGCGAGCTACTCATTAAAACTTTAGTTTTCCGCCAATCGTATATATGCTTTGTTGAGCCAGTTTACAAAATTGGAAGCCGTCCAAAACAGAGAATAGGCGTATAGCTATAGAAGCGTATAGCTATAGAAGGTTTTCAAACCGGGCTCAACCAGAGGTTCCTTCGCCGTTCGTGATGCTGGCGCACTTTCGCTCACCTGCAGCAATGAGCAATGGACGCCTTACACTACTACGCTGGACCCTGTCGAATTCCTCCGTGTTGACGAATTTCGTGATGACCACATTTTTGGACCGATCAGGGATGACGCCGCAGCCCTCTGCGCCTGCAGTCAGAACTGACTAGACGGCGAATTCGACAGTGTCCAGAATCGTATACACTGAAAGGTCGGGTCGGGGAATGGACAGTGACTCTGCACGGTTTACGCATGGACGAGATACGTGCCATCTCTTCATGTGCGTGCCGGCCAAACAACGCAGTGGCCGTGTGCCGCCCTCGGCAGCTGTCTCTGTGCGACGACGTGCTGCCGTACAACTCGACGCTGCTGCCCAACCTGGTGGGAGACCGCGACCGCGTGTCCCTGGACCGGACGCTGCTCTTCTTCGCCCTGATGCTCAAGACCGAGTGCAACCCGAGGCTCAAGCAGCTCCTCTGCTCGCTGCTCGAGCCGCCCTGCCGCGGTGGCAGGACGCTGCTTCCGTGCCGAAAGTTCTGCAAAGGTATAGTATTCATTCAAACTACCAGCTTGTACGCCACGTCTTTCTCGCAGTATCTCGTTATCCGTTTCCCCATTGGAGATCGAACGTTCAATCGTATACAAAAGGACCGAACGAATTCATCATCATCATCATTTATTTTACCCTTAAGGGCCTCTCTCGGGGCATTACATAAGGGGGGGGGGGGACAATCCAAGTACAAATTTCAATGAAAATGCAGTTCATGGTTACAGTTTTTGAATTACTAAAACATACAGGTAGCAACAAAAAACAAAAAGAAAACAGAGCATGTCAAACGAAATATTCAACAGTCAATTCGCGGTCCAAAATATACAGGCGGCAGAGAACAAACAACAAAGAAACACAAACAGCGATTAAGAGTCAAGGGTAGCTATAGTAATAAATCTCTAAATTTAAAAGCAACTTTTTCGCTGACTTCTGAATTCGAAGCAACGTGTGCCGCAAGACAAATAGATTAACCTCCGCAAATGGCATTATACCTTAAACAAGCTGGTCCTTGCACGAGCTTTGGTAAACTCGTTTCTTTTTAATTTTTTGTCGTTTTATAGCATGCTTCAAAGTTGCGACCTGCACCTAAGTCCTGTCCAGGTGACCATATATATAGCGCGGCGACTGATCGCCTTCGTGACTAAATAAATTACTCTGCTCATACCAACGTTACTAGAATGCTCATACAACGAGCAATGTTCTGGTCAACAGGATGCGCGGCTCATTGCGCCAGACTGCACTTTCTGCCCGTTCACACAGGCCTGCGTTACAGTGCACTCTACCTGCGTGCATAAGCCTTTGAAGAGGAAAGGCCACAGGCTTGTAAAGTATCTGACTGCTGTGTCGTCGAAACTGATCGAAAACCGTTGAAACATATTGGAAGCTTCTTGAATATAGATGTCGCGTATATCCGAGCCTCGTGGCTAATCTCCACGCAGCATTCCTCTGTCTCTTGAATAGAAGTTTCACCATGCTATTCCGCGTTAGTATAGAGCGTCGTTAGTCAAAACGAGCAGAAAAACAGAATATTATATTAAAATTGAACGTCACTCGTTACTTTTACGCATTCGTATATATATAAACACATCTCGACCATCTCACAACATCTAAATTTCTGGCGATTATCAGACGTGATCAGCGCTCATTGTTTGACCTACAACGCCGAGTAAGCCCTAATCCGTGTGCCTTTGCGGTAAGGTATGAAGTGCAAGCTGCAGAAATTACTTATTTGGCACGTTCCACATTTTAAAGTATTTTCTAAAGAATGACACGAAAAGCACCTGTCCTGCGTAAGATTATCAATGTCCTATAGGCAATAAGAACCAGGGGCACAGGCAGATTTTTTTTTTTTTTTTGTGGGGGCGGTATTTTCTCTCCCTGGCTACGCCACTGATAAAAACAGCTACCCATACCAACGGCAAAGTTATTTAGTTCTTTATCTCTCTTCTCTGATTCCCCCATTCCTCTGTAGATGCTACTTTCGAAACGAACGTGACTATCTATCGACCTCCCACCAAAGAGGAAGCGCTCAAAGAGCACGTAATTCGACCACGGCCCTAATGGCTGTCCGAGCAACACTTACGAGAACGCTGCAGTCCTATAATCGAGTTCAAGGTCGACCCGCGGAGTGATTTATTCAGCGAGAGTGCCATGGGAATCGGTACAAACGTCGCGTTGCTACGCATGCGTCCTCCTGGACTACTTTCGGCCGCGCAGGAACGTTCTCCGCCTTCTTACAGGAGTATTACGAATGCACAGCCTCTTTTCGCAACGCGGAGGTCAACAGAGCAATCGTGGCGCGATACGTGAGGAACGATGGACGACCCAGAGGGAACGAACAGCTCCTTTTAATGGCGTAGAGATCGTGGGCAGGAAAGAGACTTGCCGGACCACGGGACCAGGCGGAAAGTGTCCATCCGCTTTCTTTCTTTCTTTCTTTCTTTCTTTCTTTCTTTCTTTCTTTCTTTCTTTCTTTCTTTCTTTCTTTGTATACGCTTCGGTGTGTGTGCAGGAATGAGCCTACCAGACAACTAGGGAGGTATGATGTCGAGTCCTTGAGCGCTTTTTTTTTTTTCGACACCTGGCCTTAAAATTAAGCGCTGACGCCGAGGATGTGGAACAGGCACAGGAATATCTCTGTATCTGTTTCCGTTTCTCTTTGTGTGTTGGTACATTCCACACAAGTATAGCACGCGCACGTCCTTCGGTTCACCCCTCACGGGTTCTCCGCGTCGCATTAAGCGAAGCATGATGCGACTACATGTGGAATATCAAACATGATACGCATGACCCTGAGATTGTGTCCAGGAAAACTTCGAGCAAGCAGATATTATGAATAAAGAAATTCCTCTATACAGTGTCGTTGTGTCAGTCGGCTAGCAGGCGCTCCTTGGTGCGCTTATCGCAAGTTTATATCCAACACCGCAAGCCGATGCGCGACCAACAGCATCACTCTAGCAGCTTTAAAGTTAACGAGTACTATACGCGAAGCTTAAACAGTTTTCCGTGGATGTGACAAACAAGTGCGCGCGATCACACAGAGGTACCGATAGATCTCGAATATTTGCCGCTGACAAAGACAGAAGCCGATCTCAAACGTCAACCATGTGGTATCAGCAAACAAATGCGTGCTTCGAAAAGAAACGAGAGCCAACGCGCCGCAGGTCTCGCGGGTGAAGGTCAGGGACAACTAAGGATTCATGTCGGTGGCAAACAGAGGTCGACACCATTTTGTCTCTCGCATCGTTATTTGCTTCTGTCCCTCTTGCATGTCTTTTATCTCCTTCTCCCTTGGTTCATCGGGCGCGCGTCACGATGCACTCTGGGCGGGGGAAATTCGTTCCCCGTTCGTCGGTCGGTTGCAGGGTGGTCTTCTCCCACTATGCAACCGACCCGTCTTCTCATTATTTCGCATTATGTCTCCCCTTCGGGCTGCCGTGGGTCGGCGGCGTCGTCTCGAGAAATAATCCTTTTCGAAATCCCCGTCGCGATCGATCGACTATATAGCAGCCTATAACGTGCCGTTCCGATGGCCTGCTTCCGAAACCACCAAAGCCCCAAATTGTACAGTCCGGTCCGGCAATATATAGTGCAGAGCGTTTCGCATGCCAAATGCGAGGAATCACTGTAACGAAAATGGCGCAGCACGTACATGTAGAGCCAACAACGCATTCAGGACAAGGATGTGTACTGGCGGAAACACGCGCAGTGCAAGTGTTCCGTCTTTCTTGTTACAATGCCATTCAGCGCTGTTCACTTCGGTGACGGTTCGTGCATGTTGGTAAGACATGACTGAAACTAAAAGCGCACACGATGAGGACGCAGAAGATCCTCGAGACGCATGAGCTCTATTTTGTTGTAAGTAGCGCTCGGGCGTCCATTTCGCGATTGCATTGTGCTCTTGTGCATATGGCTCTATAGAGCCATAAAACATCATTTATCATCATCATCGTGTGTCTCAAGCTCCTTCTCTGTGACCTAGTGAACTAGGCATGCCGGCGTGAATCACGGAGGGAAGAAGGCTGTCTCGTCTTGTGCGTTTCTATAAGGAGCTGTTTTTCTTCTTCTTTGTTTTTTTAAATCTGGGGTTTTACGTCTCAAAACTACGCTATGATTATGATAGACGCCGTATAGTGGAAGGGAAGGCTCTGAAAATTTCGATCATCCGGTGTTTTTTGCGTGCACTGACGTCGCACAGCGTACATAGGCCTCTACCACTTCACCACCATCGCACTGAAACTGCCGCAGCCGGCATCGAGCCCACGACCTTCGTTTCGGCAGCCGAGCACCGTCGCCGTTTCACCATGCAACGCAACGGGGACACACAGCAGCTTCGTAAATAGTGGACCTTATATATGTATAGCGGCTCGACGTGGCTCAAACATTAGCGACCCTGTGATGCGTGGTGAACGCCTCATGTCGTAAGTGTGCACACGGTGGCGAGCGGCCCCGATAACCACGAAGGAAGCCCCTACACGCATGCGTCGTACACGTAATGAACGGGTTACCTCAGCCGGGGGGCTTGCACGCTGCGCCTGCCTGCTGGACGGCGTTCGCACGCTGACTGACTGATCTCGACTTTGCGGAGGTTGAAGGACCCTCCCCACGCCTCCGGCTTCGAGGTGCGCTTTGGTTCAGCATGGGTTCGTTCTTACGGAAAAAAAAAAAAAAACGCGGTTAATCCTGTTGGTGCTCACGAGCTGTAATTATGGGTCCACGAGCACTTCAGCTGCCACACCAGCGTGGACTTTTTTTTTTTTGTGTGTGTGTGACGTGCTCTCCAAATACGGAGCAGGAAGTTCCCACGCGTCTGAGCTAACTATCCGAGCGAATCGAATTTAATATGCCTCGGTTGAATGATCCTCAGCGTGGAAACCGTATCGTGTTGCGTAATGCGTCCTCTGAAGAGTGCCCGTTCGTTATATTGTCTCGAAAAACGATGGAAGAGGCGGAGAAACGGTCCCCTGCAAGCTAACACAGAAGGTAATTGGCCTCAGGCTTACTTCCCAGCGATCTACAGCAGTCTCGGCAGAGCGAGGACGAAAGAGGCAGATGAATGGATATAGTATGATTTGGTGGTGACGAGGGAGACGCGGCCATGTTTGAGACTTGGAGCTGGTTGATAACCCCCTGTGAAAAAAAAGAAAAAGAAAAGCAAACAAGAAAACTGCGCAGCAGCGGACGACGGAATAGAAGAAACGAACGTTCTCTCTCGACCCCGTTATTAATGCATCGAACGCTGTTACACGGTGTCCTTTTTTTTTTCTTTTTCTTTTATGTCGAAGATGAATCAGCGCACAGGTGCGACAATATGTAATCAAATGACCGATGAATCCGGGTAGATGATCGTTTCCAAAGGCTCACGCATATTACCGAAAAATTGTGCATGCAACGCGCAGGAATCATATAGGTGCATGCAGGGCTCTCTTTTCGTTAGGGAGGGGCGCGTCGCGAAGTGCCATCGAAGTAAGGTTTTCTATCTGAGGAATACGTTCGAATTACCTTGTTGCCTCTACAAACGGTCGGACGACGTTTTTTTTTTTTTATTTCCATGAATGCGTACGTACCCCTTCGCGATTTCACAGAGTTGATTCACCAATGTGTATAACTGTAACATGGTGTGCAGTCGCACCCAATATGAGTTGCAACATGCTGCGCGTGGTCACAGCGGAGCCAACGCTGCACGGACTTAGCGCCGACATAGAAGACAATCACTGGCGTGAACATTGTTTCAACAGTGGTATTCGCTTAACAAACTTCGCGTATGTCGATGCCACCGAGCTGCAACTCATATTAAGTCGGGGCGGGCGGGATCTCTCTGACCGGTTTGTTGACCGGTTTGTTGTGTGCAGTGGCGACGGAGAACTGCCAGAAGCTGATCCCGGCGACGCTGGCGTTGTCACGAGTGTTCGACTGCCGCCGCTACCCAGACTCGGACAGTCCTGGAGTTTGCCTCAACCTCGCCAGAAGCGCCAGTGAGTATAAGCGCATATTATCTCACCGTATATAGCATTTACTTAAAGCTGATGATACATACCGCAAAGTCACGGAAGGTATAGGGGACACCGTGTTGTTGAACTACCTATAGCGTACTAATTATGACGAAATAGCAGCATTGTCGCCAGTAAGGACTCATCCTACAACCGTCGGGTAACACATCTGATATTGTACAAATTTAGCTAAGTCGGCAATCGCTTTCCCATTCACTCGACTGGATACTTCCATGTAAACATGGAAGTGTTAGCCAGCGCCTCTCGTATATAGTCGCGGCAGCGAGTGTGGAACATTTTTTTTTTTTTTTTGACAGATGGCCCATGATCTTTTTACGAGCTGGTGGCTGCTGTGCCTTCTCATAATACCTTAATGCATCGAATATCTCGAAGCGAGATCCTCATTAAAAATTAGCGAAAGAAGGGAACAGATGCGGGGCTCTTTTCATAGTTGGACACATCTTAATGAAATGAACTGCCAATGAAACCAAGGATCATATAGTGTACATTATTTGAAGTCCCCTACAACGCCGCGCCCCGTAATCAAGTCGTGGTTTCTGGCAGTTAAAATCCCAGCATTGTATCTTTAAGACAATCTAAAAACTAGTAACCCTCAAGAGAAAGGTATATAACGGCTCACCTGCCTACGGAGCAGAAACCTGGAGTCTTACGAAGAGGGTTGAGCTCAAAATTGAGAACGACGCAACAATACATGGAGATGAAAATGATAGGCGTAACCTTAAGAGAAAAGAAGAGGGCAGAGTGGGTCAGGGAGCAAACCTGGGTTAAGGATGCCTTAGTCGAAATCAAGAAGAAATGGATATGGGCTGGGCACGGTGCGCGAAGGCCTTAGAAGTAACAGACTGAATTCCAAGAGAAGTCTTTCACCCGAGGGGAAAGGCAGGGGGTCAGGTGGGCAGATGAGATTGAGAAGAGCTTAAAAAAATGGTCAAGTTGGTAACAATTCGTAGCTAATACGGAGGCAAAACAGCGCACAAGAAGAAGAAATAAGAAATACATTCCATTAAGTTTAAACAGATTCTATTAAGCACACGAATGTATTAAAAGGCCCGTACACTGAGTTGGATGGCAAGACAGTAATTTATTTCTCGCCTACCCTTCCTACACAAGCGCTGTATTCTCCTCGCCACTTCCGTCTTCAGCTAGAAAACACGTGGAATGTCTGAACTAAGCATTGAGCCAGTTGGGATTCCGCGGTTTTCGACGAAACACTGATATATCTCCGTCTCAGCAAACAAAGAAAACGAAGTGAAATGAGTTTGTCATGTGAGTGGAGGCAGAACAAAATGCGACTGCATGGTAATGCAGGGCAGGCTACCATTCGCAACAGATACCTCGATTGATATGTGGGGTTTAACGTCCCAAAACCACTATATGGTTATGAGAGACGCCGTAGTGGAGGGCTCCGGAAATTTCGACAACCTGGGGTTCTTTAACGTGCACCCAAATCTGAGCACACGGGCCTACAACATTTCCGCCTCCATCTGAAATGCAGCCGCCGCAGCCGGGATTCGAACCCGCGCCCTGCGGGTCAGCAGCCGAGTACCTTAGCCAATAGACCACCGCGGCGGGGCCGCAACAGATACCTCGCCTATATCGGCCAATCAAGAGCTTCTCTCATCCTGACGTCGAGCGAACGTTTGGTTGGCAATATGGATTGCCCAGACTGCGGGTGCACTGCGAAATTTTCTCGGACGAGGATTTTTTGCCGTCACCACAAATCAGTTGACACGTGAAATTTTTAAGGCCGACAGAATATAAGGTAGGTCGGCGTAACCATGTCAGTCAGCCGTCAATCGCACGCCAGGATAAGGAAATTTCTTTTTAAGCTATTGTAATCGTTAACAGTCTTGCATTTAAAGGGACACTAAAGCGAAACAGTGACTTAGTTTAGATTAATAAACGGCACTCTGCGAACTTTAATGTCACACGTTTCACTAAAACTTGAAGTATCATTTTTAAATATAGAGCCGAAATCTCCGCCTGCTAGTCACTTATTTCAAAATGTATTTTTTCGTATTTTCGCCACATGGGCTCGATTAAATTTTCTGAAACTTCGTATCTTAGGTCTATGCCCCCCCCAGATGACAATTTATGCACTTCATTACCGCCGGTTAGAAATTATGTACGATCTAGTAGATACCGTCAAAATCAAAATATATGACGTCACGTTGTTTGGTGCGGGAATCTCAGAGTGGTGTTTTTTCGCCCGTTTTCCCGCCTATATCGTCTAGCAGTTGAAGTGTTATTTTCGGGATTGTAAAACTGTACTCCACTAATATGCAAAAAATCATTTTTCTCTCTAGTGGCCCTTTAAAATTAGTTGTCTTGTATTTAGCCAGCCATGCCATCATGAGTTTTCTGACCTTGTGAGAGCATCCGCAGTTTGATGTTCCTTCTATATATTTTTAATTTGAAAGCGCTTGCGTTGCGTCCGCTCTTTTTTTTTTTTTAAGTCCTCGTTCCTTTGCACTGTTTTGCCTCAACCAGCCATGAGGTTAAGTTTGTAGAGATAGCATGGTCGCATCAATCGGATTGATTGACGAACCATTGAGAAGAAATTTCGGTGCACGCAGTTGGTGCAGCCAGACTGACGTACGATGACGAATAGCTGCATTATTGGACATAAGCTCGGTGTGTTGAACGCGGTATACGAGCTGCACTCGATCATTTCTGTACGATATGACCTGTATTTGCTTCTCGCCCGCTGCTAGCGTGCTTGCGACAGGAACACCAGTGTCCCGACCTGACGTGCATCCCGAAGCAGTGGCGGTGCGACGGAGTCCGGGACTGCCCGCTGGCCGCCGACGAGGCAAACTGCACTGGTAAGCATTGACACTGCATAAGGGGGGCAGCCCCCCCCCCTTGTCACCTGAAAGGGGGGCGCAAATCTGCCCTTTTGTTTATTTATTTTTGTTGCCTCAAAGACCCCAGTTTATGGGTTTTACGTGAGGGGTGGTCAACAATTCAACATAACAAATGTTTGACTTCTTTTTTGAGGAGTGCCGAGCTGGAGTGGTCCACTGTACCGGCAGGGACAGCGTTCCAGTCTTTAGGCGTGACATAGAAGTGTGACAGCTTGGGCTAGTTCGTATGACATGACGATAGTTATAGCGCGAGAACAGAACGACGACACAGAGACATGAAGGACACGAGCGCTCGTGTCCTTCTTGTCTCTGTGTCGTCGTTCTGTTCTCGCGCTATAACTATCGTTTAGGCGAGAGCACAAAAAAGGAGGATGCGTGGGGCGGGCGAACGGCTTTGGTGTGGTTGAGTCTGCATGCTATCATGGCGACGAGCTGGAATGATCACAGATGTACGAGGGGTAGCGTGGTATAGTTCATGGAAAAGACAAAGGCGGGTGATTTGGCGACGAACAGCAATATTGGGAAGGTTAATACGAGGCACTGACCTAATAAAGAGAGGGGTACGCTGCGATGAAGCTTCGCCTTGCGCGACTTAGTACAAAGTGCACGAATTGCTTCCCTCCACCGTTTCTGTGCGGGAGGGGGGAGTAAAGGGGGAGCAGTACAAGGTGATCCGATACAAACGGGACCGTCAGAACAAAAGTCTGCGATATAGAAAGGCGTGCGGAGATTCCACCACAGCGTTTCACGACTTTCACGCTAGAGTAAGGGTGAATGCGCCGTAGAACCACGAAAAAAAAAAGTGGGTTGTCGCGGATTAGCAAAGCTTCTGCTTGAGCCTGAAATCATCAGTGAAAAAGCAATAACGCCCAATAAATAAATAAATAAATAAAAAAAAACACTCATTGATCGAGGCGCTCTACGTTAAACGAGAGAAACGAAAGATAAATGACAATCGTTTGCTGGGGTAATTTAATCTACCAAAGGTGCTAACCGGTCTTCGAGAGTGCATGCCGCAAACTATTTACTATGTTTTTTTTTCTAAAGAGATGTATCTAGTATCTACCTAGTACAATGAAACCTGGGTGATACGAATTTTCCATTGGTCCCAGCCGAGGCCCATTGGCCCGCAATGTAATGAAGTACGCTTGTTGCGAATCACCACGCGACGTTTGATAAGAACGTACGCCACCGCGAACTTACGAAAAAGGCAGGCTCATAGCCAGAAATTCTTTTGTGATGGGGAGCACCTCTTTGAGTTCGGGGAGGGCAACCCGTTGGCTACGCCCCTGCGAAGAGGTGCGCTGTCTCGGAAGGCGTGGCTAACATGCGCGAGAACCCAAACGTGGGCACGCGGACCATGAAACCACGGCGGATTAAAGATTCAGCAACGTGCCTCCGTGATTGCGCGTTCGTATATTAGAGGCCTTTCCCCTTAGATTACAGATGGCGTTGACGTCGCGCCTTTTTTTTTAGCATGTCGGCGTGTGATGCTGTCATTGTGCTGTGTTTACAAGAGCCCTTTTCACGACTTTGCAAGTTATGTTCCCGCGCAAAAAAAAAAAAAAATCCAACGAAGGGTGTACGAGGGTCCAAAGTGTAAGCGGACGGTCTTGGCGAAGGAGCCTCACAACGTCCACACACACGTTTGTTGGGGACGCGAACACTTGCCGATTCTCTGATCGTGCGGGCACGACCGTAAATCTCGCGAAAAACATCCCCCACACCACCGCGATCAGAAAACAAAAAACAATGAGCAGCGGTAGCACTTTTTAAGTCACTTTCGCCGCAGTACTTTAATGTGATGCAAAAAAGTGTACTACAGGTAGAAAGGGGCAGTCAAAGCTCACAACACACCTGGTTCAGAAATTTATACACGCGCACACTGGCCCTATGTCTGTGAGTGCAGTTTTGAACGTTGACGTCTAAAAGAACTTCACTGGATATCAGTCAGAGCTGTTCGGGACGTTGTTCCAGCACCAATAAACAATAAATAATCGTCCCCCCCCCCCCCCCCACTTTTTTTGCATGCTAATTCACCACATTTTCTGGTGATACGAATGTTTTCGGTGACCCCTCGAGATTCGTATCACCGAGGTTTCATTGTATAAACAACGCACAATTCAGTTGGACCGCGTCATGCTTTAGAACAGACACAAAGAGCGAAAGAGAGAGATGACCTTTTGCTATCTCGACCGCCAGGCCGTGGCGCGTCCAAGGTTTGCAGTCACGAGGAATTCCGCTGCGACTACCGCTGCATTCCCAACACGTGGCGCTGCGACGGTGAACCGGACTGCCAGGATGCCGCCGACGAGAGGCACTGCCCGCCAAAGCCAGGTGAGTGGCGTATCAACCTCGTTCCGCGCGAAAACCAGCATCGCGTACGTGGTACGTCAGCGGGATTTCTCTCGCTCAGAGTGTAATACACACTGTAACATTTGGCCGCGTTGGGGTCCAGGCCGGGAAAGGAAGACTCCGCGAGGAGGTAGAACGCACTTTCCAATGCAGCATGTCTGTCTCGGTGGAACAGTGCTCGGCTGCTGACCCAATGGTCCCAGGTTAGATCCCGGCCACGGCAGTCGAATTTCGGTGGAGGCGAAACGCTAGAGGCCCATGTACTGTGCGATGTCAGCGCATGCTAAAGGACATCAGTTGGTCAAAATTTCCGGAGCCCTCCACTACGGAGTCTCTTATAATCATATGGTGGTTTAGGGACGTAATACCCCAGATGTTATTATCAAATGCAGCATGCTTGCCGAAAGAAGGTGCACAAAAGGTCTCACGGCGTGGCCAGCGGTCCTTTATAAAGAAACGTGGGGGCCAAGGGGGAAAGAAACACATCGGCGCACGTTCGCGGAAACAGATTATCGTTTGGAAGATATGAGCCAGACTTGGGCGCTGGCTGATGAGCGTTGAGCGGTATACCGCAAACGCCGCAGCACACACTCGGGGCACACAACAATGCGAGACGTTTCGCACTCCTTTTAACCCTAGCAGTGCCAATCAGGAAAATGACAGACAGATTTTTCATCATGAGAACGATATACCGTAATGAGAAAAGTGGAGTTTTAATTTGCGCGTTCGTTGCAACCACTCTGGCGAAGTAGACACTTTGGAAACATAGGTCGGCAAGCTCACTCGTGATTCGGCTCATTCGGATTCACCAGACTCGGATCGAGCCATGATTCCGAGCGAGTCCGGCTGGGCAATATGTTGGTGAGAGCAAGGGAGTCCGGTTGAGGAAATTATCGGCGAGTCTGAGTCCATGTGTGTGGAGTCGACTAAAACTTTGGTGATTTTTAGTGAGTTTTTTTTTTTTTTTGTCGACCTGTGCCTGGAACACTTGCTCCTTTGATTCGTATGTGGTGCTTAACGTCCCAAAACCACCATATGATTATGAGACGCTGTACTGGAGGGCTCTGGAAATTTCGACCACCTGGTGGAGTTCTTTAACGTGTGCCCAAATCAGGGCACACGGGCCTACAACATTGCCGCCTCCATCGGAAATGCAGCCGGGATTCGATCCCGCGACCTGCGGGTCAGCAGCCGAGTACCTTAGCCAGTAGACCACCGCGGCGGGGCGTCCATCTCACCCCATAAGCTTGCACAGGGTTCCTCTACGAAGAAAGTTTATCGCTGCCCCCCCCCCCCTTGTGCAGGCACAGCGGCTACACGTATGGGGCAGTCATCGCGACCACCCACTCAAGTGACCCACCTCCTGATCCGCCAGCCCCCCTAGTGCGCATGCCTATGATTCACCCGGTTTTTTAACTAGCTCCCTCCGGGATCGGCTCGCTTTTGAAGAAGCGACATCGCTTCGAAGATGCAGTTAATCGTGTCATCACGTGTATGTAGTCAGCACTTGATCACGTGACCTCGAAGATGTAGTTGATGACGTCGTCACATGAAGTCAACAGCTTTGTCACGTGATTTTGAATATGTAAGTGTATGCCGGGTTTAATGTCCCAAAACCACCATATGATTATGAGAGACGCAAGGAATATGCAATCGATGACTACATCACGTGAATTCTACACCTTCTACTACCATTCGTGCTCACGACGCCACCGATGTTTTTTTTTTTTTTTTTTCCAAGTTGCACGAGCCATTCACTTCGATGGACGACCGCTCACTTCTGTAGACTGCCGCAGGATTCACCACTTCCATCTTCGTCCCCCGTTTCACAGTGTGCGGCACGGGACGGTTCCAGTGCCGGGACGGGTCGGGCTGTTTCCCGCAGCGCTGGGTGTGCGATGGAAAGGCCGAATGCCGGGACGGCAGCGACGAGCAGGACTGCACCAACAGGAGTGAGTGCGCGCGGCATTTTCTACGAGCGGCCAGCACATAGATCGCTACAAGCTGCCAGAATCGAAACTGTGCAGATAACCAACGTATCACACACGCAGTCATTTCGGTAACTCGAAGTTCCAATCTCTGAGCACGGGAACATTAAAGGGACGTTTAAATGAAACACAAAATCACCTATGCTGATAAATTGGCCTTCTGTGTGTCTACACATGTTGGCAACCAGACAAGGAAATGAGGGTCTATGTTATACTTAATAAGAACTTGTATCGAGTTGGCGATTACGTATAACATGGTGATTTTCGGCGCTACAATAGATTTACACACGTGAGAGACAGAGTCTGTCTATACTCTGTGTCTCATGTGTACGTATTTTGTAGCGCCAAAATCACCATTGTTATATTTTTTCTAGGTTCGCGCCGAAGCATTATATAGCCGTTCGGAATTCCGAAGGCTTCGTCCTGCCTTCCCGCCGTACAGACGCCGTCGTAGAAGCTCATCTTCGCCGCCAAATTTCACGGGTCGAGAGGAGGGCCGCCAACACAAAGCCAACGGGAAGGGGGTTTTGCCCGCACAATTACTACGGTAGCTTTCGTGGGACCGGCTACGATCTTTCCTTCTTCCTATTCTACTGATTTCTTTCAAGTGTGGCAGCTTGGGCTAGTTGGTATGGCATGACGATAGTTATAGCGCGAGAACAAAACGACGACACAGAGACAAGAAGGACACGAAAGACACGAGCGCTCGTGTCTTTCGTGTCCTTCTTGTCTCTGTGTCGTCGTTTTGTTCTCGCGCTATAACTATCGTCATGATTTCTTTCGTTTCTAACCTACTAGTCCCCTTCAATAAACCAGTCTTGAAACTGTCACCAACGAGTCGAGTAGCTCCTTTTCGAGGCTCCTTCGCGCGCGGTCCAGCCGCCCTTCTAGTCACCGCGCAGCGAATAATTAGCTTTCCAATTAGAGTCAGCCGACGAAGATTGGAGCGAAAGTAGTCATCGACATTAGCACCTTAATGACAGTATAACACCTCGTAGTTCGAAATTTAATTGTTTCTTTTTTTGGTTGATGGCATAGGACAGACCAACTAAACCACTAATTTCAATATTTTATTCCTCCTCCTCCTGTACATATTTATTTTTTGTCGGAGGGAGAAGCTTATTGACCTCTTAGACCTTGTTTTGCTGTACCTTACCCCTACTTTTGTTCGATGGAATGGTTGCATTTATCTGCAGAAAAAAAGGTGTTTCAATCGGCTCATGCATAGCAACTCTACTCAGTGATCTACTATTGGCAAAAGTGGGCAATAAACTTCAGAAGAAGCATGTCGTCAAAGTATTCAGATACGTGGTTGATTTCTTGGTTCTTCTAAATTGTGACCCTTCTATGTTCCACTCGATTGCGGCTCAAACGATAGGTGTGTTTGAAGATTGTTTAAAGCCTCTTGTGTTGACGCATTAAATGCCCGAGAATGACAAGTTACGTGTTTTGGATTTAAGACTGTTTTTTTTAGCTCACAGCACATTTGTTGGTGTTATGAACCATGTGCGCAGAAACCTTCACTTCCTTTTTCTTCCACTCACAGCAAGTTAGTTAAGCGAGGCATAGCACGAACCTGTCTTGAGAATGCCTTAAATAGGTCGTGCGCCCACAACATCTCTGCGAGCTTCAAAGCCCAAGTTTCCCGGCTTAAGGCTTCGGGTTTTCCTGATGAGTTTATCGCTTTTGTTGCTGAGATTATCCTGCGGACTAATAGGGTAGAGCAGAGGCAGCGACAGGATCTGAGTAACACAGATACAGAGCGTGAAAGAACAGCCGTGGTTCCATACAAACACCAGATATCCCACAGGCTCAAGAAAATCAAAAAACGAGTGCGAGTTCGTGTCCTGTTCTCTGCAAATTAATCAGCCTCATAAAATCTACTAACCCTCTGAAAACGCAGTCATCAAGAGAACGTAGAGTTCAGCATAGAAACAGGTATGCGGCATGCTCCCGGTGTCACACCAGTCCCGTTAATTAGGGAGGCGATCGCCGGGCTAATTCCAAGAGCCGAAGTATCGGCCCCCCGAACCGCACCACGAAAGCGTGGACAATTTAGAATTGGTCCTTATTGGCGCGCCAGCAGACGCCGGCTGTGGCCCAAAGAACAAGTCAGAGCCGAGAGTTGATAAACAAACCAAATATTATATTCTCGAAAATGGCAGATCGAAAACAACACACAAGAATGCACACTCCACAATAGTTACATACAATACGTCACCAATCAAACAACGTTCTACAAAGTACGATCAACCACTCTCGAAACAACGGACACAGACAACAATACGCACTACAATGCAGTCGCATGCATTGAACAACCAAGACTCTTAAAGACTAAAGGGAAAGAAAACCTATTCAGTCCAAAGTTCTTGGAACCAAAGTCTAGATGATACTCTTCCGAGAATCACTCACTCAAAGTCCAGCGTTGTTGTCGTTCCGCAGCCCTCGAAGTTTCTCTTTCAGGAAACCTCGCCGTCTTCAATTGGCCACTCTCCAAGCTTCAAACTTCTTCGCCGGAAACACGTCGGCTTCCCACACGCAGCTGTTGCCACGCGTCTTCGCTCGATAGCGGTAAACACACGCTCTTGCCTGTAGCTCGAGCCTTCACCCCTCCGGTGGAAATCCTCTTCATTTCCTGCTTCGTCCCTACGGACAAAACCTTCGCCGACTACACGGCGGAATCCCTACGCACTCTGGCGCTACTTCCGTCTTCTCCTGATCTCTCATCTCGGCTGCTCGGTTAAATACCTTGCGCGCGACATTCCAGACGGTTCTCGTCATTTCGTCGGCGCGATACGCAGCGAAGGCTGGGAAGAGGGCGAGACGGTTGGAATGCCCTCCGCGGCCGATGACTCAACTCGGTATGACCACGCCCCTTTCGTTCTGGAACTTTCGCGGGCTATCTCGGCCGCCGATGTGGGGCGAGGAGGTTCGTCGGCGAAGCCACGCTTCCGAGGGGAGAGCGCGCGCCCCGGGGAGCCTTTAGATGTTTGTTTTCTTTTTCTTTTGACCTCGCGGCGCCACTCCGGCGTTTCGTCGCGACAATTTGGCGGCGCGCCCATTTTTAGCGCTCGTTCTGTGACACTGCCCCCCACTTTAAGAATATTATCTCATAATATTCAGAACCACACAAACGAGCGCGAACAGTCCCCACACACTCAAAGACTGTAACATAGTCCGTCGCTCATGACACGTCACATTCGCAATAGTTCACTCAATACAATTGGACGTTACAATTAAATCTCACACACATGAAATATAACCGCAGGTACATGAGTACAACGCTTCATCACACATTCCAAACAATACAAACGTACAAGGTTCTGTCTTTACAACATTATACAACACTATACATCACATCACAGCACAGACACTTCGACACTTGTGACACAGGATAACACAACATTAACACAACATATGGCACTCAGCACTGCCAAACACATTCTGATTCGACCTCAGCACTTATCCTGTGTATTTCGAGCTGCGCTTGCGCCCTTTCTTGCGGTGCTCGCTCGATCTCTTCTTGTTTTTCCTTGTTCTTTTTCGGCGAGCCTTTTCCAACGGCGGTATCTGAGGCAGCGTCTCAGCCATCGTTGTCACTTCCGACCCTGCTAACGGGTCATGACGTTCGACGGGTCCTGTCTGTTTATTTACCAGCTGGTTCATGTCTCTGCATTTGGCCCGGCTGGCCATCTCCGTCTCCTTTGCACTGTCGGTCGGTTGAGGTCGTGCCGACGTAAGTCCAGTAGCCCGGCCCGTGAACTCGTTCAACACAATCATCTTATCATTCATAGTCCCTTGCACCGCGGCTTCACCTTGGGCTCGAGTGGGATCCGTCACGGGTTGCTCCTCCACTGTATCTCGCGGTCGTTGGGTTGGCGAGGGCTCTATCTTAAGGTCTTCTCCCACACATTCCGGATCATTCGGTCCTCGCGCCCCGTCGATGTTTCCGATGACAAGGTCGTAAAGGGGGGTCGTCATACATAGAGCCGTAACCTTCCCGCTGAAGTATGGGGTTTCAACCTCAATCTCTGCTTCGGGAAGCATCCGAACTGTACGGTCAATTAAGCAAACCGGTTTCGTTTTGCCGGTTAACTCGCTTTTCCCTACCAAGTTTCTCCGCACGATAACAGTGGAGCTGCCGGTATCTCTTAACACCGTAATCTTTTTGCCCGCAACTTTTCCCGGCAGCGTTGGCATTCCTTTCGTAACACCGGTTGGCTGTTTTGACATTACAGCACCCACAATAGGAATTTTCTCCCCATTCTTCAACTCTACGAATCCATCGGTGACGGCATTATTATCAGATTTCGGTGCCGCTTGCACACAAGATACCTGGTGAGTTTGACTCAATCCGTTCCGACAAGCATCTGCTTTGTGCCCAGCCTGACCACACTTGAAACATTTTACTGCCGTAGGGCTCGTAAAGATCGTTCGACAGTTTTTCGCGCGATGACCCACTCGGTTGCACAGAAAACATCGCGGAATGCTCTCTGGTGACACGCTTCTTTTCTTCGGGAGCCAATTTCTTCGAATCATCGGGACAATCCTTCTTGACCTTGGCCAAATTAGTGCCACCTTGTGCTTCCAAGAATCGATCAGCCAATTCAAGCATTCCTTCAAGTGACTCAGCCTTCCTCTCTTTCAAGTACAGCGACAGGCTTGGGTGGCAACTAGTAAGAAATTGTTCTCTAATTAGGAGCTCTCTAAGTTCATCGTACTCCTGCGCTGTCCCTGAAAGTTCAATCCATCTGTCGAAATAATGGCTAAGTCGGGCGGCGTACTGTGTAGCCGTCTCACCATCAGCTGGCTTTCCTGTCCGAAATCTGTCCCGGAATCCTTCTACAGTAAATCTAAATCGCTTCAGCAAAGCAATTTTCACCCTCGCATAGTTGGCTGCATCGGTCGGCGTCAGCCTACCGTACACACTGAGCGCTTCACCACTCAAGCAAGTACTCAAAGCAGTTGCCCTTTGGTGTTCCGGCCAATTCTGGCTCTTCGCAATCGTCTCAAATCGGTGAAGGTACGCGTCAAGGTCGTCCTTCCTTTCATCAAATGCCAGGAGCAGCTTGCTTGAGTTCAAGCGGAAGCCATGATCTTCCCGTTCGCTGCTTTCAACTCTAGGTTGGACGGGAGTTTCACTTCGCTGTTGCAAACGGAGTCGCTCGAGTTCTATCTCGTGCTGTCGCTGCCGTTCCCTTTCCTCTTTTTCTTCTTTCGCCCTCTCAGCTGCCAGTCTTTCTCTCTCCAACTCAGCTGCTTTTTCTTCCTTGGCCCTCTCAGCTGCCAACCTCTCTCGTTCCAACTCAGCTGCTTTTTCTTCCTTGGCCCTCTCAGCTGCCAACCTATCTCTCTCCAACTCAGCTGCTTTTTCTTCCTTGGCTCTCTCAGCTGCCAACCTCTCTTTCTCCACCGCCTCTTTCTCTTTCTGGCTTACCCACTTCCGTAGTTCGGCGCCAGAAAGACCCATCTTCTCACCAAGAGCGGCTAACTTTTCGAGATCCATTTTGTCTCGCAACTCGCAAATAAAACCTTGCCGCGTGCAAAAAGTATCTGCCTAAATCAGTCTATCGGAACACTCCCCTGCACTCGTTAACGAGAACACTGAACAACACACAAAATCGTTCCGATAGCACTGTCAACAACTCGAGACTCTTTCTCACTGCTTTGGACACACTGTGCACCAAAGGTCCTGTGTCGCGGACGCCAGATTAATTGTCACACCAGTCCCGTTAATTAGGGAGGCGATCGCCGGGCTAATTCCAAGAGCCGAAGTATCGGCCCCCCGAACCGCACCACGAAAGCGTGGACAATTTAGAATTGGTCCTTATTGGCGCGCCAGCAGACGCCGGCTGTGGCCCAAAGAACAAGTCAGAGCCGAGAGTTGATAAACAAACCAAATATTATATTCTCGAAAATGGCAGATCGAAAACAACACACAAGAATGCACACTCCACAATAGTTACATACAATACGTCACCAATCAAACAACGTTCTACAAAGTACGATCAACCACTCTCGAAACAACGGACACAGACAACAATACGCACTACAATGCAGTCGCATGCATTGAACAACCAAGACTCTTAAAGACTAAAGGGAAAGAAAACCTATTCAGTCCAAAGTTCTTGGAACCAAAGTCTAGAGGATACTCTTCCGAGAATCACTCACTCAAAGTCCAGCGTTGTTGTCGTTCCGCAGCCCTCGAAGTTTCTCTTCCAGGAAACCTCGCCGTCTTCAATTGGCCACTCTCCAAGCTTCAAACTTCTTCGCCGGAAACACGTCGGCTTCCCACACGCAGCTGTTGCCACGCGTCTTCGCTCGATAGCGGTAAACACACGCTCTTGCCTGTAGCTCGAGCCTTCACCCCTCCGGTGGAAATCCTCTTCATTTCCTGCTTCGTCCCTACGGACAAAACCTTCGCTGACTACACGGCGGAATCCCTACGCACTCTGGCGCTACTTCCGTCTTCTCCTGATCTCTCATCTCGGCTGCTCGGTTAAATACCTTGCGCGCGACATTCCAGACGGTTCTCGTCATTTCGTCGGCGCGATACGCAGCGAAGGCTGGGAAGAGGGCGAGACGGTTGGAATGCCCTCCGCGGCCGATGACTCAACTCGGTATGACCACGCCCCTTTCGTTCTGGAACTTTCGCGGGCTATCTCGGCCGCCGATGTGGGGCGAGGAGGTTCGTCGGCGAAGCCACGCTTCCGAGGGGAGAGCGCGCGCCCCGGGGAGCCTTTAGATGTTTGTTTTCTTTTTCTTTTGACCTCGCGGCGCCACTCCGGCGTTTCGTCGCGACAATTTGGCGGCGCGCCCATTTTTAGCGCTCGTTCTGCGACACCCGGGAAGTTGTCTATAGGACCCCCCTTTCATGCGGTGCTCGTTATGTCCGAACGACCGGAAGTTGTCTGAACGATCGACTGAGAGAACACACTAACAATGTTAGAAACGGGAAAGATGGTTTCCTTGCTCAGCACTGCACTGAGTGCCACTGTGTGCCCCTTTTTAAGGACACAGTGACGCTTACGAGCACAGGGATGAGCGCACCCGAGTCATCGTCGAGGCCGCGCAGGTGTCATGCATTAAAGCCCTCCGTGTCTCTGGCCGAAAAGGAACTAAGGTTCCTCGAAGGTTTCGGTGCGCGCAAGTACTTATATTACTTTTACTTTTCTGTTTCGTTCCCTCATAGACTTTTTTTTGGCTTTTTTGTGCTTTTGTTGTTTTTCCCTTACTCATGTATTGATCTTTGTGCCACATGGTTTTTGTCACATGGTTTACTGTCTCCTCTATATATTTTCGCGCTCTGCGCGATAAACTCAGTTGGAAGTTAGCAGTGCGGCAGCTTGGGCTAGTTGGTATTACATGACGATAGTTATAGCGCGAAAGCAGAACGACGACACAGAGACAAAATGGTGTCCTTCGTGTCATGCTTGTCTGTGTGTCGTCGTTCTGTTCTCGCGCTATAACTATTGTCTTGGAAGTTAGAGCTCGTGTCCTTCTTGTCTTCGTGCTGTTCTCGCGCTATAACTACCGTTATTGACCACAGTGACTCACTAAGGTTGCCCGAAACGTGGTGTGTTGTGCGTGTAACTCATATTGCGCCACGCGAAGGTAAAAATGAAAAAAAAAAACGCAGCATATCCACAGAGTGAATGATAATGAGTTGGGCGAAGCGTTGGTCTGTCCATCTGTGTCTCAGTCTGTGGATATGCTGTGCTGGCTACGCCGGAAGAACAGGAGCGTCGCCTCTATAATAGGTAGAAAAAGCGCGAAAAGATAAAGGGAAGAAGTAAACGGCATGGGCGAGTAGGAGGGGTTTCGAAGACTACCTGAGGGAGCTAACGCAATTTTTTTTTTTAACTGTGGTGTGTGCGGGCCTCCTTAGCAGACCAGGCGCAGACAAGGGGAGCGATGCTGTCGGCGAAAAGTGAGACTTAAATGACACACGTCACGTCAGTGCCGGGGAAAAGCGTTTGATCCTTCCGCAGAAACAGGAAACGGTTGTTCTTTCGGCGAGGAAAGCACTTGTCGAGTTAGAAGGGGATGACCTTCAAACGGACGTTAATTGATAACCGAACTAAGCACTGCCGAAGTGGTCGCACTGAAGTGAAGAAGGGCTTACTATGACGATAGTTATAGCGCGAGAACAAAACGACGACACAGAGACAAGAAGGACACGAAAGACACGAGCGCTCGTGTCTTTCGTGTCCTTCTTGTCTCTGTGTCGTCGTTTTGTTCTCGCGCTATAACTATCGTCGTGCCATACCAACTAGCCCAAGCAACACTTCTAAGGCTTACTATAGTCACGACACCATTTGCCTGATATTTACCCTCGTTCCTACAAACTGAGGGGCACGAAAATACGGCACACAAGGAAAATGAGGACACAGACGACGCTCTACTAGCAGCAGAAAAATATTTTGTTCGGGAAAGACATTTAAACCACCGTGCAATCATACCAAACCCAACGAGACGACAAAAAAAAAAAAAAAAAACCTAAGAACCTTGCGCTCAGCTATCTCTCCTTCCTGCGAACCGATGCAATCCAGCCCCTCTCTCTGGATAGCGAAGGCTTCCCACTTCACCCATCCCTTTTGACTCTCTTCCTACCGCCAGTGCTCCAGAGTAGGAAAATTTGATATGTGGGTTAGAAGTGTGGCAGTTTGGGCTAGCTGGTATGACGACGTTAGTTACAGCGCGAGAACAGAACGACAACGTGTCCTCGTCTCTTTGTCGTCGTTCTGTTCTCGCGCTATAACTATCGTCATGATATGTTGGGTTTAACGTCCCAAAACCACCATATGATTATGAGAGACGCCGTAGTGGAGGGCTCCGGGAATTTCGACCACCTACGGGTTCTTTAACGTGCACCCAAAATCTGAGCACACAGGCCTACAACATTTCCGCTTCCATCGGAAATGCAGCCGGGATTCGATCCCGCGACCTGCAGGTAAGCGGCCGAGTGTCTTAGCCACTTGACCACCACGGCGGGGCCCAGAGTGGGAAAAAGGAGAGGGGATCGATTGGCGGAACATTGGAGAGACCTTTGCCTTGCAGTGGGTGCAGTAAGACTGATGATATGACTATAAATGTGATTTAGCTGTTCCTCGTACCGCAATGTGCGCAGAGTGCACGGCCGGCGACTTTCGGTGCGACAACGGCATCTGCGTGCCTTCCCTGTGGCGCTGCGACGGACACGACGATTGCCGAGACGGCAGCGACGAGCGTCACTGCGGCACTTACGTCAAAGGTGTACTTATCTTATCTGCTTGCTTATCTTGCGTTGTACTTATCTGCTTACTACTTTTGTTGCTGCTTTTAGTTTTTTGTATAACCTTGTAACCCACTCCCCTCTGAAATGCCTGTAGGCCTTGAGGGTACAAATAAATAAATAAATAAAAAAAGGTGCTCCCATTTCCAGTAGTGTTGCCAATTCTAACGGAGAATGTTAACGCACTTACCTCAAAAGTGCCTCGATTTCCAGCGGCGCTGTCAACTGTAACGGACAACTTTAGCACATTGTTACCATGTTGCCGCGGGCACTCCGCCGGCGCGATCGCTTTCCTCAGGGTCTGTCTGAATCGTACCTCCCTTACCGAAACGCTCATAGCGCTGCCTGATTTGAAACGGCAACCTTCGAGCGCACGATAAAGCCGATGGCACTTTTGATCGCTGCAGCGATAAAAAGTGCCACGTAAACGTATCCTTACTGACAAGCACGAAATTCTATTCGCAAGTCAGACGCTCAGATATTTAGTTTATTCGGTGTCACGCCTGATTTATAACATGTCGTATTGATAAGTTCAATATCACCCGACTATCGAAGGCTGAAGCAATTCATAACTGTATTTCGAAACGGGTTTTGCCAATGGCTTATCCGTTAGCTTAGCGCGTGACGGTGTCACACAATGCGTTTTGTCACATTAATCACACACGTATGCCAGTTTGTAAAATAAAACGGGTTTATTCAGCCACACGATTTAACAGTTGTAGATTTCGCAGTTGCCGTTCCTAATCGTTTCGAAAATGCGTTTTTCGTGTTCCAGTGAACGGCCGACCGAGTACGAAACACTGAAGCTGGGCAACCAAAGAAGACATCGTGCATCAAGGCCGGACAAGGACAGTCCCAAGACTGGCTCCACGGCGACCGTTCATTGAACTCAGTTTTATTTCCATTCACGTGGGCCGGGGCGCGGAAACGTACGGAACTAAAAGAGCCACCGTTAAACTAAGAACCACTCTTCGGACAGACGTCGAATGAGGTAATCGTGCGGGTCATCACACCATTGTAACGCGTCCAAAACGCGCAAAGAAAACGAAGCCTGGTTCAGGTAGTGAAGCGAGGAAGTCGACAACGGAGGTCAACAATGTGCAGGAGACAGTCGCAACGGCGCTGCTCACAAGCTATCGGCGTTTGGGGTAACGCCACAGTCTCTTATTGGCGTCCGCTTGGAGTCCTTTCGATGAGGTTATCCGAATAGCACTTGGGGCACTTGTCCGTGTCCATCAAGTGTATGACCTTGGGATGTTCACCGCAACTCCTTTGCACTCTACCCTTAAAGCTGCAGCAGCAGGTTCCACAAAATACGACGGTCATGGGCCGATTGCACAGGCAACTCTGCTCCGATGCCTGCGAGCAAGGAACGTCAACGCTCAGTACGAAAAAAATAATAATAAATGTGACAGACCTGAACGATCGCAAAGAAACTTTAGTCGGTTACAGCCGAAGAATAAATGCAAGCTCCGCCTACAGCGGTCACCGTCCCATCCAGGCAGAATCCGCATATGCGCCCCACTGAATGGCAGTCGCTTTTTGCATGACGTTAGCTAGATTACACAGATTTGGGGCATATCACTTGCCCGTACAGTGACCATGTTCATTTCGCTAGTTTTAGGTTGAAAATTTTTATTTCTTGGCAAATTTCATTAAAAATTCCCTCTTCACTGCTTTGGAAAACGTAACTTTTTAGCAAGAAACGACGAACTTCTAATTTATAATATGCGCAGTATTTGCATTACCAGCGAAAATGTACTTATGGTTAGAACGGAAATCATTTTTCCGTTGCCCAGATGATAGAAAGGCGTGCTGCAGACTGCAGTACTGGGGGCGGAGCATGTATTTATTCGTAGGTTGCAACCGACTATAATATGAAACAAGACTCGGTTAATATTGATAAATTGTACTCTGAGAACTCTCAACGGCGTTAATGTTACCAACGTAGGTTTAGTAGTGGAAGAGGAAATCGAGGTCATAGTTAAATTTTCGCGCCAAGACATTCAGACATGGCGTCGGTGATTTCAAGTCTACGTCCTCCTTAGAGGGTAATGCACTTAATTTTTGCTGATTGGATCCACCCGCATTGTCTTTTCGCGGCGAGCGAGGCGTACTTGAAATGGCGAAATTGTAATTCACCGATGTGACGAAATCATTTGTCCATTTAGTGTCTCTAAGAGCTGTAGACGTCAAGAGTCGCACCCGATCGTGCTGGCTCGTAGACGCGTGCCAAAACGGTGTTCGAAACGTCCCTCATTTGACGGCCTAACATTCAGCGATCTCTCGGTGGCTCTTTCGAGTTTCGCTTCTCAGGCCCGTTCCCACGGGATATGTAAAGTACTACATTATGCACGCACATTGTCATACCGCGTACGCATCTATCATCTGTGCTGGGTGCCCCGTAAAGGGCGGGGGAATCGGGGAGCCAAAATAAATGTATTTAAATGTGATAAACGGCGATGGGCAACGATTTGAGCAGTACCGTACTTCATCCTGCTACGGCTCGTTCACAACTTCACATTAACAGCAATCATTCACACGAGCCTCCAGCCTATGTTTCCATCCCGACACGCGCATACATTTTGAAATACCTCGTCTACACATTAATACAACAATGAGAGGCTTGCGCATTGCTCAAACGTCAACCTTACCGAGCCACCTCGACCGAGATCGTTCCAAGTAAACGTGACCTGTACAACTCCCAGCGAATGTACGCATACGTCAGTAGCCCTTGTTTCTCGACGCGACGTCGGCAGCATCCCGAAAAGAAATCGCGAAGCAGTGACAGTTCAACGAAGACATGCAACCGTGTCGACCGGCCCAACAAAAGAAATCGCAGCGAAGCAGTCACAACTACGGTCACTACATGACAAGCGACGCTTACGTCAGGCTGGCCAAGAGACGCGACGTAAACACAAGACGACGCCAGGCACACGTGCGAAAGGTTGCACTTACCCGCGTGCTCCGGGCAGCTTCGAGAATTGCGTCAGCGAGCGCGACTCGTCGAGACATCACCAAGCCAGCAAAACGACCCCGTACAGGCAAACACCGTGCAAGGAGGCGTGCTCACGAGCGCTAAAATAAAGATAAAACGCACGCGGGCGCGACACAACACACAAAGACCGAGACAGGAAGTAACCGACGCGCCACCTGCGTACCAGCGATTCGAAAACTACCGATAGCAGCACGAGATATGCGACCCTTTCGATTGCGTAACAGTGCGACAATTCAAACGAACTCGTGCGACGGGGTTTGTTTTCATAAAATGATAAACGATGTGCTCCTCAATAGTAATTGACCGCTTACGAAACTGCCCGCGCACGAAACCGAACCTTAGACGCGAATCCGAAACTTACGACCCACGCCCCTAAACGCATCGACAGCGAAAGTGCTGTCAATCATTGTCATCATTTCCGATATACTGGCGATGAAATAGTGCCGAGCATTGGGTTCAAAATAAAGTACTTTTTTTATTTATGCAGGGTGATTTACTTACAAACTGGCAGTGAACACATGAAACACTTGTAGACGTCTAACAGCATAACAAACACACACTAAGTATGAAGGTAATTGCCGCGTACAGTAACCATCTTCGTCTTTCAGTGAAAGAGTTGTTTAGCATGCAGATTATCTACGCCTCTAACTGCACTACACTTCGTTAACTGGGGGGCCGAATTATCAAATATCTTTTTATCGAAGGTACCAAAATGACCTTCATGGCAATTTAAATTGAGATATCTGCAGGATTTTTTTTACAAATAGAAATAACAAACTTTAGTAGAAAAATCAGCTTTCTTTTTCTTTCTATTCAGTGCATATGGCATCCAACAGCAGCCTCATAAAGCAAAACTCAATAAACACAAACAAAATTTGATGCAATTAAGAGAAGCACATTTCAGTGGCAATCACTTGCAAACGAATTTATTTGCAACGTTGAAGGGTATGAATTATGACAATCCAAGATTAAAGCAAGGTAGACTTACTATTTTTAGCTGCAATACAAGAATCGGCCAACAGTTGACAAGGTCCCTTCAATGGTTCACGACAGTTTAGCAGCATCTCGATTCTAAAAACAGCCCCATGATATAGTGGTGTACGAGGTACTTCTGCCTAAAGCATATTACTTTTATCGGCTTCTCCTGCTTAGACTACTAAAATATATTTTTGTTGAAAATTTCTTTGTAAGTCTACTATACTTTTAAGCTCAAAATTTCAATCTATACTTTCCTTCATAAATAACTAGAGTTAGATGGAAAGAATTTGTCACAACGAAGTCATTTTCATTTCAAGTACGGCAGATTTCACCCATGTCAGTTATGCCTAATGCGCCGCTTCCATATTTCATGTAATTTAATATGGGTGGCCCTAGTAAAGCTTGCTATTCAGTCTATGGAATGTTTATTGAGAACACTAATCAAGGAGCAGCAACTCATTTACTAGCTCCCAACTTCATGTGATGTCTAGTTACAGGTGTATAATGAGTATGAAAAGTGTAGAAGCCATGGCAAAATACCTTTCTGCTACGCATATATCGGCAATAATTCATTTCCAACAGCTATACAATTATCTCGTCACACTCAATCCATCCTGCAATTCTATTGAGATCACTAGTTATGTCACATAACCACAAGCAACACCCATCCGTACTCTCGCAGCGAGCACTTCCTCCGAAAATTCTCTTAATGTACAAAAAACGCAGATGCAATTAAGCTCTTAACCTCACAAAATGACAGAATTGTTACCACTCACAACAACATCATTGGAATTTCAATAGTCTTAAAAACCTGCCGTGCAATTCCAACATCAACAATTTCCACAGTCTTCTAGAAACAACAGCCTATGCGATTCGCCTGATTCCTTGAGCAACAGTTTCTCGAAACCTCATCACTGTTCGAGAAGTACGAGGGCGACAGACATAACGCTTGTTGAGAGTTGCCCATACTTCAACATCTGTGGCTCTAAATAAATAAGTGCTCACTTCAAAACGCTTTCTACAAAGACAGGTGAACCAGGAGTTATTTACATGAAAGCACACTGATTCTGCAACACTTTCAGAGCCAACCACAAAACAGGCTTACTAGGCAGTAACATCTGTTGCAATGCACATGAACTTCGTGCAGTGGAAAGTTCCTCAAACCTTTTTCACTGTCTGCCATACAAGATACAGCAATGTGAATGGGCAAAACCCCCCAAAAAATAAGAATAGATATGATCACCCGTCAGAGCACGAAAACAAAATGATACAGGTAAAATATTCACACAAGTACTTTCAAAGATTCTCCCAGACAGGCAACTAATGGATTCGGGGAGGTCGCCATTCGAAATAATTGTACTGAAATGAACGCTAACAGAATGAATTTTAGCGAAGGAATTAAAATGTGATCATTTGTTCTCTTATACTTCATGTTAAAAAAACTTCTGTATCAATCACAAAATTAAAAAAAAAGTGGAGCCCATTCACACAACTATTGGTTATGCAGAACAATACTTATCAGAGTACAGCAATAATATGCAAACTATCATTAAAAAAGCTACTCACAAATGCTCCCCTTCTAAGCACTTTACTGAGCTGAATGAAAATTAAACCATTTTTAGTGCTTGCACTATGGACTGAACAACAATTAGAGCAAAAATGCGCAACGACACCACAACAAAACGTACACAGCCATGTCTCAAGTATGGCTGCAACAACTGCTAGCATCTACTTATATCTGTGCATGCTTCCCATCTTAAATTTTGAAAGTATGCTCCAATTCTGACTTCATTTGTTGTATCGAGGTTTGACTCCATTTTGTACATATCTAAATGCTATTCAACACTTCAGTTATGCATCAATGTAATCTAGAAGCATAGAAACCATACAAAAAATCGAGTTCCCCTTTGTGTCTCCATCCATGCCTTCTTTTGGGGGGAGGGGGAATCATGTGACATATGATGGGATGGATGGTTTGTATAAGCAGAGAAGGAAGAAGTCAGAATAGAATAAACATGGCGTATGAGCCAGGCCATGTCTCCCATTCATCATAGCGTCACATAAATAACCTTATTCAGCCGTTCTTCAACAATTTGCCTGAACGATTCGATCTAGCTACTACCCATCTAGCCTTTCCTAAGTAAAAAAGCAAAAGGCCTAACGCCATCATAGGTAGCAGGTTGAATTTGGCACCAAAACTACAATGATATACTACAAACACATTTCAATAATGTGCAAATCCTGCCAATCACCGAACATGGCACAGGTGTTCTAAATGCTCCGCAAAACATGTACTTTCACATGCATAGACAAAGTCGCTGTCAACTAGGTCATGCAGAGCTTCACAGCATTTTTATCGCGCAGAACAGCGGCCAGGTTGCGTACTCAACTGTCATCCACAACCTCTACTGATCCAGAGATAAACCTGTCAAATAAAAAAATTATCTATTTTTTGTACCATACTGAAGCATTCTCTACTTTTTTTGCTTAGGAGTGTGAAACATGAAACGGCAACATTGAAAGGTGACCAAGTAGACAGGTCTGGCACACACATGAAAAAAAAAAAAAGTCCTGCTTGAATGATTCCCTGTGACCGAGTAAAATGCTATCAAGATGAACAAATGAGTAATGAGCGTAGTTCACATGAAGACAAACATTTTCTGTTTTTCTTCACGTCACCTAATACTATTTGCACGATGACTCATCATGCCAAAAAGCAATGTCTCATCATTAAGCAAAATTTTGACGATCGTAGCACATAAGTCTAACAATCTTCCCAGTTCATCAATATTTTCTTGGGGGAGGGGGCATCTAAGTGGTTTGCACTGAAGCTGACCTACAATGTGAGCAACCCCTAAATTCGAGGACAACTGGTCTAAAACCGCATATATACAAGAGGAACCACTGTGCGTTGGTCATTAACCCAGTTTCCATCTGATTTGTACAGTGACACACCCCAACTTTTTGATTCGTGACACCCGACAACTCCCGTGACCCAAGTACCGCGTCGCAGCAGTCTCCCGCACACGTCAAAAGGAATGATACAAGATTGATACAGCTATACAGGAACAAAATGTACATGATGGCACAGTCAATCACCGTACAAGGATCTTGATGGCCGCGCAGCAGAATATTTACAAAACATTAACTTGTGGAAAAACATCTCAAGGAAGCGAAACAATGGACACAATGCCAGCGTACCTTCTTTGGTTCTTGGAAGACTGAGAAGTCTCCTCTGAAGTTGAAAGCATCATGGAAGAATAACGCACAACTAATGCAAAAGGCATGCTAAACTAGCAGCATTTAGTTAACGTCATCAAGAGCGACCACCGTGTATGGGCCCTATTCCAAAGCTCAGAATTGTGAATGATTGCATCAAAAATTGCACAGAAAAACAGGTAGGAACAGCAAGAAGTCCACTATTCAGAAGAAAATACATACACACCATGCTGTCGATTATTTAAAGGGCCACTCACCAGGCTCCTTAACGAATTTTATTTAGACAGTGGAAGTTGTTGGGTGTCCGATGAGGAACGTTTTGCCACAAAAATGTTTCGGATCGATTCATTACGAGCGGAGAAAACAGGTTTTTTGAAGCGGTGCAAAACGAGGGTGAGAGGCGAGCTCGAAACCCTTGCCGCTCCTCCGCGTAGCCTTCGCAAGCCAAATCTCTTGCCCACCCTCTCTGGCATCCGACCAAGAGGTGACGTGCGCATGACGTGCCCGAACAAGCCTAGCCCCCGTGCACGCGAGCTTCGTTGCTTTGTTGACCAGCATTATTTTGTGGTCTTCTGCCTGTTTCTCCGGGATTGTTTGGAAATGCTGTCTTAGACGCGGTGGAGTAGATGAGCACAATGAGTGAGTGAATGCGTAGGAGCGTTCCACGGTGGTCGTCTGCTCAATGCGCTCACCGCGGGGACCCGAACGCATGCGAAACGATGGCACATTAGACCCGCATCTCGTAGCATTTTACGGCAAAAAGTGTAAGAAAAACGCGCACAATTTTTTATTGCGTCTAAGTATTTATTGCAAGTTTTATTCATCTCTTAAAGCAACATATACATAAACTACGCATGTTGTGTTAAGTAAATTTTGCCATGTCACGTGGTATACTGTTGACAACGTCAGAGCAGAGTAGTCTACGTAGAGGACCAACGTCACCGCATTGCCTTATACGTAGGGCCATTCTTACGCCCATGTCATGCCCTCATTCTCTACGCGTGCACCGGCAGAGGTGAGGAGAAGCAGCTTTGATCTTGAAATTTGACCCATTTTCGCGGCGCGTAGCGTTGCAAATTTTGGCAGACGTGATCATGAAGGCCTTGTCACACATTGCGCTTGTCAGCTCAAAATTCTCAAACCTGGTGAGTGGCCCTTTAAAGGTGTTGGCTACCTGTAAACAAAAAGGAAGCTAATTGCAATGCCCAGACAGATCTGATAAAATGTAGCACTGTTCTACCCCGAAAAAGTAAAAAAATGGTATAGCTGTTCCGCCATCTTATAACTATTAAAAAGAAGGCTAAGAAGTAAGCCATAGGAAAAAATTGATGTGACCATGCCATAAATAATTAAACACAAATTTTTAAAAATGCTAACAGCATGAGTTTGTTATCGTCACTTCAGTGCAAAGTCGGCTTTTAAAAGCTAAACTACATTGTGCCATATTTTGTGCGTATGAATGTGTGATGCTAAATGTTTCACACATCTTTCTCACATGATCAGAAATGAGAACATTGGTTTTGCAATGAATGCAAAGCCCCATCACACAAGGAGTACAATAAATATGCAAAGTGAAGATTGAAGCTTTGACACGAGCAAGAAACTGACAAAACTCGGGAGGTAGACACGGCAAAAGAAAGCTTGTAGACACTGTCAAGCTCTGCCTTTGAAAACAGTCAACAGCATCAACATCTACAGCCATCAAAAGCTGATTGCCCCAAGATGGTACGAAAATGAACAGACTAATGAAAGAATCTTTTCAAAAATTATTTTGAATATACAAAAACAGATGTGCCTTGAGAACTTACAATTTGCAGTCTACTCAGTTCCCAGGAGCACAGAAGATTTTTTTAAATGAGGAATTGGAAGTTTTGAATGCAATTCAGCTAGAAACAAAATTATAAGTTCTCACAAAAGAGTAATCCAAGCCACGGACATGCTACCATGTTGGTCACATACAGCACACCGTACGTGGGCACATTCCCACTATTCCCAACTTGGTCTAAAATGCTCTGAGGTGTTCAGCTGTGCTTCTTGTGAGAAACAGGAACGTTTCACTTATGTTATTAAAAACCTTGTTTGAACTAAGCCACCTCAATATTCAACTGAAAGAAAGTGGGCCAACCAAAACCTTGAATTATGTTTCAAGTAAAATCACAGATTTTAAATTTCTGTGTTGGAATTACTATGAACCATCTATATAGAAGCACGAAAATAGGGTTCAAAAAGCAAGTAACAGAAGATGAAGGCTGAGGAGTATCACCTTTGCACTTCTGAAGAAATTACCTTGCCTTTTCCTCATTTCCTGCTCGCAGCACAATGCTAGAAAGAAATGAATGAATTTCAGAATCTCCAAACTTTGTTCTTTGGTGAGAGCAGGTATAATGCTAAAAACTGATAGCAGTAATAAATTTTGTAATTGGTATAATCATGAGATCTAGACCAGGCAAATTCATTTGGTGAGGTTAAAAAGGCTGGCACCTTCATTAGCTTCCTTGCAATAAAAGTAAAACTGCATACAATATCACTACTTTAGGCGATGCGTGCCCGCATCATCACTGAGATATTACTGCGAAACAGCCCGCAAGATTACGAACGAAAGCCGAATTGTAAAGGGGCGATTTAACGGCACTTCTCAGTTGACGAATGCAAATGCCAAGCATAGTTCGCAACCACCATGCAGTCTAGCACACACAAACAAACACAAAAGAAATAAAGCAAAAGATTAACAACAAGGACAACAAGAATGCACCTAGCAATGTCAATGACGCAAGTACATGTGGTAAGTGGCATGACATGGCTGTGCTCAATGATGTTTCAAAACAATGCAGAACGCCTTTTAAAAGAGAGTCCAATAAAAGTGGCTGTACATGGGCAGAAATTTATGGCAATAAATTGTAAGGATAACAAGGTTCAGGTCAGTATTCTGGCTTCTGCTGATATAAACTCAAGGAATATTTCATCTCCTGTGAGCACAGCATATTGTATAACAGATTTTCTTTTGCAACTGCTTTCTCGCTCCCTGAAATTAATTCTTTTAGTATAGCAACACTGCTGAAAGTTGCTGTTCAATAAAGTACAGCCTTCAACGTCAACACGGGTACACGAGAACAGCGGCTGCGCAGTCAAAAACAGCACAGGGTTCTACACTAAACTCACTCGCATGTTTAAAGGTAACCAGATGGCCTTAAGCAGTTACTACACTCAAGCCTAGGACCTATTCATCTTCTGTTCTTTTTCAGGTGAGGAGTTGAAACCTGAATATTCTATCCTACTGACCCCTATCTACACATTCATTTCATACTGCTAACCAATGTGCATATGGTAATATTGTAGGAATGGTCATGCTCTACCACCTAACAACCCACCAGAAAAAAGATGACGTCTTGCCTCTAAGCACTGAGCACACCTTCATGCTCACACGCACACTTTTGCGCAGGCACAATGTGCTCCACACCACTCATATCATTGTCTCAGAGCTGTCCACGTAGGGCTGGTGGCGCCCCCTTGTGGAGTGCCTTGTAGAGGGCAGCCCTGTAGTGGCGCTGTGCTGGTGGGTCGTCCGCAGAGGCCCACTGAGGTTGGGGTTGGCCTTGCCATACAGCGAGTGGAGGCTGGTGCGGGATCCCAGGTAGACTGGGTTGCACTGACCGCCAAAATGGGCGTAGCTGTCGTTGCTCGACGTGTCCAGGGACCGGTCGAGCAGGCGCGTCACAGGATTCTGGTACTGCGTCTGGCCCGACGACCGTTTGGAGCGAGTCGAACGCCGCTTCACTCGTCGAGGAGTCATGTGTGCGCGGCCCAACCCGACACCCGCAGAGGGGCCGCCACCGTCTGCAGCAGGTGGGTCAGTACGGAACTCGATGCTATAAGGCAGGCTGTTCAGTGGTTTTCTTTTGCTGCTTTTTCTTCTGGGTGCAACTGTGGTCAGTAAAAGAAAACAAAAAGAAAGAACATGAAAAAGGCTGAAAAATATACGTAAACTCCCGATGGAAATGATTGGTGATTATTGTCTAAGTTATGCACGAGCATCCACACGCAGCACATGTGGCAGCCATGGATTGAAACGCAAGTACTATAATAATAGCGATGAGCAATTTCTTGTGACGACCTCGACAAGTCACAGCAAATCTGGCCGCTCAGATGGAAGAGCTTAAATCAAAATTACACCGATATGACATTGGAAGTGAAAGTATCTGCCCTACTTAGCCCTAGATATTTACCATTTCATTACATGAGTACTCTACATCGCTCAACTTTCATTACTTGTGATTGACTTTATTATAATTATACATGCATTTGGCTTCAGTGCTATTACATCAGAATCATTGCACATCTCTGGTGACTTTCGAAACCTCCGTTAATGAGAGCCGCACGATTGGCAAGAGACCCCTGGATGCAGACATGTATTTCCCTGTCACAGTTAAATACACTATCAAGGTGCAAGCTGTACCTATCTGTGTCGAGATAGCATAATGATGGCAGTGCTTCTCTGCTTTATTGTGACACGTATTTCACACTCCTACATGACTGTTAGGTGCGGCACAGGATAGACCTATCCTGCTACAGCTTTGGGCTCCCATTTGTTGTAGTGGATATATTTTAATAATTTGTCAGTCATTACGTCAGAGACATAGATGCAGGGCAGTCTAACAATTGATCCTGCATTTAAGGCTGTGCTAATTTTGTCACAAAAGTTTTCGAACATTATTAGGTGCAAGTACCTGCAGTACAGTCCAGAAGTGCTCCTTATTTTGGCTAGATGACATCATGGTGAATTGATAGCTGACCAGAAAATGACAAGGGGTGGAGGAGGCAGCACATAAGGTATGCATTTCATGTATTCTTTTCCACAGTGTTTTAGCTCCTTTAGCTTTTTGCCTTACAAATAATGAATATATAGCTGCAGAACCAGTAACTAATCTACTACAACATGCCGTAATTTTAAGTGTCAGGTACCAATATGAGTAACCTATTTTATGAGTATTTAGATATACAGTTGAACCGCACTACAATGAACGCTGCTTTAATGAAATTTTCGCTTCAACGAAAAATTCACGGTTCCCTGTCAGCAGTCCATAGGAGTCAATGCATAAATATTGTTGCCACAACAAAAACTTTTTCTTATACTGTCCTTCTTCCACGAAATTTCACGATGCAACTCCAGGCTTGGATATTTATTGCTATACAGAAAACCCAATAATTAACACTGATGCATCTTGAGAACCTAAAAATATGTCGACGAAGTCTAAAACATGCGTTGGTACCACCAGAAACCGCCGCTGTTCAGCAAGCATGAGCGCCACTATTTCTCCAAGCGATGGCAATGGGACTGCCCTGCTTCATGGAGGAAGGCCCTGCTTTTGCCACTGGCTTGCTTTCGAGCGGCAGACAATCCGAAGCTGAAGCTCAGTCGCTCAGTTCATGGTTTTCTTCACGCAGCTGTTGCATGCAACCACGTAGCGACGCCTTTTTCGATTCCAACGGTTATCATTTTATTCGCGCTTGGCCAGTGTGGTACCTATTCAAAGCGGCTGTTCGTCCGTATTATCAACCAAATCAGGTAGCCGCGATTGATAGATGATAAGAATAATATAGAATAAGGCAGAAGTCATTGCTCCACGATTCCCTGTCTCCATCTCGGCGTTGTCGGATACACATGACGGCGGACGGCTGCTAGTGTTAACGTGTTAATGCAACGGTTTGGTACGTTTACGAGAGCGGTTGTAGGTGTTGTTTCAGCGTGGTTTTCACCATGACCTTGCGATGCATGGCTATGAATCGCGTTGTGACGCTGCAGGGAAAGAATAGGAAACAGCGGACACTTTTCTAATTTTAAAAATAAATGTTCCTTTACTTTGCTAGCTCATATGAGCTTTATTTTTTTATTTTACAACGAAATTCTCGCTTCAACGAAATATTTTCGCCACACCATGAGTTTCGTTGCAGCGGGGTTCAACTGTACTCATATATATAATATGAGTATTTTAGAGTAACCTATCAGCCAAGATCTCTTACAAGTCTCCTTCAGAGGCCTTTTCAAGTTAGGGCTTAACATCACACAGCGGCACGAAAAGTGAATTGAAGATTAGTTATGTGCAGCAGGGTGGGTTGTTAGTGGGCAAAACAAAGCACACCAGGAAAGACACCTATCCCAAGCACAAGAAACAAGAGAAGAGAGAAGCAGAGAATACATACATTGTGTTCTGCATGCGACACGGCTTTGGCGGTGTTATGTAGGCAGAGTAAGAGTCAAAGCCCCCAATGAAATCAACTGAAAAGTAGAGAGAGGTGTGTGATATTTTAACAGACTCAAATTCATTGAGGCCATATACGACTTACAAAGCCAGTACCCAAGCCACAAAAGCAATTTCGACACCATAAAGTACCTACATCCTGAAGTTCCCATAATTATGTGAGCCTTGTAGCTTAGCAGATTAATAACTGGAATGCTATATGCAGCTTTCCGACTAGTAGACTCTACTTTGACCTTTCAATGTGGCTTCACTGTACCATAGACTCAATTTAAGCCACAACTCATTTTAACGAGACACAGCAGTGAAGACTAGGATTGGGAGTTTTCTGACTATGTAGCTGATTTTATAAAAGTTGTTGCATATTAAGTTACAGGAGTACCAAAACAAAAATTTTGTATCATGTTTCTTGCATTGCGATAAGCACCTAATGACCCGGTTATTACTGACAGAAACCTCAATTTAGAAGTTTTGTTTACTCCAGTTTGCAATGGTTAAATGAACTTGAAATCACTGTTATAGTACCCCAGTATCAGTTTCAGTTTTGCAGGTAAATGACAAAAGCAGATCCAGAGACGCTAGTAAGAGCAGCTGGCCACCCCATCACATAAATCGGTGACATACGTACCATTACAGTCGTGCATGCCATGCGTCTCCTTCATTGTCCAAAAATTATGAAGACTGGATCATAACCAAAAGCTCTTGATGTAAGTGGCTGCAGTTTGTTTTAGAAACAATGAAGTCGATGTTGTGCGGCGCCACGTTTCGCGCAGTAGCACAGCTTACTTTAAATTTATTTTAAATAAGCTCTATGCTTGATTTGACAAAAACATTTTGTAGATGATGAGTGTCTCTGTACGAATCATCCTCACAAGTTATTTTGCCTGCAAATTTTCTTGTCAGTACCCCCTTAACAGTGCAGATCACATGAATGTAAATGAAGGTACGCCAACAGGTGAACGTATGGAACTTGAGGAGCGAGGAATAATATAATAATATTAATAATAATAATAATAATTGCTGGAACCTTAAGGTGCCAGAACCAGCATATGGTCATGTGGCACGCCGTAGTGGAGGACTCTGGATTAAATTTCGACCACCTAGGGCTCTTTGATGCTCACCTAAACCCAAGTGCACGGGCATTCTTAGCATTTCGTCCTGACTAATTTCGCCACACGAGTTATACTTAGTGATGAGATTGTATACACATTGCTTTTATTAACTTTTTCCGAGAATGCTGTCTGAAGTGATGCTTTGCATGAGGCTTAGGACGGTTGATCCACAAGGTGCCTGTAGCCCTAAGAGCACTGAACGGCAGTTACAAATACTGAAATGATTAACAGGCGTGAAGTTAAGTATCTGTGATATACCTTCTTTTTTAGCGTTATCAGAATAACCCGCTCACATATAAGCTTGTAAGACAGGGAACACAGGCATCAATGCATTTTCATTAATTCTGGAATTGGCAACCTGCAAATGGAAACCAGGCTACCATTAAATTGATCTTTACAGCAGTGTTAGGCATTCAACAAAATTTGTTGTGCTCCCGTGGCATGAGTAAAAGGCTTTAGAAGATAAGAGACACAGCACAAATAAAAAAAAAGTTTGAGTGTTAGTACTCGCCTGGCAGCAGAATTTCACCACTTCAGCATGACAACAAACACGAGGTCAAGAAACAATTGTTGAACAATCCAAAGCCTCGAAAAGCTGTCTTGTCTGTGAATTTCATTCGACACACATGCTCCAAAGATACCCATTCCTCAGCAGCCTTCGGTCTCTTCAATCCATCTTCTTGCAAACCGCAGTAAACACACCGCAGTAAACCAAAGTAAACACAGCAGGTACATACATACTGCATTTACTCGCGTAATCCTCACACCTCCAACATTGCCCAACAAAAATATCTTTCTTTTATCGAGTAATTATCGCACCCCCAAAAATTTCAGCCATAATGTCGCCTGCTCCTTCCAACCATTGATGATGATGATGAAAGCACACAGCCGCTACTGCTCCTAGTATCAACGCACGAAGCTCCAATTCGACCCAACCCAAGGCAAAGTGGCAAGTGCGCATTGCGGCACACCTGTGGTTACGCTGTGGGTGATTCGGAAGCTACACGGCTGCTTTCAAGTTGAAAGTGATTGATCATGCACTGAACAACGGCAACAGGGCCACCAGTAGGCACTTTAGAGTTAAAGAGGTTTGTGTTTCTACTGGGTTTTTGCTACTGCTACGATTCCGTATTAGATGACCATCAGTCTGAGGTTGATCTCTTATGTTAATCTTCTGCGGGCTCTTGTTGAATAACGAGCACTCATGCTATGTCCGCAAGCCTTGCGTACGCTATTCCAAAACTCTCTACTATTTGCTTGCAGCTTTTGGCTCTCAAATAAATGTTGCCGTGTGCTGAATTTGTGGTTTTATTGTTAAGGTAAGTCTTGATGAGTACCTCTTGAAGCTTGTAGTTAGTTGCCAGTACGAGAATTCCGATTTGTGGCCGCTTCGTTGTTTTTTCTCGCTCACTGTTGTTTTCACGGAAAATTTTCCTCGTGTAATTCTCACAGCCGTCATATTTTCATCAGTTTTCCATAGAAAAAAGTGCAAGGATATTGTGAGTAAATACGGTGTTGTTCAATTTGATAAGTTAGGGCACTTTTTGCAGATTCTTCTCACAGTTGATACTTCTGACCTTGTATATGTGCCTTTAAGTTTACTCAGCTGTTGAAGACACTTGCAAGTCATTTACATCTCTCATTTCTCAACATGGAAAACTGGCATACAAAGCTCACATTCATGTTTAAAGAAATCTCTACTAAAAATGTGAGGTTAATCAAATCTTAGTCAGAAAATCGAACCAACATTACAGTCAGACTTTAATGTTGCTAATGAGGTGTCATGGTGTCATCAAGGGGCACTCACTGAAACAAAGAGGCCACACTGTTTGGGAAACAATTATTTTAACTAATGGAACTAATCAGCTTAGGTCAGCATCTGAATATTCATATTTCAGTGTAGGTTTCAATTTTGTACTGAAAAACAGCACTCCATGAGACTATCCATAACAAGGCAGGAAAAAAGGCAGAAGCAGAAAAAATATCTAGTCTACTGATGTTAACTAAAGCCTATCCATAAATAATGTACCTAGATGGCACTATCTTTCAATGACGATGCAGTAAAGGAACAAACATTTTAAAACCTGTTTAATAACAGGAGGCTGAACTATTTAATGAGACAACAGTTCTTAAAAACCTCATTGATAACAGGAGGCTGAACCGGTCATAAATGAGACAACTCTAAGAAAAAAAACAATTTTTCCTTTACTTTAGTCACTACTCGTTTGATCAGTTGCATTCGCAATCAGATCAACAATCCTGAAATACACAATAACGCCACAATGCCAAGGTGCATGTTTGATTGGCAAAGCGTGAAAGAGGATCTTAATCAAAATATACGCCCATGGACAACTTTTCTTGGCAACGAAGAGAATACCAGAGGGCCAAATCATGCATTTCCTGCCACTAATAAATGCAGTCACACAACTACATCCCTGTTTTCTACGCGATATTAAAAAAAAAATATTATACGACATCTGCTACACGTAAGCTCTTTGAGACAGGATGCAATTAAGAGCAGAGGCACACTACTTGTGTTTCTTTTACTTTATACACTGTCCCGTTGCGTTTCTGCACACGTGAGAAATTCCCACCTTTTACGTCAAACGCTAAGCAGCGTCTGCACTGGTATGCAACACTGATCGTGAGCAGCTATCAGTCGCTTTCCTTAGCAGTACGAACTGCAAACCAAACCAGACTACTTGGTGTAGAGTACAAGTGCAGAAGCTCTGCCCCCCCCCCCCCCCCCCCCCCCCAGCTTTCCTTTCCTTGCCAAGAAAAGTTGTACGCGAGTACGAGTTTTGTTTTTCTGACTCGGACTTCAATAATATTGCCAGTACATCAATTAAAGCACTATAACTCTCAGTAGTGTGAATTCAATGCAGACCAAATATCATCCCTAGCAAACACGTTTCAAAACTCACATGAATCATCTTCCTGAGTGTAAAGGTAGATCAGGTAGCAACCTCCAACAAAGCCCACAAACTGCAACGAAAACGTGAGCGAAAATCAAGTTTACAAACAACAATTCTGCGTCTGTGCCCGCACGCACAATACATTCTAAGCAGCTCTACTAACTCACGAGCACCACACACATATCACACACATACACATATCACATTCTACACATATCATTCGAAGCTATTACTGCATAAATAGCAATGACCACTATTCTTGCACTAGAACCACTGGCCTCTGTAATGTCTACTGCGGCCGAAGGCAAATATATAAATAAGTATCTTATGTCCACTGCACGATGAACACCCCTACCCTAAGATCTCCAATTTATTTTGTCCTCTGAAAGCTGCCTCCATTTTATGCACATGAACTTATTTTCATCACTCCAGCTAACTTTCTGCTTCCCTTCCCTTGGTGTCGTTCCCTATCCCTTGGTGTCTATTCCACTGCTCTAACTAAGCATCAGCCATCTGGTCTTGTGCAACATACGGCCTACCCAGGTCCATTTTTTGCACTGAATGTCAACTAGATTATAAGTCAAACTTGTCTGTTGCCTGACCTACTTGCAAATGCTTCAAGTGAGATAATCAGTGATGCACGCTCTAGTGAAACATTCTTTGACAAGCTTAAGCACACCCTACTTTTCTTAAGCAGGCTACAATTTAATGTAGTTTATGCATAAACTCATAAAAAATATGAGCTGTCCCTTGTAAAAACTAGGAAGGTGTCCTCTCACCTAAGTTATTAGCACAGAGAAGGAAGAAAAAGTTGAGTAAACTTTTAAATTTAACCAGAAATCACTGGTTCGGGGATTATCATGGCAATATTAATTATAAAAATCAATGTTAATCATAGAAATAAATGTGAACAAATGACATTTTAGTCCCCCCATAAAACATCTGTTCTTGCCTTAGAGCTGCCTCAGAGGACGTGTTCGCCATCAGACTGCGACCCACAGAGCCGGAAATCAAACATACAATTGCAATTTTGGCTGCAGAAAGAAATAACCACATAGCCTGTAACATGCAATAAACTATATCCACATTCTACTTCAACGTCTCTCTCTAGAAAACAGAAACATATCTTGAAGGTTATGCTTTTGTGAGGTACATGCACTAGAAGCAATTATGAAAAACAAAAACATAATAGCTATGCTTTAGATATAAGAGGCGAGCAAAGCTTTCTACTCGTACTATTTTAACAAGAGATCATCATTCTGCTTCAGCGTGAGTTAACATGTTGGCTGTTCAGTCCCAAACACTGACTTCTCATACAATGACACAGTGATGGACCCTTAGCCTAAGCAGGTGTTTGATTTCCACACTTGCTTTTGCAACTCTCCACTTGCGAGATATCTCACAGTTTATTTTAGCAGTAAGCAGCTTCTCCAGAATGTCCTAAAGTATCCTACTAATGCTTTTAAAGAGAAATATGGTGCCGCAGTCATCATCGGCACTGCGTAGATTTGTCCAATCCTGCTGCTTCAAATGTCTTTCTGACAAAACTCGTCACAGCTGGCTTTTCTAAATTTCCAAGCAAAGCGCACAATGACAAAAGTCTGTATACACCAATATTGGCTGAAAACTTCCATTTTTAGCACAATATTTCATAGAGAGCGATGAATCAGCCAGAAAAGCTTTGGAGAGCATGCAAAGAGGCAAAGCTGCTGGTGAGGATCAGGTAACATCAGATCTGCTGAAAGATAGAGGACAGATTGTGTTAGAAAAGCTAGCCACCCTGTTTACGAGGTGTCTCCTGATGGGAAGAGTACCAGAGTCTTGGAAAAATGCTAACATCATATTAATACATAAGAAGGAGATGACAAGGAATTGAAGAATTGCAGGCCGATTAGCTTGCTCTCTGTAGTATACAAGCTATTTACAAAGGTAATTGCTAACAGAGTAAAGAAAACATTAGAATTCAATCAACCAAAGGAACAAGCAGGATTTCGAACAGGCTACTCAACAATCGACCACGTTCATACTATCAATCAGGTAATAGAGAAATGCTCAGAATATAACCAACCACTATACATAGCCTTCATAGATTACGAGAAGGCGTTTGATTCAGTAGAAATATCAGCCGTCATGCAGACACTGTGGAATCAGGGCGTCGATGAAGTATATATAAACATCCTGGAAGAAATCTACAGGGGATCAACTGCTACCATAGAGCTTCATAAAGAAAGCAACAGAATACCAATCAAAAAGGGTGTAAGGCAGGGGGACACAATCTCCCCAATACTATTTACCGCGTGCTTACAGGAGGTTTTTAGAAGCCTAGAATGAGAACAGTTAGAGATAAGAGTTGATGGAGAGTACCTTAGTAACCTGCGCATCGCCGATGACATTGCATTGCCGAGTAACTCAGAAGACAAATTGCAACTCATGATTACGGAGTTAGACAAGGAGAGCAGAAAGGTGTGTCTTAAAATGAATCTGCAGAAAACGAAAGTAATGTACAACAACCTCGGAAAAGAGCAGCGCTTCGAGATAGGTAATAGCGCACTTCAAGTTGTAAAAGACCATGTCTACTTAGGGCAGGTAATAACCGTGGAGCCGAACCACGAGAGTGAAGTAACTAGAAGAATAAGAATGGGGTGGAGCACCTTTGGCAAGCACTCTCAAATTATGACAGGTAGATTGCCACTATCCCTCAAGAGGAAGGTATATAACAGCTGTATCTTGCCGGTACTTAACTACGGAGCAGAAACCTGGAGACTTACAAAGAGGGTTCAGCTTAAATTGAGGACGACGCAGTGAGCAATGGAAAAAAAAATGGTAGGTGTAACCTTAAGAGACAAGAAGAGAGCAGAGTGGATTAGGGAACAAACGGGGGTTAAGGATATCATAGATAAAATCAAGAAGAAGAAATGGACATGGGCCGGGCATGTAGCGCGTTGACAGGATAACCGCTGGTCGCTAAGGGTAACTAACTGGATTCCCAGAGAAAGCAAGCGGGTTAGGGGGAGACAGAAGGTTAGGTGGGCAGATGAGATTAAGAAGTTTGCGGGTATAAATTGGCAGCAGCAAGCACAGGAACGGGTTAACTGGCGGAACATGGGAGAGGCCTTTGTCCTTCAGTGGACATAGTCAGGGGGATGAAGATGATGAATCAGCCGAGTGACAAGGCTGCTTCAAGTGAAAAGGTTGAAATTGTGACAGGTCCTTGAATTACTCATTATTCTATTGCTTGCGAAGCTGCCACATCTGTCGCTACTTCAAATAGCAGGACATTTACTTACATCAATATTCAAAGTATGTTCTATGTAGCCTCCAATGTGGTATTACCCACTCTTATGAACTGTAGGTGAGGCGCATGTTTACCGCTAATAAATATTAATTGCTGGGGTTTAACATCCCAAAACAGCATGCTTACCGCTAACAGGCACTGCACGCCAGCTTGAATGCATTCCACATAGTAGTAAGGAAGCACACATCCCGCCACCGACACCGGCTTAGTGACAGCCAAGATGTCGTCGGAAGAGCTATAGTTGAAGATGGCCACGCAGCCAAAGCCGTTGGCCTCCCACCAGCTTCGACTTCCAGTGCCCATGTCCAGAATGCTGGAATCCTGGAGAGAAAAGATCAATCGGGGCACATTTTTCTTTTGCACTCAGACATACAAAAAGGGGGACAAGGATGAAGAACGAGTGCATGGACTGAGTGCCAAAGATAATCCCTGTACATTCGAAATGTAACGCAACCTTTCTGAATGAAACTGGCTCACTGCAGTGTTTGTACAGTGCCTCAAGTGTACTGCAGTTTGAGGGCAGCCTCCGCAGCGGTACTACGGCGACATGAGAGCTAAAAAACGCATGTGCAAAAAGTCAAGGGAGTTACACAATATCACTTAATATATTTGATGAGAACAGCACAGGGAAGTACACGACAGGGCGGGTGCCTCTGTATTGTCCTTGTCAAATGCAGTGCTACAATAACTTAAGTAAGAGTGCATCGCCAACTAGCCCCATAGGGTGCTTTATTATGCATTAGTGTTTGTTCAGTTTCAGTTCACAAGAGCAAGTTTCTTTTCTTTAAGGTATGGCTGTATGAAAGTATGGTGCATAGTGCATGCATCCTATAAGTCAATGCATGCACTCTTGTTGTTCCGTCTCTTCTTTTCCACACTGGGCAGTTGTGTGACAACTAGATCAAAATTGTCCTTCACTAATTTTGAAGTTTATCCTGGATAACAATTAAACAGCATGCAAATGAAGTACGAAAGGCTGGAGGGCTTAACGCTATCGTTCAGTAAAGACTAAATTACATAAGCTTTTGCACTAATGCAGAGCATGAGCATCTGTAAAATGCACAAAGCAACAAACAAGTCATTCTGAGAAAGGTGTTTTTGGATGCACTTGCTACATATATATACATAAAAAAACAACAGATGGCTATCATTAAGAGTGCTCAAGTTCCTTGTCTGACATGAATTTATCATTGTACCTACGGTATTTGCACGTATAAATTATATACAGGGCAATTTTCGATCTCGGGTTATGATTAATTGTTTCGTGGTAAAGATGTTTGTGTGAATTTCAATGTGGTGGCAGTCAGTTTACTAGTTGCATCTTCTGATGAGGAAGCCCGACGGAAAAGCAAGCGCAAAAATCCATGACCTGGTAACCCTCAAAAACGGCTAGACAATGTTTTTTTTTTGTTTTTTTTCAACAATATTAAGCACGTAAAACGAATGTGATGAACGCGCCACCGAGTCACGCATGCAATAACGCTAAGGCACGTTGCCGGGCTAGTTGGTTGGGGTTCATCATTTATAAGTGCATAGCGCACCACAACAAGGACACAAAAAGAGAAACGCACACACACACACACAGCGCTGTATGTGTGTGCGTCTCTCTTTTTGTTTCCTTTTCGTGGTGCACTATACCCTTATAAATGATGAATGCAATAACGCATAAGAACATTGTGTCCTTTTCGTGGTGCACTATACCCTTATAAATGATGAATGCAATAACGCATAAGAACATTGTGTCCGTGCACTGGTTTATGCTCACGAGCGCTCAATCATGGCAAATTGCTCTCACCCTGTTCAGGGCACCGATTTCCATGTAAATGCAGATGACAAAGAGATTCCATCCGATCCACAAGAGAGTCCAGATGATGTACTGCAATGAAAATTTCATACCCCTCGTTGAGCGCACACTCCCACCGGCTTCGAGCCTTATGGGCCAAATGACTTCAATCAATACACTCACGGCAACGACATATCTTGGCCGGTAGTGGTACGTTCCGAAGAAGCCGAAGATGACGAAAATGATCTGGAAGAAGTTGGCCAGGATGGGCGCCCACATGTATCCCAGGAAGTCGAAGACTTGGCGTTGGAATGTTGCGATCTGCAGAATAAATAGACTTCGCGCTCAGAATACGCAGCACGAGGCGCGAACAACACGAAATAAAGAAGCGGGCAATCGGCAACGAGAAAAACAAGTGGTTGCTAGTGCTCTTATAGACGTTACATGAAAAGGGACCTAGTGGCATTCATCGCGATTACAAGCACGGTGATTACAAGAGCGGCGATGGTCGCCCAACTTACCAGCTGAATGATGCAAATCGCCAAGACCAAGATCCTCGCGCCGCAGCAAGACATGCTTTGCAGACTGTGGTCGCACGGTGCCTAACTATCCATACTCACAAGAACGTGGACACACAACGAACAACAATCGTTGTCTGATGCGGTCGCAACCGCAGCACGGCTGCAGGTGACACTAACATGGCATCCACCGCATCACGAATTCACGTCACATACTATATTCGTTCCAGCATCGTAGAGCTCCGAGTGACAAAGAGGAGTCCCACTTGAGAGGCATCATTACTTCGTAAGCCCTGACTTCCAGTTTTGTTTACAGCATTGCCCTGTAGAAGCGGCACAAATGCACGACACAAAACAAAACACCGTGTACACAACGGGGCAACTTCAGACCAATGAGCATGCGCGGAAGGAATGTAAAGCGACGGCGTCGCCCTCTGTAGCAAAATATTGTTATAAAAAAAGTGAGATAAAAAAACATTTGTGCACAATGTGAATTATGACGTCAATCCTCACGCAGAACAATAGCCTCTGAGATCTGTACATACTCAAGAAACTTTTGAGCATATTTCTATGCTTTTGAAATTTAAAGTTTGCAATGAGGCAATAGCTCAAGCATCACTGTTGTATAAAACAACCTAAAACTTTATTTCACAAAAAAAACCGGAACTTCCGTTGTTTGTTTTAGAGCATGAAAACACGCTCTTTCGACTCATACGTGTTTTGTGCTCCTACCTACTTCCTAGCGAACGCGTTGTGGGCGTTTCATCACAGAACACCCACCAGTTGTTTCATCGTTTTTACGTTTTGAATAGGAAAACGCCAACTTGTGTGCGAACTTGGACTCCTCGTGAGACCGTGAGTCTCAACGAACATTCTTCTCGCCACGTGCGACCCCTGATAAGCGCTAAATTAAACCAGAGGCATCATGTTGCTCCTGCTAGACGACGATCACAAGCAGCACATCCAGTTTATTACCACCGTCGACGAGCCGGTGGCCAAGGAGTTTTGCAAGATCGCCAACGAGTTCCTCGTTCGCGGTGTGAACACCAAGGTGTACCACTCTGCCGCGCAGAAGCTCCAAGTCGACCACGAAGTCGTTCAAGGTGCCGTCGAGGGCCTTTCCCACCTTCTCAGCCAGGCCGCAAAGCTAAAGCTCACCGAACAACACTTTCGGGAATCGCTGCTGCTGCTCAGCTTTTCCGAGTCCGTGTGCGAGGAACTGGTCAGGTATCACTCCGAAAACGAGAAAAACGTGCGCAGGTTGCTGTCCGAGAAGTCCATTCCTCGCTGGAGCTTCTCGCACCTCCAGTGGAGGCTCGAGGCAGAGATCGCCACTCGCTGCCTTAAATCTCACGTTACGCCCCTCGTCACCTTCAAGTTTCACCTCAAGCAAGGCGATGGCGGCGAAACCAGGGAAGTGGTGCTGCAGACGGACCCGCTGAACTTGTTGCACATCACCGAATCGCTGGAGGAAGCTCTGCAGAGTGCGAAGTCGCTTCACGTGCGGAGAATAGCGAAGCACGTCAAGTGATGAGAACACGCGATCGACGCGCGTGACCTGTTGTTCTTAATCTTATGTGTGTTGTACCGTGGCGTTCCTCACGCAGTAGAACGGTGTAATGAAAGTAATTGCTGCGACGCACTGGTGCCAGTAGGAAGATTACTCGCCGCTTTGCACCAGAAGTGCGTCATAAAGGCATTCCTTGACATTAGTATTAGAGTTTTGTTTCGGCATAAACCACACTGAAACCGTCGTCGTAGCCTTTATTACCGACCCAAACGTCGTTGGATCGAATCCCGGCCGTGGCGGCCGTGTTTCGATGGAGGCAAAATACATGAGGCTCGTGTATTCTTAGATTAAAGCGCTCGTGAAATTCCGGAGATCACCTCTAAGGCGTCATCGCCATAGTCTTGGGACGTGGAGCCCCAGCCATTACTATTACTGAACCACACTCGGTGCGTGTTATTCAAAATGAAAGCAAGCATTGGAATCCAACAGACAAGACCAAGGAAAGCACAGGGGACGCTAATTTGTCTTTTACCAGTGTAGCAATTGCAATGAACTGAAATGAACGAAAATATTGACACTAAGCTGTGCAAGGCTTGAGACGAAAAAACTAGACTATTCAGATTGATTTGTGGGGTTTAACATCCCCAAACTACCATATGATTATGAGAGACACCGTAGTGGAGGGCTCCGGAAATTTAGACCACCTGGGGTTCTTTAACGTGCACCCTGAACTATTCCGAAATCTAATCTAGTTGCTTCTAGGTGACGCAGGTTTTATGCTGCTGTTAGGTTGTTGGTAGGCTTTATCTAGGTATGCTAGGTTATTTCCATTTTGACTATCAACGCAGTGGGGTTAGAGTTAAACCACAGACAGTCAAAGACGCAACCAAGTCGCCCGAATTCCAGAGACAAACTCGTGCTGAGAGCAAGTGCTCGCTCCTCCCATAGATCTATGGGAATGTCATTGTTCGCATAGGCTTCCCAACGTTAAGGCCTTCTTGGTGCTGCCATTGTGGTTCCTGTTCCCTATCATTCTTTCATACATACTCAGGAGAGGGGGGTTTTTGGCTAGATTTTATCACTTCGCAGGTAATTTGTTGGTCTGCCTGTTGCCTTCTGTAAGCACAATATTCACAGTGTATGACCATCTTCTTTATCTGTATATAATCATTATGACGAAAAGCGTAGTCTTCGTTCGAAGCATTGACCAAGCGATTCAGCCTAATAAACACCGTCGCAACCCCAACGCTGCTGCTGCCTTGCAGAGCAGTGGAGGCTGCTTCGATTCCAAAGTCCTCTCCGACGTCATGTTCCCCTAGAGCTTCCGCCGCTTGCTTCCCCCGTCCTCTGTCATGGCTCAAGAAATACTGCCCAGAACATCCAGCATCCCTGTCCAACAAACCATTCCTGCTTGGATCGTCATCGTCTGGCAGCGCGACCCACCTATCTTCTCTGGTCTTCCACGCGACGACGTTGAGGTATGGCTGAAAGAATACAACATGACCAGTGTTTATAACCAATAGGATGAGCCTGAAAAACTTCGTCACGTCGCCTTCTATCTGTCCGATGTCGCGAAAACGTGGTTTTTTAACCTCAAGAGCAGCTTCCCGGATTCGCTCAACAAGTTCGTAGGATTTTTGGGAAACCAAACATCCGTTCCGAAGTGTCGAAACGAAAGCTCGACGAGCGTGGCCAACATCCCCGGGAGACATACACTTCGTACATTGAATATGTCCTTGCCCTTTGCCACCGCGTGAATTCTGCGCTGACAGAAGCTGATCGTGCTCGCCACATCCTCAAAGAAATAGGCCATGTTGCGTTTAACGCTCTGGCTGTGAAAAACCCCACCATTGTTGAGGACATAATCACCACATGTCAACATCTTGATGAACTCCAAGCTATTCAACAGCACCCAGACACCGGTGACAGCCGGCCTTTCTCGGATGTGGATTCGCACACTCTGATTCGCGAGGAACTTCAAACGCAAGGTTTGTCATGTGCACACGCCCCTCAGCCTCACTCTCCACTCCATCTGCTGGTCTGCGGGACATCATCAATGAGGAGCTCTCATTCATGGCTTGCGCTCTCCCATCCAACACTCCGACGCTACCGATGTCGACGCACGTGCATGCCACTGCCACGCCACCAGCCTTGGTTCAGCACACGCATCCGTTCCCGCGCAGTCCAACATAGCAGCATTTGCACCACACTCGCCTGTCCCAGTTCCAGCACTCTATGCCCCCTGGCACAAGAGGGTAGCAGCGTTGAGGTTGCGACGGTGTTTATTAGGCTGAATTGCCTGATCAACGCTTCGAACAAAGACAGCGTTTTTTGTGATGATGACTATATACAGGTGAAGGTCAGACGCTGTGAATATTGTGCTTACACCTTCACTTTCAGTGGACCAGTGGAGAGTTGTGGGAGGTGCCCAATTTCCATGGCACATGCCTGTTTATGACGCCGGTAGTTTTCTGGGTGGCCACAGAGTGTTGCATACCTGTTATGATGTCGGTTATATGTGAACGACTTGCAAGGAAATATTTCCTAAACAGCGTCACTGTTAAAACACTCTTTTCATCGATAGGTTATGAAGCTGTAACCTTCAAATCACGCACCCACAGGGAAGTCTTGCAGACATCGCTGCAAACGGGCACTGCTGCTAAAATAACCAAAGCGAGCATGCAAGACATGCCAAGCAGAACACAAGCTGAAGTTTCATTCAGTGGTTATAACATTTATTTGTACGAAAGGGCTACACATTCAGGTCACCTACATATCTTCTCTTTATCATATATATATATAAATCTATTATATTACATAGACTGAGCTCAGTGGATTGTCACACTGTGTATGCTTTCTTGTGACAGAAAAAAAAAGGAGGTGGGGGAGGGGAGAGGTGCCCTGCTTCCATTTTCATTGTAGCGTTGGGGGAAATGCTTGGCAACTAAAACAGTACTGTAGCCATATAAAAAAGACGTGCGACACACAATCCGTTAATGAACTACGTGCAACAATTCACTTGGCCACGCAGAAGCAGCATTTCGAGGAAGTGAAGCGAGTGAAGTTTGCTTAGACTTTGATGTGTGACAGCATAATACTATCACTACAAGCAATATCAGCAAACAAACGTTGCCACATTCTACAAGTTCTTCTAATTGTGTGTTCATGACAACTTAACAAGCAAAGGACTGCACTGCCATCAACTAAAGTTGACATTGGACTTCATGACGCTCCCCGGCAATTCGCTAGTTACTATTTCATTAACAGAGCTAATTGTTTACTCAAAGGCACTAAAGTAGTTATACTTTCAAGCTACTCATTATTGCAATAATCAACAAGCAGCATAACCAAATTGTCCTTACTTAAGTTCAAGGCAGTACTGTCCTAAGCTTGGTGGAGTTGAAAAAGTAGAGGCAGATTCTTGTACAGAGGAGAGGATTCTTAAGTCCTTAAGCTCGCCAAGCTGTACAAGCCACGACAACAGTGCAGATTCTTAAATAAAATACGCACTTTCAGAAGGGCCGTGCAAAAAGCAGGGCTTAAATAAAAGCAGACAGCCTGAGAAACGGTTCACAGCATCTAGCGAAATAAATCTGGTAAGAAACACTCATGCTTGTGCCTACCCAAGACAGCTGAAGTTGCTTTTCAGCAATACTGTTATTCTGTCTTGACCGCTTTAGTCATGTGCCGAACACATGATTCAATACATGAGCAAAACACAAGAACACTGTTGTACAAGTGGACACAGATTAGTGCAGCCAAGAACGACGGAGTGATACTAAAAACCAAAGCTAGCACACACACGTATACAGTAACATACAATGCAACACACAAGTTGGTGTATGGCATAAAATGTTCACAGCTCTACACGCCAACTAGACCAGTACCCACGTCTTTATTGCTAAATTGCATCACAAATATTACAATAACTATCTAACAACGTAAGTCAACGTACCTAAGTCATTGGCAATATAGCTTCTTTTTAGCACACTAATATCGTGTCCCATAATAGGATGCCCGTTTGAGCTATAGCACATCAGGGCCACCTTTATTTTTCTCAACCGTGTTTCTCCTAGCACCTGGTAATTAAGAAACCCATTTCGACTGAGTGGAATGTAGGAACATGTTGAAGTTTTATTAAGTACCATGAAACTGATGCCACGCTCACAGCACAGGTGGCCACAAGAACCGCAAGTAGTACTTCTACGAAATAAGGAGGCATCTTTCACAGAATTCAGTGCAGCATATTGGAGTAGGATACAATCCAATCCAAAGTGCTACCAAATACAATGCTCAAGTGCAAGTAAATGACATTTAGAAGTGTAAAACAGTAGTTCTTAAAGAATCACTGAAGGTACAAACCAGTCCAGAGTGATGCAAGAGTCATGCAAGCATCGCTTAAACTTGCACTTTTGAGAACTATGCACTCAGTGTAGTGACTTCGTAGTGATGGAACAATAAAAACTTTTTTTTCCAAGTTCGTGGAATTCAACTTTTGGTTGCTTTGGAATATAATGTATTCACAGATAGGCAATAAAATAAGACAGAATAAGAACTATAATCTATTATTTTGCTCCGGCACACTTTTGCCCCTAAAACTATTGCTCGTGAAACAAGCGGCTTTTAGGCCTTGTTGAATTCACCAAAACTTGGCATACCTTTAAGGGAAAAACTCAAGGGACACTGCTCAGTTTGTTTGCTAAACACTATTACCCACAGAAAGCAGGCAATTTTTCTAGTGAATGCTAAAAATTTTTTGAGTAGCAGATACCACACTGGGTAATAGTCTGCAACAAACAGGTGTGAAAGAATAAAAAGGCTGGGCTTGCTTTCCGCTTGCCTCATAAAATCCAAATTACACGTTCAATCTTACATGTTGCCTATAAATACTGTAGAAAACGTTCACAGGTAGACGAGACTCCAGCGCCAATGTTTGGCTGCAAATGGATATGTACCTCTGTATATGCTCAAGCTAGCTCTGTAACAAGATGCAGAAGAGACCTACTATCTCCTGAACCACTCACTAGACTATTCAAGTACAGGAACATCTAATAGCGCCTCATACATATCGGTAAGCTCACAAGGATGAATGATGCTTAGGACATTCCCATAACTTTTTTTTTTTTGAATAAAGAATAGTGTGAATGATACATACGCCCCCCATAAATTTATGCCCTTGTGTTAAAACTTGTCGTTTGTACGGTTATCTTTATACGGAATGTTAAGATCACAATAATGGGTGGATACACGTTTGAAAGCCATCACTTTTATAAAAACAAAAAATGTGAGCACTCAACAGCTGATGATTTGCAGAGCTGATAAGTACAGGGCAAGAACGACCCAGTACACCGATCCTTGCAATGCACAGCTCCAAGTGAAGTAGCCAAGTTCCTCAAATATAAGCCACAAGTTCAGTCACTAAACCAAGTTATATGCACAACATACATAAAAGTTAAATTTAAACAATTGGAGCAACCGGATGCAAAGAAAAAGTGGGATGATTGCACATGGAAAGCCTGGAAAAAAATGGCCCTGAAAAAAAATATGTATCGATCCTGTAGTAACGATCCTAAAAATAGCTACCTGCTTTTGAAAGTGTGGAGACGCCAGTTGTAAATTTTTCGCATGGGTACAAGACAAGACTCATTTCTAGCTCCAGGGTGCAACCAGTGTTGCTGTCATCATGGGCCCACAGACCACAGAGTAGCTACATTTCCGCAACACACACAACATCCTGAGAGTCGCTGGCATCATCTAGGCAGTTGCACACACGTCCATCCGCTGAAATGGGCAGCACAGGCAAAAAAACGGGCACTCCCGCCGATAGTGCCGGCAACGTCACTCAGTCACGTTGACAGTGCCAGAGGTGTGCGCGTATACGAACAGCTGTGAGATGAGCACAATATCAGCGAGAACATGAAAACTTGCAGCTTGCACTCCACAGAGCTCCAGTAACATCTAACTTTTGGCAGCACTAGTGAACACAATGTTAAAGGCATTGTGCAGGAGTCCATGGCAGGTATTAAAGATAGCTCCAGTCACAAAATCTTCCGCCAGATTACTGTTAGGTTATTCGTAAAAAGTTTATGTGCCATGAGACCTTCACAAAAGCAAAACTTTGATCACCATGGTTCAATTGAGTTCTCCTATGAATACATCTCAATACATGATAATGCGCTAAAAGGGACACTAAAGTCAAATAAAAATTTGTCGTAGTGAAAGCTCAATGTATGATAACGTCTAAAACGACAATATTATCAACAGCAGTGCCCTACTTACCGAGAAATTAACGTAAATGCACAAGAACACGTGCTCTACAAGTAGGACATTTGTAAATGATCCCGATGACATCACAGTTACCACCTACAATTAATCACTAGTAACCGAACTAGCCACACTAAATAAAGAACCTTCCGTGCATTAAAGACTTAACAAAATGCTGCTTGTTTGTTTCTGTTTGACTTCATGAAAAGAACTGCAATACGTTACTATGGGGAATGGCGCAAGTGGTTCAAAAGTTCAATTTTCGCCTGGTTAAACTAGACGTATTGTGTCATCTAGCGGGGCCCAGTTGAACCAAGCACGTCTGCCATCTCGGAGGCCATGGCAGAAAATCGTTCAATGGCCGTTGTTGCTGCAGTGGCTCCCGCTACTTTCGCTCTGCTGCTACTAGTTTCGGTGGCCGTGCTGTAAAGCCAAACAACATGCACGACAACGGTAAAAGTTTCCACTTTGACAGTAATGTGAAAGTTTCCAGTGTGCTAACGTGATGCGGACCACTAAAACACGATTTTGTTTCAAAATAAGCACTTCCTTGACACAAAAATAGCACTACGAGGTTTCTGGACCGCTATTTCTGCAATCAACATCGTCTTTAGTGTCCCTTTAAATTAAATGTTTGCGGTAACAAACATTTTTCAGGCCTTGTGATCTTTGCCAACTGTATGCATATGACAGTGAATGAGTACCGCTGCTACCTTCGAAGCATCATACTCTAAGGTTGTTGGTAACCATTTATAAATACGGCAATTAGTGTTTTTATGACCTGTAAATAATAGGCAGTTAGGGAACAGATTAAAATGCAAGAGTTTTCTTCCCAGAAAGACTTCCAGTGCCTCACCCTGAAGCATAAAACACAGCTGAGGTGGTGACGGCTGCACTTTCACAATAGTGCTGTGTATAAGCAATGCATCGATAAACATTTGTCACTGCTGCAATGTAGAGTGCAAGTTCTACAATTTTGCGCATTTTCACAAGGTGCAATAAATAAATGCAAATCTACTACCTCAAAAGCCTTGCACAAGTCGGTGACGGCTGAATATTGAAGAACTATGTCGCGGGATACACAATTGAGGATCATTCCAGCAATGAGTTACACGTGGTTTTCAAGCCAGGCACACAAAATGTGGTACAAGTCGTTGCATAAATTCCATTACGGAAAGAAAGAAATCACATTGCACTCACAGAAACACGATTTTTCTTGGAATATCAAAGTAGTGTTACTGAGTAAAAAGTTTTTCAAAAAATTCCGTTAGAAGTCCCAAAACATGCACTTCTGTGAAAAACTCGTTCCAAAGCCATACAGAGGCCATGTAAAATGACGGTATGTATGTAAATTAAATTGGTCGTACAAAAGATAAGCCGCTCAGGCCACAAGGCAAGCCTGCTCCGCAATATTGTTTTAGTCCCAGTGCTTTATAAAAAAAGAGCACTTCAAAAAAATGCAGAATGAGTGGCACAGACCAGCAGGACAATACTGGTGCATCGTAGGCTGCTAATCTAGATAATACATTTTAATATGCCTCTCCTCACAGAGCCATCTTGATGTGGATTCTAGCTCTGTTCAATGAATCTGCAATCCAGGTTCTTTAAAAAGCCTTGCTGCTCTACTGCACCTAGCATGCTATCTGTGGACCTGACATCACAGTTTCGTATGAGGCCACAAGAAAGCAATAACAAGCTACATGAACCCAAACGTATCACAAATCACACGGCTTACCCAGGATACATAGAAGACCGCAATTCATAGTGGATAAAAAGAAACAGAGCCATTCACGACATGACAACAGACATGATGCAGAAATACTGAGAGAGTCCACAGAATAAATGAAATGCACCGAATTGGGGTAACAACTCAATAAGCCTAAAATTCATTTTCTCTAGTGTTCACCACTATACACGTTCACCATGCTGATGTTCCCGACCATGCAAGAATGACATAAGATATGACAGGACCAATGTCCTATCTGAACGATGCCATGTCAAAATACAATTAAAATGAGAGGATTTGCAGCAAGGCACCGTACCATATTACTTATTTCTGGAAGAAGATATAATTGAAAAGCACTGAGCTGACAATTTAAAAATAGATGCTGGCACCGCCAAAAAATCTGGGAAAGTAAAAAAATATCAAAAGAAGGCCACTGCAAGCACACTACTACGGTACTTTGCAGGACATTACGAATTATTATGAAAATGAATGAAAACAATTTACCATATATATATATATACAGGTGTTCCCATGGTGAATCAAACACATGAAGAGAGAATAAATGCTGTTGTGCTTGTTAATTCATTCAATTACGGCACATAACAACACATAAGGTGCAAACCCCGTTCAGAAAAGACAGAGGAATCTTCCATTGGTACAGCAACATCAACGCTGCCTGCAACGTTGGAGAAACGCTGCAGACCCTGTGATCAGCCCCACGTATTTGGCTCACTCGCTCATCAACCCACTACACATTCACTCGAAAAATGTCGTACGCCACACATCACATTACGCACACATCACAGAAAGAAGTGGCAAGACGACTTTCAATATGAGCAATTTAGATCCCTATTGATACCTGGTGACAGCCCAGCAGTTTAGTAACAGCTTCATCCAAAAACTGAACTGTCTATGCCCACTGTGTGCCAAGCCCATAAAAATGCAGTTCTCATGGGCGCTGACATCAAAATTTCACCTCTGCCCCACACAGACAATGAAAGCTATTGTGCGTACAGGCCACATCAAAAGTTTGAAAAGTCAGTGGGTCTTGCAGTGTTCGTATGTAGTCGGCAAATAGACCACATGGCACTGGCAAACCAGACCTCTTATGATGATCACTTGTACGTGATGGCTAGTCTTTTACAGCACAGAAGAAGATTACCAGTGTCACTGTACAAATATAACACTGGGCTGAGTCGTGCACCTGTGATGCGACTGTTATGAAGTGTGGAACACTGTCGTAAGCAGTTACTTCAGCAGGAGCTTACATCGTCCTTGAAAAACTTCCCCGTAATGTAGAGAGATAGATTAAATGTGGGTTGCGTAGTTCATGTATAATCAGTCACTGTATCTTATCTGTGACAATTACTTATTTTTATCGCTGAAATACTTGGTTTTCACCAACTATAAGCATCAAATCCATACCATACCAGTGGTCACAGTATCTCAAGCAAGATGGAAAATGTACACTTCTTCAATCACACAGAAAATACACGTAATAAGAATTAATTGCTCTACCTATTACACCTGCATCCAAGCAAAGCGAACTGAAACAACATTTATACTGAAGGATAAAGCTCCCTTCAACAAATACCGCTGTGAGATACATCATGAAGCTTATACATGTGCGTACAAAAGGCAGAAAAAACAACAGGAGAATGAGCAGATTGTGTATAGCATGTAGAAGACAAAGGCATTCAGCTATGTAAAAACAAAAAAGGAGATGCATTGATGTCGGCATAAATTTCCGCTTGGAAATAAGAAATTCAGACCACTGCACTTACATCGAAGGCCAGCTCGCTCAAAACCAGCATTACATCTAGCCGACAATGAGAACACGCTATACAAGGTATAGTTGGAACAAAGAAGTCATCTTATGACCTCCATAGTACTTTGCTGCAATTTCTAGCTCTCTGAACTGTACAGAATACTCAGCAGAAGTGAATAAAGGGCTTGAAATGAGGCAAAGTGAGGACTCGGTACTGCACTTTTATTAAAGGTTATGCAGCAAAGCTCCCGCACAAGCTGCAGTCACATCCTTAAGTCCTTCGATCCACGCTGAATTCGCAGCAAGCATCGAAATCTCACCGAAATCACATTACCAGAGCTAATACTATGCGACAGGCTCGCTAAAAGCGAAATGCGGTGACAACTGTGGTTGCCGGCATTGTGGTAGTGGTAGTCGTGTTATTGTTAAATGGCACGAAATTGGCAATGGTAGTATGGTACTATTATGTGCGCATAAAAGCATGTCTTAGCACATGAACCCATTTACACACACTTCAGTTTTCTTATAAAGAAAAGATAATTAACTGCATTTCAGCTGTAACCTTTGTGCTCAGCTGTACGGTGGGACTGCCACTTCTGCTCGAGAGCCTACTCGGTGACACTATCTGGCATTGTATTGCAGGCAGCATCGTTCTTTTTGGCCCCTAATGTCTTGACTAAAGGGAATGCTCATCATAATGTTAATTACCACCGCAATAAGAGCATGGCTGATGTCTCGACAGCCTCACACACTCATGCTAATGCCTTCCCAGTTTTCTTCACTTGCACTAAGTGAAGGCTAAGGTTAAAGTACCGTTCGAAATCAACGCTGACTGTACCGAACACCATGGTTTCCTCTAAAATTGTTACACCATAATAATAAAAATGCAAGAAAGAATCAACTGAAACTTTGCACAATAAAACACTACTGCAGCACTCGGCCACTGATGCGAGCATTTCGGAAAGCTTGGCGCAACTTCTATTCATAAATACTTGCTCTTAGCTGAAGTTTAATACTTAAAAATTTACATGCCCTGAAGCCGCCCGCTGGCAACCCCCCGTTCAAATGCTTATGCGCTTCCCGAGATTCTGAAGGGGGAAAGGATTCACTGGTGTTGCAGTGCTGAGTCGACAAGTTGACTGGAGGGTGGAAGGTGTGCTGGGGGCTCCCTTTGCCCTCAGACGGGAAGGTTGCGCACGCCTGGTTGGACTGCGAAGACTGGTCAGACCGCGCTGGGTCAGACGGTCAGGGTCAGCTTTTTGAGACGGTCTATCTCCACCTGAAGGGTCATGCGCAGTTTCTTCTCCTCGTCGATTTCGGCCATGAGGTCGCGCACCAGCTTGCTGTACTGGTTCCGATTGGACTCCACGGTTTCTTTGAGGGAATTGATCTGTGTAAAATGTTTATCGCCACTTTATTAGAAAACAGAAGAGGTGGGTTTAGAAAGACTTTAGGAGCCAAATAACAGGCCCATGTAAACTGTTGAAACAGTTCAAGCATTCAAGAAAGCATTCAAGAAACCTCTGGTGCTTGTTACGTGCAAATGATGTTTAGTCTGAGAAAAAACCCCATTTTAATGGTCCGCATACGAGCATCCATAAAGAGAACGAGCACCCAGGTGTATCTTGAGAAGCTCTGGCATGCCCAAATTCGGGCATTTGGTGCGTGGTTTATTTTGATGGACTGTTTCGCATGTCAGTGTCTCTGCACTTGAGAAAGGTCCTGTTGACTTGTTTTTAGGAAAACGTTTTGGACCATGCTGCCCGAGACCACAGACTTTGATGCCTTCATTTTGTTAGGTTCTTTCACTGAGGTGGTGAACATCAGTTCGAAGCAATTACAGTGAGAGGGCTAACTATGCATGGCAAAGAACCCCCTCCTCCACGAAAATGAGAGAGAGAAAAAGAAAAAAGGGAAAAAAATGCCAGTATGAGCACAGGACCCACTTACTTCTTCCCCGGCCTTCGCCACTCACGTAAGCTGCTACAGTGAATCAAATCCCCTTTTTAACAAAGTGAAATTAGCGCAAATAATTACTAACCCAAGACGAGGCATACAAGGACAACGATTCGCACTAATTTTACTTCCTTAAAATGCAGGACCAAAAAGCCCAGCAGTCTGCTTACTGAATCAAGTCTATGTTGCCCAATTTTCAGTTCATATAAGAATATCAGTGCCTTAGAAGACAATGTCCCTCACCTGCTGCTGGAGGCTATTGAGCTCCTCCTTGGGAACGCAGTTCTCGCGAAGAACCTTCAGCTCATTCTTGAGCTCCTGTACAGCATCGCCGTCGGCTGAGCACATGCCCTTCTGGCTCCGCAGGATTACAGGTGCTGCTGTCACCGCTGGGGACTCCTTTGTAATCGGGCTACGCGACAGCACAGCTGATTCTGCGCAGCAATGTCAAAATGAAGACAGGCATCAATGTTAACGGTGGCCAATGCATGGCTGCACACATGCATGTACAATGGTCTCATAGAATCGGCCAGCAGCAGTCCCACATGTATTCCATCAGTAGAATTTAATTAAAATTTTGTATTTGGCTACAGTACTGTGACACAAATTTCACAGTTGACGAGACCTATGATAATACCTATTGCCTTCAGGTTCCATTAAATGAGGTACTATCGCGCTCAGTATGATGCACACTATGGGAGCGCGTGGCCAAGCGCAGTGTAAGGTTGTACAGTGGTGCTAGCCATGATGTGTTTTAGAGTTATCAAGGGAGGGTAGCTGTTTCCGTGTGTGCGCATCGCCTCCACTTACTTTCACACTTGCCCTCGTTTTGCCTTGTCATGATATCAGCTTTGGAAATGATAACTGCCACAAACGCTTGCCGCCAGAACTTCCAATCTTTCTTCAGTAAAGCCACATAAACAACAAAAAGTACATTTAAGTAAACGAGGGTGAAAGCAAGCGTAGATGAAATGGGAATGATGCACGCTCACGGGAACTACCAAGCTCGGTCCCGATTACTCTAAAATATGTCACGGTAAGCGTCACTGTGCAATCTTGCAATGCACTAGGCCACGCATACGCATGGTGTATCTCACGCTTGGCCCACTAGTACTGCTGTATTCTTGCAACTCCCCATGGCACGCTTTCACCTACATTGCATACGTGTTGATACACTTGTGCTAAACCTTTCATGGCGTCGGTCGAAATGTAAGCGTCTGATGTGAATGCACACTGTGCCATGTCATGTTTGTTTACAGAGGTTTCATCAGTAAACAATGATGGGTTAAGGTTTACGATGAAATGGAGTTAATAATATTTGTTGTGGTTTTACATCTCAAAACCACGACATGATCATGAGGCACTTCATAGTGGAGGACTCCAGAAATTTGGATTATTATCCCAAAATGCGTGAGCCTCTAGCATTTCAGCTTCCATCGAACTTTACTTGCAGGTCACGTGGACCGAATCTCGACAGTGCGGCAGCTGCATTTTCGATAGAGGCAAACATTCTGTAGGCCCGTGTGCTCAAATTTGAGTGCCCATTAAAGAACCCCAGCTGTTTAAATTTTCGGAGCCCTTCACTACGGCGGCTCTCATAATCAGATGGTGGTTTTGGGACGTTGAACCTCACATATCAATCAATAAATCGAAGATATGGCTCCTTTAGGAAAAGTGCTCTTTTCGCACGATCTCTTCACGTTGAGGACGCAGCACGTGGATGAGTATACGAGCTGTGCACTGATAGCGCATAGGATATAGTGAGCATGCCAGCGATTGCGACAGTGCCCCTTAAAATCGAAGTTTACGATTGCTGCTTGACCCCCATCTTCCCTCTCAGTCCTTGTCTGTTTATGCTCGTTTCAAGATGGGTGGGTGCTTCCTCTTGGCTTAAGCATCTTATGACACGTCTAACATGTAGGGAGATGTTTTTGCTTGCGCCCACCCTCCAAGTGATATGTAGGCCGGCTCGTTTGATCACTGTGTAGTGAAGAGGAGAAAGAAGATACGCCCGGGCATCAGTTCCTCTGCGCGAGAACTCGTGTCGGACCGGCGCTATCCTGACTGCAAAGTTTTCACAGCTCCCTGAATGAATAGTCATACAATATTTGGTGGAAGCGGCTGCGAATCCCTGACCCAACCCTAGAACTTTGCAACCAAACCTTGCCACCAGCATCAACCGCCCCAATGGCTGACGTTTCTAACAGCTAGCCTGCTACTACCTGTGGCACCGTCCAGTGGTACCGTGACCGTCTTATTTTCAGTGGTACCGGTGAGGCCGACGTGGAGGCTTGGCTTTCAACTTATGCACGCGTCAGTGCCACCAACATTTGAGATGACGCAGCCAAACTGCGTGTCGTCCCCTCCTACCTGGTCCAATTTACATACTGCAATTCCAAGAGCCTTCGGCAACCCCTTTTTTAGAAAACTTCACGCTGAACAACGTTTACGCCAGCATGCCCAACAGCCTGATGAGACGTATACGAGCTACATCAAGGATGACATCAATATTTGCTCTCGTGACGACGCCTCCATGAACGAAGAGGAAAAGGTCAAACATATTCTCATAGGCATCGAAGACGAGGCATTCCACATGCTTCTTGCCCGTAACCCGGCCTCTGTCGTGGTTGTCGTCACCCTTTGCCAGAGCTTCAACGAGCTGCATCGACAGAGTGTTTGTGGACAGCGCTTTTGCATCTACCACGTCAATCTCGAGCCTCACGTTTTCTTCTGACTAGTCACCCTGCAACCACGCTGTCTTCTGAAATCGAAGACTTCACTCGGCAGGAAGTGGCGCACCAACTGTCTATGCTCCCTCTCACCGATGAGTCCGTACAGCCTGACGCATCTCTTGCTGCCCTCCTATCCGCGATCCACTCACAGAGTCTGTGAACACCTGTCGCTGCACCTTTGACCTACGCTGCCGACATTCGCCTTCCCGGCCTCCTGCGTGGGCACCAATGCCATTTCGAAGCTAGCATATTAGATACCTGGCGTACACGTGACAACCGGCCGATATGCTTTGCTTGTAATTTTGTCGGACATGTGGCCCACTTCTGGAATCATCACATGCCACCTTCTCATCAATCGTTGGCCACAATGCCTGGCTACGGACGCTACCCACATGAAGCTACTGACCATGCAATGCCGCCCAGCTACGCCTTCTCGCCACTTCTGCGAAGGCCTCAGACGACAACCGCTCCTCTTCCTCCCGCCGTCGCTCGCCTTCACCCTTGCGTAGTTGGCAGTCCCCTAGCGAGAGAAACTACAGTTAAACTCCTTTATAAGAGGCATGCTCTGGGCAGCAATTCTTGTCTCTTATATGAGGTGTTTCTTATAAGCAGGGTACCTCGTATGCATTTTCTTATCCACCCGTATTTTACTGTAGGCACACTGGCATCCCTTATACCTATTTGTCTCCTACATAAGCATCTCTTATAAAGGGGTTCAACTATAGCCGCTGCATTTCCGCAGACACGAACTGCTAGCTTTGTGACTTCTACAAGGCCTGCACAGTCGCCACGCAACTTACTCGACGTTATGGTGGAAGGAACTGCCGCAATTGAGCTTATTGACACTGTGACTGTGATATCAATCATAGATAAGAACTTTTGCAGTACACTGCATAAGGTCATGACGCTGTTCTCTGGCATGATATTGTGCACCGCAAGCACGCAATACATAGAGCAGGTTTCTGCACGTACCTGTCATATATCATCGACTGCGCCTAGACACAGTCGATGATATTTGCTTCAACACGTTATCTGCTTCAACAGCGCTTGTCTCCCCCGCTCGAGCGCTCTTCCCTGCGTATAAATGGGTGGGAGCACGTTATCACTTTGGACTTTACAAAGAACATGGCAGTGATGGCAAAAACCCCTCTAGAGTGTTTGTGTAATTGTTATCGCAATAATAATGCATTTTTTCACCACTAAGTAAGCAGATGATATCTGCCTTCAGTTCCCCCCCCTGTCTTTTATTTGTGCATTTCTCTTTAGAATATTCATGCTGAAACTCCATATCACAAAAACCTGTTTGTAACAAATTGTTTTGGGAATTTGACAAGTTTCGTTATATCCAGGTTTAACTGTACAAAGGCTCTCCTTCTTCCCCACCGCTTTCTCTGGTTTTCTTCCCAGCTTGATGACCTAATTCAATAGCTGTATGCTCCAAACCCCCTCAATGTCTGATCAAATTACCATAAACAGTGGGAAGCAAACGAAGACTGTGTATGCCAGGCAACTGTCCTGAATAATTCATGCAACACCTAAAGCCTGTGGCCTACAGGATAAGACAGTCTTGTCATATTTTACCTTTGTAAGAAACACTGAATCGTTGCTAACAGAAAAGATTTGCCTGAGGTCTGTCTCTGCAATTATATCCCTAATAGAAAAAAAATAAAATATTTTGCGGTGCTCGGCTGTGTACTCGAAGGTCGCGGGTTCAGTCTCGGCTGCAGTGGTCCCATTTCAATCGAGACAAATGCTAGATTTCCCCCAGCACTGTGCGTTGTCAGCCCACGATGAACAACACCAGATAATCAAAATTTCCGGACCGCTCCACTATGGTGTCTCTTATAACCTTCATTTTGGGACGTACACCCTTAGATATTAACGGGACAGCGTTGAAGAGCTCATTTCGCAGAAATTACGGTGTCCGTGCTATTAGTTGTGATCGAAAAATCGTCATCTTATGCGTGATCGAAAAATCGAGAACAATGCAAATAAAATAAAAAAAAACTAAGTCACAATGGGGATTGAACCTGGGTTGTTTGCGTAGTAAGCTGATGTCCTACCATGCAGTCTCGCTAGTGAACACATCTAAAATAGCTTTATCTGCTTGGAAATGCAGTGCAATTAACACATGCTATACAAACACATGCATCCTGTATACAGTCGAGTCCACATATAACGGCCCCACTTAATACGAACTTTCGCTTAGAACGAACAATATCCAGGTGACTGTGAAAATATACATTGGTTCAATGGCACAAAATTGCACTTACAACGAACGTCTCCGAGCGCCACCGATCGGTTACAACGAACAGGGTCAGCACTCAGCCGGCTTCCCGGCAAACCACTTTCGATAACGGATGAGGCGAGGTGTCCTATATATTCTTATTGTTAAAGGCCGACCCTGCCTCCGCGCTTTTCTAGTTGCCACTCTCCCTGACCGCTTTTTGTTATGCACCCCTCCATGCTTTGTCCCCCCCCTGCTACTCTGAGCACCCCATACGAGGGCCAGACTGAGACCTGTGTTTTCACACTGCCACAGATCTTTCAAAGACCGGTCTGCCATCTCCACTGTTTCTAATCGCTGGTACTGTCGTTGGCGTCGCCTGGAGTAACCAGACCATTTGCCAACATCGTCGGCCACCGACTGTACCCTAACCGTCTGCGTCTAGTGCATGCGCGTACGCTACTCCACTGACTCTGATAACTCGCGATTCGTTTGTGTTTAGGACCTGTTCTTGCTCACTTCGCACTCGGCTCAGCATGCCCTCCGCACGCGTGCGGAGGCGTAAAAACGGCTGTTGATTTGCGTGAAACGAATCGTGAAATATCGAAGTCGGTAAGGCCACACAAACCCGCCAGCGCATCAAAAAGATTTTTTCACCACGACTGCCAATTCTTTGAACACCGCTGCGCGCGCCGATCCAGGCGGCCATGCTTTGACTTCTGCGCGCGAAGGCACTCTTTCAAGTTTTTCTACGTGCGTTTTGCGGATCTTTCAAGCAAGCTATCCGACCTACCTCCTTCCCGCGTGTTTTGCTTTTCAAGGTCCCTCTTCCACTGTGTCTTCCCCCCTCTTCACTCTACGCAACTCTCTTGCAAATCTGCTCTCCTCTCTTGATCACAACCCCTTCGCCCGTCTCCACCGCTCCGCGACCCCAGCCTCGCTGGCTCGAGTTAGTTTCGTTTTCTGACTAGAAACGGGCCCAGATCTGTTCCATGCGTTCTGGCATGTAAGTCGCGTGTGCGCGTCTTGCTCGCCCTTGGTGTGCATGTGTGATCAGGATGGCAGACGGGAAGGTCTTGCACGCTTTTTCCTGCTGCTCAACAAAGCGTCGATAGTGTGACCGCTTGGCTTGAGCGTAATCCGCACGTTAGGTGCCCCATTGCGGAGCCCTTGCTCATAGCTGTTGACCACCCGGCAGCCAACTTGCCCTTCCGAGCGTCCCGGTATTCGATTGTGGAGATGGTGAATATTTTGTGGTCAGTGGTGACGGCTACATGCGCACGAAACTGTTTTCGCAAAGACGACTTCGTCGATGTCGGGCCCGATGCCGAGCCTGAAGCTTCCGAACAGGATCACTTCGGCAGCGATTTGTGGCAGCATGCCGTCGACTCCGACATGGGAGAGCGGGTGGAAGATCTATTGCGATAGTTTCATTACGACCGATGATGATGCCGACACCGCAGAACTGTGCACGGATTAGGGCATTGTGAATGAAGTACATGACAAGAGCGATTTTGAGGAATCTAATTGCGAGAAAGACGAAACTTTGAAGCCAGTTCCTCATGCATCTTATGCCACGGGCCTCAACGAACAATCACGCTGCTGTTAGAAATAAACTAGAGAGCGCTCTTTTCGCTTCTGCTCTTCGAAACACGTGCATCACGGACTTTTTTGGGCAAAAAAAGTGTGTTTTCACTCACAACTTTTTTAAAAGCCGTGTGTTATTTACTACGAACTTCGGAATACAGCGAACAGATGCCGTGTCAGGCTCAGGTTCGTTATAAGCGGGCTCGACTGTATATGCTTCACAATACAACACAAAATATTGCAGTAATAATATGTCGTACAAGTGCCCATTGCAATCGGGCGTCAGAACATGTGATTAGCAAGTGCATGTGATCATGCACTTGCTAATCACAACATGTGATAATCACAACATGTGATCAGAGCGAGTGCTTAGCAAGTTCGAAAAGCCTTTCTTCACTAAGTGTTCGAAGTACGCACTAGGAACAGAATATTGCTATCGCAATAAACTCGTAAAGCGAAGCTTTAGGGTCCCTTAATTTTTAGGAGTGAAGCTCCTTATGACCTAGGGCAATCCCCCGTCCCTCTGGCGCAACCAGTAGTGTCTCCCTTATCATACATTAGATGGCGCTGTCACATAAAGATGCATGCAAACTGCAGTTGGGTGACTATATACTAGATGGCGCTGTACGCATTCTGTGTCGTTGCCATTTTTTGTATCGTTTCCAAGATGGAGCTGCCCATAGAGATGTGTGCAATATGGCGGTTAGGTGAATGGACACTAGATGGCATTGGAGGTGCTGCTGCTGCTCTCCGATTGGCTGCTGCACAAGGCTGCACCAGTGCATCCTTTATCTCTCATTCTGCTGGATCGTCGCTGTACGCTGTGGGGGTGCTAACACCCCCTGTAAAGTCTGCGACTCTTCATTTATGGGCTCAACGAGAAGCGGACCCCAGAATGCGAGAGCGAAAGCCACGGCAAAGTGCGCGCAGCGCCGGGAGGACCCAGATGCTGCTCCTGGGAGGATTCACGGTATCACCGAAAAACCTCCGGAGCTTCGCTCACCTCACCATCATTCACTCCGTAGAGATGTTGGAATTAGGAGATGACCTTCTTAATCTAACCTTGTCCCGCATCAGGCGTAACCAGCAGTATCCCCTGAACAGTATAGTAGATGACGCTGTCTCATAGAAACACACACAAATTGCAATTGAGTGATGATATTCTAGATGGCGCTGTACCGCTACTCTTCTATTGGCTGCTGCGCAGGTTGTGCCAGTGTGTACAGGGAACGAGTGCCTCTCTCTGTGTCCTGGATCATCGCTGTACGCGTCGGATTGTTGGTGGGGCATGCACGAAGCGGAGCGGAGGCTCCGGCTCGCTGCCAGACAGACGGATGCACGGACGCTTCGTTCCACTCATCATCATTCTCCATGGATATGCTATGAATTTTATTATTATTATTTATTACAGTTGAACCTGCTTATAACGAACCACCATAAAACAAATTCCTCAATATAACGAAGTTTTTCAATTCCCCGCCATTGCTCCATAAAAGCACATGTATTTGCAACCTATATGTAACAAAGTAACAGCGGGAGACAACCTTGATATAACGAATTTTCTCCACAGACATTCTAGAAATTTCGCTCCACATTTTGGCATTTTGGTATGAGCGTGGATCTTCCACGGCTGCCTTGCCGTTGACAAGGCACGCACAGCACACCAGGCGAGAGCGCAAGCGCTTGTTATTGCGCGCTGCGTGAGGCGGGCCTGCACCCCACGAGCCAGCGTGGCCGTCATTCTCGTTGCCAGGGGCGCATGCGCGAATGTGCCCCCTTGCCCCCCCTCCCCCCTTCCAATGCCAAACCAAAATTAAAAAAAAAAAACTACTTTTGCGCGTTGGCAGTGCCACGCTCTCAGTAAGCATCACATATGTGGGGCTGCGTTGCCTATGGCGGCACTTTTTTCCGCTGTATTCGTGTCCGTGTCTGTGTGTTGTTCGCTCTCCAGGTCCATTCGTTTCACCTGCACTTCCGTGAACCAGTTCACGGAAGCAAGCACTTGGCCTCGTTCACTAGTTCACATGGTGGCAGCGAACGGATTATTCGTTTCGAAAACGTGCAGATGTCAGAAGAGGAACTTTGTGGCCACACCGGTAGTGCGAAATCCGTGCAGCGCAAGATGCTGCCAGCTGCAGCAGATGACACAGCCGATGCATTCGTGTCTGTTTTAGCCGATTGCAAGCAATTACGACAGTGAACATTTCTTGCAGGACACATGCAAGCACGTAAGCGGCGCGGTCTTTACAAAGAACAGCTTAAACAAACCCTCCAAGCATAGACGCGTAGCATAGGGCTGAAGACATCTTCGCCTGCTTATTCATTCAACGTCTTGTCGGCTTGCTGCACTTACTGAAACGTCTGGAAGTGCATAGTGAATCGAATGGACCTACATTTGTTTTAGACGCCGCGCGCGTGTGCAGTTTCTCTGCATGCGCATGGTGTGGCCTTGACGACGTTCAGCTTTTTTTTTTTTATTGCGATATAATTATAGGACAGCCTCGATTGATTTTTTTTCTTATCGCCGCCGCCATTCCCCACATGCATGAATGCACGCACGCACGCATGCATGCACACACAGGCACGCACGCGCGTGCACACACACACACACACACACGAAAACTCGTATACGGCGCACTGCAGCTTGTCACGATGTGCCGACGTGCGCTTATCCACCAGTGGAGGAAAATCGCGCGCCTTCGACATTGACAGGAACGATTACGTTTAGTTGCCAGGCACACAAAGATCTCTTCACTAGCTGGGCAGGCATCGTTTGCGAAAAGAATGCGCTTTTCAAACACAGCGCAGTAACAACTGGGGTACTTGTTGGTACACACTCATATCTGCACCTGTGATTACGTTTCGTGCTTTGTTTTTGTGTAAACAGCGCATTAAGTGTCGAGCGATAAACGTTGTTAGTCTGCTCTCGGCCTGCGTATGTTGTTTTCATGCGTGAGCCGCGCGCTGCACGTTTCGATCTGCTTGCCGTTCTCAGCGTTACATTTGTTGTTGCTATCGCATGTTGTTGCTATCACATTCGTTGCTTCGCGCTTGCCGTGAAACTTTGTCACAGTTTCGCCGCAAACTGTGTCCTCATCACCGCGGGGATGTCAGATTACGTGCTCATAGAAACACTCTGTGACGACACATTTTCGTTCCGTCTTGTGCCGCGCCGTGAGTTCGCAGGCTGGTAGCTTTCGCGATTGGCCGATCAGTTCTGGCAACATGACGGCGCGTCGAATGCAAAGCTATTAGCGCGATAGCAAAGAAGATTGCAATGCTATTGGAAGTAAGGCTGGCAGCCAGCTCTTTCGGATCCGATATCACGGAACTGATACAAAATGCTTGTTTGAGCAAATACGGCCGCTCCAGGGAGAAGTGCTCGTTCAAGACGGGTGGATTACTTTCTGTTTGAGCATTCGACGGCAGTTCTAACATCCGGGAGATGTTATCTTATGCAGTTTCCAGGTGATATGGGATGTGCCGTCTCTTTTGATCTCTGCTTCAGAAGCACTCACGCGCTTTTACCCGCTCGTGAAAGTTACGATGCGCGGGGGCATGTCACGGAACATGACGGCGACAGCAAAAACCCGCCGAGAGTGTCCATACAATTGCTATCGCAATAATAACGCAGTTGTTTACTGTGACATAAGTGTTTTGGGTTAGCTTTGCCTTCATTCCCCCTTTAATTTGTGCATTCATTTTTCAAATTTTTGGGCCAAATGAGCATATAACGAAATTTTTGTTATAACGAATTTTCCCGGGAACTTATCAATTTTGTTATATATCTTTTTGCCATGCAGGGAATTGGACTTTTGTTGGTGTGTTTAGCAGCAGAACACTTTAGTTGTTACAGGTAACAAAAATGGTCATGCTTTTATATCCAGACAGCAAGGAAATGCAGTAACGTGAAACTGCAGGTCACATCAATAAAGACGAGATTGGCATACCAGAAAGAGCTGTTTGCAGAGAAGCCCACGATTGAGAAAGAATGAATTACTAGAAAATGGCTCATACAGATAGTGCATTTTAGTTTGCTCTTGGCAATGAGTCTTTTGCGCAAGACACCACAACCGAAATTTTCAAGTTACAATGAGCTCAACTCCAAATGTGTTTCCACCAACCTTCTCTGACGGAACCGGCCAGGGGCTTGTGTGCAGAAGGTGGCGACTTCTGTGGATACAGTCTGCTTGGAAGCTCCTTTTCTGGGCTGCCTGCAATCTGGACACAAATCATGCAAACTTACTGATGCACTACCGTACCTAAAAACAAAGAATTCAACTTGAATTTCTGTTGGAAAAGAGGCTCTGAACTGTCGGACTTGTCACATGCAGGCAGTACAGTACTTCACAAGTGTGTTCACTGAACTGCACGGGACACACGGTCAGGAAAATACAGCTCGAGGAATTGTCACCTTCACATCCTTGCCCTCGAATGTAGACTGACTAGAGAATTTGGCCTGGTGCCTCTTTCCAAGGTCCTTCATCCAAGCTGGCTGCTGCTCGCTTGGTTCATTGCCCTGCACAGAGATATGATATGGAAGAACAGGAAGCACCATCAAGTACCACATGCAAGGCACTATAAAGCATTTCAAGTTATACTGTCCTTCCGCTTTTTTATAGTACCGAAGCAAAAGAATACATTGAAAGCATAACACACCAATGTATAAAATGTTTACCTGCTGCAAACAACACACGCTGTCACTAAGCGTGTGATGAATCGGGGAAGCGTAATCGCCTGATGTTTAGCATGAACTGCATGAAGCCAGCGATGAAGCCAAATAAACAAAGGAAATGAACCCGAATTGAAGTCGTCATTTTCGTATTTGTATTTTTGGTGAGTGAATTGTATACGAATAACTCGCTCATTTTTTAAGAAGACTTTTCTCCCACTAGATTGGGTTTAGCAAACAGCCAAGCAAAATACAGCCCAATTCAGTTCTGCACTATGCGATCAAATCAAGTCGCATGATACAAAGTCACTGATGAGGCTCACATGACAACACTTATGCACACGGTGCAGATTCTCCGGCATGAATCATCGTTTCTTTGTGAGAAAGGACACACCAACTTTCCCTTGAACGACCGTTTCTGCACTAGGCCACACTGTGATACCTTTCAGACATTGCAGATGCTATCGTCACTGCATAATCTTGTACGTACAGCATTCATATGCAATGCCCAAGAACGGTGTGCACTAGTAAGGTCATTTTGTAGGCTTTGTTTCCATAGCATAAAAGTGGTAACACCAACAATATCCTAGAAAAGATTACCCTTAAGCTCTGTGTTTTCTATCATTAAACTTCTGTAAACATCAGCAATGTATGCTCCCAAACAGCAAAGGATTATAAGCAACATGGCTGTGCAAATCCAAGTATTGGTACTGAAATTACTAGCATGCCCAAGTGGTCATCGACTCACATTTTCCTTGACGATCGTTATATGAGAAGGAGGCCTCCTGTTCATGGGAGGTCGCACACGGTTGGCAGTGGGGTGGTTCAGCTTATTCTCCGAGGGCTCGATGCTGTCAAATGTCGCTTCTGAAATGTACAGTATGCGTTCCCACATATTAAATGAAACCACAGCTGATACAACCAGGCCCAATGCCCTACAAGATGTCTTAGTTAACTCTTGCAGATGCACACATACACCAGAGTGTCTTCAAACCATAATGAGCAAGTTATGAGATGCATAAAAAAAATCTCAGTAGCAGTGCAGTAAAAAAAACTAGACAAGACTAAGTGTTTGTTCAAACGGCAATTTCTCGAAGAAAAAAATAATGCAAAAACCATAAAAAATTATTACATAATGCCACTGAGAAGGTGCGACATTCCCTCACTGACTTGAGTTGAAGAAAAACTGAACAGGGAAACATGAGCGATGAAGAACATTCCTGATGGGCAATACCAAACCTAGTGACGAAACCCAGCTTTGCATGCCTTACGTGTGATAAGCCCAGCAGATTGACCCCTGATCAAGTGAAAGCCAGGCAACAAAGAGCAAGACAGAGAGAAGTGAGCGAGTGGCTGAGAAAGTGTCAAAAGCAGAGAGAAAGAGGAAACTCGAGGAGACACGATAGTTTCACTTATAGAAGAGTTCAGAGGACCACCAACCAGGGTTATAGCTGTTTAATAGCAAAGGAAGTCTTTTTTTTCCAAAGTGCCCAGTGTCACTGGAAAGCAAGCAAGGATTACCAGCAGCAAAGCGGAACAGCAGCACTTACAAAGAGAGGCGAAAGACAGAGGCGACTCCTAGAACGGAGGAACCTCACACAAGCTCATGCGCACGAGCAGGTTTTACCAGCAACAGAAAGAAGGGCAAGGACCTTTGTTTACCCGAGTACTCTTCCTTGCTGGATGAGGCTACTGACGACTGAGACTCCTTGGAGTCTGCGACTCCGTTGGCCATAATTCGCCTCACTTGGGCATACACTGGGGCGGGCACAGGAGCGGCCTCTTTTGTTTGCCCTTCAGTTCTCCTAGCGGCAAACAAGGGAGGTGCAACCGAGGGTAAGGCAGGAGTGGAAGTGGGCGTGGCAGTGGGGGTGGGGCTGGAAGGTGGCAAAGGGGGTGGGGAAGAGGGAGGAGGCACGTCTGCATCCATGGAAGGCCACTGGGGCGGGGGCTTCTTGGGGGCGGTACTGGCCGAGGTGGGTGGAGACTGCAGGACAAAGGGCTTCTTGGCTGCTGCCAAGCAGGTCGCAGGGGGAGGGGCAGGTGCCTTGCCTTTCTCTTCCGCCGCTGCTGCGCTGGCCAATGATGGTGCTGTGGTGATAGAGTGCTGGTGAGGCCCCTACCAGAGCATGAATGTGAACTACAAACCCTTCTTTCGTGGAGACTGGCACACACACATATTCTCTAAATTTTATTTTTGTTCCAGTATTCCAGGTTCATCTTCTCACTTTGATCTACATCTGCAGAGTCAATGTTTTGGACTATTTTTTTTGTATGCCCCTACAAGAGCCCTACAAGAGGACCACCTCCAACATAACTCCACCATATCTTGCTAGAGGCAATTTATCCTTCCAAAGTTATTAAAAGAACAATACTTCTTTATATGCATATCCAAAGGCTAAAATGATGTACATACTACACACTGAGCCGTAAAACCTTAGTGAACAGTCACAGTTTGTACGAATCCTGGTGAAATACAAATAATCCACAATACTATTTGGCTGAAATACACGAGATACGTTTTACCGAAAATTGGACTGCTCTGCACACTTGCAACATCGCTGTGGATAGTACAAATATACGAAACACCGCCCCAGCATAGCCAGAACCAGCTAACAGCCTGGTTCACTGTGATACCAACTGCCCCTAAGGCTCGTTGCATGCCTGCGACTAGCAATGGTGGTGTGACTATTCGCAACTGGCAACCAATAAGCGACTCAAAGCAACCAATGTACACACCTACGTGCAACTTATACTGGTCGCCTCATAATATGCACATCAGCTCATCGGGGTTGCATTGTCACTGCTTTGTTAAATTAGCTAACACCTTGTTCCTGCGTAGCTGATTTGTTCACGTTTGTGAATGAACTTACAGTCAAACCTTGTTGGTACGTACTCGCTTAAACATACTAACGTTAAAACGTAGCTGTGACGAATTCCCGACCGATTCTTACAAAAACTAAGGCTTTTGTGGGCCACTTAAGCGGTACTGGTTCGTCTTATGCCTGCCAGTTAGTGTGTACAAACTGCGTAATGCAGTAAATTTATCACCATAAATGTTTACTGCAATGCTGAACTTTCAGACATCACAATGTGCCGCAAACAGCTTTCAGTCATTTTGAGAAGTGCAGACATGGGTCGGTCAATTATTCCGACTTCCACGCTATTGCAGCAATGCCTTTGAGGATAATCATGGGAAAAAAACTACGGCGAGGTGGCGGCCACCACCAACAACAAACAAATGTGCCGTTATGACTTATTTCAGAAGGAAAGCTTTATCCCAGTAAGCATCCCCAGCTATCGCTCGGGCACACGTGTGGCGTAGCACCACTTTAAGCCTACACCACACTTTTTGAGCCTACTGCACGCGCTGGGCCATTGATCGCTGCCGTCTCGTTGTGCGGGACCAATGTGCACTGCTTTGCAGAAACTTAAGCAGCTCGCTGTTGCGAAGTTCACAGTGCGGGTCGCGGACAACAAGAAACCTTGCTGTATTGATGCTAACACACACACGGTACAGCAAGCGTAGTTCTTTTGTAACTAGACTGCATGCTTTTATTAAGTGACAGCACAAACGCGCCTCTGTTCACTGCCAGGACTGCTAGAGCATCACTGAGTGCACTTAACTTACAGGAAGCTCGTCATCGCCGGTTATCCCAACAGTCTACTCGCCGCGTCTATGCATGGTCTGAAGCGGAGTAGGCATATTCTGCGGCAAGCGGATCGGCACTCATGGCATGTGCCAAGTCGGCGAAGCACTGCATGCTACTAGCCAATAAATTACAGTCGCCGACCGATTTTTCGGACCTGGCGGGGACCGAAAAAAAGTACGAAAAATCGAACAGTCCGAAAAATTCGTTTTCGCCAAAAATCTGAAGTTTATTGCATCAGGCAGGTTTAAAAAAGTCCTTGATGCTGCCTTGCCTTAAACTACGCTTGGAAACAATTTGGTTTGCCCGTATTTGCGCCAAGGTGACATCGTCGCCGTAAACGCTCGACAAAATTGTCACCGCGTTGGCAATCTTCGCCGCCGACGGCTGCGGGCGGTCGCAGATGCCGCAGATAGCCGCTGCGAAGCACACAACGTCTCGACGCTACGCGACACAACACGTGCAGAATGGCGACTGAAAAAAGCTGCAACGACAATAAAATAATCCATCTTTCGCCTCCTCCCCCGTGCCTCCTCCCCGTGCGATGTTGACGATAGTGCTGACTGAAGACGAAAAAACGGTATCCATCACCGCGTCTTTTAAAAAGCAAACACGGCCTCCGAAACTTAAAATATGGCGTGCGCATTCCAATCTCGGAGGCAGGAAAGGCATCTGAAGACCAAGCTTAGCCAAGCCGATGGAAAATCCAACATGGCGGCGTTCACAATGTCTTGGGGCGTGGCACAAAACGAGCGATTTAGTCCGAAAAATCGAACTTTCAGGGGCAAATTCGCCCGAAAAATCGGTCGAAACAATGCATTACCTCTATGGGATCCCCGACGGTGCATTTATGAAGTCCGGAATATCCAACAAGTCCGAATTTTTGGAGTCCGGAAAATCGGTCGGCGACTGTATTTGGCTCTCTGTGACTGTACCGCGTTTCAAAAAGACCAGTATCAGTTTATGCTGAGCAGACTGTGGAAAACATTGTCTTGAAGACAGCCAATCATGTCCATTCTGTCGCTATACCATGCTGCGCATCCCGAACCCCACAGTAGTTTAAAATGCTTCTTTGCATCGCCATTGTGTGCTATCGGACAGTTTGCAAAATTGACTGAATCTTTTCTGCACTTTGGTAAAAAGAAAGCATTGGCTTTGTGGTGGGTTTTCAGGCAATATTTGCAGTGTACTGTATTTATTTTTTTGTTCATGGTGTTGGTGCACGTCGGAAGATGCAAATTTGTAGCTGGTGATTAATGCGCAGTATGTTTGTTGCATAGCTATGCCGCTGTTCCTGCCAGGTGTGTATTAACGAGATTTCACTAACGCGATGAAAAATCGAGCAACAAAACAGAGCCTAACCAGTTGCTTTACGTCCGATGAGGACATTTCCATTCATTTGCAACGAGTCACCTTATGACTAACTTGGTCGCAGGTGTGAATGAGCCATTAATCATGCGACTTAACCCATGGTTAGCACCCCGAATCCCAACTTGGTGGTGATCTGTCGCAGGTGCAAAGGCTGGTTAGCTGATGTGCGCTTTGCTCCAGTGCATCTAGCCTCGTAGGTTGCATAATCACGAGTCATAGAGACGTAAAAAATATGGGCAGTCAGCCTGCTTCGTGCTGTCTGACAACTGAAGAAACATTCACAGTTTTTGCACATTGACAGTACATTCAGCCATAGCGAGAAACTTCCATTTTTTTTTCTTGCTTTCCCCTCCATATTGCCATTAAGAACACGAAGACACAGGAGAGACAGAAGCGAATGTATTCACATTATTTACAAGCAACTGTGCCACTAAGCAGCTGCTAGAATCTCGTGCAGCACGCTCTTCTTCGTCTCTTTGTCTTGTAACAGCATGTCTTGCAATAATATTGAAGGTATGCATTTCGATGGTGATAATATCTCACGCCACCCCATGAGATTCGTATTGTTAAGGCCTTGCTTTGTTTTCAAGCAGAATAATCCTATTTGTTTTAGCCCAGCTGTACTGCCAATTCAACAAGTACTCACCATGTTGTACTTTATTAACAGGGCTCAGGGTGCCACAGTATCCTTTTTCATACGGTAGAGGGCGCAATACATCAACGCAAAAATGAAATCGAAAGAACAAATATCCTTGAAAAATTTCAATAGAGAGCAGAACAGATATTTCTCCTTAGGAAGGCATTAAATACATATAAACTTCTTTGCTTGTGAAAACCTTTATCAATACCATGACACTTTATACTGCTCTTAGTCTGACTATGTCAGCACGATGTCTACAGAAACTGACACATGCCACTGCAGGAACTACAGGATAGTGTGCCAAACACTAGCACATGAAGGGCTACAAAGTGCATTTGCAGGCCTAATGAGCTAACCAGCCCTCTATTTATGGCCAACTATTTGCGATTGTAGCAAACACCCCTTATAAAAATAAATCTCCATGAGGTGATTTGCCAAGCTAATGGCAGCACAGTCATTTTTATAATGACGGTGTACAGAAGGAGTTTGCCCGACACAGCGCTTATAACGAAGCTAAGCGAGAAAGACAAGCCATGACAAGTGCACATAGTCCTCTTTACCATGAATAGCGCAGCTCTGGTTAGCTAAATGTGCACTACAGAAAAAAACACCTGTGAATTAGACAAGGAGCCTGTTATATTGACCTCTTCTTCACAATAAAAATCGGTGCGATGTCACACATTGCAAAGCATTTTTTTCCTCATTTTGGTGCCATTTGGCTCAATAAAGTTTCATGAAACATGTTGCGTGAGGTCTGGCCCTCCAAAACAATACCTAGCTCATTTCTGAGCACAAACGTTTGCATAGGCTTCAGCAGACACTTGAAATCTGTGATGCTGCTGACAGTTTCTGCTGGATTGTCAAGGTGGTGTTGCCGCGAGAATTTTCTTCTCGCACATTTTTTGCTTACCAAGCTTCTCGTACAAGAATTGTTTCTGTATTATAGAAAGGTAATTTACAAATGCGAGTGAATTTTCTCTATTGTTCCATTAAACTTGATGAGCAGTGCTTAAAAAAATTCATCGCACCACTTACATGTGACGTTTGAATAAACGTAAGAATGCTGCAGACACCTACTAAATAAGCAGCACAGACGCAGGTAAAGGAAGCAACCTGGCGGAGATGAAAGAAACATTCACCTTTCTTAGAAATTTCGGAAGGCTTAAAAGGAGGCACTTTGGAGATGGGCCGGTCCGAGCTGTTGCCATACTCCTGGAAGGCAGGCTTGTCGGGCAGGTCGGGCTTGCCCGCCATCTTGCCGACCGGGGGCTTCTCGGGCCGCTCAGGTTTTACAGGCTGCGGAACCTGCGTGCCATTCACACGATTAACTTTTTTATTTGAGAATCAGGAAAATGAGGGCAATCTAAGCATAATGTGAACGTGCCTGTACTTTCTTTCTTTGTGCTCTTTCTTGAATGTTTTCCTTCCTCCATGTTGGGAATTGGACCTTCATCTATGTTTTACCCAACGCAACAGTTGAATTGCAACAGTGTAACAGTCGCATGTTTACATCCAAGCAATAACGAAATGTGGTAACATGAAATGACCAAGTCACCTCGTTAAAAATCAGATTGCCATACCATAAATGTCTTATCACCGACAAGCCCAAGATCGCAAGAACATTATTGACTGACAAATAGCACATACAAACACACGCTCGACTGGCATACCTTTGAGGGCCCCATTTCTGTACAGTGGCCGGCACTGGTTTTTTTTTTAATATGAACGACGCTGCCACTGAAATCTGTGAGTTAAATTCTGGAGCTTTACGTATTGAAAAATAGATACGGTTACGAGGCACACCATAATGGGGGACTTCACATTCATTTTCAACGTAAGCACACAGATAGCCTTTTGCATGTTACATCCATTAAAAACGAGGCCGCCGAGGCCGTAAAGAAAACCCACGACCTCCATGCTTGGAAGAATTGTGCCACAGCCTTAAGGCCACAATGATAGGTGCAAAAAAAGGATAAACTGCATCCCTGGACAAAGAAGTTCTGCTAGTTTATTAATTATTAAGAAAGGTCACAAACTGTGATTTTTAGCACTAAATTCACACTATAAATATGGAGCACACTGCCAAAAGGCACTCTGTATTTATTTTGACTAAGTGAGCACTCTTTAACATGCATCATCAAAACCTAAATACAAAAAGTCTGACTTTCACCATTGATATATGGCCACCGTGGCAGGAACTTGACCTACACTGTCTTGCTTAGGAGCGCAATGATGCAGTCACTAAGATGCCATGACGGTTACAATATCAAGACTCAGTCAGCACACACACACACATACACAAAAAAAAAAAGGAAAGGAAAACAAGTGTCACACAACAATACGATGAAACATTAGAGCGACACATTCACAGGTGCTATAGGGCACCATTTGCAACATGCAACAATGCTGGTGCCAAATGCTTTCCCAGGGCCATTATCTCACCTCCTCCTTTATGAGCTTGACGAAATTGTCCGGGAACACGCCGACTCTGCCATTGAGCTCCCCTTTCCACCAGCCTTTGTCTTCCACTTCCTTTGTCAAAACCGTGATCACGTCTCCTTCCTTGATCGTCAGCTCGTCATCGTTCTGCGCCTCATACGCGTACAGCACCTTGGCCTGCTCCCGTACTGCAAAAGAACAGTTGCGAAGGTCTTCAGAGCAGCACAGGCACAAAACCCGCACTCTTTGCAGCTGCCCAAAACAAAGAGAGTCTGTTCCAACTAAAGGGCATCGCAAAACTTGTGCATATATAAGCCCCGCTAAGCATTGTTCTGCCAAAGTAAGATTGATGAGGATGCCCGAGGTCTACAAGTATAAAGGGCAGCAGCTATCGAAGAACGCCGGACGAATGCAGGTTGTGTCGCAGAGACTGCATAACGCACGGCCTCGGCTAGGGAAACTCAACGAACACGAAGAAGTTCACACACACACTCTGCAAAGCACAATAAACAAGGTGGCAACTGGATATGTCAGCTTTTTGCCTTTTAGAAATTTGTTGACATCGCAAATCAGCATAAAAGCTCAAAGATTACTTGGAGTGGTTTTGAGCAACAAATCTAAAAGAACCAACCTAATTTATCAACTAGCTCAGCAAGAAGTACTTCCAATGAGCAGCTTTGTGTAAAATTGTTTCTTGACATGACAAATGACTGGAATAGATCCAAGACACTAAGTAGCTGTCTTGCATACTGGAACGGGTTAGTTCAGCAGAAAAGACTTCCCCAGAGCATTACAACTCTAAGTGCTGTGATCATACCAACAAAACTTAGCTGAGCTCATGGAACACTGCATTGAATACCAATGTAGGGCAATGTAAGGGGCAATGTTGCAATAAAAACTGTTTTTCGTTATCTGTGGAGATAAAGTGATGAAATTTGACATGCAGATGTCATTTGTTGTCATAATATCATTACTGAAATTGGTTTTGAACTATTTAGTGTAGTTTTCGAATTACAGCACTTGATAGACTCTCATTGTCATGCCAAAGTTAATTAATTAGAACTTCTATGCCATAATGGTATTGGTGTTTTTTTTCTTAATGTTCAAGTAAGCTGCCCCACCGCGGTGGTCTAGTGGCTAAGGTACTCCGCTGCTGACCCGACGGTCGCGGGATCGAATCCCTGCTGCGGCGGCTGCATTTCCGATGGAGGCGGAAATGTTGTAGGCCTGTGTGCTCAGACTTTGTGCACGCTAAAGAACCACAGGTGGTCGACATTTCCAGGAGCCCTGCACTACGGCGTCTCTCATAATCATATGGTGGTTTTTGGACGTTAAACCCCACATATCAATCATCAATATTCAAGTAAGCACACGAAAAAATTTTGAAATGTTTGGGGCATATTGTCTGATGAAAACTTTTGCAAAAAGCAAATTAAAAAACATGCCTGATGTACACATAAATGTGGACAGCTTTAGTGCACTCACCAATGTTTCGGGTTCTAAGTGCAGAAAACGGAATGGCTACATCTTCATTTGTTGCAAAATGGCACAGGGATAATAGACAGCAACTACTAAAAAAATGAAAGCTGAAAAAATGAAGCTCAAAGAAGTTGGAGCTAGAAGATAACAAAACTCTGTAGCGGGCTGGCTCTATTTTTCTGGGAAAATGCAGCTTTGTGGCTATCTTGAGCTCCGGTCTGTCCCCTCTACGATGATGCGATTATATTGGCACTGTGCCTAGGGAAAGTTGCAGATCTGCATTTTCTAAAGCACAATTTTCTCATAGCTTTTGACAACAATCCACCAGTAAAATCCATTTTACTCCATTTCTACAACTTATTTTGGCCTAATATTTTACCATGATGTAAAACATGGTCTCAGGAATACAGAAAAAAAATTAAATAAAAAAATTTAACACTTTGACCAAGCTTACCATTCCCATTGCCACGTCTCCCCCCCCCCCCCCCCCCCATTAACTTGAGTCACTCACACTTCATATCACTATACGAGATGCAAAACACGCAGGACCACGTGATAAACAAATGCGAAGTGCTGAATCGGTCTGAATGGTCACACAAGTTTAACCTTCACATTTCAGACAGTTATGACACAGACAGTGTACCTCGCATACCATAAACAGGACATAATTTGACATGAGATCAACTCCATGATGGGTTTACTTCTATCAGTATTAAAGCAAAAATTTACAGAACAGCCTTTGTTGCATCAAAAGCACTTGTGGTGTTAGTCCATAACGCTGATAGTCGGGCAAAACTCAATCTTGTCCTAGCTCTAGGGCAGATAGTCTTTCATGAAAGCATAGTGTTGATATTGAGGAGTGTCAGAAAAAGTAAGCCAATGGCCAGTACAGTCAAACCCCTTTGTAGGAGACACTGATGTAAGAGACAAATGGGTATAAGAGACATCTACATGCCGACATCAAGGAGTAATAAAAAGATACATACGCAGGTGCTCTGCTTATAAAAGACAGACACCTTATAGAAAAGGCAAGATTTGCTCCCCAATGCATGTCTTTTATAAAGAGGTTCAACTGTTTACCAACTAAATCTCTTCTACAATCCTAGAACCTGAAGCAGCCCCAGCCTTGGTTTTTAAAAATTAAGCCCAATGTTTCGGGATTCATTTGGTCCCTATTTCAGGGGCTTGTAAATGCAGTGTCGCTTCTTACCCTTTCACCTTGAGTTATCCTTTCCATTCACTTTAAATTGAAATCTGTTCACGGAATCCAATCATTATATACATACACTACCTTCACAGAGCTGCCTGCCAAGTATGCAATGAAGCATCATTCATATTTCATTCTTCCGCGACACAGTTTAGCTCACCTGGCTTGGGAGGCAACTTTGGGGCTTCTGTTGACGTTTCCGATGGCACAGGGGGGTGCAGGTTTCTTCATGGGCCCCAAAGCCTGCAAGAGTGTTTCACATTCACACGCACTGGTCGGTACAATCCTAGCTACCACACTACGCTACAATTCTTTGCTTGAGCCTCAACATGCAGTCATGGAAGGCTAGGAAACCACCGAGGCTTACAATATGGTTTCAGGAGAGTGAAATCGCTGCGAGAGCTCCCGTTGGCAGCTCTTTTTTTCTTTTTCTTTTTCTGAAAAGCAAACCACTGTTTTTTATATTTCAGGCGGTTTGAATTTGCGCACACCAGAGCATGCACACAGGTGCCACAGTGCTTTTCAGCAAAATAGCACTGTTCCATAGCAAGTGAGACCAGTTTAAACATGCCATGCGAAGCATTCCAGTTGCACTTGTGATTGAGTAGAGTTCTCCTGTGTGTGCATGCACATGTGTATACATTCCTTTCCGCCTTTATCAAAATGTGTTCATCTCCTCCTAGGGTTTCCTACTTATGTGTACTTCTCCTGCTATACCTCTTCGTAGCCTTTTAAATCTGGCAGCATTGCATTTCATCCGTGAATCTCCACCTAGCCTCAACACCAGTTCTTAACTTGGTAAACTTTCAGGTGACAGATAAAATTCTAAGTATACGGAACTTTCTGTACTTACTGGATGCGTGAGGTATTTGAGGCCACAATAACACTGTCAGAAATAGGAACTCTCCATTCTATGTAAGGCAAGGTTGTGTATACATTCACTTTAGGTATTTCTTCCATGAAACCACCTGCGATCTCAAAAGATGACTGAAGCAACAGCTGTACATTTGCATTAATTTGGTGCTTGTAGATACTGAGATATGCAACAAGAATAGCTTACTTTCACAAGGTTTGACTTTAACCAGCTGTTAAGTGTCCCTTTATGTGGTGTCCACACACATGATAGCACTGAAGGTTTAAATAAGGGAAACAATGACTTTAGGCTACAGTAGGGTGATGTGACCACATAAGTACACACAGCCACTACTCCAGGATTGGACTAAGCAAGTCCCTCATTTTAACAGTGCTGTGCCCAATGGCCTATTGCACAAAAAGCTTCACTATCCACTCTGCCATCTAATGATACTTGGCATTTGCTGGGACAGTGGCTGTCACTGGCTTTTAAAGGTCTACCACTCAAGATAGATTAATGACCTGCTGGTGAAAGCCTAATCTTCCAAACAAAATATGATCAGTGGCAGCCTTTCTTTGCAGCATGTGTGAACAAGCCATGATCTCTTGTCTCACACGGCAAGCAAAGCATCTGATACATCAGACTGGAAACTGCTACAGTGAAAGATATGCTAGGTAGGTTGAAGAGAAAGCCATGTGTCCTAGACCGATAAATAAAACTATTAGTGAGCGTAGCGATCAAAAGCTTTGTTAATTTATTAATGTTGGGGTTTAGCATCCCAAAACTACCATATGATTATGAGAGACATTGCAGTAGAGGGCCCCGGAAATCTCGACCACCTCGGGTTTCTTCAACGTGCACCCAAATCTAAGCACACGGCCCTCAAGTATTTTCACCTACATAGAAAATGCGATCACCATGGCCGGCATTCGATCCCGCGACCTGTGGTCCAAAGCTCTGTTCTCAAATACCTCTCGCAACTTTTTTTTTGCCCAAACTGAGAACATTTTAATTTCAGCAGCAAGAAGCACGTGCATGCATTCACAGACATGCACGTGATCCCATAACGCAGCAATGCCAAGCCTGTAACCGAATGCTGGCAGCTAATCTGAACATTCCATATGGTCAAATATACCTCTTTTGTCTGTTAAATAGCTCAGCACTCATTTAACAGCAAAGCATACAGTAAAGAGAAAAAGTTTGAGGAACATTCTTGCTCCGGTAAAACATGTCTTTGCGGTTTCAGTGCCTAGCCTGGCACTGAAAAATGTGCCACAGTTACCCAAAATACGAAGTTTACAGCATAATTTGTCAATGCTAGGTTGCACGGCACCGTCCACAAGACTGCTGTGAGCTCTTTCCATTATTCCCTACAATCCACAAACTTTCGTCTCTGACTGTGCATATAAGAAAGCAACAGAAATTGCATTAATATTCACCTCAAGAGATCTGAATTTTTTTCTGAAAAGCCTGAACCCCCGTTGAAAGAAAATCTGAAAGTATGAAATTTTTGTTAAGAGGAGGCCATGGTTTGGGACCAAGGATGTGGCAGAAGGCAGATGGGATTGATGATGTGGAGAGATGAGTGCAGTTCCTCCAATTTGGTGCAGATGCTAGGTGAGGAGATGCAACAATGGTGCAACCTGTCCGCAGATATCGATTCAACGGTCTTTGTGCTGATGTGCCGAGGCAATCCATTGTCAATTCACCTTTTTTATCTATATGTGCAAGCATGTTGAATGCAGCATAAGAGCTGCTACAGTGAATTCTGAATGAACTATTCATAAGAAGTGGTAAGCAAAAAGTTAGCTTTTCGTTCACAGAAATTCATAACAGTGTCAAGTATGTTCTTAAGAATTTAGTGCAACTTACTAACCATGTGCCTCACTTCCTCTATTATGCGTGTTCATGCAGCATAATTAAGCACAGCCATTGCTCAATACATTCGTTCGATTAGCAGAAGAAGTGATGCGAGATAATCTGCCCTAGAAATCAGTAGTGAAATAGAATGGTAACACATGCAGTTTAATTCTAACTACTAAAAAGATTAATTAATAGCACCCAGAGCAACGCTGCAGGCAATGGCAGCTGCTTTCAAGTTGGAAAACAATTTCTGTTGTCTGCATGTGCTACATTTGGCCAGAAAAATATTTTATACCAAATGTTTCGATATTTAAACTTTTACCAGAACAATCTCATACGCTGGAAGTACTTCAGTGCAATACATTTCAATCTCTTTTTGCGAAAACAACTTTTGACAAGAAAGCCCTGGTTTCCTGCTGCTAGCAACATACTGTGAACAAATCTCGTTCATTCCACAGATTCAGTGCCCTCTGTGAGCTCAAAGCGTTCATCCCAATTCTAGGCATTAGTTGGCGAACAATGTGGAGCTCACTTAGACTCGCTCCTAAAATATGCTTTGCCTGAAGAGCTCATTTGGACTTGGACTCACTAAAGCTTTTCTGAGCCGGATTTATTCGAACTCATACCAAAATATAAACTCGGACTCGTGGCTCGATCCGAGTCTGAGCGACTCAACTTACGAGTCCATTAGTGCATCTTTCAACAATGGAGTCAATGCTCATTAATACAAATATCTTACACAATTATTGCTCTACTAAGCACTTTTATATCTCAAACCTTCAAATGCGAGTTATCAGTGGATTTATTCAAATAAGATTTTTATTCATAGAGATGACTTACATTGGACATTTTTATCAAGAACTTACTGATTAAGTTTATGGGGAGGAGAGCGGGTCAAGGCAAGTCTCCTCCACCTCGTGTAACTCACGCCAATCAATAAATATTGAGCTGGCCTATGAATGCCAGTGTGTCGAGGTATGTGTGTGTAGGCGCGAATATATAAATAGTTGACCGAACAGGGCTACAGTTTGGCGAAAATTGCAGAGCTCACTCTGACTCGGAATCACTAAAACTCTCCTAAACCGAACTCGCTTGGACTCAAGGCTCAATCTAAGTCTCACGAGTTGACTCGCGAGTGAGTTTGCCAAGCTATAATTAGAGGCCCATATCAAATTCCATCTTTTAAAAATGTAATGTCTAACCTAAAACTGAAGTGAGAGTGCATTCCGATGCAGAAGAACAGTGCACCTTGAAGCTAAGAGATAGGTCTTGAACAGATGAACAACAATCTAACAATACCGTGCAAAAAATATGAATGATGAGAACAAAACAAAGCAACCACGCTGCACAAAATGTCAACACTTTGCATTTCAGAGTAAAATCAATCTCAAAATAAATCAATTCAATTCTTTACCTCCTGTCGAAGAGTTTAGCATGTCCACTCACATCTCAAAATCTCACTGCCGTAGAGTGGCTGTAGTTGTCAGCAACAAAATGTCCAATTTTACCAAAGACGACTCGAGCCAAGTCCAAACATCTGGTAGATTTTGTTCTGATGCACAGATGTTGCTGCTATGTCACAACAACAGCTTCCACTACAATGCTGCAAGGAAAACTGACTGCAAGCATTGCAGGGGAGCCTGACTTCTGACATACTTCACTGAATAGTTTCTTTATGTTCTCGAATAATAAATGCTTTCGTAATTGATTTCTGCCTTTGTATAATGTACTTAATAAATGCAGCGCTAAAAAACTTTCATTTGGGAAAAGTAATTCAGCAGGTAACAGGGTTAAGAAGTTTCTTGAAATAACGTGTTAATAATATAGGAGGGTTGCACTGCTATGACATTCACAAGAGGGGGCACACAACACCGGTGGCTGCCGCAGTGTTCAAGGTCTGTAGTTGCAGCTTATTAGTGACACGGATGAGGAAAAAATTGCATGGACATGCTCGTTTCAATGTTACCCCCCTCTAACTCTGTACCACATGCCATGTGTCTTGGTACTTCAAGAGATCTTTGTTACGCAGAGGGACCCACCCATATACAGTAAAAGCTCGTTAATTCGAATTCCACGGGAATGCAGAGCAATTTCGAATTAAACAAAATTCGAAATAATGAAAGTGAGCAAAAATGGGTGGATTTCGGGGGTGGGGGCACGTAAAATATTTATTGGCCAAAAAAGTCGGTGATGACCATCTGCTTCTTTTCTCTGAATGCCACAGCTGCGGCTCCCTGTTCCAGCGCGCGGACGCGGCGCAGGGAATCCTTTTCACCCTCTTCAAAGCTGAAGAAGAGACGCGCCACATTAAGTGCCTCCATCACCGCAGAAGCTGACGGGCGCACAGGCGCTTCGTCATTTTCGTCTTCCTCACCTTCTGGCTCTTCAGCATCAGGCTGCGCACCGGCTACTTGAGCGATAATGTCCTCATCAGTCAGGGCACCACACACCGATGCACTGGTGTCAACTTCAACATAATCGGCAAAACGTACGCCCCGAAGAGTGTCGCGCAATGCCACTGGCATGAGCTCCTGAGCCCCATCCACGTCGACGTCACAACTATCCTGCGCACTTCCAGCTGCAAATCTACTGTGGCGGAAACAGTTTGCGATTGTGGTCGCGGTCACCTGTTCCCATGCGCGCACCAACATGTGCATGGCAGTGAGCAGGGTAATGCCGAAGTCCTTCCTGTCGCCCGCGCACAAAATCATTCGTGAACGAACAACGTGCTCAAGGAACAAAGCGACGCTGCCGGGAGCGGCCTAGGACTGCTAGGACTACTCCGCCGACTCCTCAGCGTCCCGTGGGTCCCGCGTACAAGTGGCGCCAGGCGCTGAGATAGCGGGAGAGCTACGAAAAAAAAAAAAAAAAACTGCTCCCTGGATTTTGGAGGCCATACTTTGCTCGCCCTTTGCTCGGAGGCCACTTGAAGCTTGAAAAAACTGGTCGCGCCACCTATCGTACGACCGTAAAAGCTTCCACTACTGTTTGACGATGACGACGCTCGGCGGCGCGCGCTTCGAATTATCCGTAGAGGCAGCAATTTCTGTTCGAATTAACGAATCGTTTTACACATGGTCTCCTATGCACTGCGGACCGGACTGCGGCGACCATTTCGAATTATCCAAAATTTCGAATTAATGAGGTATGAATTAACGAGCTTTCACTGTAGCTACAAAGATAGGCAAGGTGTGCGTGACGTGAAGCTATTGCCACGTGCAGACACAGGGGTCACATTATATATATGCCTTGCCATATTCATACATGATTTCCGTTTGCGTATGTGATGACATACTTTATCTGCGATGCAAAATGAACAAAGATTGTGGGTTCAGACCTCACTGACAGAGAGGGCAAGATTTTGTCCACTTTAGTTTATTTCAATTTAAGTAAGAATCATTACAACGCAGTTAAGAAACCAATAATATGTCCTCTATGCTCTTCTTGGCTTAGCAGACCCTTTTCACCATCTGTAGGCATGCTTCTTTGTGCTGCGTATTTACCAAACTAATGGCGACACCTGTCGTCCTTCAAGTGGAGACGAAGTCCTGGTGGCCTCCGCTATGTCTTGTCTATAATGTGTGTTTATATCAAGGGAACCCAGTACACGTTTTCCACACCACAGGTCAACCAAACTGCGCGTGAATATGCTGTTTCCAGTGAGCGACCAGCAGCAATTAGTTAGGAAAGCCACATTGCAAAAAAGCTAGCTTTAAAATTATAAGGTGTGTCTATTTTTTGTCAGTTTCATTAGTTATGTTTAGTACAGTGGTACACCCCCACAAAGCACTGCCGTGCACCGCAGACTCTAATTCACCCTCACCCCCTATTAAAATGTTTTTTCTTTACAACCAGATGCACCATTATCACAATTTTCAGCCAGCAAGAAGAAGTACTCTCCTCCTGATCTCCAGCTTACACTGTCCTACATGAGCCAATTTCGTTTCACACACATTTCCACACTACTTTGTGTGAACTGGTTCAAAATGTCTTGATTTCGCCACTGCATTTTACTCTCTACCCTCCACGAAAGATTTTCTCATCCCTTGGAAACAATCTTGTTGCTCTTACCACCCACCGGTTGTCTGTTCTATGCATTACGTGTTAAACTGGTCTTTGGTGACCTTTTAACATAATGCAGGTCACCAAAGCAAAATGCTGCCACAAAAAATTGGGGGACTTTTCTATTCGCCTTTAAGACTTGAACGCGATAGCGACATCCTGTGTCTATGCGTACTTTAAACGCTTAGTGCATTAAACCTTTTCAAACTTGCTATGCACCCACTACGTAACCTTGATAGAATAGGTGCAGTAACGTGTGTGCCTTTGGTAGTGGGTTATCGGCTTTAAACCACGAAGGCATTACAATAATCACATGTTTTGATGCCAGCTGGCAACGTACGCTTGTTCCACACGTTATTACGGCAATATTTCATGCTGTATTGTGAAGCATGTATACAGGACGCGTACGTTTAGTAAACCATGAAAGTTATTTTATCTGCACGTCTAAGGAGAGGAAGTTATTTTCACTGCATTCCCAAACAGAGGCGTGATTGTGTGGTAGAACACCTGCTTGCCATGCAAACGACCTGGTTCGGACCTTACACAGACCCGAAATTTTTTATTATTTTATTTGCACCTTTCTCGATTCTTCGGTCATGCAAAGATGGCAAATTTTTTGGTCATGCAAAGATGATTTTTTTCTCTCACAACCAACAATGCCGAAAGCGACACTGTCATTTTCGCAAAGCGATCTCTTTAACGCTATCGCGTTAAAAAATGTGCAAATGCAAGCAGAGTGCTCTAGTTAAAACAACACATGCACCCACTTGAAATCTCTGCACAACCCTCCAATATGAATGTTATCAGCAAGTATCTTGAGCAAACTTGGCATGATGAAGCAATGAGCTGATTATGTATCCCTGCTGGCTATTTCTTTGATTGATTTGTGGGGTTTAACGTCCCAAAACCACCATTTGATTATGAGAGACGCCGCAGTGGAGGGCTCCGGAAATTTTGACCACCTGGGGTTCTTTAACGTGCACCCAAATCTGAGTACACGGGCCTACAACATTTTGGCTATTTCTTTGCCTCAATCAAGTAGTACTGACTTTTTCCTGATGCTGACACCAGTTTAAGAGGTTGAAACTTATTAAGCGATGACAACGCCTTTGCCAACTTATCTTGCATCCTCGGACCAACACTCAGGCATGCCAATCAGCCTACAAAGTGGTGGTTCCAAATGTAAGCTTTGCCGCAATGCAGAAGTGTTATGCAGCCAAGCACACACATATACTAGCAAGTGGTGCAGCATACCAAGAATGGAAACGGGGCCTGTGATGCGGGGTGCAGTGCATTCTTGAATAATGCATATGCAGACCCACTACACCTTGACACAACACACATGCCAAAATGCCAAACAACTGTACAGGAGGCCATTTAAAACTGTTTTCGATGTGGAGTATTGATTTGAGCTCATGAGGACAGTAAAAAATGCATGCATTTCTTTTTATTTGCATGCATGCATTTCTCTTTACCCAAAAGCATTGGTAAAGAGTTTTTTTTGCTTCAATACGTTGCTGGAGACCTATCAGTTCTCAAGAGCAGCCACCAAATAGTAGACGGTACGCTTTAGCCAGGCATCTAGGAGCATGGCCGCAGTGGTGATATTGCGCAAGTATGAGGTCACCTTCGAGTCAATACGTCAGTGTCACCAAGGCACAATGTATAGCACTGGATCAAGCACGTCAACTTCAAAGTTAAATATAAATTGCTTTCAAGCTGCATTCACTGTTCAGATTTGGTAGATAATATAAGCATGTTGATGAGAATGGATGTTGCAGGCCATTTCTTCCGGGAAATTTTGTGTCAGTACCCCTTTGAGGGCTGTCAGATATTTCAAATGATTTCACATATCTTAAACAGGCCCGAAAGCCAGAGATGGTGTGTATATAAAAAATAGATATATATTGGCTGTACAAGAAGCCCTAACAAAACAAGAAATGCACCGTTTTCAATTTTGCACTCAGATTTTGCAAGGTGGAGGCACAAGTAAGAACTACATGAAGAAATATTCTTTCAGGAGGTGAAAAACACTTTTTAAATGTTCATTAGTGTTACTAATTTAAAGCATGCTACTATGAGGTAAAAGCTTACAACAGCCTAACCTTAGGTCACCCCAATTTACTTGGCTCTCTTAAGCTTAAGCCTTCAGTTCCCGAACCCGTCACAGGTGCTGCCCTCGATGGGTTCTTAAGAATTTTCTTCCCAGGATGCAAGTTCATCTGTCTGTCTGTCTGTCTGTCTTCGATCCTATGGCTAGTCAAGAGACCATTGCAGAGGAAACTGAGTGAAATGTAAATGTACAGAAAACCAAGAAACGATAATGTAATGGAAAAAGTAAGTGAATTCCACCGCGTTCTACGTTCCAAGTGTTTACCCATAGCATTTTCATTTTCTGTCATGCCTTGGCTTCATGCAATTCAGTTCCATTTGAGGAAAAGCATGCACGGCAGTGTGCCGGTGCTAAAGCAAGGCAACCAGAGTAGCTCCCGAGCTCACGCGTTTGTCATTGGGCGAGTCAGTGACTTTGCTTTTGACCTTGATGCGGTTCTCCGGCAGGATGTTGCCGAATCCGATGCCTTTGGCGACTGGCTTGGGCTTGATTTCTAACGAGGCTAGCGAGTGGTCACCTGGGGGGTCAAAAAAAAGACAAAAGGCAATGTTAGCAATGGTTCATTTGAGAAAATTGCGGGATATTACATGACAGGATTACAGTATCCAGTTGAATCCCACTACAAAGGACACTAATACACCTACATTCAAATAGCGGTTATTCAAAAAATAATGCGGTACTCTTCTCATAAGAGACACCTCATAAAAAATACAGTAATCGCTCTCCAGTGCATGTGTCTTATAAAGAGGTTAAACTGCAATCATGAGGCAAGCTGTAGTAATGACTCTGGATAAATTTTGATAAACTGAAGTTCTATAGAGCGCACTACAGTTCAAGCAAGTACATGGTGCACCCATCCTGTCAAGCACATTTCTGACCTGTCCTCGTAAAGGATAGTGCTGCAATATTCTAGTAAGAATACACCCACGGTGTGTTTGGATTTGCCCCTCAATGAGATGCCACCACCATGGCCGAAAACGGAACTAGCACTCTTGAGCATCACAGTACGATACCTAGGAACTTGACACCCACAGCGCATAGCCATGCTTCATGCACCACTGTCAGTAGCTCAAAATTTGGGGCATGTCAAGTATATAAGGAACACACTGCACTTTGCATGAACCAGTGTGGTATATGTCTCGCCGTTACTAGTCTAGCTCAACACTTGCCCTGCTTGTGCAAGAACAGTCACAATAAATAAGAAGTTATTGCACAAAAAAACTTGCTGTAATAAAATGCATCCCGTTAGCAGCATGTGCATATTATCTGTTCCTCTCTCGATATTCTTGTTCATAGTGCACTGTGTAGTCTGTTCTGAAGTCCCATCATCAGGCGCAATGCGTCTTTTACATTTCGCTGTGCTGCCCCGTTCCTATTAGGTAGGGTTTGATTAAGATCTGGGACAACCGGTATGGCAAGAAAAAAGAAAAGCCTCTGAGACCACGAGATGTTTTGTGAGCTTTCTGCAAGTGTTTCCACTATGGCGCACATGCTGCGCCATTGTGAAAAGGGCAGATTGACAATCTTCATTTCCACCAGCAATGAATGTGCTGTGAGAGCTAAGCCAGTGGAGTGCTCATACGAGTGCCACCCTATGTGTCCCCGAGAGTTTTTACATTGGATTTATAAATCAAAGTGTTTTTCAAAACAACTTTGTGCGTCACAATCACAATTTTCAAATGTGTGATCCTGTTGAATCCTGTGTTATTCAGGCATCTCTCTACTGCTTATGAGACACACAACATTTTAAGCTCTACCCCACTTCATTTCTCTACTATGTTTGTATAGTGTGTGTGCCTCTGTTCGTCCTTGTTGACATCTGCACGGCTGCTCCCTTCACTTACCAAGTATTTTTTTGCACAGACAGTGCTGCTTCTGATATTATAAAACATTAATTTACTAATACTAGTACAATCATTTTTCATTTTGGTGAGGCTCTAAGCAAGAAAATTCGCAACTGTGGAAGGATCAAAAAGAAACCGTGTGGTTTCATGATCGAAAACACTATACGATTATAAGGCCTGGAGTTATGGGACACTTTGGACCAACTTTATTTTCCAGAGAGGTCTCTAATTTGCATGCAACTTACATCTATATATTCAGGTGGGTTCATGCATTTTGTACCCATCCAAGTGTTGCATCATGGCTGGGATATAGCTTGTGTCTTCAATCTTAGCAGCATGACCTTTGAAAGAGTTAGAAATCGTGAGTTTTACGTCACAGAACTACGATACGATTACGAGAGATGCCAGGTAGTGGACTCTGTAAATTTTTAACACTTTTAACGTGCACTTAAATACGCGGGCCTTTAGCATTTCGCATCCATCAATATGTGGCGGCTCCCCGTAGCAAGAAGTCGATCCCGTGACATTCGTGTCAGAAGTTGAGCACTGCAACCACTTGACTGCCATGGCAGGTTACCATGAAGGGTCAACGCAACAAACATTAGTAAGATCAGTGGCTGTCGCCCACCTGTGACGTCTCCCGAGGACTCCGGCTTATCGGAGTGGAAGTCGGAGGTGACGGAGTTTCCCCAGCGGGTCTGGTTGTTGGCAGTGGCCGTGGAGGCCGCGCGTGGAGAGGCGGGGGCTGCGTCCTCGAGCACAACAAAGTTGGAGGGGAACACACCTATGCGGCCCTTGAGCACGCCCTTCCACCAGCCTTCCTCAACCTCCTCGAGCACCTCAATGACATCCGACACCTCCAACTGTAGCTCATCCTCGTTCTGGGGTTGGTAGCTGAATGCCACCCGAGCACGCCTCCTGTTCAGCGCCTCTGCACGTTCAGGATGAGGCAGAAGTTCAGAAGAAGATGAAGGGTTGAAGTTACAAGGAATGGTTAGCATGTTGCATGATACAAAATTTTGACAAGTGAACTTGTCCTCAACAAGAAGCAACTATGCCTTCCTTAGCAGAGCATGTGCGTGCACTCTGCTTTCTCTCCCAACCAAAAAAAGTGGAGTAGAAAAGCAGGGGGGGAGAGAAAGAGCAGAGAGAGAGAAAAGACTGGATTGATTGATATGTGGGATTTAACGTCCCAAAACCAGCATATGCAGAAAAGATGGGAGGCAGTCTTTGAGGAGGGTTGGCTTCTGTAGGTCCTCCGTGTAGTTCTAAATCCCGCACTTGATGCACCTCTGCAACCGAGAAACCTGGGGAAGTGCACAGCACGGGCAACTCCGTGATTCCCTTCATGCTTGCCACCACTTTGGCGATTGTGCGCATGCCGAGGCGGTGGCACTCTCTTGGACAGTGCAGATACCCCTTCGCATGGTTCATATGCACTTTTTTTTTTTACTTTTAGGAAGTTATTGCAATTATTTCAGGTTATTTCTGTAGATTATGTCATTTTAGACCTTATTAGTTGATCTTGCACTGGTTTTCAGCATTGTTAGCCTAGCTGTAAGCCGGTATCAATCATTGAGGGACCATGCAGCCTCAGACAGTGAATGAACGAGAAGCCAGGCCCTTGAACTGCTACGCACCAGAAAAAAAACTAGGAGTTGGGGGGGGGGGGGGGGGGGGGAAATACTTAGGTTGCTTAAGGGTTTTACTGGTGCCCACAAGTTGTGGAGGTTTCGTACGAAGTCGTGTCTCACCCGAGGTTCATAATCACCATGATTTTTTACATGCTCCTTAGGGTTCACTCCATTAAGACTCACACAAATCATTAAATAAAGGAGTACAGGAGCGTCGACTAAACCTTTCTGTATCCGTTTTACAAGCACGCTGCACGTCCCCTACTCAAACTTTATCTACTGCTCGTGCGAATAATAGATCAGATAAACTAATTATCAGTTAACCAAGCTTGTTTAGCACCCCCTCCAGTCTCCTAACAAGCAGTTTAAAGAGTGCTAGAGACGTAATATACACCAGTGAAGCCAAAACATTACAGAGACTCTGCAAAGCTGCATGCTGCAGTGCTGGAATTAGTGTAATGCCGGATGCTGAAGTGAATGTAAAAGGAATGATCAAAATCGGTACACGGTAACGGATGTTATTAGCACTCCACCTTAACAAATCCGACAGATAACATGAAAAAACAAGCCCTTGAGCCCTTCTTTCTTCCACTGATGTCAAAGACACTTTCCAATCACCGGGCACCTCACCAGATGATCCGCCTCCTGGTGGTTTTTGTGCAGCACACCTAGCGTTCTTTTAGTACCTGAATCTTTTAGTACCTGAAGAAATAATGATAGATATGTGGGGTTTAACGTCCCAAAACCACTATATGATTATGAGAGACGCCGTAGTGGAGGGCTCCAGAAATTTCGACAATCCGAGGTTCTTCAACGTGCACCCAAATCAGAGCACATGGGCCTACAGCATTTTCGGCTCCATCGAAAATGCACCGTAGCAGCTGGGATTCGATCTCGCAACCTGTGGGTCAACAGACGAGTACCTTAGCCACTAGACCACCACGGCGGGGCATATCTGAGGAAATAAAAATAGAGAGGGCTTTTGTATCTTATAGTGCACAATAATGTCACCTATCCGGGGCCGTATGTATATTACGCAACGAACCAATCAAAACAAACGGCCTATGTTGTCACTCCGACGGTGTGAAGTGTCACTTCCGATCGCAAGAAATGGCCACTGTGTAATGCTCTAGTCTGAACACAGTGTGGTTTCTTCACAGAAATAAAATTACAACAGCTTTGTTTTTAGTACTGCCGCTCGCACAACTATATCGGTGCATTCCACAGTTCGAGAAGAAGCAATGAAAACACGCTTTACCTGTGTCACAGGGCGCTTCAAGCATAGCTCAGAAAATGTAAAAAAAAAATAGTATGTAAAAAGGCAGGCGGGGACGCAAATGAAACTTTAGTGTAGTTCGATGATCTGAAATTTTAAAAAGTCTATTGCAGCAAAACATAAATCTGTCAAAATATGAATATTTTAAGGTAGCTATTTATACAAACAGGCATATCTGTATCATAATTATCATAATACACCTGTCACATGGCAAAGCTAGTGTAATTTCCAGCTAATGTTATTCGTTTAATATGTCATTTGCTTGCTGTCACACGAGCAAAGTTATGCCCCCCCCCCCCCCCCCCCCCCCCCCATTAGATGAAAACCACAATTTCAGTTGAATGGGTTCCGAAACACATTCAAATCAAATTTCAGATACAATAAGTATCCTTGACGCCAGAGAACTTTTAAGTTGATGGTTATTGACTTATGTATATCTAACCTTTGTAATTCAAAAACAAGTTTTTCCTTTGTAATTCAAAAACTAGATTAACCAAATGCTGATTTATTTACGCAAACGCACCGGCGAAAGTTTCTAAAATAAATTTACTCTCATCTCAGTGAGTGAACGGGCAGGACGCCTGCCATGTTTCATTTATGCTCTGTTTTCATTGTTGCCTCGAATGCGGGTGTTGATAGCTTGATAGCATGTTCTATGGTGATCAAGGTGGTGAATACACAAATTAGCTGCCGCTGTGTCATTTCCATGGCCGAAGTGTTAATAGTGCCCCACGCTCTGTTATATACAGTGTTTGTCATGTCATCGGCCACATTGGTTTTCCATTTGCTCTTGCCTTGACTTCGTTGGTGTCGTGCAGCTGCGGAAAATTCCGTAGAACAGCTGTGCTAATATTGTTATAGCGGCTTTTTAGTGATAAAGATTATTTCCAAGGATATAGACTGTCACATGAAAGTTTTCTATAGACCTTTATTTTCTTCCCATGTCCCGGCTTATAAAGACTATGGCCATCGACACCATTTCGAAGCGATATACATTTTCTTCGAGTGACAGGAGGCAGGTAAAATGACATTAAGCTCACCTTATGTTATTCGTAGTAAATGGCATCACATTTTCTGTGGGACAGGTGTTTCAAGATACTGTAAAAAGCAAATCACTGACAAATGTACAGCTGCATCTATGTCTCGTGTGGAGCACACGAGCAGCCGGTACTGCTATGCGGGCTCTGACATGGTGTGCCCAGGAGCATGCACAGCCAAATAGACATGCTGACCTGTTTTGCACGAGTGACAACGCAGGGGTGCGCTAGTTTAACCAAAAATGGATGCTCCCTCCGAGCACTTTTGGCATCTCAATTCCAAAAGATGATGCATGACTAGATAAGTGTTATCAGTCCAAACATGTCATCTTTTGGAATCTTTAGTTCCACAAGCACATCTGTCTTTATTGCCAGTCATGCAAAGCAGGTCCCCATGTCTATTATGCCACATATGCTTCTGGGCACACTACATCAGAGCCCGCAACCGCCGCAAGGTGTCGCCCCGCAGAGCGATGTCAGCTGCTTGTGTGTTCTACAAAGACGTGGACGTACATGCCAAACCAACAGCTTCCTTCTTCCTAGTTAGATATCTTGCTAATCATGCATACACATCAGCTTGTTCTGAAACTTTACTTCAACTTACTTTTTAAAGACCAAGATTGTAAAAACCTTAGTTTTCAGTGAGTATAGAAGGCACAGATAAGACCAAAACTGGATCATTAAAGTTTAATTTGGAACCGAGAAACAAATAAGAGTTCTCTTAAATTTCCATCTGTAAATGTGATGACTACATTAAAATTAATGCAGGATTAACCTTATCAAGACCTCACAGTAAAAAAAAATAAAACGGTATTAGGCTTGAAATTAGTCTGTTCACTGTTTAATCGCAAAGGTATTAACTGGGAGCATCATTTGCCCATTCCCTACTAAGTCTCCCCATGTGTTGATCATGGTATAAAATGAAAGAGATAAGTTGCGGAATGAACTTCTTAGGACACCGTTTTTGGTCAAAACAATTCACGACTAGGACAGACTGCTGCATGACATCACCACTATTATCTCCCCTACTGTATTTTCTTTCTTTTTGCAGAATTCGTATTGTAATTAAAAACTTGCTTTCCCCAATAGGCTGTATTTGATTGTGCAGTCTACCTGACTAAATGTTTACTTGTATGTAGCTACTTTGTCTATGCATATTTGCTCATTTACCTGCTCTTGGTTGACTTTATTAGCATTGTTCCCCCCCCCCCCTCATTGGTACAAGACACTGGGGGTAATTTACAACCTTAAATAAATAAAATAGGCATATCCAGTTTTTTCTCATTTACCTGCTTTTGGTTGACTGTCAGCATCCCCCCCCCCCCTCCTTCATTTCAAGAAGACGCTATAGGTATTTTACTAAATAAATCAATAAATAAGTAAAAAAGGCATAAATGCAGTCTTTTGTATTTTTAAAAGGGGCCCTGCAAAGCTTTTTTAGCATAGTACTAAACACCAATCAGTAGACAATGCTCCCAAGAACATGCGGGTCAAATATTATAGCGCAGCACGCAACCTAGGCTTTGCAATCTCAAAGTCAGCTAAAAATCATTCCATCTTCTCCCTGCAAATGATGCCATTTACTCGAACAACCGCACAATACACCCAAATTCACAGCCATTGGCTGATTTGAGCATCTTAGGCTGCATAGTTACAACGCCCACCGCTAGAACACAACACGTGCCCATATGCACTCGTTATCACACTGAATACAAGTCACGCGTTCAAAGAAAAAAAGAATAGAAAGTGTTCATATGACTCGCATGTGACATAGGTTTTTTCCCCTGTGCCATCTCTCCTCCCTGCTTAGCTTCCAGCGAGTTCACCAGAACAAGACGATGGAAAAAGCAATTACAGCATGTGACAAACCTCTAACTTGCTGTTACTTATTGTATTCTAAAAATTTTTGGGGCAGTGTATCAGCAATACAATAACCTCATTTACTGTAGTAATTTGATGATTAATCGAAGAAGCGTTGCAAGACCTTTCAAAGAGCCTCCAAACGCATACTGTATGCTGCACTCCATGTAACAATTAAGAATTCAAAACACGGGCTTACCCATCCCCCAGCTCTGTACTGTGCCAGAACTTAAATCAAGTTTTTTGAAAAGTAAAATGAGCTTCACTATTCGGCTTCACTCTATCAATGCTTTCAAATCCACTACATAGTTGATCCCACTTCATTTAGTCTTTACTTTGATGAATGAGTATACGTTTGGCTTTTTATTAAAATGAAGCCTCCACTTATGCATGCTTTTTGTACTTTCTTGCTTCGAAAACTGGGGCTTTCCACCTGCAGTATTAAGTAAATAAATGTTACTTAAAAGGAATTTTCATATTGCACCTTTCTGAGAGTATTTCTGCCCGACATTTGTAATCGTCAAGCGGCTTGTTCGCGCTTCTTTCCTGGAAAACTTGGCGCAGTCTGCGAACTCCGTTGAAGCACGGATCGTCACGCATGACACTCGATTATAGCAGAGGGGCAGAAGGACGCCCCAATGTTTGAGGCTACCTGATGAGTACTACGTTACACCTCGCATCAGGCGTAAAATAGGAGTCAAATTAGTACTACAAGGATTTGGTCTTGGCGTTAAACACGGAACTTTTTTGCCGCACTTTCAGTTCCGGTTTCCGTCCAAACGCTTATTTACGCCGCGAGAGTTCCTAATCCCGCCCATGAAACCCATCATCGGTTCGGTGATAGGCATGTGGTTCCTTTCATCTCTCGAGAGTTTCGCAAGATAGCTCGAAGGTCGTTCCATGGAGACGCTTCGCCTACTCGGTTCCTGCGTCAACGGCTGGCTCGTTGAAGCGTTGCTCGCGGCACACTTGACGCATTGCAACCTCTTCGACTCTCCTTGTGCGACACTTATCCCCGCCGAAGAGGGGGGAAAATAGTGCTTTGAACGTCCTATGGTACACCCGCATCAGTGCGGCATAGCGCGAAAACTGCACGCACGGCAAGCAGCTCAGTACTCCTTCCTGTCAAACCGGGAGTGCCACTATTTACGCCGTAGCTCGATATGCGGCTTGGTCGAAACATTTCGTCACACAGAACCAAGAATGAGTTCACCGCAGAACAAAATCCATTTGAACTAAAGTACACGTTACTTAGGCACTCACGAAAACAGAAAAATAGCAACGATGCTCGTGTAGCGCTGCCGCGTAAAAGCCGCGTGAACATCAAACCCGTAGTTGACGGAAAGAAGGCGACGTTCCCGCTGGAGATGCGCCCGCTCAAAACAACCCAAACCCGTCCGCCAGTGTGGCCCCTATTCGTTATCAGCTGAGTTGACACAATTATGCCCCCCACTTCCTCTTGTTGAACGGACAGACCAGGCAGAAAAATAAAGAGAAAAATCGAATCTGGGACAAACAAAAAACAGTACACGCTTTATTTTCCCCGTTTACCGACGCTTGCTCACACTGGACGCTCAACTGAACGTTCATTTAAATAAAATCTTGCTTCATATAAGCGGACGAGAGCACACCGAGTGCGGTGAACAATCCGCGGCGCTGTCAAATCGCTTATATTTTTGGCCCTGAAAAACTACAAAGCTTGTCGGCGGCGGGCTGCTGGCGGCCCGCTGGCTCGACGATGGGTGGAACGAGGTTTCAAGTCTTTCACTGACAATCTCCAATTATCTCATTCACCTCGGCTCGAGCCCCACACACTCGGATCACCCATTAGCAAGAATCAGTCGCTTTATATCGCGAGAAAACGTGAGAAACGCTTACGAACCCATTCCAGTTGTCTTGTCATCAGCTTTTCGATTTTGTAGGTGTAGTCCCCAGCGGAAGTGTCACCGACTTCCGGCAAAGGCGCCCCCACCCATGACCTACTACACTCCTGACCTGTTCAGATAGCGGGGTTCCTATGGGAGCGCGTGTCCCCGCTCTCGTTCAATCGCTCGCCGTAGGTGGCGCTACCTATAACCTGTTCGTCTGCTACTTTACGGCTGTTTGGACGGCGCTAGAGTAAGAACGGCTGCATTCCGTGATGAACAGCCGGCATATATGTGACTATTTTTTCACTTAGATGACTGGTCAAGTAAGCTGTTCAGTGTGACGAAAAATTTATTGCACACTGGTGGACAAATGCGAGAATCCGTAGACTTACATAGTGTAGGACAGCATATGTGATGTTGCGTCCATTTAATTGCAAAGAATTTGTGAATGACTTTTGAAATATTTGTTTCAAAATTATTTTTCATTAGTGCATAATAATTACGCAATATGAGTGCTCTGTTGGCCGAAATATGACCACGAACACTCAAGCTGACGTCAGCGAACAGGTGCTGACTAGCGCCACAGTGCTCCTAAGTTACGGCCCTAGCGGCAGAAGGTATGAACTAGAACGTGGGCGCTGGAAGAGGTGCTCTCTGGGCAGGTCAGGAGTGTAGTAGGTCATGCCCCCACCACTGCTTCGACACGTTGCGCCATCTGCCCGATAGAATATAGAACCGACGTAGTTGGTTGTGCACGTCCAGCTGGATAATGTGGGATGCAAACGTTCGTGCCTAGTACTTTAATTCGATTCGTTTGACTTCTGAGACTCCGTGCGGCATGGATGACTACCTGTGAAGTGTCTGTGCTTAGGACGCAGCCAAAAATTTGCAAGCATGTTGCGGGCATTCCTGTGCTGGCGATGTTCATTGTAGCCGGAGAGGAGCAAGGTGTCCCGGTTGGACAGCTCTCTGGAACCATTCAGAACGACATCCTAAAGGAGTTCATGGTGCGGAACACGTATATCTATCCGCCAGAGCCGTCGATGCGCATAATCGGCGATATTTTTGCGTTTGTGTCAAAGAACATGCCAAAATACAATTCCATTTCCATCTCCGGCTACCACATACAAGAGGCAGGGGCAAACAATGTTCTGGAACTAGCGTTCACCATTGCTGATGGGCTCGAATATTGCAGGACAGGATTGAAGGCTGGCATGACCATCGATGACTTTGCCCCGAGACTGTCATTCTTTTGGGGAATCGGCATGAAGTTTTACATGGAGATAGCTAAGATGAGAGCCGCACGCAGGCTTTGGGCCACGCTGATTAAGAAAAATTTCGATCCGAAGAATGAAAACTCGCTAAAGCTGCGTACTCACTCCCAGACCTCGGGCTGGTCACTCACGGAGCAAGATCCTTACAACAACATAGTCCGCACCACAATTGAAGCCATGGCATCTGTTTTTGGTGGCACACAATCCCTGCACACTAATGCCTTCGACGAGGCACTTGCACTTCCATCCAGGTTTAGTGCGAGGATTGCCAGAAACACTCAAATCATTCTCCAGGAAGAAAGTGGAATACCACATGTAATAGATCCTTGGGGCGGTTCATACCTCATGGAGGCTCTCACGGCCCAAGTGTACGATGAAGCCCTTAAAATAATCACCGAGGTTGAAGAAATGGGAGGCATGGCAAAGGCAGTGGCATCGGGCATGCCCAAACTGCGAATTGAGGAATGTGCAGCCAGAAAACAGGCCTTGATTGACAGTGGCAAGGAGGTCATTGTAGGTGTAAACAAATATCGCCTCGACAAGGAGGACCCCATCGATGTCCTGATGGTAGACAACACAAAGGTGAGAGCCTCACAGATTGCTAAACTCGAGCATATCCGCAAGACCCGAGACAATGCAAAAACAGAAGCGGCACTAGATGCCATCACAGAATCTGCAAAGACTGGAGAAGGCAACCTGTTGGCACTGGCTATTGAAGCGGCTCGACTTAGAGCTACGGTTGGCGAAATCTCCTACGCCATGGAGAAAGTGTTCGGCCGCCACGTTGCGTCTGATAGAATGGTTTCTGGTGCCTACAAGTCAACATTCGGAGAGGATGATAAGGAAATTTCGAATGTGATAGCCAAAGTGAATGCCTTCCAGGATCGGGAAGGACGAAGGCCCCGTATTCTCGTTGCCAAGATGGGACAAGACGGCCATGACAGAGGTGCAAAAGTAATAGCCACAGGATTTGCTGACATGGGCTTTGATGTTGATATTGGTCCGCTGTTTCAGACACCTGAAGAAGTCGCGCAGCAAGCAATCGATGCTGACGTACACGTTGTCGGCGTGAGCAGCTTGGCTGCCGGTCACAAGACCCTTGTGCCAGAGCTGGCAAAATGCCTGAAAAACATGAACAGGCCAGACATACTCATTGTTGTTGGAGGTGTCATTCCACCGCAGGACTATGACTTCTTGTACAAGGCAGGTGCTGCTGCAATCTTTGGTCCCGGCACACGCATACCAGTTTGTGCTGAGCAAGTGCTTGAACTCCTCTCGGGAAAGAAAAATGAAGAGAAAGAGAAGCAGCAAGCATGATCACATTCATTGGAAATAAAATGCACTTTGTTTAAATTGTCTTTTTTTTCTTAATGCCATTATTGTAAAGGAAGGGTCAGAATTTTTTCTGTTTTATGTTTTTCTTCAAATCGCCTAATGCCCGAAGAAAGTTGTTTGCACTTCACACACTGCCCAGCACACAGTCAAAATTTCCAGCTTGTACAAAAAACTAAAATGTGTACATGTGCATTTTCTTGCTACACCCCCTTCGATTCAGAAAGTAAATGACCACACATATTTCTGCAGCATGCAAGCCTCGTAAGAACTGAGTCGGTACAACGTTGAAGATTATCACAATACTAATTTAAGTATTATGTGGTCGAAATGCTCGGCCTGTAAATTTGGCTGAATAAAAGTCTATTACTACTACTTATGTGGCACACAAAAAATTCTTCAAAATATGCAGCTAATCACCCCCAACAACAGCCTTGCATTTCCTCAATATCAACTTAACGAGAAATTAAGCGTTTCTACCCCTTGCCCACACCTTGCAACTGACGCCTGTAGTTTCGAGGCAGACAGGCGTCTCAAATGTGACCTTCGTCTTGCTGCTCTTTCACTTCATATGAAACGAAACCGCAAACCGCTGAAACTGGCGACAGCAGAAGAACTCGGGTCATCTGCAGCAGTAGTATCGACACCGCATCTCCGTTATTTCCGTTACGTCACGCCTGCCGTTCATAATAGAGCGATAGAGCTTTCCAGTCGGCGAGGCCGACACAAAAAAGGTGTGCGCGGATCGCACTCGCCGACAAGTACTTCCGAAAGTCCGTCAGTAAGTAGCAACGCTTTGTGTAATTTACTCCGGCCACCTTGCGTTAAAACGCCTAGCTGTAAGCAAAATTAATAGAACTTGCTGTCATGCGAAAACAGATCTTGCCGCATCTTACGTCAGGAGAGACGCAAAACTTCATCAATGAACACTTTCGCTGTCAGGCCCCGGCACATTATTCTAGAAAGTTCTCTGTTGATATTTACTTTACAAGACGCCGGTCTGTGTGCTGTCATTAAACCGTTTAAAAACAGTAAAATGTGCTGCGATGCGCCACTTAACGCCGTCGGAGGCGCCTCTTCGCTGGAGTCTTATTCCATCCATCACTGCTGTCGCATGGAATCGCGGACTGTCAAAACGCGAATCTCGTGGATTCCGAAATTGTGATCGTTTGTCTTGAGTTATAGTTGTAGATATACAGGCGTTTAATCGCGCGTTTTGTGACTCTCAATTGCGTTTTGTGCTCCAGAACGATTGCGCAAGGCCCGAGTCATGCCCAAGACCTTGCTGCAGTGCTACAACAAAGGGTGCCTAAAGAAATTCGATCCCGATGAGAACGCGCCAGGTAAAACTATCGCTTTTACATTCATTCTAGTTGTTCAATAACTTATTACCGATTAAATCATCTGACATACTGCGACAGTTCAACGTCAGGCTGGCCTGCTTTTATTTTTTTAAGCACATTTTTTCGAAGAGACTGTTCTGACCTATCTTTGCCTCGACAGATGCATGTGTACATCACCCGGGAAAACCTGTATTTCACGATGCCTACAAAAGTTGGTCGTGCTGCAAGGCCAAGACCACGGATTTCACAGAATTTCTAAACATCAAGGTAAAAAGAGTTGGTGTTTATTTCAGTGTAAAGCAAATTAGGGGTAACTATCAGTGAAATAGCCTGAGGGTATGCACTTAGAAACAACTACCTCTTTCCCCATTCCTTGTCTCATAGAGAGATATCTAGCACCAACTCCATTGCCAGTAAGTGGTCTCGAAAATTTAATATGCTGGGAATAGTGGTGACATCAGCTGTGCGCTGTTTAACATCCAGATGTCTTGCTTGCCCTTTCTGTTTCACACATATATTTCTTCCAAATCATTCGTCTGTACTTACGAATAAAACAGGGGGACCTTAGGGCTGATTTTCCTTAATTAGATACAACCCTAAATGAGCACCGACAATAAAATTTTCCATCTTGTTTTTTTCTGTTGCATTAGGTAGCTGATGACCAACTTATAATGACTAGAAAACTTATTTGCCCAAGTACTCAATGGTTAATTATTTAGAAAAGGTGTTATAGCACTCAGTCGCAGTTCCAGTTTCAGAGAGCACCAAGTGAGGCGGGACCCGAGTGATTTTCATGTAAACATAGCTGGCCAAGTGAGTGCGCAAAACTGAATGCTCGTGAGCACTGTGTTGATAACTCTTTTCAATGACTGCTTCGTGGGTGCTTTGAGGCATAGATATGCATGACCCTCCAAAGAATGCTCTGACAAGGCAAAGACATCAGCTTTTGTACTCTCATACAAGTCTGTCCCTCTTTAGTTAATGGCTTGCACTGATGTTTCCGAAACTGTCATGTTGGTGGAACACAGGTTAGTGATGTCCCAGAGAGACGTTATCATTTACATAAATTGCAAGTTCTGTTGTGATTGACGCACAGAGGTCAATAAAATTCTGATTGTAATGTTATCATACTGAAGTGCATTAAGCTGCGACCGTGACGTCATGTGCAAGCTATCTATTGAAAATTACTGCTAGGAGAGAGCGCTCGCAGGGATCGTGGCAGCGCACACAAACTTGTGACACATGGGGCTGTTGCTTGTTTTCCCGAGAACCAAAAGCACATTTCACGTGCACTCGACATAACATGTACTTTACGATTGATTTTAAATATGCTATAAGCTATACTATCCATTGATATATTATAGATGCTGCATGGGGGGGGGGGTCCACACAAATACATCTCACAAGTTATCCCACCTTCAAAATTGTAACCTTAAGACCAAGAACCTTAAGAGACAAGAAGAGAGCAGAGTGGATTAGGGAACAAACGGGGGTTAAGGATATCATAGCTGAAATCAAGAAGAAGAAATGGACATGGGCGGGGCATGTAGCGCGTAGACAGGATAACCGCTGGTCATTAAGGGTAACTAACTGGATTCCCAGAGAAGGCAAGCGGGTTAGGGGGAGACAGAAGGTTAGGTGGGCAGATGAAATTAAGAAGTGTGCGGGTATAAATTGGCAGCAGCAAGCACAGGACCGGGTTAACAGGCAGAACATGGGAGAGGCCTTTGTCCTGCAGTGGACGTACTGAGGATGATGATGATGACTCTTTTAATGAAGACCAACAGATACTTCTGGTGCTCCACATGATAGCGCAACTGTGCTAGAAGCGAACACAGGCCACTGCAGACATTGACCATGAACGAACTGCTGGGAAGTTGTTCGAGGGAGTCGGTGAATGACTTAGCATTAATGAGCCTACCTCATTTACAGATTACACAATTTTCTTTAATAAACTGGATTTCACTTTCAGGGTTGTACAAAATCGTACCATTTGGACCAGAAGCCCCCAGAGTCGCCAAAACCAGAAAGAAAAATTGATCCTGAACTTGAAGCTCAACTTGAGGTAGGTCATTGTTTTTTATGCCCGCTATGCCGATAACAGCAGTTATCGTACAGCAAGTTTATTGTTGCAGTTTTTGCAGTTAGTATCTGCTTTAAGGCGTGAAGCAGCCTGTTTTGCAGAAATTCTGGTGTCGGGAGCTTTTCGTTGTGACTGAAAAGTTTCAAACAGTGGATTCAAGTCGGTATTCAACCGAGGCATTCTACGTGGCAGTGATTGAACGAACTGCTTTGAAACAAAAGTCTTATGCACTTATACTAAACCCTTTTAGGTGTCTGTCTATGTAATACTGCTTGGCAGAAGTGTGAAGTCACCCCAGGTGTTGTACCATGTGAATTGTGTTACAATGCATAATTGATAATCATTATTAGCCACAGCATAAACAAATTGGGCAGCTGTACAGAGCACATATTGCTGTATGGACATGTAGTAGGTACTTCACTAATTTGCAAATTGATAAACTATGTTGTAGTGGGCATTTTACAAGTATACATGAAGCAGGCATTGTAGGATTGTTTGAAACAGCCAGTGTTTTTGCTCAGATGTTCCTTTCCTCAGGACAGAAGTGAAGTATCTACTGAGAGGCAAATGTGAAGATGTGAACGGAGCCTGAACGCAATTTTGAAATGCACTTTTGAAGGCGAAGCTCAAGTGTTTGAGTTTTTGTGTTATATAAATCCCGAATCAATACTGACAACATTTTACGAGCTCATTGTGCTGGCAGCATGGGCCATTCAAAGCATTAAGATGTGTAATATGGGATTTTAAACGTGCACATTGGCGCTGATTGCAGCGCCCCACCACATTTTGTTTGAGCTCTCACTTGTGTGATCGATCCAATTGACTTCTTAGTGTTTGTAACGGCAGAGAAAATGCTAGCGGCTATTCTATCTTTCGTTGTGCTACAGCTCAAGTTGGTCCACACAACTGCACCATCAGGAAAGTACTTCCACTATTTTGTGACAAATATCTGGTGAATCACAATATGCGACATTCAACAGAACATACTGGCATCTCCTCTGCTAGCACTTGTGCATAATACAGGGTATTTCTTGACTTGTCACATGACTTTTTTTTTTTTTTCAGGCTGCAAATAAAGAGAAAGCAGCAGTGCGTGCTCAGATAACTCCGATTATTAGACCTAATGAGAATGACCCACTGGTGCGGCTAAAAAGCTCCATTGGTTCAAGCCTGACTCCTCTGCTGAGCAAGCTTTCCCTGGAGAAAAAGGTTGATGCTCCTGAAATTGAAGGTAAGCTCTTTGCATGCTTGGCACTTGGGGAGAGGGTTATCAGCCAAATTACTCTCTGTGTGTGTTGTTGCTTGAGAGGGTCCTTTGGTTCATTCAGGCACGCAAACTGTCCCGTGTCGTACATGTCAAAGAAATTCTTTGGTGTCAATTCTTTTATGAATTTCACTTCAATGGCTTCGTCAAGTTGAGTCAAATCACGGCATCTTACGTTTTTGTCATAGGGGTTCTTCATGTAAATATGAACACATCAAAGCTGCACGCGTAAACCTGTCACTCGTTCAGTTTTCTCCGCATGCTATCGGATTGGCACTGTTGTTAGTACTAGACAGCAGCCCAAACAGTCAGAACCCCGACCCCTTATCCCCATGTCTCGCGTTGAGTTGCGACCATTCTGGGTTTCAGGCCAGTGGGGACAGACACGTCTTTTAACTGAAGGTGTTTATTCACCTTGGATACGTATCTGCCAATTGCAACAAGTACACCAGCACAGCCGATTAACACAAGAACACCTCAAAGATGGAGTGCGCTCCGCACTACTAAGGGTAAAAACAACGAACAAATATCCAGCACATGTCAAGCGAGTGATAACCGCTCAGTTCACCTTGCTTGGCTTCTGCACACCGATTCTGGGTGGGAGCTCAAGCTTCATGGCTGGAGTGTTGCAGGGGTTGATGGTGGCAGCGTTGCTAGCAGATTGGCTCCGATCTGGTCCTTCACATCTCCCGAGACAAAGAAGCCCTTGAGAAAGCTATATGCTTTCTCAGGTTGAGAGGAGTAGTCTCCTCACAAAAGGGAGGGAATGGAGCATTTCGGCTGCAGAATAAGCGCAGGGTGCAAAGGGCAGTGGGGGTGGCAAAATGATCCCCCAATGCAACCCCTTATGCCACTGCGAGCGTAAGCATATCATGAGCGGAGACGCCGCGTCCAGGACACCGGATCGCTCACGCAACCCCACAATATTCAACCCGAGATTTGCAGCAGTATGTCAGTGTCGCGTCGCAACAAGTATGTTGGGCTCTAGGCGAGACTCTTGAAATTCCTGGTGCATTTTATAGACTGCATTACTCTACCAGCTAGTGAAATGCCCGTGCCCCTTCTATTTTTTTGAAGTGAGCCGAGATCTGCATCCCTTCGAACAATCACTTATCTGTGATAAGAAGCTGAGTGCATAAAGTAGCATACATCACACTGCAGCATTGCAGGGTTAAGCAGTTCATATAGTTTATGTCACAGTGTCGTAGCATTACCGTTTACTGTTGTTTTTCTTGCACTTATTTGGTGGTCAGAGTGACATGATACCCACATATCTACAAGATCAGCTGTCCACGAATATGAAATTGGCATTGCTGCAATGTCTTGGTCTGCATTTCTTGTTTGGTTGTAACTCAACTTATTTAATGACTTCGTACATTTATTTATAATGGTCAATTTAAATTGGTACGCTGGGGCAGCTTCCCAGCACGTACTTCCTACAAGAAACCAAATGAGGTCGACGCAGATTTGTGAGGCTTTAATGAATAACAGTTTTCAAGAAATTTTTATTTTGATTGCCTTTTTGGAGTTATCTCAGCCAATCTGCGCTTTATTTTGCAGCTGATAACATTGTTACCGTTGGCACAACGTGCAAGAATGCCGGTTGTCGGCAGGTGAGTTCTTTTTTGTAGCTGTAACACCTGATGGCAGCAGTGATGGCCGACACTGCTGTAGCAATTCACAGCGTTGTTTTGGCTTGACTTGTGTAGAATAGATTCAATGTAATTATAACAGGGTGCATCACCTGTGCCATTGGTAACTTCGCACGCCTAGATCGGACTAGCCATTCTTCTGCAGCATTCATCTTCATTTCTGAGGAAGGTGAATGAACCAGCCAGCAGCAGCATTAACTGCACTTCCTTTTGATCAATCCGATGGTCTAGTATTTGTAGGATCAAGCATGTGATGTTTAGGGTCAACACACATGTAGCACGACCTCTGAAGAGGTCACTGCTGCGATTACATAAAGCTCCTGCCTCCCGTCCTTTCGTTTCAAGGGCCTTGAACAGGCTTTTCCTGTATTTCCCATTTCTTACTTGTAAATGTCATGCTGACCCGTCATTCATTCCACACCCATAGATCAGGTCACATCTTAATGCCATAATTTTATACTCTTTACAGACCTTGTACGCTTCTATATAGTGTATGATTTTAGGCCTCTATGCATCTGTAATACATCCCATCATCGTAATCATTGGTCACTGCTAACATCACCTGAAAGACATGGTGCTTTTTGGCCACCAATGGCCACAAAAAACTACTAATCATTGCAGGGATAACATGCTTAGGTACTTGTGTTTGTGCTGTCTTTGTGAGAAATTGGGCAAAAGTTTTGGACTTAATTCTTTGCTCAGGAGTGTACCTATAGTCTACAGTAAGATCCCAAGCAAGCACCCCCCTCCATAATTTGGGAGATTTGAAATATCAATCAGTGGCTCCTTTCAACAAATATCAACAAGTGCCTCCTTTCCTTCATTTTCGTTTTTCACAATTTGAATTTGCTTGATGAGGGCAAATAAAACCAATGAATGCATTCATATATTATAGTGTTTCATTAGCAATATGGGTGTGGTTTCGTTATTTCTCGTAACTGTTCCGTTGCCACTTTGAAGTTTGATGCGTGACCAAACTAGCCCCCCCCCCCCCTTCCCCTCTGAATTTTGTCGGAATATTTATCACAGTATGCGGATAGAAGGGGTTTGCTTGATTTTACACTATGCCATCCTAAGGACCAAAATGTGCACTACGCGTGTACTAGAGATCATCTATGCATTGCTTGCCCGTTGCATTTATCTGTGAATATGGTTCATGGCATAACTAGCTGTTTTTCGCAACTATGACCAATTTTCTTCTCTCTTACGGTTGTATTGTGTAAAAAACTTTATTTAGCCAAGGCATTATTGGCAGTGGCTGGAAAAATTTTCAGATGACACAATAACAATTAGGATTACTGCTGCTTAGGGGTATAAGATAAAGCTGAAGTGCATCAAAAATTTCAGCCTAACCTGAATGGATGCTGGTTTCTTCAATTTCTCATCAAATTACTTCTCACTTCATGCAGCTTTGTCCTTTGATGTGCACGAAACTAACACTGGTAAAATATACGAATTGAAAACGTATGTTGACTATTCTGCCAAAAAACCTCTTGCTGCAAATGCGAGATGAACACTGCATGCCTCTCGCCTCTACGTACGCTTTGAACATCTCAAGCTCTTTTCTTCGGCAGGTATTTGTCACCATGTTAATAATATCTTCTGCCATTTTCAGACTTACAAAGGCGAACAAAGCAACCTGGACACCTGCTTCTACCATGCAGGCTATCCCATATTTCATGAAGGGTACATTTTTTCTTCTTTCTCGATGCTGCTCAATTTTTCAGCCCAATAAATTCAAAGGCAAACATTTTTTTTCTCCTTCTCTACTGCAGGATGAAGTACTGGACTTGTTGCCAGCGCAAGACGTCAGACTTTGCCAACTTTCTGGAGCAACAAGGTTGCACGTCGGGCAACCACGTGTGGATAAAGAAGGTATGATGTTGCGCAGAAGGCCGTTCTGGTACTACATTATCGCGTGAAGCAGTCAATTGTCAAGTTATGGTAAATGGGAGCAGCAGCGAGTGACTTCGTCTCAAGAAAGTCTGGTGCAACATATACTGATCGTTCCAGAAACCTGAAGCAGTCGATTTGATGTGTTGTGTCCAGAGACGGTGTTCCAGGTAGTTGCCGCCAGTAAATATCCGACGACAGCAGAAAAACTTTTCCTTTCTTTCAAACTTTTTTTTCTTATTGTGGTCATCAGCTGCTACTAACGTGCACACTGCTGAACTCTTAGACATCTTTTGAGTATTCTGTGGACTTACAAGTGCAACCTAACCTAAGAAGAAAGCTGGCAGAAAGATGTGAAGCTGTTTATGGAGTGGGTTTCACCATATTAATCTAAATTAAATTGAAGGAGGCTTGAAGGAAATGGAAGCAGCAGATTTTTCAATCATTTGTTGTATTCCCACTAGTGAGCGGCATTCATTAAAGATGATATTTGTTTCGCAGCAAGATCTTATCGGCAGTCGCCGTGATGGTGTAGCGGTTAAGGTGCTTGGATGCCAACTTAGTGGGTCTGATGCCGGCTGCGGCGGTCACATTGCGATGGAAGCTAAATGCTAGGGGGGGAGGGGGGGGGGGGCATGTACTGTGCGGTGTCATTTCTGGTTGAAAAAACACCAGTTGGTCGAAATCACCAACGCCCTTCCCTACAGCATGCCTCATAATAATGTAACTTAGAAGTGTGGCAGCTTGGGCTAGTTGGTATGGCATGACGATAGTTATAGCGCGAGAACAAAACGACCGTGTCCTTCTTGTCTCTATGTCATCGTTTTGTTCTTGCGCTATAACTATCCTCATAATAATGTTGTGGTTTTGACATGTAAAACCTCGGATATTAATAATTATTATCGAGATGTTATGAGCAGTGCTGCTCTTGCCCAAGCCTCTGGTATTGCTGTATACTGCTGCCCACAAAACGAACATTGCCCTTTGCAGAAAACTGCCGAGGCACAGACGTCGTGTCGTTACGACTGGTACCAAACTGGAAATTCTGTGGTGATCAGCATTTTTACCAAGGTGCCCATACCCGATGAATCATACGTGGAGGCAAACTCGGTCAAGTTACACCTGCACATTACCTTTGGGGAAGACCGCACCATCTACGATGAAGTTATGGTGCTTCACGGAGTGAGTGGTGGACACTTATGCACTTCGTTTGTCACTCACTATGACAAACCACTTCACTGCATAATATTGCTGGTGGTAACTTGACTAGCCTTAACTAGGGCCAGCAACATTTGTTACGATAGAAACATGAATTGCCTACTAGTGTAACATTTGAAGAAAGTTCCGTTGACCAACTGCATTTGTTTCAGGTCATGTGGCTATAACATCTCTCCCTAAGATCAAAGATACTCCTTTGTTGCTTGAAGTAACCTACTCCAATGACCTGCCACCAACTTCTAACGGGAGATTTGAATACCACAGAGTTCAAAACTTTTTGAAGCAGAATACTTTCAACAAAATAATAAAATACTCCCATGTTTCTAATTTTATTGTTATAACTTTGCGAGAGTTGGAAGGGTATGTTATGTATTATGTTGTACATTACAACAAAAGCATGCCATTGTCCCGTAATCACCAGGTTTAGTAGGAAACAGCAGCTGAAGTGAGTCATTTCCATTTCATTAATATGCAAAATTTTTTAATCAGCATTCGATAATCGGTTTAGTCTCTCACATAAGTCACAAACACGGTCTGTTTTTATTTCACCTACCATTAATATGCAGCAACTGTGGCATACTGCCAATGCAAACTTCTGCTTATGTGGCTTCCGTTGACTCTAGAAATTTGTTTCTTCTACGCAACAGGTAATTGATGTGGAGAAAAGTTTGGTGCAGTACCTTGGAACCAAAGTGGAAATCAACCTCAAGAAAAGAGACGCTGTAGGCTGGAGACTGCTGACCCTTCCACCACAAAAGCCACGGATTCAGGATGGTGATGGAGACATTGAAGACTCATGAAACAAGCCTTGTGCCAGATATGCTGCATGGCTGCAGCTCGGGCAGCGAAATGTCGAGACAGTTCATCTAACTTAATTGGAACATCCTAATCAAAGAACATGTGGTTATTAAAGAGATTTGACTTTGTTTCACATTTGATTTGTCGTTTACCTTTCTTTCTAAGCACATGGGCAGTGGTTGTGTTCACGATTGTTTAGCCACTTCACACGCAAACTGTCCAGTTTCAAAAGTCTTTCATGCATTTCAAGTGTACACCTACGTACTGTGCAAGGTCAGTGCAGGTTAAATACCTCATGGTCTAAAATTTTGGAGCCCTCCATTACGTTGTGCCTCATTATAATATAGTGGTATTAGTGCATAAAACCCCACCAAATTATGATTTCAAATTTACACAGCTCACTAATTGTATTAAGCAGAAAATTGTATCCAATTGTAAGGCTTAATAATATTCCAAAGCAAAGATGAATACTACTAATAACAGTCGGTGCAAAAAAAAAAAGACATGAAGAAAAATAATTCACAACACAAGGACTGTTTTAGCTAGTCCAATTTGCTACATTACTATTACTAATAATGGCACATTGTGAGAAATGTAAATATGGTTTGATAAGAGGGGCCGTAATTGTTTGAAGGTTAGATATGTATGCTTTTGCGAAATTACGACACATTGGGAATTAGCACCCACAGCCTCGTATTCACACCTTGAAGCTGGATTAGATGCAAAAAAGAAAAGTCAGTTTCCCCAAAAGGGCAAAGCAATGAATGCAATAACAACATATTCGAATGTTTTATGAAGCAAGGCTAGCATTTTCGGGAGCAATATTAATTGTAGTACACATGCGCTTGGGAAGTAATCAAGCTTCCTGCGGCGTGGCCGCAGCAGATGGCCACAACAAGGCTCGAGCGTAGTAACTGTGATGATGAAAAGCGTCTCCCGTGGGCAGCGTATGCTGGTACTAAGGGCTATACGTTGTGTGTCGTCGCTGGTGGCAGTTTGTTACGTACCGCTCCAGGTACAGTTTTGGCACCGTTTTTTCATGTTGAAAGTGCAGCCCGTAGAAGCTCCTGCCTGCTGTGGGTGGAGCCAGAGCCCCCGCATGACCGCTCACAAGATAAGTGGGCGTGCAGATGACCCCGGCCCGAAAGGAGCTGTTCGCTCTGCAGAAAGAGGAGGCTAGCGCATCCTTCCCTGTGTTTGTGTGAAACATAATGCTAAGGAAAGTATAGGGGAAATTATTAGACTGAATTCGTAATGTAAATGGGAAGAAAGAAAAGTGGGTGAAAAGATAACTTGCTGTGGGCAGGAACCAAACCTGCGACCTTCGTATAATGTGTGCGTGTGTGTGTGTATATATATATATATATATATAGCTCATTAATATTGTGTCAAACAAGGAAAAACAAGCCCTTAAGTATACACTTCTTCACTCTTTATATAGACATATATATGCATGAATGACGGCGATGGCAAAAACTAGCCGAGGCTGTCTGTAGAATTTAAATTGCTATCGCAATAAAATATTAAATGCAGTCACATGACAACTGCCTTTAGAGATTTCTTGAAAAAAGTTTTGAGCAAGTACAGTGTACTTGTGACTGAATAATACAGGTTCAACAGCATAGCGACGCATTATGGTGTTTTAATCGTACGTGTGCTTTGATACGAGTGACATAATTCACCTTCAAAGCAGTTATCTACAATACCAGCGTACTTTGCCTATTTGTGTACATATATTCATATAAACAACGTTGGTTGCAATTCTTCGTAATGTAGTGGCACAATTGGCATATACTGTACTGCAAGCCGGGTGTCACATCTGACCCCGCTCTCTTGCAATTCGATTGCCGTAGGACCTTGACACTATGTTCCAAGAATCCATGTACCGGTCCATGCACATGGATATACATTTCTGAAAAGTCAGAGAGAAGAATGCATTAATGAGACATGGCTAAACATCACCACACAATGATGATCAGCACTACATAGCTTGCTGCTTCTGAGAAGAATAGGCAATTGATTCCTAGTCCCAGTAACAGCTGTAGGTGTCGCACCCATAATGCCTTGAATGAAACTGTCTCTAGTACTGCAATAGATCAGCGGTGGGGTCAATACTTCATAAACAATATGAGGCTTGGATGATGATAATAAGCACTGTCCTTGAACATGCTGTCTGACCAGCCTTTCCAACACTACACTCAATTACGATTGGGGATCGGCTGAATGTAGTCAGGAAGATTGAACACTTAATCAAACGAGCACAGCCGATCACATAATATTGTATAGTTGAGAAGACAGACCAATATATAAAGTTCGTACAGGTCCAGTAAACATATTATGGCGGAGATTTCTCTACCCGTGCCCCGAACACGTCGCGCGCACCTCCCTGAATAAAAAAAAAAAAAAAAACGATGTTTCAGCGTCAACACGCGGTGGGTTGACGCCAGGTCGCTAAGGGACAACCAACAAACTGACCTGTTCAGAGTTGTCCAAGGACGTCCCAGGCTTGGAAATACACTTCTTAAAGCACTTCTCGGTCATTTTCTGAAACGAGATTTTCGCAGTTGAGGGGCGTGCGCGGGTACCACTGAGGGAGATGACCTTCCCTGTAACGGCCATCTCGCACGTGTCGCATGCAGTAGTGTCAAATAGAGTGTTTCGGTCAACGCACGTTGCGAACGAACAAGAATAAGCGCAAGAGCCTTCCAAGAAGACATCGTAAAACAAAGCGCGCTTTCGTAACAGTGAGCACCCGACCGGCATGGATTATGCCATTGCTAATCGTCACCTGCAATAACTCCTGAGCATTTGCAACAGCGATTTGCTGTTTGACCTGGTCCATCAGCTCCTCCTTTTGAGCTCCGGTAAGTTTTCCGGCCGGTAAACCATCCATCGTAAGCGTCGTTGTACAATTACGAGCGGTGGAGCCCCTATGTAACGAGACGAATTTCCAACCACGTGAAAAAAAATACACCCGGATTCCCGCACCACCGCGCTACACGCACAGAAAAAGAAGCAGAAAAAGAATGAGGTCGCAAGCCAATCCAACTCATAACAAATGTTGATTGCAAGCCACTGCCAAAACCGAAACCTAAAACATGACGACCATGACGTTCCAATTTAAACATCACAAAGTAAACTTCTAACATGCGTTTTTGTTTCAAAATAAATTCCACATACGATTGTCAACCTTTATTACAAAACTGTACTACATGCATGACAACATGTGTTGGCTTTGTCACGCTGCGGCTTGGCTGGATCGGTTTTTTTACCAAGCACCCGAAAACGCATGGCATGGAAGTTGCGATGAAGTCTGCTAGGACGCTCCAATTTATTTCCAAGCTGAATAGTTGTTGCACCACAGCACGTCTATCCACTCCTTTAACTCATGTAATTACCGATTTTCGATCTGTGTGTCGAGCGGTTCTAAACGTTATCGTAATACATTTGTAGTACCACTCGTAAAACCGGCCATTCTATCGCGAGTCTGCGCGGTTCGATGATCTGTGTCTCCCGACTTTCAGGTTCGCTACTCCGCCACCAGCAGCGGAGAAGACGCAGCCAGTAATGATGCTCCTGATATTCTCCAGCTGCATCTGCGAGCAGAAACCAAAGTTCAGAAGATCAGCAAAGCCATGAAAGCATACTTGGAACGGGCCAAGGCGTACGGTAATTTAATCGTTATTTTATCCATCAGTGGACGTGTTACCGAAGTTTCGAAGCTTTACAAATGCCCACTTCGGGAATTAAAAGTTTTCTCGACATCAACCGAATCGGTACTGGGATTTAGTTACTATTCGTGACGCTCTAGCCGTGTCGTCTGCTACGAACCTAAAATAATGTTGCGTGTTCTTGTTGTGCTCGTTTCAGATGATTTCATAAAGAAGGAGCAACATGAATTTGACATTGGCAAACGACATCTTGCAAACATGATGGCCGTTGATGTCGACGAAATGACGCAGGATGATGTTGACGTGAGTTCCCGACTGTATATGTACTCGCGAGTATCACTGATCACGGTTTATTTTCTTTTCCTTTATTCTTGTTAATCTATTTTCTTTCAGAGAGCCATTCAGTATTTGATGCCTTCGGCCTGCACGAGCCCAAGGCTCGACCTATCATGAAGGTAAGTAAACCTGGTTTTGTACAACCTAACTTGTAAAACTGGAGGAGTTCCAACGTTCATTAAAATTTCATTTATTCTTTTTGATAGCCTCCTGAAGACGTATTCCCCAGAGAAAAAGGTTAGTTTAACGTCTCTAATCATGTTTACAATTGTTGTTGACATTGTTGATATTGAGGGATTCGAAGGTTTTGCGGCACCAAAGAAAACAATTTGCGTGCATTTCGCTTCTTTGACATGGCAGATGTTTCCTTTGGTATGTTTGTAGCAGTCTGTACGCAACTGTACAGCTGCATGAAAAGTTAGGTCACGAAAATGATCACTTCAAGCACACTGCAACTTAACAGCACAAAAGCAAAAGAAAGCAGCATGAAGATTATTGGTTTCATGTTGTGCGCTGTGTTGTTATGCCAAAGCAGAACCACTATGTTAGTCATGCTTATGTCTTTTACTATGCATCTTGCAATTGAATTAAGTGTTTCAGTGTCGTTTAAAGTTGCTGTTACGTTGCATTGAACAATGCGAGTAATACACTCAAATCTCGATATAGCGAATCCGGATATAACGAAAGATCAGTCATAACGAAGTGAATGAAAAGGATAGTCTTGCAATAGTTATATTATTAGGAATACACCTTTAGAACGAATATTTGGATATAATGAACTTATTTTGTGTAAGATGCAGCTTTGTTATAATGACGTTTGAGTGTATAAATAATATATCGTGCTGCATATAGGTAGGCCTGTCTGTGCAGATGTGTAAGGTTTGAGTTTCATTAACGAAACTGCAACCAATGGGTACTTTCATCTGGCAGTTAAAGGCATTCATCCATGTAGTGCAACACATGATTGTGAAGTTGAGGAACAACTGCTAATAGAAACATTCAATCCACAAATGTAATAACCTGGCTGCTTCTACTAGCGTATGTAGGTTGATCACACTTGTAACCTTTTTATTGAGAAAGAACAAAGTGCCGTCATTCGATCTAAACCTTCAAAAAGGTTAAAATATTTCTGCTGAGTCGATTATGGAGCATCCATGTAGTGCAGCAAGTCAGCCTTTACATGCTTACAAAGAATACACATTTTTTCTGCACATTGCATTTACTTGAAGAAATACTGGTACCTTGCTGTTGAAGCCATTTCATTTTTGCTTATTACTTTAACCATATACCGGAAGCTTCTAAGTAAATCGCTTTGAGCAGAAATGCTTGGACTTGTCTTGTAATGTCATGACGCCTTGTTTATGTGCAGCTGCGCAGTTCGACTATTCTGGAAGGCCGTTTCACTATCTATTCTACACAACGAAGCCCCACTACTATGGCGTGTTGCATGTAAGAAACAAAATTTCATTCGCAAGTTTGTTTGCTTTTGTGATGCAGAAATCATAGTCCTGTTAAACAAGGCACTGAATGATTGCATTTAAGTGTGGTAGGGGTCAAATTTGCTGACCACAATTAGCCATCTTCTACATTTTGATTAAAAAAACCAATCACATTCTACGTATCCCATCCCATCGACCTCAGCCAAAAGTGTCCTTAAGGGACAAAATTCTGGCACGTGTGGCCTGCATTCATCTGCTGTTCAAGTATCAAATTGCTAGTTAATGCATGTGTAGTCTGGTTAATGTTGAAAAAAAAATATTCGACTAATTGCCGTGCATAAACAGAATCACTACGTAAACCACATGAAACTTTTTTTCTTTTTTTGATACAGGATGCAGTTAGCCATGTGGCTGAATTGAACCGCCTAGAAACCCGAATGCTCAACAAAGGAGTGGCAGAACCAGAAGCTGCAATGAAGTTGTGAGTTTGCTAACATGCAATTTTGTGTTGTGGGCCATATTTTCAGTGCTTGCTGCTAGAAAAATTACAGAAATCCTCTGGCACGTGTTCCAAATGTTTCTACGTGCAGTCAGGGTTGTGCAGTTGTGGAGTACCAGCCGTAGGTCAGTGTACAGTCAAGCCTCAATATAACGAACATGGATATAATGAAATATTGGTTATAACAAAGTAAACGAAAAATAGTTTTGCAATAGATACAATGTTATAAATAACCTTTCTAACAAATTTTTTGATATAACGAAGTTATTTTCTTGTTAGATGCAACTGTTATAATGAGGCCTGAGTGTACTCGCTATAGAGTATGCAGAGTCATACTTGTGTGAACTTTAAAAATAGTTTAAAGAGTTTGACCAAAGAACGTTTGGCAGAAAATAAAAGTTTTTGAGATGCCATACATTCACCCATACAGAAGAGAGCAAGAATAAAGCTTTTAAAGGTTATCTTTTCAAGAGTGACAACTAGCAATATCCGGCCTACATTGGCTTCAATACAATATTTTTTTTTTTTTTTTGAGCCAGACCAAAACTTGTGGGGGTGCTGACACCCCCCCCCCCCCCCCTGTAAAGTTGTCTGCGCCGCGTGGCGCACGTGTCTCGCCCCAAGGCTTTATTTTGGTGGTGACCACCGCCAGGCGATAGATGGCGTTGTGTTCGCTTTGAGTACCACTGTTGGTAGAGTGGTAGCGCCGGTGGTGGCCCCTGGCGGAAGGCAGGCCTTGGTGGCGGGCGAGCGTTGAGAGAGTCTCTTCTGCGCGTGGCGGCTGCCGCGAACGGTTGTCTGTAGCGTGGGCCCCCCGGTGCTCGGCACCGCGGGCTTCGCGCCGAGGTCCCACGTGGAAAGTCAGGCGTTGGCGACGCCGCCTTGGGTATGTGCTAGTGTGTTGGGTGTGTTAGTGTGTGTTTATTATGTTATTGTGTGTTTAGTGTGTCACTGCGTTATGTTGTTTGTATGGTAGCGTGTTAGTTGAAATTTATGTATCATTCGGCGGACGATATCGTCGTCTAAATTAGTTAATAAATGTATGTATGTTGTGTGCTTTGTACCGACTGCGTCAACTGTGTCCATTCACTCCAAGAGCGTGGCGTGGCGATGCGCTCGTTCGCCTCGCCGAGACCCCACACTGGCGCCCAACGTGGGGCTCTTGGAGTATCGGACGACAGTTTTGCGATTCGGAAGAAGCTTTTGCTAGAGTGGGCGAAGAGTAGGCTTAGGGAGACTTTGCTAGCGTCGGCGGTGTGCTTTCTTGAGAAGCGGGGATATTGGTTTTGGGATGTGTTTTGAACTTGTTGGCACTCGAGTTTTTATTTTTTTCTGCTCGCAAGTGGGTGTTTTTGTTAGTTTTCAAAAACGTTGTTGAATTAGGACGAGAGCCATGCGGTCCGCATCCTGGGGTGAGCAAGGCCTAGAGCACGTGGTTTGTAGGCCAGGCCCGAAGCGAGTGAGTACGGAAGCCTCGTGGGTGGTCCGATTTTCTGTGAATAGCTTCTTCTATCTCTTTGGGCTCAGGGAGCCGGGGCGTCGTGACACCGCCCGGGGCGGTGGACGCCGATCGCTCGGTAAGCTGCTGTGTGCGGCGAGCGATAGGGCCACCTCACAGAGTGGACGTCTCCTCGCGGCTGCCTCTTCTGCGCCTAGGCTGGGTGCTGGGTGGATGCCGGTTGTTGTCGAGCGACTCATTAGGCCTAAGGCTCTGCGCAGCCGCCTGTCGCACGTGGCACAACTAGGTGGATCGTGGCGTTGAGGTGTTGCGCTCTGCTTCCCTCACTTTTTTTTATCTTGCGATGGCAAGGGTTAGGAAAAGTGATTTTCGTTTTATTTTGATGGGCGTCTCGGCCGCCACCGATGTATTAGCTAGCAGTACTGACCAACGTACCACGTGGACGAAAAGCTCGAAGCCCCGTTCCCGAGGACCTGCTCGATTGTTTTCTTTCAAGTTTTTTTGGTGTTATTGATGTATTCGGCGGGAGGGATGTCATCCACGGCCGGCTGTCCTGCACGTCGTCAGCGTCACTGGCCAGGAATGCGGTCGTGAGGTCGGGCGATGGAGATGCCTGGGACCTGCGCAACTGCCTGCAGTCCGGTGCCCTCGCGAGTGCTGGTCGCAACTGGAAGACGTGTCGGCGCTAGCGACGGATCGTCACGCCGACGGCAACGTTGCTGTTGCGGGGCCGGTACTGAGGTGAAGTCTAGCCGGACAGTGCAGCAGTGTCGACCAGCGGCGTTGTCGTGGTGCAAGGACATTATGGTCGTGCGATATCATTTTTTTGTTAAAGCTTGTGTAGCTAATTTTTGATTTCGAGATATGGTTTGATTTAAGGTTGGGGGAATGTGGGGGTGCTGACACCCCCCCCCCCCCCCTGTAAAGTTGTCTGCGCCGCGTGGCGCACGTGTCTCGCCCGAAGGCTTTATTTCGGTGATGACCACCGCCGTGCGATAGATGGCGTTGTGTTCGCTTTGAGTACCACTGTTGGTAGAGTGGTAGCGCCGGCGGTGGCCCCTGGCGGAAGGCAGGCCTTGGCGGTGGGCGAGCGTTGAGCGAGCCTCTTCTGCGCGTGGCGGCTGCCGCGAACGGTTGTCTGTAGCGTGGGCCCCCCGGTGCTCGGCACCGCGGGCTTCGCGCCGGGGTCCCACGTGGAAAGTCAGGCGTTGGCGACGCCGCCTTGGGTATGTGTTAGTGTGTTGGTGTGTGTTTATCATGTTATTGTGTGTTTAGTGTGTCATTGCGTTATGCTGTTTGTATGGTAGCGTGTTAATTGAAATTGGTGTATCATTCGGCGGACGATATCGTCATCTAAATTAGTTAATAAATGGATGTAAGTTGTGTGCTATTGTACCGACCGCGTCTGCTGTGTCCGTTCACTCCAAGAGCGTGGCGTGGCGATGCGCACGTTCGCCTCACGGAGCCCCCAAACTGGCTGCCCAACGTGGAGCTCTCGGAGTATGGGACGACAGTTTTTGCGGTTATTTTGTTAGAGCCGGAGTAGAGTAGGCCTAGGGGGGACTCCTTTGCTAGCGTCGGTGGTGTGCTTTGTTGAGAAGCTAGGAGATTGGTTCTGTAACGTGTTTGAATTTGTCGGCAGGTTGACTTCCTATTTTTTTTTTGCTCGCAAGTGTTATTTTTTGTTGTTAGTTTTCAAAAACGTTGTTGAATTAGGACGAGAGCCATGCGGTCCGCATCCTGGGGTGAGCAAAGCCTAGAGCACGTGGTTTGTAGGCCAGGCCCGAAGCGAGTGAGTATGGAAGCCTCGTGGGTGGTCCGATTTTCTGTGAATAGCTTCTTCTATCTCTTTGGGCTCAGGGAGCCGGGCGTCGTTGCTGACTTGCATTGCGGCTCGACGCCGAGGCGTCGTGACACCGCCCGGGGCGGTGGACGCCGATCGCTCGGTAAGCTGCTGTGTGCGGCGAGCGATAGGGCCACCTCACAGAGTGGACGTCTCCTCGCGGCTGCTTCTTCTGCGCCTAGGCTGGGTGCTGGGTGGATGCCGGTTGTTGCCGTGCGACTCATTAGGCCTAAGGCTCTACGCAGCCGCCTGTCGCACGTGGCACAACTAGGTGGATCGTGGCATTGAGGTGTTGCGCTCCGCTTCCCTCACTTTTTTTCTTGTGAGCACGAGTTAGGAAAAGTGATTTTTGTTTTATTTTGATGGGCGTCTCGGCCGCCACCGATGTATTAGCTAGCAGTACTGACCACCGTACCACGTGGCCGAAAAGCCTGAAGCTCCCTCCCCTGGGCCGCGCTCCTTTGTTTCTTTCGAGTTTTGTTTTTTGTCAATGTATTCAGCGGGAGGGATGTCATCCACGGCCGGCTGTCCTGCACATCGTCAGCGTCGTTGGCCAGGAATGCGGTCGTGAGGTCGGGCGATGGAGATGCCTGGGACCTGCGCAACTGCCTGCAGTCCGGCGCCCTCGCGAGTGCTGGTCGCAACTGGAAGACGTGTCGGCGCTAGCGACGGATTGTCGCGCCGACGGCAACGTTGCTGTTGCGGGGCCGGTACTGAGGTGAAGTCTAGCCGGACAGTGCAGCAGTGTCGACCGGCGGCGGTGTCGTGGTGCAAGGACATTGTGGTCGTGCGATATTATTTTTTTGTTAAAGCTTGTGTAGCTATTTTTTTATTTCGGGGTATGGTTTGATTTAAGGTTGGGGGAATGTGGGGGTGCTGACACCCCCCCCCCTGTAAAGTTGTCTGCGCCGCGTGGCGCACGTGTCTCGCCCCAAGGCTTTATTTTGGTGGTGACCACCGCCAGGCCATAGACGGCGTTGTGTTCGCTTTGAGTACCACTGTTGGTAGAGTGGTAGCGCCGGTGGTGGCCCCTGGCGGAAGGCAGGCCTTGGTGGCGGGCGAGCGTTGAGAGTGTCTCTTCCGCGCGTGGCGGCTGCCGCGAACGGTTGTCTGTAGCGTGGGCCCCCCGGTGCTCGGCACCGCGGGCTTCGCGCCGGGGTCCCACGTGGAAAGTCAGGCGTTGGCGACGCCGCCTTGGGTATGTGCTAGTGTGTTGGGTGTGTTAGTGTGTGTTTATTATGTTATTGTGTGTTTAGTGTGTAACTGCGTTATGTTGTTTGTATGGTAGCGTGTTAGTTGAAATTTATGTATCATTCGGCGGACGATATCGTCGTCTAAATTAGTTAATAAATGTATGTATGTTGTGTGCTTTGTACCGACTGCGTCAACTGTGTCCGTTCACTCCAAGAGCGTGGCGTGGCAATGCGCTCGTTCGCCTCGCCGAGACCCCACAAACTTCATCACTCCATTCATTTTACAGCAAGAAATTTTGTAATTGAACACCAGATGAAGTGGCATCTGTTGTTTCTTAAATTTTGAAAACCAGGGTGTATACTAATATTCAGGAAATTCAGAGGAATTCCTCGTTTTTCATCCATTCCTGTAGATGCTATACTAGTTCTTTAATGTTTATCATGCACTGGAGGTCCCAATTACACCTCCAACTCTGGGACCTCCTCCTGTGCACTGAAATGTAACAACATTGTTTTGATTATTGTTCTGATTCTGATTGACTGTGAAAATAGGGCATGCATTGCAATCTCAAACACTTAAAAATCAAGTGACTGCAGTAGCTACTCATTTATTCACATTGGACAGTGTGGAATGTTGTTTGTGCATAGGTGATTAACAACACACGCTTTGCATTGCATTTGCTCAGGAGTCTACAGGACAGCACCTGGCTTCCAAAGAAGGATCTTGAAGTGCTACTTGTGGAGTCATTGAAGGATATTCAGGTGATTTCCTACTGTCTATGCTTTCCCCCTACTGTCTATGCTTTCTCAACCTACCTGCCCTCTAAATAAGCTGTGGCTTCATTAGGATTTGTCATATTTGCTCTGTTTCACATCAATCGGGAACCAGTTCGGTTCGTGGGACCCTTGAAAAGCAATTCTCTCTTATATTAAGCATTTCAATAGCTTGATACAAGAGCAACAAAGTTTCTAAAGTGGTATTTATAATAGTTGCTGTCAACTTAATAGTTGCCTTCTGTGTCCCTTGAAGAATAAGCCAGGAGAACTGTATACGAAGGGAAAGCGCTTTGTAAGCATGGAAAAAAGGTGCGCGGGTACCTGCGTTCACTCATACAATCAGCCAAGAGCTTCACTTCTCCCTCGCACACTTTCTTGTGTGTTCAGTGTATGAGCATGCATTCGCGTGTGAGTGCTTTTAAATTATTAAGCTTCTTCCAAAAAGATTTACCAACTAGCCCAACTACAGGTTCTTCTGGCAAGCATTCTTTTTTAAGACGGTGATATTTATAGTGCTGACTTCACAAGACAGCATGGTAGGTTGTGAGGGATGATTACAGAAATGTGACCACACCTTGGCTTTTGATATGAGCTCTGAGATGTCACTTCTTGGTTAGTTTTTTTTTTCTTTAATGCACATTTGAACACTCTTCATCTCTTGGGAACTAAATACTTTGCAACAATAATTATCTGCTGGTTACGACTTTGGTACTCACAAGACTAATATATTGAAACGCCGTGATACCCTGGATAATTTTGTTCTAATTGCCATTGCTGGCAAGTTACAATGATGCTGTGTGCCCATGTAGTGGACAAGTTCGCGTCTGGGGTAAAGTAAAATATTTTCAGTTTCCATCTGTTGTAGTAGTAGTTAAATAGTGATACCCTTCAACATGTAAGGAGCATGTGCTGAAGCTTCTATAACTTTTAAAATCTCTTCACTGTGTATATATAAGTGGAGGTGCATAACAAATCTCACCCCCCCCTGCAATGCAAAAATACAGATGTTATTGCAGTTCAATATTATTATGAATATCAGTCTGTATACAGGTATTGTCGAATCTGTGCCCACACACACTGCTCTTACAAATATTTCAGTTTTTTTTTTTCACTGCCAGTAATAATGTACAATAATCACTGTCCTATTCGTTGTATGTATTTTTATGCGAACAACCAACAGAATAATAAATTACCAATTTATGCATTTATAGAGGTCTACTTCTTTTTTTTATTCATTTTGTAACTTATTTGTGTTATACTTCTCAATGGTACACATATGTGAAGCTTTGGCAGGTATGATGCTACTGTAGCATAGGAATGAAATGAAAAAAAAAAATTGCTTATACATTAGTGCATTAGTAAAAAAAAAAAAAACCTTCACAAACTACACTTGCGTTTGGAACCACCTAATGCTTTTGCTTTATTTATGCTGATTCTCTGTCATGCGCCTTTTGGCCTCCGACCGATGAAATCACATTTATAAGTGCAAATGTAAATGCAAATAACCAGCTTTCAATTGAGTGCTTCTTGCTTTTTTGTCTATCCCAGTACGAGTACTTCGTCAAGACCCTAGATCGATTAGCGGAACATCCGTACTCATCACAAGTCAAGGAGTTCATCATGAAGTACAGAAAACCGAGGATGGCGACATTTATTCGAGACGAGATACCACCGGTATGCCTTAGGACCCATACATGTCTGAAATTGATTTTAAAAAGATGAATTCCGGGGGTTTTATTTAGTTTGTGTCGTAGCGAGTGGTCTTTGGACTTATATTGTCCACCTGTTGGATCCTGTAATCTGCGACTCATTTTAGTTTTTAGCATATATTTAGAATACTTTAGCATTCAAAAGCATTGAAACGGGGTTTTTCTGGCGGGATTTGAATAGCCTCAGGCTTGGTGCTGCAGCATTCTGCCATAACTACGAAGTTAACTTGGCGGTTCATGTTTGGTGTTGGTGTATTGAGAGTGGTAAGGGTTTTTTAGGAGATGTGACAGTTCCAATACAACAAACCGATGCTCTGCATAATGTGATTTCCTTACGACAAGCGACAATCATTACATGATTTTATTACACTTTTAATTGTCCTGTTCACATCCGGTTACACCTTAAATTTGTGTTTGGCAGTATAAATGGTTGGCAAAATAATGACTCATGCAGCAACTCTTTTCCCCCAACTGCCTGCCATGTATCCAGAGCACTTTTTTTTTTTTGTGCAATACAAGTGACAAATTGAATTTTGGGAGCTGGAAACATGCCTCAGCCGTCCTTTTCAACACTGCATTCTTGAACGGCAGAGGTTGTTACATTCACAGGATGTTCATAATTTAATTAAAACTAAGGAAATGAGAAAGTAGCGAGGGTGTTTTTTTTTTCTGCCGCCATTGGCCTAAAAAAGCAGCCAAATCGGTGCACAATAGCCAAATCTGGTAACCATGGTCAATTGATAGTAATTGTACAGCATAGTGAAATTGAAGGCTTGCCCTGAACTCCTTGGGAAACGATATTGCGGATGGTAGATTTTATTGATCATAGACCTTTTCAGATCACATGGTCCGCATTAACTTAGAATGACCTGCAGTAAGTAATAACATGTCAAGGTTTTGCAAGCTCGTAGTGGTTCTTTATAAACCTGACTTGTTTTCTGTTTCTTTTTCCAACACCCAGTTACAATATGATGAAACTGGAAGGCCTTATGCCAAGGGTAGTGGTAAGTTCATCTGTACAATTTTGTTCGTACTGTAGCCTTCGTACTGTAGCCTTCTTCGTACTGTAGCCTTTTCGCTAACTTTGGTGCCATGAATTTTATTGGTTGGCGTATTCTCCCTTCCCTTCACATTTTTTTAAGGTGCCAGAAAGCATGTGAGGGCTGAAGTGACTGTCTGGGGCAATGGCACGGGAAAAGTGACAATCAACGGTCATGGCATCGAGTACTTTGACCAAATTGCAGACAGGTTAGTCGGCATCTGCTTCCTGTAGCTTATTAATACCATGCACCATTAACAGCAGCTCTAATTTTTCATTCTACTGTTTCATACGACACGATAATTTTGGCAGTTATGAAATATATAAGAGCACTACGGTACCGCACTGTAGTAGTTAGCCTGGATTTGTTCTATGTGTAAGCTGACATGACTCAGTCAATTGGCATTTTTGTTCAAGTGAACAATGCACAGAAAGTGGTTTTCTGAAGACCTCGAAAAACGGACATTTTTGGTTATAGGTACAGCATTTCAAGAGCCTTCTCATGTGCGAATAAAATCACAGCATTATGTGTGTTATCATTTTGGCATGAGCTTGGTTCACACAATTTTTTTTTTTTGTTGTTGTTCTGGAATGAGTGGGCACTAGTGGCGTGAAAGAAAGTTAATTGTTCGAGGGGCTCATTTATTTGTTATACCCAATTAATGAAACAAACTGACAATTAAGCCAAGGAAACCTCCTTGGCTTAATCATCTGTTGGTTTCGTCAGTTCAGCTCTAATGGCTCATTTTCCACCAGCTTTTAGTATCATTATGCAGTAGTTGCAGGTCATATATATCTCTTAACAAGTTTGTTGTACAACAGTGGTGGGTTTTTCCATGCTTTTCGTCACAACATTTGTCAAATTATAAAAAAGAGTTTAGTTGAAAGCTACGCAAGAAATTCCTCTCGTCAAAATTGAACTGCGGTGCGGTGAAAATACAACCGCTTCCTAACATAACCGGACAGAACATGTGCTAGCTATAATCTCATGCTGCTGTTATTTTATACATGGCTATTGTGTCAACGTGACGTGCTAAAATTCTTCCGGAAGTTTGCATAACACTGTTCAGTTCAGTGAAGGAATTAGTGTGGCTTGTGCATTTTCAAGTATGTTACGCCAATAAAAAAGCCCAAGAGTCTCATGAAATACGCTTGATAAAATGTGGTGGCCTCTGTGTGAGAAATGTTATTATTTAGGCTTGTATGAATATTCGAGAATTTCGAGTGTTTGAACGGACATTGGATGAATGGATAGGTGAAAGAGCTTTAATAATGTCCAATAGGTCGCACTATAGCTCGTAGCGGGCCGCTCCCACGTTGGGACCGAAAGACCTAGCCTTTCAGATGCTTCGAATGGATATTAACGTATTAAAATTTGTTCCGATGCAAATTTAAAGTATTGGAAATTTAGAAGTGTTCAACGACTAGGAACGACTAGATGTCCATTAGTTTGCATGTAAACCTCTTGTAAAGGTGGTTTCACTGCAGTGGAGGGGTGCCATACCGTGAATACATCTTTTTAGGGGAAACCTGCAATGCCACGAAGCCTCCTTTCAAAGCTAAATGAACATATTACTTTCACATCGATTGATAATTTTTTTCGAGTGTAAAAGCTTGTTATACCGTCATTTAACCATATGGTGTAGTAGCGCAATTTTCACGGGGACGAAGAGGACAAGAACACACGACACTCGCTACTTGTTATACCGACTTATGTGCTCTAAGTATAGTAGATTTCAAAACGTAACTTATTTACAGGTTATCACTTGCATTCTACTCTGCTAGTACTCTAACTCTGCTACTATTCTAAGTTGATTCGACCTCCTTCGAACCAAAAAGAATGACATTTGCGAATGCCTTGTTCGAATTTCAAAAGATATATAATGTGCAAAGTTAGTGAGGTCTTAACAAATACGCTTGTTTTTTTAATAATATGTGATATATGCTATTCTAATTCGGTTCGAAAATCAGAACCAAATCACTGTTTGCTTCAAATTCACTTCGAACCTGAAATTCACTATTCATACTAGCCTAAGTACATTTTTTTAGCTGCCACTATATCAAACACCGTATTGGGAGTTGCTCTCCAACCAAGTTTAATTAAGTGGGTATGAAAGTCACATTATTTCTTGATTATTTTGATTACTACGTGCTGTCACACTTTTGCCACCCTTTTACTCTTCTGCAAATCTTTTTTCAGGGAGCAGATAATGTTTCCCCTGCAGTTTACGGGACTCCTCATGAAAGTTGACATTGAAGCAACGCTCAATGAAGCCGAAGGGTCAAGTGTTCGTGCAAATGCCATACGTCATGGAGTGTCATTAGCACTACGCAGCTTCGTCTCGGAGAAAGAGGTAGAGAGAATGAGACTGGGTGAGAAACGTCATGGCCCTTGGCACTTTCGCAATACATGATGCGTCATTTACAGACCTTTCAAGCACACTTGTCACTGTTTGTTTTCCCGTGCGCATCGGGAACAAGAGATTGAGAAGCTCATGAGCATTGTGGTTGTATTGAACACGAGTAGAGTAGACTGTCATTAAATGGAAAGTGAAGGGACCAGAAAACGTTCCATATATAGTTCCAATTACTGAAAGATGAATAGGGGTGCAGAATTCAAGTATGCAACCAATCGTATTATTGGCACTTGTTCTATTTAAGCAGCACTTCTGTTTAAGATACTTCTATTTATTGATAGTGTACAGCATCAAATGAACTGGTGAAAGTCATGACAGTGAATGAAACGTGCCAGTCATTAGTCCATTCCGCTTTGTGTCGCAATACACGAGCATTATCCGAATGATTATCGGAATGATTATCGGAATACTTGTATCAGAAGTTCACTTCTTCAGCATAGGGTCCTCTATCTCAAAGAAGTGACAGGCGTGGTGTTGCATGTGCTCCTGGTGCATTACGATAATTTCTATATACCTTGCATACACTTCAATACAACAAAAAAAATGAATCGGAAATCTCGTGCCTATTTTGTTGTGGCTCATCCATTGCAAGTTGGGCTGCCTTACGTGGAAATGCTTGCTTTTTCTAGCTGTATTTTACAGTTGAACTTCGGTGAGATATTTTTCTTTGCTATGCAGCTGGATTGCTGACAAGGGACCCTCGCCGGAGGGAGCGCAAGAAGCCAGGCCAGGAAGGTGCACGTCGCAAGTACACTTGGTAGGTTGACAAAGTTGGCACTCTAACATTGTCAGCAGAGGCTTATATGAAAGTACATTTGTTTATACAGTCTACTAGCACTTTTGTCACATCTAAATGCAAAAAAATGGGTGTCGCCGGCTGTGACTTTTGTCACCAAGTGGTCTAAACCGGACACGTAGTGCTGAGCATGCTAGAGCACTCACCTAACTGAGTGCTCTAGCATGTTGGTATATACATATTTATTACCATTCATGGAATGCTCGGTTTCTCGTAATGCTATGTTTAAAGTTGTTTTGATCACAAAGGAAACGACAATGCTGATGCACAAATACAGACTAGGGTGTCCTATTGCTTGTTATGTGCGGATGTGCCGCATAGCTAAAACGAAATGCTTAAAAATGGTTTGGCAGAGAAACACTAAGGAATTTAGGGTATGTTCCTTTTACTAAGCAAGGATACCCAGTGAAAAATTGAGTCCTAAGTCATTCAAGGGCTTAAGTCTCGTGTTTTGAAGCCCAACCTAGTAATCCTATTTCATAACGGTGTCTCCCAAAGAAGCCCGTTAGGGTGCTTTTTTCGTGTATGTTCTTTTGAAAGCACCAATGAGCACACAGGTGTGTACGAGGTGCCTTCTTGAGAGCCAAACAGTGGGAAGCAGGTTTCTAATTTGCCTGGTTATCCCACTGTCATATCTAAACAGTCATGTTGTCGTTCATTGTAGCTGGAAACTACAGCCTTTACATCTCGCCTTCGCTTGCTTTACAGAAGAAGTGATACTGTGAGGGTCATGTAGGTAACACATTCGTTAAGGGATGCAGAAATTCCCAGTTATATTATTATGCAAGAGGCTGTGCATAAATATGTTCATGGTCTAGGATGCCTGTTTTTTTTTGTAGTTGTTTTAGGTTAAGAGTGAAGTCCGAGAAGACTATTTTGTGGGCATGATCTAATCACTGGTATACTTAAATGTATTTGTTCGGGACTACATTGACAGTTTGGCAGACAAGGTTGCATTTTATTGCTTTCCGGATTTGATCAAATGAGCACGGACTACTTAATAACACCGCTAGTGTCTAATAATATGCCTCTCATGAAATGGTATTTGGGAACCTGAAATGTGATTGCTGCCCCCCCCCCCCCCTTTTTGCATGTTTTTTTAATTACATAATTTTTTCTCTTTTTTCAGGCTCAAGCGGTAGTCTGAAGATGACGAACACATCAAAGTAGTTAGAATGATTATTAAATAAACAAGTATAACACATTCCTGCTTACCTTGCCTGTTTATTTGTAGGATCTAAGTTAGGCATTTCGCTTATTTTGTATGGTGCGAAAGTATAAATTTCGCGCGTCACGTTTAAATTTGCCGCCAGAATATGCTGTAGGAGCTCTGTTTTCAACCTCCTTTGATTAATGTTCTCTATCGGTAAATGCTTGCTCACAATCTTAGAAAGTGTGCATCGAGTATCGCTGTAGAATGCTGATGCCAGACACATTCGGCTATTTGGTTAGGCGGCGCCACTTAACCCCTTGGAAATAAACGAGCTTCCTAAATGTCAACGGCAGAGCCCACAACAGCTGCGGAGGGGAGGTGCCGTCGCGAGACTACGAAACCAGATTCACCGGAGCGCCCTTGCACGATCGCCCGATTCCTAGACGTTTTTTCGACCAACTATGCTTAGGAATTCCGCTTGTCAATACAGATAGCATCACTGCGAGCTAGAGGAGCAGCTACTGGACGCAAATTCGGCACAAGGATTTTGATGCTGCAGGCTTTGTGCTGCCAAGGCGCGACGTTGGACGTCAAGTTTCCTGGCACGCCGCCGCCGCTCGTGACTGTTAGTCGGGGCGTCAAGATGCTACTGACTACGCGAGAACTGTGCACGCCGAAGCGCTGAAAACGAAGAAAAGGCACTGCGCACTCGAATTGCTCAACACCCAACCGCCCTCGCGCATCGAGGTCCGCGCGCCACTTCTCCCAGATTGCGCACCGACAACCCAGTTCGGGAGCGACGGCCCTGCGATATCTAACGGCCGAAAGGAACAAAACGACGAACCCATTTCGCGATCATTTCTTTTTTTTTTTTCCCTTCGTTCCCGTCGCATCTTGTGAAGCAGCCGGAAGCTGCGGAGATCCGCGCAAGACTGAGCAGTGCTGAAGTGGAGCGCTGGTGCAAAGCGAAAGCTGCGATATCACGTCGGAAGACCAACCGAAACGCGCGAACGTCGCATGGGCTCTACGTGCGCGCTCTATCAGTGCTGTAGTGCGTGTTGTTGCTACAGCTGGTGCCGTCGCTTGACCGATGACGTGCGTTCCTGACGGTCCGGCAGTCGGGTGTTGTTGATCGGTGGCGCACACCGGCCGTTCGGCTCATGTCAGGCGCTGCGGACGTTTCGAGTTTCGCGATAAGGACTAAAACGGTTGTCTAGGTGGCGAACGAGGCCATTCTTGCGCGCAGTGCATCGTTTTCTCATTTGTGCACTCTTGCGCGGTGCATCGAGGTGGAGCGGTGGTGGCGGCAGCCGCATTGGATCGCCGTAGAAGAGACGCACCTCCCTCGGGCTGCTGCACCCTGAGGCTGGTCCGCAGGTTTGTATCGGATGCGCACTGTGTGCGCCTAACAGCTTTATTTGAATCATTAGTCAACGCGTCCGTGGTATAACCACTGCTTTACTCCGCGCACATTCGCCTGCTAGAAATCGCGTCGTTTTACTCCTGCAAAAACTGCCCTAATACCCTGTATCTCACAAATTATACCCGTCCGTCATTCGAAGACGTGTGGCCTGTATGGGCCCGACCCCATCTTTTTCTATCAAAAACAGTGGTTTTATTCCAAGGCCTACATGAATGAGCCACTAGCATTTTCGGCCTTCTAGGTGCCAACTGTGTGAATATCAATGTGTGCTTAATAAAGCTTTTTGGTACAAATTAATCCGGGCAGTGCTATATGTCATACATGCATTCGGGTAAGCGAAGGAAAGTGAAAAATGGTGTGTTATATCATCAAAGAGCAAAAAGAGGACTGTTATTACAAGTTCTCGCATGGTCAAGGTGTCATCTTCATGCTATGATACTTGCTTATATGCTGCAGAATACAGTCATACGTAACAAGGTCATCAAGCACAAATGTCATAATGATAAACATGCACCCGCCCCCATTTGACATTTCACGTAAATACCACAAGATTCACATAAGAATGAATTGAGTTAACGAAAACACTTTTGCACCACACCTGGTTTACAGCCCATGTTTCGGGACATCACATTGTACGACCAATCTGATTGGCTTCTTAGCATTTACATGGCATGAGAAAATCATCTGGCTTTGAGGCAACACTTTGAGATCAACCAGAAAAACACATGGCTTGGCCTCCTCGATTTTGGCATACAATGAAGGATTGTGCAGGGTTTTTCAGTAAGTTATGTACCAAGTAGCCCAAGCTCCCGCCGCGGTTTTCTAGTGGCTAAGGTACTCGGCTGCCGACCTGCAGATCGCGGGATCAAATCCCAGCTGCGGCGGCTGCATTTTCCGTAGAGGCAAAAATTCTGTAGGCCTGTGTGCTCAGGTTTGGGTGCACATTAAAGAACCTCAGGTGGTTGAAATTTCCAGAGCCCTACACTTCGGCATCCCTCAAATCATATGGTGATTTTGGGACATTAAACACCAGATATTATTATTATTATTATTATTATTATTATTATTATTATTATTATTATTATTATTATTATTATTATTATTATTAAAGGTAAACTTACAGCAGATGTCTGCCTGGTTGGGGTAACAAAAACCTAAGGAAAAAGATAAAATTACATCCAAGGTTTATTTTAAAGTACCCAGCATTTTGAAGCTTGACCGGCTTCTTCATCAGGGATGAGAAGGCCCCTTTCACTCATCCTTATCGGCAGCCTTGAAGAAGACGAGTACACTTGTCGAAACATCGGCTTGAGCACACAACCACTGTTAACGGATTTTCTCATGCAAGCTTTTATCTTTCCTATCATTGCTCGGACATCCTTATCTCATGTTTTAAGTTTTGGTACAATTTACATGTTACAAGGGCACTTTCAAAAATGGTAATAGGGTATACGATAACTACAAGATTGGTTTGAGAATACCGGCCTACTTTACCAATCACACTATACGTTTGAAGGTGCCAAGGGAAACACTAGATAAGGATAAGGTTGGCTTGTGAGTAAGGGCATTATATCTGCTTGGCTGTTGACTGTGCTTTTATAATCATTTGCTTCTACTGCAGGATGGGTGCACTAGTGAGCAGCTTCTTTCAGACGGGGGGACACTTGTTGTCGCCAGGTGCATCTGAGAGTACTCGGCGAGTCATCCTGGAGCTACTCGAGGAGATGCGTTCTAGGGAGGCATCTCACATTCACTGGTCATCGATAGAAAGTTACCTCGTACAGATACCAAAGGTACTTTACCACTGCCCAAGTGCTGATACCGTACTCGGAATGTACTGCCTCCAGCAGTTTTTAACTATGCGCAATTAAGCGTTCACTGCGCACCATGAACACCTTGAAATGACGATAATCTACAAGACCAGCAAAATAGTCCAGAGTTTGACAGAACATCGTCTGGCAAGGGGCACACATTTCTTGCAAATAAACAAACACTCGCCAAAGTTTCAATGAAAAAAAGAATTTATGATGTTTTCGAGACCACTACACGGGTCTCTTGTTAACATTCAAGAAAATGAAGTGGACCTGTGCCTTTATGTGCACAGTGGATGGCGCAATGATCTGATGTAAGTATCGGGTAGATTTTCACGTGTCCGATTACGTGTATGGGTCTTCAAACGGATTAATTGCGATTCCAAAGGAAGGCGGGATGACAGAGTCTTTAGGGTCGACGACAGTTGCTAGTACGTACAGGCGCACACAGCATTTTCATTGCAAGCATTCCTATGCTGTTCCTTTCAATGCATGCCTCATTTTAGTTCCTGGCCTTGTCTTTTTAACCAACCAAAAAGAAGGAATATAAAAGTTTTTTGGCAATGCTCTCTGTGGTTGTGTACAGTTTTGCCTAGCTTGAGTGTTTTACTATGCACTTACATATAAGTACATGGGTGCTATTGCATTTTGCCTCTGTTTATACACAACATTATTGAATCCACTCCCCATGCCTAGCAACGCAATGACATATACCCCATTGCCACCATGACGGGGGTATGATAATGATAATAAACAGCAATGCAGTGCACTGAACTTAGGTTACTAACGAGCACATAGTTACTTGAAATATGTGCATCTTCGTTGTGCGGAAGACATCTCCAAACGATAAAGAATGGCGTATATGATGATATTGAACAGCATTGCACTGCGTTGAACTTACCAGTGTGCATGTGGTTGTTTCACAATTATACCCATCTTCATGTTAGGGTGAAAACGTCTTGTCAGTGGTGGGTCCGGACAACTACAACCTGCTTCAACGTGCCATTGGCTTCAACTGTGTTGAACTGGTGCGCTGGATTCTGGGGCGAGGCTGTGATGTGAACCGAGGCGTTTGCAGCCTGCCACTGCACATTGCTGCCCTGCAAGGCAATGAAGAAATTGTTGAGCTGCTGCTAAAACATGGAGCTCGTGTTGACACTGAGGCACGGATGTGCTTCCCAGGTCCGCATAATCAGGTAAAATGAGCTTCGCTTCTGAAACCTGAAAAGCAAAAATGATGTTCTGAGATAGTTGGCCTGCAGGTTGATCTGCAAACATTGGCTGGCCTAAAGCCATGTGCCACTAGAGAGCCACAGGTTGAGATAAATATGCGAAAGCTTAACCATGAAGTATTCTGCAGAGTAGCGAAAGCCATTTCCCAAACATTTATTGACAATGAAGCTTATCTAGACTCATGGTGCAGTTTTATATATTTGTGATTGTGTATTTTGTGTATGCATACACAATTGTTGTATATACGAAGATCATATTCAACCCTGTGCCTATCTTATTACACACTTTTTTTTTTTGCTTGATGTGGTTTGTATATGGTTAAACCCTTGACTTGTGAAGTGTCATTTTCTTGGAAGCATAACTACAATACTGTTCATTTCAGTTGTATCTGATATGTTCAACTAAAGAACGTAACGTGAAAGTTGAAGGAGCTAACGTTCAGTAGGGTGGCATCAAGGGGGCATTTTTTTATATAATACTTATGGCAAAATACCGCCCATTTCTTCTTCAAGTTTTGTTATCGCCCCATTACACCGACAATGCTGCTGTGATGAAACTGAGCCGAATGACCGAGAACCATCGAAATAATCTTAGAACCTTTCGATGCGATTAAGCGTATGATGCGAACATTACTGTTTATTCAAGAACTTACGTAGCTGCTAGGGATATCACTCTAATATTTCACGATAGATGTATAAATGTCGATGCGCTTCACCGCTTGTCAGATTATCGACGGCCGACTTCCTGTATGCCGCTATCAGTGCCAGTGTGTATTGCTGTAATCTGACTTTCCGTTTACCGACCACAAGTTCGGCGAAATGCAACATTTTTTCTTGAACACTCCAGCCTCTGCCTTTGTCAAAGTCATGACCACGTGGCAATACTACTCCAAGCAGAGATGCGACAGTCAGTCATGTATTGTTTAAACTTGAGCTGCATTACAACTAAAAGCACCATGGTGGCTTAGTGGATAAGGTATTCGGCTGCTGATCCGCAGGTCGCGGGATCGAATCCCGGCTGTTGTGGCTGCATTTTTGATGGAGGTGAAAATGCTGTAGGCACAGGCCGTCTGCTCTGATTTGGGTGCACGTTAAAGAACCTCATTCTGTCCAAATTTTCGGAGCCCTCCACTACGCCGTCTTTCATAATCATATGGTGCTTTTGGGACGTTAAACCCCACATATCAATCAATATCAAACAATTAAAAGTGTTGCAATCTAGTGGCCTATTTCTATTCACTTGTAGCTACCAAACTACCAACGTACACAGTGATGCCCATGCCTTTTTGAACAGTCATTCGCTTGTTGCATTACAGTTACTAACAAGGCTTTTTGTTCCTTCTCTGTCCTTTTGCACGTCAGGTGTGTGAGCTTTGCAGTTCAGTGGGAGGCACTGGGCCCTCTTCTGACCGCTACTCTGAGCGCCTTCAATCTGCAGAGTACTATGCCATTGACGGCGACCATTCAGACATCTTGGAGCTCTTGTTGGCTCAAGGGGAAGACAGCTGGCTGCCCTGGCAGCAGAAGCGGCCCTTGCTGCATCTGGCCTGCGAGCGGGGTGCCTGGAATTGTGTTCGCTTCCTAGTTGCCGAACGCTCCGAGGAGCTCAATCAGTGTTATGACGAGTACTACCCCATCCACCAGGCTGCGCTTCAGGTGTGCATTTTGTATCATTTGTTTCATTCTTTACCCGCACCTTAAAATGATTCCCTCTGAAATTCTTGTTGCTTGAGCAATCTTAGTCATTAATAGTACAGTCAACCATTCCGGAAAGTGATCGACGAGAGGGAACGATTGAGAGCTCAGGAACTGCAGTCTATCTTCTAGTGTTAGCATAGTTTTTAGACTGCAGTTGCCTTACTTGTAAGAGTGCCTTTGTCATCGCAAACACCATTTTACAGCTGTGTTACTGATTCAAGTGCGCCAACGATGGGGCTTACGTAATTTAATTTTTACTGGCATTACACTTACAGGTATTGCATTACTGTTATATAAGAAGAATTTATGCTATAGCTGCTTCTCAAGTCTAATTTACTGCCAAAATCTAAGTTCCTGAATAAGACCAGTCGGTCACAGGTTACTTAGGTCATGACAAAAACATCTTCAAACCAGAATGTCGTGCGACATCTCAGTCAGCAAACAAATACCAACGTCCTAGAAAAGTACATAATTGGAGCATTCTGCCAGTACACACCATGTCATCTCAGCTTGGCGGTTGATAAAGACACTTAGAGAGAGCTAACTACTACCACAGTAAAAACAACGACGAAAGAATGAAAGGCAGCGCAATAGAGGACGCAGAAGAGCAGTGTTGATGACAAAGCGAAGGCAGGTTAGTCAATATTCAATATGAGAGATAGATAAGTAAATTTGTACAGGTTATATATAAGCAACCAGTTAGATGCAACCATATTGGTCGTAAGTGATCATATCAAAGAGATTGCAGACATAGGATGAAGTCAGTTCATGCATGACAGTGGTAACTGGAAACAACTAGATGAGGCCTTCATCCAGCAGTAAACATAATGAGGCTGACAATAACGAAGCCTGAAATAGTCAAAGGTCTAAAAATATGCCAACATGCATAAAAACTTCACCCTGCTGACGCTAGCTCATGAATCGCACATAGAGTGCATTTCTTGTATTGTTTACAAAGCTGCTGTGACACAGCTGTCACCATCGTATTGTCTGTGGCAGTCAATCAAACAGAACACAGTTTGGCTGTTGCTGTCAGCTCACAGCTGTTATGCCGTGTGCCTTAGTGCCTTTGTTCCCTTGATTGTAAATATAATGCACTCAGTGCGAATGCTTTCGCGTTAGTGTTTCTTGTCGAGTCCCCCAAAACAAATACATTGGGGCTCCGTCAAATCAAAACAGCGAGACAGAATTTGTTGCATAAAGCAACACAAAGCTTTAAGTGGAAGTTGGACTTAAGTGTAACCTGGAATCGTGAGAAGAGTAAAACAAAAACATATAAACTAATTGACACAGGTTTCTTTTTATAAACTAGAGTTTTCATTCTAAGAGTGCCGCACCAGCGGAACTAATTTTCAAACTTTGCAATTGCTCTGGATTGCTTATGTTCACGCATTTCCCCTTGTAGGACAAGAAGTTCTTGGAGTTGCTCATACAGTGTGGGGCCGAAGTGAGTGCTCGCACAACGACTCAGCAGCTGACTGTGCTCCACGTGGTGCTTTTGCTGGGGAAGAAGTCTGCCGAGGAGACACTATCGGTGCTGAGGGCCCTGCAGGACCATGGCTGCCGCGAACTTCTCAATGAGCCCGACAGCCTGGGCAACACACCTCTGCACGTGCTGATTGTGCGCTACGCGTTGGAGGAGTCTCGACTTGGCTACCAAGAACCTCGCCCGTGGACTAAGTGGGACATGCTTCATTTAGTGCGCTACCTGCTACAGAGCTGGTGCTGGGCCTAGTATCAATCGACCGGGGAACAGTGCATTGGCGTGCGTTCTTCGCCACGTTCGCGACTGGGAGTTCCGTTACGAACTGCTGGACATGCTCCTCCAAAACTGGTGGCGATCCGAACTGTGTCGGTCGCGACGGATCGGCGCCACTCATGGTTTGTCTGGTGCCTCTCATCAACAAGGATCCACTGCATTCTCTCTCTCACAACAAGAAGGTGTTCTACCTCAACTCGGTGCGTTTGCTGTGCCGGTACGGGGCAAACCCGAACTGCAAGTCGCGCAGCAACCTGACTCCCATGCATGTGCTGGTTTTCACGGCTAGTGAGTACATTACGTTGAACCGGGAGGACGACAAGCGCAGTGCGTTCACCTTCATCCGACAGCTGTTGACAGTGCTTCTTCAGCACGGACTGGACCCCAATGCCCGCTTCTCGCAACGAATGCAGCACATCTTGCTGGCTCTGTTGGACTTGGTGCAAAACGCGAGGCTCCCGTCGGACTTAGGAACACGTGCACGCGCTAACTCTCGCACTCCTCGTGCACGGTGCAGACCCGGACGTGCAAGTCAGCTCGTCAGACCCAGTCATTTGTCACTCGCAGAGCTCTGTGTTCCTCAAGAAAGCTTCTAGCCAGGTGAGCACATATTATGACACGCTTAAGAGACATGAACTGTATGACCTCGTAATGGCAATAGTCAATAGGGATAAGTAAGTGTTCTTAATTACGGTGCAGGCATAGTGTGCAGTGAAAACAGTGACTGCATGCCATTTGCATAGTGCATCCAGATAAAGCTAATTATTCTGTATATATTGCATGTGGAAAACCGATGTCCCCGTAAAATAACTCTGCAATAAATAACCAGACGTCTCAAAAGTTTGTTAATATTATTTAAAGGCAAGCTTGACATTTTCAGTTTTAACATCACTTCACACCTTCATTGTAATTTTGGTTGAGACATTCTATAGGGCATGCTCATACTTTGTTTTGCAATCTGTGTTTTCTTTTTTTTTTTTTTTTGCATTCTCAAAGCACACGCATGTTGCAACTCGAAATGGTAGAAGCACTTCTCTACTGCAATATGCTCACAGGGAGAGTCATTTCATGAACATCAAAACTGACCTTGTATTTCTTCATCTCAAGTGCCTTATCGATATGTATAAAACTAGTTATGCTATATTTGTCAACCATTTACTAACAGTGTCACCATATGGTGCATCAATATATGTTTGATATTGTGCAAAGATCTGTACAGAAAAGTCAAATGGCTGTTTCACAACTGCATTTGTATACCTTGGTAAATTCAAACCTTTTTAGCCCGCTGTCATATGTACTTTTTTTTTAATTGAGAGTAATGCAAAGCTGCTTGCTTCAATTCTACATGTTTAGTATGTAGCAGCGTAACCTTCAGGCACTGAAAGTGGATTACAGGGGACATCCGTGTGATCTAATCCTGGGCAACCATAAGTTATCTCTTTAAAAAGCCTACTTGTGATGCCAGTTTCTTTGCAAGAACTTTTCTGACTAGTTAGTCCATTTTTATTGAATACCCACAATCGTTTTTCTCCAGCTAGATGTGTTCTGCCCTATTTTCAACAATGAATTTTTACACAACAAATTTAACATATGTGTGCATTTTAAAATTCTAGTTTTTACCAGGAAAGTCAGTAAAGAACAACAGTACGTTCCGAAGCAAGTAGCAAGCTTTTTGGATTTAATTGGAAGCACACATTTTGTGACACATCACAAGTGAACTGATGCAAAGAACGTTATTACTGGCTCTTTGTTCAGCATTTGTACACGAAACCTACACATTGCAAAGCGACTTACAAGAAAGACAAATGCAATGTTATTTCATTTCTGTTATGCTGCCATCTCCAGGTCCTACACTATTACATCCATCAACTGAGCCGCAAACACGACCTCCTCAATGACCCCGAGCAGCGCTTTGCCGACCTCATCCGACTGTTCTACTACACCATGGACCATCGCAAGCTCTACAGTTGTCTCAAGAGTTTTCTGAGCCAGCCGGCCATGTTGCCTCCAGTGACTGCTGGTTGCATCACACAGCTGCTCAAGTCCATGTACAGCCAGCCACGCTCGCTCAAGCAGATAGCCCGAGTTGCCATACACCAGGCCCTGCGACACCAGGTTGCCACGCTGGTGGGAAAACTCTCGCTCCCAGGACCTTTAAAGGAGTACTTGCTCCTCGACTGGACGCCTTAAAGCTAGCACACTTGGCGACATGATTGCCATAGCAGTGGTGCGGTGTTTTGTCTCTGCCTTCTCAGCGTGAAAGAATTACGGTGTGTATACACGAGGACAGTTAACAAAGATTCACAGACAACACGTGCAGGCACTGTGTGGTTTGTCAGCTGCACGGCTTTGCCGTTATCTGTTTGCACTGCAATTTGTTTGTTTTTAGTGTGTGGTACACAGTCCATGAAAGAGAACTGTTGGATCTCTCTGTATGTATGTGGTCAAGCGTGGCCTTCTCTCGTCCCTATACTTCCCTCCTGTGTTGTTGCTTTTTTTTTTTCCCGCTGAAGTAAGAAAGTTCGTGCTTCAATTCTGGCTGCGTTGAAAAGTTTCCTTATGCTTCTGACCTCTCGTGTATCTCTTTTTCAGTGCTTTTTTATCTTGTGCTTGATGCTCTTTCGTCAGTTCCCTCATTTCCTGCCATGGAGGCAAAATGCAAACAATATAGGTGTAATTACAAAGCAATATTTTTTGCTTAACTACCCTAAACAGATTGAGCTTGTGCAATGACGTGTGGTGCATACTATCGGTTTTTATGATCAATTTGAGGCTTGTACCAACTTGTAAGTCACTGCTTGAAATCTTACTGTCGAGTTTTGACCTGTTACAGGGGTGCTGCCTTGCGATTTCCTATTAACGTCTAACATCCACAAGAGTGGATGATCTTTTATGCATGCATTGCAAAAGGAGCCACTTCTGACAGAGGAGCAATATGATGCCACAATATGGTGCCAAGTACTGCTGTGTTTGAATGTTACGCACAAAGCAACTGAAAGGTTATTGAACTGGAAAAAGAAGTATTCAAGCTGCAGGAAGTTGAGGGGTAAAAACACAGGTCCACGAGGAAATGAAAGCATGTTTGTGTTGTCTGTTCTGTTCCTTTTTGCGTTCACGTTTTCATTCAGTAACATCTCTCGATTATTGGTTCAGTTTTCTTGGCTGCCCAATATGTTTACAGTGATGGATGCAAAATGAAAGCATCAAATGCGAAAAAGTTTCGAAAGGGGCCATTTAGAGGGAGTGAACAGCCATGGTGTCACATTTCTCATGAAAGCCTTCTCACTTTAGATTTCAAGAGATATCGTTGTTTAACAGGTGCATTTAGATTTTACTGTTACACAATCTTGAGTATAGTTATACTTCTTGTAATCACGCATAGCTCAGTCTTGTTACGATGCAGAGATGTTGCGGCAACAGGCGTCTCATTAAATAAGTTGGAAAACAACACGCCAAGAATAATGAAGCTCTGTGAAGGGAGTAAAACTGCATAAACCTATGCAGTGGCAGAAAATCTGCCCTTTGTATAATTTCTTATGCATACAATAAACATATTACATATCCTTACTGTATATTTAACACAAGCAAAATTGAAACAAATCAATTTCCTGCAAACATTTGACATTCCGTGGGTCATATTGGCAGAAAGAAAACAGTGTCAAAACTTTTCTTCCCTGTATTATTCTTCACACGTTGCAGGCAAAGAGGTGAAATATTAAGCACTGACAAGACTAGCATTGTGATTAATACTGCAAGTGCTAAAGGGCGAACACTGCAATGTAATCAGAAAAAAAGCTTGGAGACGTAAATTTACAAAAGCATTTGTATTTCAGGGGAACATTAAAGTGTTATAAAGAATTTAGAGGTAAAGATAGATTGTTTGTGAAGAAAAAAAATGTATAACAACAATCATTAGTGAAAGGTGTTGCTCGAGCACTGGAGAATTGTTTAATAATGGGTGTGAGGCTATGCAACATTGTGGGCGCCAGTGCAGGATATGCTTCAGTACTGGACCTTAGAAAAAACTTCTACAGGGTACTACTTCTACATGCGAAGATTCGAGAACTTGAGATGTTAATGACAGGTTCAACACCTTTAAAATGCCTGAAGTTATCAGTGCATAAAAAAACTGTTACTGAAGAGTACTGATGTGTAATGAAGGTACTTTATTAGGCATGTTCTATTCAGATTTAACTGTATGATCCAGAAAAATGTGCCTTTGTTTATTGATCATGGTACTGGACGACACAATAGCATGTTATGCATAATTCAGATCTGCATCGCTTCCTCCCAGTAATGAACTTATGAGCAGGTTTCAATCAAACACTGTTGTGTGCTTATTTGTATTGACACTGGTGCACTGTAGATGCTTTAACTTCTTGTGCAGTTAGCTCTGCAGTGGTTTTTTCATCATGGTACAATACCAAACAAAATAGAAAAGTTTTGTTCTCTTTCTCGTACGAGCTTACTGAAATGTCCAGAGGGCAGAACCAAGCATTATGCTTTTTCTATATTGCTGTAGTATGTGCAGTAAGGTTGACAGAAATTTCACAGCAGGACCTGGAAACGTACAATAATAAAAATTTTTCATTTTATGTTTCTCAAGTTATCAAATTTAATATTCTTAGAGGAAGTGCTTAGAATGTCAAGAAGTTAAGCTAGCCTATAAGGATTCATAATGTGAGAGGGTAAGATGTGACACACACAGACACAAAACAAATGCATTGCTTGCGCACGTATGCATGTAGCTTGATCTCGTTTTTTTTTTTTTCTCCTTCAATCTCGCTCCCACATTTGAGATGTCATGTCAACTACCTCGCTTCCTAACACCTGAATGCCCATTCGCTTCCTGGCACTGACTAAAAATGTGTAACCTAGGTGGTGTGACAACCAACGCAGCTTGCAAGTGCAAAATGCATTTCTGAGGTTGACCAGGTTACCACGTTAACTATGCAGGACTGTTCTGCACTGCTTGATTCCTTAAATAAAGGGCTCAGTCAAGTGACTTGGCAGCAAGTTCCTCGAAACTTGTCTCACATGTCTTTGTAGGCCATGCTTGGTATTTTAGTGTCTATCCTAACTGATGGAGAAGCAATTCATTATCATGATACTACTGCCATGGTGGGCATTTGGATGCTGTAGATTGGCGAGAGGCTATTTAGTGGGATGCCACGCTTCCCAGCGAATGTGTCGTGCAACTTGTACAGTATGCCTTGTGGTCGGCGCTGGTTCACCTTGCATCTCTTGGTTCTACCCTCTTCCCACGTGTTTCAACTGCCACAGTTGTGTTTTGAAAAGCTCTTTCCAAAACAAACTTATGTTTGGTCTTTTCACCTCAAACACTGCATTTCGTGTGTGTATTCGTAAAGGAATACGAAGGGCAAAGATTGAATCAATCTGTAACATTGCTACCATGCTAGAAACATGGTTTCTTATGTGTTGTTAAATTTCTTATCAGCCATCCCAAGCTATGCCAGCTCTTTAGGAAGCCAGGTACTTCAGAGAGCTATTGCCTGCATTGAGTCATCGAACTGCAAACCCCCATTTGGTGCCGCATTGCTACAAAGGTGCCAACAGAGTAGTGCAAGGAGGTTACAGCAAGTTTCTATCTATTAAAATCCAATTAACCTGGCCCAACTGTAATCTGTTTCTCTTTGAAATGCAAGTTCCTTATTTTTCCGGAAGTTGTCTATTGGTGGTGAACACTTACTCTGTTTTGGCATTGTGCAAGGCTAGCATAAATTATTTATTCATCTTGGAAAGGCTATATTTTCAAAAGTATTGAACAGGCACAGATGAAATATACATGAAAAGAAACGCTTACTCACCAAGTTTCTGTTGTGTCTTGCATGTGGCACCACCACCACTACAGCAATCCTTAGTCGAGTTCAAAGAACGCATCAGTGCTGCAGTGCAGACAACTGACAGGACTGCATTACGAAATGTATGGAATGAGCAAGATTGTTGTCTGTCTAGACATGTGTGACCATACGGGCATGTATTGAATGTTTGTAGAGGGTGTATTAACAAGGCAAATTTGTGTTTCTTTTTGTATATCTTTCATGTGTGTGCGTGTAATAGTTTCGAAAGTATAGCCTTTTCAAACGACTGAACCAATTATACTGGCACCGTATTTCTAATCATGTACCAGTCCTGTCCCACACTTATGCCATTTTCTGGCTCATGAAAGCTTTGTGCACAGTGTGATGAATGGCATAGACCTTCCGTATGAATCCCCCATTTCTACAGCTTGATTTAATTTTTGCCTTTGGTACCTGGTCTGAAAGGTTTATATCTGGAGCAGCTAGCAACGCTGCAAGTGAAGTGTTTACAGAATATGTCGTAGTTCTACGCACCTCTGGTGGCACAAGCAGGAAACTTGGAAGTGCATGGCATGTACTCTGTGCTCTGGACACACAGACTACAACTCGTGGCACTGAGTCACATCTAAACAACAGACAAAAAAAAAATATGCGCCACGTCATGCATCACCAAATCTTAGGATGCAACGTGCCACCATTTTGTAAAGTGCAATGTGTCCAGTGTTTTGCATGTTTGCATACACTTTCTACACAGTGCACACTTTCTTCTATTCTCATGTTTATGATTGAAGGGCTTGCACTTTCATTCATGCATATATATACCTGTAACATGGCTGTTATGGCCTCAAACGTACGTCAAACACTGCCACAACCGTAAAACCGGATGGTTTCTATGTGTACATAATGTGCAGCATGTTCTGCTGGACAGTGCAAAAGTGGTAAACCGACGAATCAAGTCGTAATGCAAGTGTTTAGAGACTTGTGTAGTCTCTCTCTGGTTAGGAAGAAGTGTGTGTGTGTGTGTGCCCTTCGTAGCATTTCTCTCTCTTCTGGCAAGGCACATGACATGAAAAGCTTTTTCAGCTTGTGAACCTTACAGAAATCCTGAAATAATTCCTCTGTGAAACTGTACATTGATAGCCAAAATGATGGTGTGATTGCCCAAACTGGATTTGGCGGTTTCCATCAGCACGTGCTCATTTTGCACTGTCGGCACCAGAAAAAAAAAAATTTGCATTTTCTTGAGTTTAATAGTACTGTTAGTATTTATACTGGGCCCATGAACGCTCTCCAACAGGAGAAAGACGAAGCTGTGGACTTGTATCCTCTACAATTTTGGTGTTGAACATACCTCTTTGAATATACCTATATTCAAGTTTGAATCGCTTTTCATCTTGAACAGGCTGTTACCTAGAAAAGTCCTCTTTTGTCGATTTCGTTCTGTATCGCTAAAGCAGAGCTGTGTATTGGTTTACTAGCGTAATTTTGATGCATTGTGGTTCCCTGTTTATGTAATAGCTGTTGTGCCTAGTTTGAGGCTTGGCGAGAGTAAGGCTGCGTGTGAACGTCATGGATAAAAAAGCTGGCAGAGTGGTTTTTCTGTCATCTTCTCAATATTATAACAGAGTTTATGCTGTGATCTCTGTGTGCTTTAAAAATGCCATTCAGCAATGTCATTTCACTTAAGATTTCACTGAAACTGTCAACGAGAGGGTGCTTACCGCACATATTTCAATTCAGTGAGGCCCTTTATGTATTGTCTTGTTGCCAGCATTGCAAAATCTAGCTGTGATGTTAGCCCCTCGAGAATGTCTTTTGCACTTTAGTGGTGATAAAAAAAAAAAAAAACAAGGTATACTTCATAAAGTTCTAAAGAGGAATGTCATTTGAGCTCTATCAGACTACCCTTCAATATTTAAGAACAGAAAAGGAAAATGTCTCTCATATCAATAGGGAAGCAAATGAGAAAATGTGCAAAGAAAACGTGTAGGTGTTTTAAAATACTATCTGCACTAGCTGTGACATCATGAATTTTGAGGGCGTTTGCTCAGGCCAACACAACTTGATTGGTAAACTAGACTGAGATTCTAAATGTGCCAGAGACCGACGTTTGGTGTTTAGGAAGTCTTAGAAATGTTTACTGTGCCATAATAGCATAAGCTCGAGAATGTGTGATGTTGCAGTAATTTGGGGTCTGTAACCTCTTGCTGAAAGATGAACAGTTGAAAAGAAAAAATACAATATTGGTCAAGACTGATTAGGAACTTCTTGACAGTGCCCCTACAACTTGCAAGGGTCCCCTTCTTGCATGGGTTACAATAAAAAGACGGTTAAATTGCACACCGGCTTTTTTTTTTTTTTTCTAGGCATTAGCTGTGCCAAAATCAAGCGATTGCCTGTTTTACATTATCAGACCTCTAAATAGGTGCCCTTGCAAAACATCTTACACCAAAAACTGTGAGTGGCTCTGTCTACATCCCCGCGTTTCAAGAATAGACCAGACATGCTGGATTAACATAAAGTTGGTTGTCGGGGCTATGATAAACACACAATTCTTTTATGACATGATGGCATTACCCGCTGCCCCAAAACATAAATGGCAATAAATTAGATGGAATTATGGTTAGAATCGAAAATTAAATATAATGGAGAGATTATTTTTAATACGTATTTAGGACTAGCCGAGCTGACAATAGTATTTAATTGTAGAAAAATGAAAAATAACGCTGGACAAGGATAGGATCTGTACTGTTCAGTACAGAAAGCAGTAAATGCAGGAATTAATAAACATTTTTTTTTATATTGTCTAACATGTTTAGCTCTAAAGGCCTACAGTCATAGGCCCACCCTTGGGCCACTGAGCACACATGCTGCACCGCCACTGAATTTTTCATTTGTAGAAATTAATAGAAACGACAACTGCAGACACTTATTTCACTTGGCGTTCCAAACCAAGAGCACATGTGTGTCCTTGCATATCTCCATCAATTGGCCTTTTTATGCCGTAAAAGTGTTGCAACTGCTGAGAAAATGAAAAGTCTGCAGATGAAAGCAAAATGTGTTTTCGTGTAAGCCCGGATCAGTTCCTGAACAGTAAAAACACACTCAAACCCACGTGCACTTTTCAGTTAGCATAAGATCTAGGTGAATAAATTCTTGAATAAAATTTTTTTAACAGCAACTAAAGAAACGGCTGATCATCACTTTGTTTCCAACTTTTTTTTAAAAATTGAAATCTTACTCTGTTGGCCATTATTTCTTAAGTGAAGGTACGTTACACAAAATAGAATATTGGCTAAGGGAGTAAAGCCCTCGAAAACAGCAAAATTTGATGGGGCAAGGGAATAAATGGTTAATTTAAGGAACCTATTCCAAGAGGCTTTTCTAAAGCTCATGCGATATATGCATGACCAACAAGAGGTTACACATTTTAAATGGCTTGAGGGAAAATAAACATAGAAAATAATGATGAACCCAAGGAACAACTGAGCTCAAAGGCTATAATCAAGCTTTACATCAAACCAGGCACAAGCAAAAACATATAAAATGGCCCATTAAAGTATGTTTGAAAGGCCACTGGTACACCACTATTATATAAATTAAAAAAAAAATTTGCTATGTCAAGGGCCCAGTTGGCTAACTTTATGAAAATGTGAGGATCTTGAGAATGTCAGCCAAGGAAAATTTTTTTTGAACTGTCTCTCAATCTTTTGTGTTCACTGAATGACAAAAGTGCCAGTAGTTCCTGATTTGCTTTACGCGTAATCCAGAAGTTATGTTCACAAAACTTATTTATGATAACACTACGGATTAGGCTCGAAATCAATAGTAAGGGCCACACAACTTCTTTTTTCACATGTGAAGGACTTCTCTGCTGTCACAGATTCAATTGCATTTGCACATGATTGAAACACTGCACTCTAGCAGAAGTCTCACCTGAAATACTTAAGTTGAATCGAAGCTGTTCTTCCGTGATACACGTAACAATTGAGCTTGTTTGAAAGAACAGCTGTCATGACTCTGCAGTTCCTAGCTTGGGTTTTTGAGGACTGCTTGAAGGTTCTTTTCTGTATGTTAAACTGGAGAGGCTATCTAAATCTTCAACCTCTATCAAACATACACCGATTTCTAATCCCCAAGTATGCAGTCTGCTGCAGCGAACCAACACTTTTAAGTTTTACTCCCGCGTAAAGCAGTTGCATTCATATCTGACAGAATTCCCTCATCAGGAAAAGCATGCAAGGGCCATCTGTCACAGAACTAGTTAATTCGATAAACTTAGTAGAGAACGAATTCTCAGCTATGGAATGGACCTCTCTGAATTAATTCATATCCACCTCGAGTGTACTGAAAAAACCGCTGCAATGTGGGAAGTATCATTTGCAAGGTAGTTCGAAGCATTTTTTTTTTTTGTGGTTTTTATGCTAAAACACAACTTGCACATTGTTTGCCGCAGTGTACCAGCATCGAAAGCACTTACATCTCACAGAGAAGATTTAAACTTCTATTCAGGTTAAGCAAGTACTGTCGGCACCTTTTGCTTCATCATCTTAATGAATACTTTTTCTGGAGGACAATCCTCCGTAAAGAAAGGTCCTTTGAAGTCAAGGTGGAGCATTCAAGCTTTGCCATACCAGCAATTGTCAAGCCCATATGTCAGGAGAGCCACCTGTCTTGCACTGTTGGTCATGACTGGCCTATCGAATCGTAGATTGAAGACGTTAAGTGCGAGATTTCTACTATGCTCATAAAATATAACAATTTGTACATAGTTATGTGCCACGTGTGTGTTAAAAATGTTGCGACGTATTAGAGGTGTAGCAAGGAGTGTCTGGTGTATACATACTGTGATTTTCACTCAGCAAACTGCCCAAATGCAACCGTAAAGAATGCCTGCATCGAGTATAGTCAGCCTTGACACGGCTTGTAGCGCTGGCGTTGCAAAGTGAAATATATCTATACCTGTATGCGGCATCTTCCTCTCGCTGGTTTATGTTGCAAAAGCATCTTTTAATCAATCTTTTTTAAGCACATGCTACATCCCATTTAAATTTGCAGTTTTCTTGTTTTTTACTGTTTTGTTTCCCAACTCAGTAAAAATACATAAGATTGAGCTTAAACTTATGCTTGTTCCACTTGTCATAATCAAAGAATACTGCCATGCAGCCAAGAACAGCGTCACCAGTGGCATCTACTCATGATACTGTGTCTAACAAGTATTCTTCAAAGCTTGAACGTATTATCTAGATTAACCAGTCTGTCTATGAACGCAACATTCGTGCTAAATGCTTGTTTATTACCGGGAAATCGAAAAACGTAGCTCTGGGAAGAATGTTGCTTTTTTGCTTGAGGTAGTGTTAAGGCAGGGTGAAAACAAAATGAATGTTACATGCTGCAATGGTTCAGTTGACGATAGTTATAGCGCGAGAACAGAACGGCAACGCAGAGACAAGGACACGAGTGCTAACTTCCAACAGTCCTTCGTGTCCTTCTTGTCTCTGCGTCGTCGTTCTGTTCTCGCGCTATAACTATCGTCATGTCATACCAACTAGCCCAAGCTGCCACACTTTTAGGTTCAGTTGAGTCACACGACATGTCGCCAGCAACACTGCTGCTAAAAGCGACTTTCTCGTATTCCAGTGATATGGTAACTGCAGCACATACATTCAAGTCGAAGCTGTTTATCACAAATGATCTTGCACTTCATAGAAGTGCAAGGCAACGTAGAAAATGTTTGTGCTAGCTGTTTGGAAATCTGTACGATTAAATGTTTCACAACGATGTTGTGCTAGTTTTAATGATGTGCATATACAAGCAGCAATGATAGAAATAAAATTTGTTTGCAACTACATGTGTCATTTGTGTCTTACGTTCGATTGGGAAAACTACACTATGTCTTTAGGCCATGCTCTGTACCTGTAGTCTATAAACGCCCTGCAACACTTCATTCAATGGTTTTATGGAAGGATTTTACGCCCCGTGAATCAACTATTGCAAAAATTTTTAGAATCCACCATGTAGAAGCGAAGTGACAGAGATATCGCACGCAGTGATTGCTTTCTCTCTCATCTTGTCCCCAATGAGTGCACTGGAAACTAAGCGGGGAGTGATGGCATGGGGAAAAGAAGTTACATCAAGCCGCATTATGACCTTAAGCAATCTTTCTTTTTTTCTTCAAACTTGAGATTTATCATCAATGTGACCGCGAGCGTGTGCATGAGTATGTGGCGAATCTTGCAGCAACCACAGTAACAATGCAGCTCAAAATGCTCAAACCAGCCAATGGTTGTAATTTCGGTACATGTTGCGGTGATTTGACTATATGACATCATTTGAAGAAAAAAAGGGAACGATTTCTAGCAGACTTCGAGTATTCAATGTAAATTACAGATAACATGCTGCAGTATCACGTTTCGCTGGAGCCTTGACTACTGTATTCTGAAGCTTCGACTCGCGTGTTCTCTGGAGGCTCGGTTTTCTGACCATGCTGAAAGAGTGCTGCAAGGTCCCTTTAATCGAGACAGAACTGGTTCGGGGGAAGGTGACGGCTATAGATGATGAAAAATGTTGCTAAACCGGGAATGCCACCGGGCATATCTTTCTCGGGGCAACAATGGACGAACGCAACTCCTCATTTAAAGCTCAGCATCAAGTTGGCCATTGTAAAAAGCGATCAAAGAACAGAACAGAAAATGAAAATAAGTTAGTGTAAAGCACCAGAGCCGAGTGTACAAATGCATTAACTTAACGCTGTTGCTCTAGAGCATAATGGAATAGAAATGCCATTGTTTGGTCAACTACATGGTCATCACAAGCCATTTAAAATTTCCTGCAGTACACAGCAACAGTAACAATAATGACAAGAGAAGTGAGCCCACTACAGCTATCACTCCATAAACAATGATATACTTTACATAAATAATCACACACATGCTTGAATGACCTAAAATTACAAACCAGCAAGAACCCAACCATTCAGGAACAATCTAGTTTTCCATGTTCACTGATTACTAATCTTATAGCTGGCTCTCTGTTGAAGCTTCACGCAAGCTTGATTGATTAATATGTGGAGTTTATTGTCCCAAAACGACCATATGATTATGAGAAACGCCGTAGTGGAGGGCTCCAGAAATTTCTACCACCAGGGGTTCTCTAACATGCGCCCAAATCTGAGCACACGGGCCTACAGCATTTTCGCCTCCTACGAAAATGCAGCCACCGCAGCTGGGATTCAATCCCACTACCTGCTGGTCAGCAGCCGAGTACCTTAGCCACTAGACCACCACGGCAGGGCTCGCGCAAGCTTCATGCACACCTTTAGTTTGCATTCAATGCTATGTGGTTGTCATGTGAGCACTTGTATTACACAAGAAAATGAAATAGAGTAGTATTTGTAAGAACAAACAATAACAATTTATTGTTCTACATGCCACAACCATATGACAGTGAGGCCCATTGTGGTGGGGGACCGTGAAATACTTTCGACCGCTTGGATTTCTTTAATCTCCAACTAAATCCACGTACAGTGTCCTAGTATTTTCCCCCTATTTAAATGCATCCACAATGGCAGGGAATCAAACGCACATACCTTATCTTAGCAGCATGAAGCGTTACGATGTTAAACAAACATGACACGTTATATAAACTGAAATGTCAGACATACCAATTATGGGTTAGGAAATAAGATTGAACAGCACTGCAGGCTCCGAAAACTCAACACTGACCCTGAAAGGATCAATGCTGAAAACGTATATGCATGTCCTTTGCAAACATTTTCAAGACGGTCCATGAGATACATGCATGTCATCATCGATGTTTAAAAAGTTTGCGTAGTTCAATTGTTTCTCTAGCTTGGCATGTGATGGCAGATTTGGGAATGCAAGAAGTTTTTTTTTTTTTCATGCGCTGTTGTTTTTCAGTTTTACTACAGCGATGTGCCGGCAATCTCTTGTGCATTCGATCGCGCACAGCCAACAGTTCCGGTATCGCCCTTTGGGTGGTTCTTGCTTCTTGCACCCGCATTACTGATGGCTATCTGGTTTAGAATGTCTCAAAGGATGGCAGATTTGTTACTCTCTCTCTCTTTTACTGCTCCCCAGAGCAGGCGTTGACTTAACAAACAATGCTGCTGTAGCTGCACAGCGTTTCCAGATTCGGGAGTCTCAAAACTGCCTTTCATGTCGTTGGCAAACAGATGAAAGATTATCGGAGCTTTCTCATTTGTTTTTGCTTTTTGTATGCATGCACAAGCACACAGCTTTTTTCAGTTCACTCACCCGCACAGTTCACTTGAGCTGAGAGGGTGCACAGTGGTCGCTCTGCCGAAATTGAGTCGAGCGGCCGTTCCACAAAACCGCTGATCGACTGCTGCACCAGAATCCGATTCATAGTATGTCAGTCTGTCAGACACCACGTTGCTTGCCTCGTTAGCACTCAGATGTCCACAAATTAGAGACATCTCAATAGCACTTGTCACGAGACAATGCTGGCTGAACTAAGGGTGACTGTTCTCCTACGGTGTTTCCACTAAACAAGACTTTGTGCACTTATTTTTTAATGTCTGTTGACAATGTTTGTTGCAAAGCATAATTTTCAACTGTGAAACACTGTTTTTTTTTTTTTTCACTTTATAGTTGCCCTAAAAAAATTACTTCTTTTTTCTGAAGTAGATTCATCCGAAGGGTTTAATTCAGCAATAAAAAAAATCGACCCACCGGGGTCACATTCGTTGAAAAAGTTCGACTCTCAATTGAAGGCATTTACTAATTGATATGTAGATGATTTTATTATTCTCGGTGTCATGATACTTGGTGAAATGAAGTATCAACCTAGGCTGCAGATGTCCACATTATATCAAGAACTTGCACAAGGAAACATGGTGAACCTTTTAGAGATTTACTATAAAAGAACGAATGTATATCACAAAATTGTACAGTGAAAAGAAAAAAAAAAGGGGGGGGGGGGGGAAGGGTAGACGGTCATCATAGCCACAGCTTCCGTGAAGAACAGACTAAAATATCTCTTTGAAATAACAAAAATATCAATTCAAGAAGATGACGTTGCATTCGTAATGGAAATAACTAGCTGCCCAAAGCAGCCTTGAGAATTTGGGCAACACTGGCCACATCCATATCTTCTTTGGCTGCATGAAAAACAAGAACAATAATAAGGGAGAGCAAACCACAAATGAGTTCGTACACTTCAATTACACCACCAAAGTTCAGAGAGCTGTACCACTAATTGATCATTAGGAGATATATGAAGGTTGCGCAAGCATTCTGACCTGGACCATGTCATGACTGTAATCAATTGATAAATAAATCAATCAATCAATGGAACTTCATTTTCATGAAAAGAATAATGACAAAAGTATAAGTGAAAAGAATAATGACAAAAGTATAGGGATATAGCAGGATAGAAAGGTATTGCTAAAATTTTAATTCAGCCTTTTCCTTTGCCCCTAAAAACCTTATAGTAACAAAGCTAAGCTGTTTGGCTGTCTAGATATAAAAACAAAATAGCTGTAATGATTATTCAAACACTATGCACAAGTAAAAAAATATGTGACAATGAAAGCAATAAAGGAAACGGCCTGTAACTGAGTGCCATGACTACAAAGCACAAAAATCGAGAGCAGACAAATGTTTAGACACACACACACAAAAAAAAACAACTTTACATTGGTCAATACTTTCAAAATCAGAGTTAAAACTATGTTCCATCATGTTGACTGCGCCAGTGATGAAGAAAAGAGAATGTCTATGCAAAAAACACTGACCTGTCTCATCCGTAATCTCTCTTTCAAGCTTGAGTTTGTCCTTTGCAATAGCCAGAATGCCTTCGTCAATGGTGTCTTTACTGATTAGTTTTACAATGTAAACTTCTCTGAAAAAAGAAAAAGATAAATTTTCAGGTAAGAGAGCGATGAGGGAATACCAGACAACAAAGCTACACCGAGAATCGATCGCACACACACACTACAATATTATATTAATTTGTTGGGTTTTACGTGTCAAGTCTAGAATATGATTACGAGACACAGAGAAGTGAGGTACGTAAGATCAATTTCAAACACCCGAATTCTTGAACGCACGTTTCCCGTCAATGCACACTCGTGTTCGCGCATTTCGACTGCACCGAAACATGGCCACAGTAGCTGGGAATCGAACCCACATTCCTGGGCACCTTTGAAGTAACCGTCATGAGTATTGTAATAAAAAGACATATTAGAGGCAGAGGAGTAAAGTAAAGACATACATTTTTAAATTAACAAAATCTTTCTCAAAGGCTTCTCGCACGTAAAAGGATGACACTTGGGCTGCACGTAAAATGGCAGACATGCTATCACAGACACAAAAATTTTACGTGCAGCAACTTGTGGAGTGACCTGCCGCGGTAGTCTAGAGATCATGGTGCTTGACTGCTGACCCTAAGGTCGCAGGGGTCGAATCACGGCCACGGTTCCCACACTTTCACTCGAGGTGAAAATGCCTAATTAAGGCTTATGTGTTTATATTTAGGTGCAAGTTAAACAAAGCCAGGTGGCCGAAATTGTGGAGTACATTATTACGGTGTATTTCATAATCATACGGTAGTTTGGGAACGTAAAACCCCAACAATTGTTATTACTGAACTTGTGCACTGATAAGACTAGACATGAAAACTGTGCTCACAAAAAGAGATTTTTTTTTATTCTCATGGAACTCGCATGTAGCAACGGCAGCAACGGCAGTCATTGTATTACAAGATTTGACGCCCCCTCCCTTTTGGATACTAGTTCGTAGAACCAATCACACTAAATTCACTAAGATGCACCGATGCTTGAGCATGTGATCTGGTTAGTGTCCTTTCTGTATAGTCAGATAAAAGCCACTGCTTTGCTTAGCAGTGTAAAACAATAGCTGACTTCATAAGGACTGCCACAGACCCCATTCCTATGTATTCTAGCATTGATCTACACCAGAATCGAGCGCTTGCTCACAGAGTCTATCGGCTGCTCCAACTCTGCCACTGAAATTCAAAATAAGATAGAATGCAGGCGCCGGGTCTCACTTGTTCTGGCCCAGCCTGTGGCAGCGGTCTTCTGCCTGTTTGTCATTGTACGGGTTAAAATCTAGGTCGTGGATGATGACCACATTGGCAGATGTGAGATTGATCCCCAAACCTCCTGCTCGCGTTGAGAGGAGGAAAACCAGGATTTCGCTGTCCCCATTGAACTGGTCTATCAAGTCTTGCCTGAAATCAGCCAGATCAAAAGACAGTGAATGAGGCAAAAAACACAGATGCCTCCATGAACAGCAAAAAATGAATAAGAATTGGGCATGCTGAGAACAATGCAGCGAAATCAGATGAGAGATTGCATGAGATATTGAGAAGAAGCAGATGGTCTTGCTGCAGTTATAGCAGAGAGTTGACTTCATGAAACAAGACTTAAGGGGAGATGCTACTCGAAAAAGGTTTTTTTTTATTTCATAACCCAGCTCCTTGAAATTTTAGGTGTTAGTAAAGCTTGCAGTGCTGATTTCATAACTGCAATTATTTGTTTGATAGCTATAGTAGTTCCGGAGTTACTACAACTTTGATATCAAAATATAGTGTTTTTTGTGCACATAATAAAGCTTACTAAAAATTTTCACACAGAATTGCAAAATGGCTCATTCTGCTGCACTTGAGCAGTACAATACAGAAAAGTACCTCAAACAGAAAATTTATTTGCTACATTAAAAAAAAAAAATTAAAAGTACTAAATGCATATTTTACATCTCTCTATCAGTGTATCAAGTTGTGTAACAAAAAATCTGTGATGTATAATGCAACCTAAAGTAGATACTTGTATTCTAGAGTGGCTGATTAAGCTCTGTGCAAAATTTCATCAAGATAGGACTATTTTATGCCTAAAAAAGATTGTGCACAAGATGAGAGAATTACCTCAAAATGGAAATCGAGAAAAATGCATTTGAAAGTTGTAAATATGTTTACTCATGATTACACAGTGCGATTTGCACAAAACTTGGTGATATCATAGAAGGGACACAGCTAGAGCACCTAAAATTGTCCTGCTCCATATGTGGATCCTTCTCGCCGCTTGAGAAGGGAGTCATCAAGGCGCGCTTTCTTTGCCACGTTCCGCCGATGGGCCCTTGCCTCGGCTGTTTCACACGCAGACATTCTTTCGATTCTCCTCTGGTCGCGGGATTGGCCCAGGGTGATCAGTTGATCTGGTGGGACTACACCAAGCTCCTCTAGCACGTGTTCAAAGCTTGAATGTCCTTTATTGAACCACAACACGGCCATAGCAGCTGCAGTTTCCACTGTTGTCCGGGAGGCAAACTTAGTCTTCGGACACAACAACCAGATTTTGCTGTTCAAAGATTCTGCAGCGTTTTGGGTCTTCCCTTGGATACAACGCACCAGCAACTTTTCATCTGTGAGCCGCTTGTAAATGGGAAGCACAGCCAATCCTTGAGCCTTGGTCAAGATTGGTGTGTGGTCGGGTGGGGCCTCCCCAAGCGCTTCAGCTCGCCTATGCTTGCACCAGGAAGTCGCCCCTTCTGGACAGTATCGGTGGCTGCCTGCTGTGTTGCTCGATGATGAATGGAAATATGAGGCCCAGATGGCACGATGCATTTTCAGAATATCACCTCTGTTGTTTGTGATTGCAATACGGTAATAGTTCTGCAGCTTCTGAATTGTGCCATCTGTCAGCTTTTCCCCTCGTGGAAGTCTTGTTGGCAGTTTCCGAAGTGCAGTGCCTAGACGCTTGGCCACATGGTTTGTGCACTCCTCCTTGTCCACAACAGCTTCACCATATACCTTGGCCTCAGCGACAGCGGTATAAGCTTTGCTGTCCCCATCACTGAGGAACTTGGTGAAGCGCAATGGTGTTGTGTATGAGGATGTCCTGCCCCATATGTGCAAAGCTGCCTCAGTCTCCATGGCATGAGAGGAGCACTCTGTATTTTTTTCGCAGACAGGTGTGTGGAATGCTTGCCATATTTCTTCCTCATCACCCAAGTCCTGGTGCCGGCTACAGGCAAGGCAGTAATTCGATAGCACTTCAAAATCTAGGCACAAACCAGTGTCCACAGACACAGCAGTGCCGATGCCATTGTGGCTCTTGTGCCCTCTTTTTTGCCATGTGCCATCATACATGACAGCAACATCAGCCCCATCCACTTTCTCTTTAGTTATCATCCGCGCTTTCGCCAGGTTTTCTTGCACAGCTTTGGTAGCTGCAGCATGAACTTTTTTGCCAATTGCAATAAAAGTCTTATGATGCATAGGTATTGGCAGTCCAAGAATAGCGCGACAGCTGTTCATGCCCAATGCCTATTGCACGCGCAGCCACAACTACCTTCACATTGACAGCGAAGCTGTCACGCGAGCTGCCGCTTCGGTAGCTCCAGTCATCACCGGCATCGGTGGGCTGTCTTTCCGGCAGAACACGCCGCGAACTATGCGCGGCAGAAACCACTGACTCAGGACACTCACTGTTATCACAGTGCAGCTCGAGGAACGAAGAGAGGCCCTTACGTTTACTTGCGGTGTCGCGAACGACGAGTCCAGCGGTGTGGCATGTTGGACAAACAGCACGGCTTACCATCGATGTCAGTGCGCCGATGTCACAAAATACTCCGCTCACAGAGCCACAAACACTCTTCGTTCTTTCGCTTTCGAACTGTTCAATCTTTTTTTCTGATGCGCTGATGAACTTGATCGCGGCGTCGATTTCGTCAAAGTTCCCGCAAGCCGCCGTATCCCCGCTGCCTTGATTAGGCCTAGTGGCCCGCGGCTCGCATTCTTCTACCGCTGCTTTGCGCTTCGGTTTACGTCGACGCCCTTGGTACTTGTTCTTGCTTGCAAACTTTCGTGCTCGGAAGTCTCGCTTCTTCGAGTTATCCATGGTGAACTCGGAAAAACGTAGAAACGCACGGCAAGTGCCGATCGTCGCAAGCGCTCAGCGAGCGAGGCCGATCAGATGTAGCCAATGGCGGCCTCGGTAGCGTACCATGTGACCGGTAGAGATGCGCGAAGCGGCTGCAGCTTGGCTGCAAACCGACTTGGAAACGACTGTTTTGTGAAATTCCTCACTAAAATACGAAACTAGGGGGACGCCTGTACACTAGAAGGAGCCTTGATCTACACCACCGAACAAACCCCGATGGCGGACGTCATCGTGTTGCCGAGTGGCGGATTTTCAAAAATAGCCGTCGGATGCGTGAATTCGCGACTTCGGAAGCTACCTTCACTAGCGCAGATCGACTTTTTACCACTTTCTCGTTTGAATTCAGCTATGACCTTTGGGGAAATGATAGTTGAATGATCAAAAGTGATTTTAGAAGCAATATCTCAAAAGTGGAAATTTTCGCAAAAAACGCGATTTTTCGACCCGCATCTCCCCTTAAGAACAAGTTTTCATTTGTGTGCACATGCAAGGCCAATCTGTGCCTACTCGAAAAACTGTGACTTTGAACTTTAAATACACAATGTTTATCTTCAGTTAAAAATGGACAGCAAAAAGCATAAAAAGCACACCTCTTAAATATTCATCATCTCTAACAACATAACAGATCCAACAGATTCTCAGGTTCAGCACACGCTGCCAACATTCATTTGGTGATGAGTTACTACTGTGTAGAGTTGGATACTTCTTGATTGTCTTGCATGAAAATGCAAAACCTTTACTGGAGATAAAGATAAAGTGCAAAATTCTAGAGAATTCTGCTGCACAGTTTATACGTGCTTGCAGAATATATCCCCTATACACTCTTAATGATGAAAAATCCTCGACCATAGGGTGCCATTGGAGCCGACGTTATGAAAAGTGGTCTCGTCAACTTCAAAGCAGCAATCACCAAACAGCGCGTGTCTATGTACCTTTTGCACTTTTTTGTTCAAGAATTCTCCACCTTCCACTGCAGTTCTCGTCTGAATGCCTTTTTAGCAAATATAAAACAGAGATGAAGGTGATCCTTAAATTGTAGCGCTTACCTGTCAGGCACAGAAGTCTGGCCGTCGAGACGAAGCCATTTGTGGTGCCTGATATTGAGATACACCTCAAGGATGTCCAGCATCATAGTGAACTGGCTGAATATCAGCACGCGATTTTTCTGGAGTAAAGGACACAAACAAATGGAACAGGAGCGTCACAAACAATGACATTCTTAGGCGTCTTTTACTCGCATTAGAGAAATCTCACATGCCCACGCACTGTATGGCCTAACCTTGGTGCCAATTTCACAAGATGCATTGTTTTCCTACACCTGCAGATAAGCATAAGCTAGTTCATTCCTTGCAACAAGATTGCTAAGCCCTCTTTGGTTAAAATCTGTGCTACCAATGCAGCTGATCCCATTTGTCACTGGCTACCGAACATCCCAAAAAAGGGAGTACGAACCAACTTCTGTTTCATTGAGCTCGAACGTCTAGCAATAACGCAAATGCTTGCAGGCGTGCAGATAATGCCAACTTTACGACAAAGTAAAGCACAGTATTACGATTCAAGTTTATTTGCTATGCTAATTGATGCCTGATTCACAGTGTTTTTTTTAATCACTAAATCTCTGAAACATTCCGAACAAGCCTCATGCAAAAGTTACAGCACAAGAATAACAATCTTTTTAACGAATGACCTAAATGGACAAAACCTGAAAATAAGAAGACCGAGATAAACTCACCTTCTCTTTATGTTCTTGTAACAAAGAATCCAGCTCTTTAAACTTGCCAGAATCAAGAATTTTGTCATCGTCGAGCTTAAACTCGTGAAGGATCTGACCAAAAATTGGGAAACAAGTATTAAGATTAGCACACAGCAACAACAGGCTTTAATAGATACAAATTAAACAACAATATTAAATTTGACTCTTCTCGTATGAAGTACAGTCGCCAATCGATTTTCCGAACCTGGCGGGGACCGCGAGATAGTCCGAAAAATCTAACAGTTCGAAAAAATGGTCAAACCCTGATAATGAAGTTAATTTGGATTAGAAAAGCCTTAAAATATCCTCAATAATGCCATGCTTCATGCCGTTCTTGGGGACGAGCAAATTTGGTTCTGTTTGGGCTACGGTAACATCGCTGGCACGCGCGTTGGCAATCGCTGCCGCCGACCGTTGCTCCACGGAACCCCACAAACAAAACCTAATGCCGGTCACAAAAAGATGCATGCAACTTCTCGCTTGTTTAATGAGATTTAACCACACGGTCTGGGGTTCTTTTACCTGCACTGACAACGCACAGTATGTGAGCATCCAGCATTTCGCCACCATCTAAATGTTACCGCCGCGGCCGCGATCGAACCAGTGTGTTCTAGGTCAGTAGCAGACCACAGTGACCACCCCGAAATGCTACTGAGCGACTGCGAACAGAAGCAAGCATGTGACGCGCTCGATGGCTCAAGCACACATGGCACACCACTGACACGACCACGTATGCAATGACCACCAGAAAAACAAAAGCCCACGAAATATAAACAACTTACTGGTGTACAAATGATGATAATAAGCGTGACTGAAAAAGAAAAGCTTTGCTGTTTTGCTAGCCAAGAAAGATCAGACGTGGCCGCCGAAACAAGAAGATCGTGCGCGCTTCCAATCTTGGAGCCCACACAACTAGAAACTGCAAGCCAAACTTGACCAAGTCAACAAGCCAAACTTGACCAAGTCAACAAAAATCCAACGTGGTGGCTTTCTAAATCGAGCAGCATAGCTCACAACAGCCGATTTAGACTGGAAAATCGAACTTTCGAACATAAATTTGCCCATAAAATCGGCTGCGAAAATGCATTACGGTAATGAGAACCATGACGGTGCATTTGTGAAGTACAAAATATCCAACAAGAGTGAATTTTTGGAGTGCGAAAAATCTGTTGGCGACTGTGCAGTCGTAAGACACCATTTTCATCAACACTGCTACTAAAAAATTTTGCTTTTTAATGAAGGCATGCCACACACAATGGTTCACTATAAAAAATTCACACATTTCCACAACGAAAATCAATGGTTTCACAGTGCTGACCCCTTTTTAAAGAGACTTCACTTGAAGCAAAGCCAAATGTGGCATCTGTTCTCTCACTACATCGTGTTCTTATATGAGACTCCACACCATGAAAGCGTGCCAAGCATACTTAGAATCACCACTGCCAAGTACGCTTTACCAGCAAACTGTGCAATTTCGAATGCTTTTCCATGAAGCTTAGGGCTGCTATTTATGCATCCGCAGTGACAGTCCACAATTCAAAATACGATTGCGAACTATACAGACATTTAATAAACCAGAGATAACAACAATAATGACAGGAAGACAAAAATCAACAAACACAAGTTTGGCATTGCAGCACGCAGTGGCCCACGAAGACAAGAAAACAGTTCTGTCATTTTATTTTGCTTGTGCTGTTAATTCGTTGCCGTGACAGATTTTTTTGATGAATCAGCCATGCGTTCTAGCCCACTCCGAAAATATTACTGGTAAATGAAAATTGTATATCCTTTAACTAATGCATAATAAAATAAGGTTCGCTTACAGGAAACTTGGTGCAGAGTGTATGCAGCTCAAAGTCTGACATCACTTCCATGTCCTCAAATATTAGGTCAGGATTGGCATCAAAATATGTTGGTTCCTGAGAAAACAGAAAAAGCACTGAAAAACTCGTCTACAAGCACGCATATTTCACATTGATCATAGCATATACGGTAATTTTTATGCTCTGCTTTATCTCACTAGAGTCCTCTTCTTTTCCTTCACCTCTGAAAAAGCCATTATTTAAATGAACCCATCAACTGCCTCTGAAAAAACAGTTCACTACTAAATGTTCCGGTGGCAACATCAGAACATTTGTTTTATTTCTGTCTTCCCTCCCCTGCCCTTACTGCAGCAGTCTGAAAATCTGGAAATATGCCTCATTGTGATAACAAGCAAATTTGAGCAACAGGCACCACTAGTTATCATAATAATTTAACATATAAAGAGTAATAGAGGAATACTACCTTCAGCAAGACACGGGACATTATTCGCAGCTTCTCCAGGTCAAAGTGGTTGCGCAGAAGCAGTGGATGATTTGAAGCTCGTCTCAACTTCATTACCATCCCCGACTGGGCCTCCTTGTTTTGCTTGAACTGCAACAGCAATGAGTTTTGTAAGAACAAGCACATCAGTTCATCTCAGCAGCTGTTTAAAAAATGGCACTGTATTTACTCAAATCTCCAGACATTTGTTGATTTGAAAAAATGAATACAAAGATTGCCCACATGTTAGAAATGCTTAGAAAACCAAAGGCACTTTTGTGGTCTAAGTAACAATCAGGTGGAGTGTTATCGCCATAAAAAAAAATGGCAACAGAGCACGTTCTGTTGCGAGTTTCTATTGGTTCCTTGCATGATGCCTACTTGCGCATATCGTATCTGTTCCCAATGAAATGCAAATGATGAAATGCCTCTTTTATTACGAAAGCTAAGGCGAAAGGAAACTTTTTTCACATGCTGCTGAAAATAGCTGCGTATCACCCAAAAAAAATTTTAGCCCCCCCCCCCCCCCCCAAAAAAAAAAAAAAAAACAGGCCCTCAAAGGCAGGATTGCAGACTACCTTGAGCAACTATGTGTAATGCTGAGCTAAATGAAGTAATGGCTCTAGAATTCACAGACAGTTGTTGCATTTCCAAAAGCAAAAGCCTAAAACTGACTCAAAGCAGAAAATTAAATGCCAAGAAATTAAATTCCTCATTCTGTGAGGGCAAATTGGGCTCGTCTGTCTTATTCTGATAACCAGCAGAGAGGCATCCCTTAGTTTTTATAAATTCTGATAACAATACATTCAGGTGCATTACAGCAGAGAGGCATCCCTTAGTTTTTATAAATTCTGATAACAATACATTCAGGTGCATTTTCATTTTGAACCGCACAAGAACTGGGTGCAATGTTACATTCGAGCAAATACAGCATACAACGTAACAGCTTAGGTGTGTCAGTGCGTCGAGAGATTTAGAAGCCATGATGGAGGCACCTGAAAAGCTCGCATGTGCTACAAGTTTTTTTTTTTGACAACTTGTTAGTTCTTACAGCTCATGATGTGAAAAAATGATAAAGAATGCAAGGAACACTGATGAAGACAACAATGAGCCAATGTTGCACACTAATTTTGCCGTTGAAAACATTTATTTAAGCTCGGACTGTTTTTGGGAGTCATATTTTCAATCCGCATTTTCCCTAATGCCATGGTACGTGAGCTCTTCTTTTAGCAGGGAAGTCAAGAAATGCCTCCTGGTCTCGGGGGCCTTCGTTCCAGCAATACTGGTGCTTCTTTCAGCCCTTACCAAAACCTTACCAAAATGGCAGAGGGCAGCACAGGAAAACGGAAAGGCGGATTTCTCCCGAGCTATCGACATTGGGCCTAGATTTGAATGGACACAATCAGCAGTGCACATTTGATCAGCGCCATAAACCAACTCACCTCCTTCGAAAGATCAGCCACCAAGTTGATGTAGCAGGTCTGCTGGTAAGGAGTCATGGTGCAATAGCGTTCTTCCTCGTGCTTGACTGGAAGCTGCTGCAGCACGTCCTGTTTCAGGCGCCGCAAAACAAACGGCCGCATGATCTTTTTGGCGTGCTCGATACGGCTACGCTCAAAGCTGCTTTGGTCCTCCTCGTTTTTCTGCAGTGAGACATAATGCAGCTGACATTTGAGCTTTGCGGCCACGACTCCTCAAATACCAAGCATTTTCAGTGACATAGCTTCATATTCTTTCGTAAAAATTGAGAGTGGCTATTGACATTCACTTCAGCAACATCAAGATCAAGGAATAAAAAGAGCAAGAGAAAATTTTGGCCAGTTCCATGCAGTGAAACACATCGGACAGCAAAGCTGTAAGCGTGGGAGTGTATGTGATTGGCTAATTTGATACTGGGATATCTCAAATCCACCACTAGATTTGAAATACACACACTTACTGTGGGAATTGAGGCTAGCCCGCTGCCTTTGCGTGGGCTTTGCCGCCTTTTCTGCCGTTCTCATGTCCCGACATGGTCTCCCCTCCTTTGCTGCCTGCCGCGCTGGGAGAGCGGAGTGACGTTTAACCCCCTCACCCGGTAGCGGATGTTGACTGTGGCGCTGCACGCGGAGTCTCCCGAGAGGTTTTCGCGCGTTGTGTCGGGAGCGGGCAGATAGATACTCTCCTGGACTGCAGACGGTGAGCCACGCAATCTTTTCTGTCCGTCGACCCCCGTCGCTCGCGGCTCATCGAACTTCGCTGACGGCACTTCGCGCCCGAGGCGAACGCTCACCTTTTGTTGCCCCGCTGCGTACGCATGACCGAAGGGTGGTACGGTGTCCTAGTGTGTGTCCTAGCTATGCCGACTCGGCTCCCTCCAAAGCCAACGCGAGCGCCTTTGCCCTCGCTCGAGAAACCGGGCCTTGGTCCCGGTGTCTCCGTGGATCACCTTTACCGCGGAGACGTGCTCGTGGCACCCTGTGTAGTACTTTTATGCCCTTGGCGTGGATAAGCCTATTTGCTTCCCCGTCGCGCCTTTGCAACGGGCTGTACTGCGTTCGGTGGCCACAGACAATAAAGTGTTGCGACTTTGAGCAGTATCGTGTTCTCGCCACGGCGACGGTAACGCGTGCCCTGCGGCTCGCTAAGACCGGACCCACACTAGTGGCCGTACTCCTTCGGGATACATGTCACTACATTACACATTTCGAGCATCACCATCATCATGACAATCATCATGATAATTTAGTTTCATTTACTTCTTCATGCACAACCTCTACGGCCTCATGACCTGCCTGACGCCTACTACTACTGCTGTTGCTATGACGACAACATAACAACTGGGAAGAACTCACAGATGCTGCTGAGAACATGAGCTTGATTTGGTCCGTCTTCTTGCAAAACATGTTGGGCATGACAAATGTGAGCAGAGACATGAGCTCCACGAGGTTGTTCTGCAGTGGGGTGCCAGTGAGGAGAATTTTCCGCTTTGCCTGCAAGCAGAAAAGTGGGGTGCAGTTAAAGAACTGATCTATCTATCCAACATCGCTCTCACAAGGGAGCGATTCGCATGGTTAAATGTTGCAGGTCTACAAAGTTAAACAGGCAGCAGTCATTTATACCCTGATATAACAAATGCAACAGTGAACTGCTCTGTAGAAGAAAAACTTTCTGACAGCTTTGTAGTATTGGTGTACCAGATTCAGCGGCACAAAATAATTTGAATATTTAGAGGTACCCTCAGTCCAGTGTTGCAGAATGCTCACATCACCAACGAACCAATATGAATGCAGGAAAACCATTCCATGAAAACTGAATAAAACCACGAAATTACAGTGACTACTTTTAAGCTGTACAAAACTACATATTTATATTCATGAATATCTTGACTAAGGGACACAACACTAAGGAACTAGAATTAAATAGAGCAGCTTAAACTTTTTATCCATACGAAAACATCTCTGATCAAAGTGCCTCCTTCTGATGAGGTGAAATTTTTGAACGTACTAGTACGAAAGAAAAGCCAGCCCTATGTGTGTAGAACATGACAACCTAATCCAATTACATCTTGTGTTTTAACAGAGGAGCTGTTTAAGCTTCCCTTTGCAGAGCGTGGCGCGTCAACAGGAAACTCGGCGGCGTTGTCTGGCAACCACATAGCACAGCTGCGCCCTAGCAGGTGCAACGCAATATTTTGGTTAGCGTGCACTCTCTATGTCCTCTTCATTTTTTAGTTTAATTACCTGAACATGTGCACCTGGCACACGTTCTCTAGCAGCCTCGATCTGGCTATATTTGGCGAGCAAAGAAGGTAAAAAATGAAGAAAAAAAAAAACTGGGAGAAAGGAACAGACACAAAAATAACTAGAAAAAAAAATGGAGAGCAAGACGGTAAAAGAGAAACAGAGAAAGAGGAAAGCAAAAAATAGATAAAAGGATAGATTGAGAAATAAATAAACAAAAAATACAAGAAAAGATAAAAACGAGGAGGATAAAAAAATATAAAGAAACAAGGAAAGCTGCCCAGCTCTGCAGTGATACCTTTTGGGCTGAGCACTAATAGTGTGAAGCTGCGTTAAATTACTTAAACAATTGCATAGGCAGCAAAGGACATACTGCTGAGAAGCCTGTACTCACACTGATCTTCATGAGGTTGGCATAGCGCTGTGAAGCCATGTTTTTGAGCATGTGGGCTTCGTCGAAGATCACATAATGAAATGGCACTTTCTTGAAGAGGCTTCTGTCTTCTCCATTTCCAGAAATCATGTTGTACCTGCCCCAATGAGGCATACGAGAGAGAACAGAAACCTTTAGATAAATGTGAGAGTACCGACACCAACCAATGCGTGGAGAAATCTTACATTAAAACAACGGTCTTTTTTCATAAAGGGGTCCGAATTTCAATACTGCTGCCTTTTAGAGGATAATAACAGCTTCACGTATTTCGATGTTATTATAATAATAGCTTGATGTACCTACCCCACCAGAACTGATCAGTGTAGTAGTAACGAACTATTCCGCTGAATTACAATAATGAAACCAGCAGTCAAACTTATTAATTCTTAACAACAAGTTAATTACGTTAGATGTTATAGAAAAAAGTAAGTCGTACTATGATATGCCAACCCCATACGAGAAATCTCTGAAACAAGACACTACTTTGCTATGCTATAACTCAGCAGTGGTACACCTAAAGTTACAGTAGATGTGCATTCTCTGTATCGGAGTTGGTACGAGCACTCAATATGCTTTCCATTAAAAAATACGGATGTTGACACCAAGTCTAATGAATGAATACAGCCGAGATTTTTCACTGGAGCACTTTGCATCGTAAACTTACGTCGTAATGATAACGTCGAAGTTTCCCGCTTCACCGATAAGAATATTGTACTTGAGCTCCCGCCGGTCCTTCTGACTGCCATGATAGACGAGTATGTCGAGCGAGGGACACCACACCGTGAACTCCCTCATCCAGTTCTCTGCAATCGTGTAACATAGCAAGAACTATTAGCTGCTCAATACAAGAATTAGTGGGCAAAAAAAATGTACGCACAGTCTCTGTAGCAGTATAAACACCAAGAAACTTCAACAGTACTAGCTGCTCTCCCACTTCAATTTTGCCACAACTTGTTTTTACGGCATGGTACTGCCTCTTAGGTTGAATTTAATTGATTTGAGTTTTTTTTGCAACAAGGTTGCGAACAGACCAGGCGAAAAAGCTGCACTGAGCAGCTTGAACGAAACCTGGCCACCTGATACACTGAGAAGTTGCATCCATTGAAACAAGCATGCCATTTACTTAATGCATGAACAGTAAACAAACACGCTAAGAAATAATGAACAAGAGTATTGTGTAAACATTTGAAAAAAAAAAAAAAAAACTGATGAACCTATGGCAGCGCAAGCAATCATACAAATATCTTCCATAGCCTTTCTATGACCGAGTAGATACATCAAGGCCATTTTCTTTGTGTAATAGATTTAGAATAGTCGATAAACAAAACTGTAGCATTTGGTCACCGTATCCAGTTCTCTTTTTATTGACAATCCAAGATCCTAAATGATGAAATTTATAACAGGAATTATATTATCGTAGATCAGGTGACCTATTATAACTAACAGCTCAATCCAGATGAGCGTGACGAGACTTCTAATAACTCTAGCAACTCAATTACTCTTTGCTGGTGCCTAAAATATTTAAGGTTCCAAACTAGGTATGTCGTGAAATAAATGGGCTCCTCTAGTCAAGTTTATGAATGTTGATTGTATGAATAACGATTTCCCCTGAATGACGAGATAAAAGGCATTGAGAAGTGCAATCCTAAGCACAGTCATTTCTTTCCTCGGTTCTGCTCAAAGCACTACCGAAAAAGACATATTAACACATTATGTATCGCAATGAAAGCAGCATAACTGTAAGCATGCAGATGAATGCTACAGTAAAATCTCGGTATATCGAACTTCAGGGGGCCGTGGCAATTCGTTTGTTATTTTGAAAGGCCGTTATAGTGAAAGCCCAAAAATTAACCTTAAATACTTATTTTCCAGCGTCTAAAACGACTTACCTTTACAACGGTGGGTCCTTGAACACGTTTTTCACGAGAAAAAGCTAATGCACAAGTGTACACCGAAAAATGCAGGTTTACTTTAAAGAAGTCTGTTTTCTTTTTTTGATGCGTGCAGCACAAACTTTGCAGTGCGAAGGGCCCCAGCTCATCCACATTCCTGTGGTGCGATTCAGTTTTTTGGTCACAACAGCCTGCTTTTTGCCTTCTAGTTGCCGAAGAATATCCACTTTCTGACTTATCGAAAACTGATTCCGCTTCTTTGTCGCAAGCAGAGACGAGCTCATTCGTAGTAGCACCACAGCGAGAACACTTTGCGGACACGATAAGTAATCACCGAAAAGAGATGAACACGACTGACAAACAAAGCCTCCTAGTCCCAGAGCACATGTAGAAGTGACAAAAAAAGAAGAAAAAAAAAAAACGCAGCATTGCGGCTGTCATCGCCTCTTGTGAAGAAAAAAAGTGATAAAAAGAAAAATCCTCGTGTTTCGTTTTCTCCTCCCTCAATGTCTCAGGCTTTCCGCGCCCATGCTTCCTGTTCCGCAACTCCCACTCTGCCTTGCTGACCTTGCCCTTCCGTATTGCACTCGCCCCTCGCCCCTGTGCTTGCAAAACCTGCAGCATCGGCACTTCAATAAAAAGAAAAAAAAAAGAAAGTCGCCCTTTTGTTCTTTTTTTCCTCTTCACCGTGGCGTGTCTTCTGAGAAGCCAGGCATCCATTAACTTCGTCGTCTGCTTGCGTAGCGCACCGGTGGTCGCCGCGGATTTCAGAACACGAGTTTGTAGTACTGAGGCGTTAATATAACGCGGAATTAAATTAACAGTTGTTATTCTGAGAAGTTCGGTATTCTGAAGTACGTAGTAGCGAAATAATTTTACATTGAAACGATTAGCAGTCGGCGTGGGATTTTTTAAAAGTTCGTTAATGTGGGGTTCGTTCTACTGAGATTTCACTGTATTTTGTAAAATCAATCAACAAATCAATTGATCAACATAATAATGAGCAAGTAGTAACCGGGAGATTAATGAAATTCTGCTGAAAGTAATCAACATAATGTCATGAAATGCTGTGCCCGCATATTTTGTTGTCAATGCAGGTGAATAGGCAAGAAAGAGTGAGCAGTCAGTCAGAAGGGTTCATTATCGAACATCACAGCATGAGCTATGGACAGTCCATGAGTTGGACTGTCAACTGCACCGAATAGATGGGGCCAAAAATCGCTCCTGTACCTAAAGTAGAAGAGGGCACCACAACCAGATGGGGCGAGGCTTCGCCCTGTTCCTGCAGGTATGCGAGGAAGGCAATGGCCTGGATGGTTTTACCCAGGCCCATTTCATCGGCGAGGATTCCATTCACTTCCTGTTTGTGCATCACTGTCAGCCAGTTGAGGCCGATGAGCTGATATGGGGAAAGACGGAGACTGGAAAAGAAGACAGTGGGCCATCATTAATCCACAGATTTTATTTCTTAGCTTACTGACACCATGCAAAAGCAAAGGGACTCGACAGCAAGCTTTAGGATCCGCAAAAAATGACTAGAGCTCACTAATCAGAACTTCACCATAATAACTAGCTGAACTTTAAATGCCAGACTCACGGTATGATTACAAGCCATATTATATGTGTCACACGGGCTGTTTTAACCATGATCACGGTGGTCCGGAACGGTTTCCTTAATCGCGATCAACTTTATGACCGCTGCTACATAGCCCGAGCTACCGTAATTACTCAAATCTAACGCGCACATTTTTTCCGGTTAAGCGAGTTCATAAATCGCATGCACGTTAGAATCGAGTATGAAAAAAAAAAAAGAATACGGTTATTCTATTGCCATCGGCATTTACAAAATGGCCGCCCGCTACGTGCGTCGGCATGGCGCGTCGGCCATTTCTGCCTATGTGTTTCCCATGTGCGGCACTTCGTACTTGTGCTAAGGAGTTTGTCATATTGTAGTGCATTAGCATCGACGGCATGGAAGGGCCGACTCGAAAAACTCGACGAGTGCACCACGATGCCGCTTTTAAAAGAAAAGTCATCGCGTGTGCCGAAACGAACGGAAATCGGGCCGCATCGCGGTCGTTCGGAGTTCCCAAAACGTGCGTGCGAGACTGGCGGAAACAAAAGCAGAATATTGTTGACAGCAAACATTCACGAAAGGCTTCAGTGGACCATAGCAGGGTCGGTTTCCACAAATTGAAGAGCTGCTCGGCGAGTATATGATTGAGCAGTGAGCGGCCCGTGACGACAGAACTGCTCCAAGTGCAGGCTATGCAGTTAGCCTTAGAAAAAGGGCTAATGCGGAGCCAGTTTAAAGCGAGCAGGTGCAAGCTAACTAACTTTATGAAGAGGAAAGGCTTTTCCCTCTGAAGGCGAACAGGCATATGCGAAAAGTTTCCGAAAGAGTGCGATGAAAAGCTTCACAGTTTTCAGAGGTTCGTCCTAAACTTGCGGCACAACAACGGCTACATGCTTGGGCAAATCGGGAATGCCGATCAGACGCCTCTTTACTTCAACATGCCTGGCACCACAACCGTCGAGAAGAAGGGGGCGAAGCAAGTTCGCGCGCTGACATCGGGCCACGGTAAAACTAGAGTGCCGGCAATGCTCCGTTGCACGTCAGATAGGCACAAGCTTCCCCCGTACCTCATATTTCAACGAAAGACGCTCTCGAGAGGAGTCGTTTTCCCGAGTGGTGTGATCGTGCAGGCCAACGAGAAAAATGAGTGCGGGTTGCAATCGATGTTTTACTTTTGTTTTTCATCATGGAAACCGGGTGCGCGTTACAAGCGAGGGCGCGGTAGAATCGAGTAAATACGATAATTCATTTCGAGCTTGGGTCAGATGAAATGCACCAGGTGGCGCTTGCGTGCCGCAAAGCATGTCATTGACCAAACACGGGGCACGCCATTTCTATAGAGGTCTTTATAAGCAATGTTATTTGTGCAAGAACTACTCGAACATCAAAAACTTTGCGTGCTACTACAAAAGTAATATAATAAATCCATCATTCAATAGAGCTTCCCTTGCACTCGCCTGTGTTGCTTTGTGAGATTCTTCATCTTAGTTTTTATTTCTGATGGCCACCACACGTGCCATCTAGTGAACCGTCAATCTCATACACGCCAGAGTTTCACTTCTGGCACCTCAGGTCTCCCAGTTGCTCTATTACTGTGAACACCTCTTCATTCGACTACAAAGTGCGTGTACATTGCCACAAAGTCGAAAGACTGGGGACACTCATAATCAGCTTTCTTCGAGGTGCTCTGACGGTGCGAGAGTTGAACTAAGCGTGGAAGACAGCAGTCATCTGCTCATCGTCCGCTTCTACTTTAACTACATGCGGTCTTTGTGAATTTTAAAATATGCAATATTTCAGATATTGTTCCAGTTTAAACATTTTAGAATTCACTTTTTCGTAAATACCTAGCTGTTTTTATAGAACAATGCTCTATTTTTCTTGTTTATTGTGCTTTCAACAAGCTCGCCAGGGAGTGCAGACGACAGCGAAATCGCAATCTCTCAGCCAGATCGCGATGCACGGGTCGCGATAGTTTTGATCTTGATCACGCCTGAGCGCATTTGACTAGATAAAGTAATGACACACGCTTGTTGGACCAGCCATGGCCCACCAACAGCACCAGCTATCTATTGCATTTTCCGTTGCTATCACACCCTACGAGGTCGCCGGAACACGTTGAATTTGTTTGTGTGCAGTGAAAGCGGCATACGCTCCTACCTTTTGTTCCTAACATGCCATAGGCGCATTTCCTGGCTAAGAAATTCAAATTCCCCCCAAGCCTTGGTGGCTACGGCAACGCATTGTGTCTTGAAGTCAGCAGACCGGTGGGTGCACGGCGTTGTTACTTTAATTGGTCGATCGCATCTCACGAGTGTCCGACCTTATGGATATAATACACCCTCGTTAGGTTCCACCGTGGGTTAGGATCTGCACGCCTGGATCCCTGGATTGATTGACGACGCAAACTACACGTAGCCCATGTGGGTTCATTTCTTGCTGAAACTAGCGCACCAAAGAAATTTTTTAGGCTGGTTGGGCATTTCGGCGCAGCGTGGCGCAACTTCAGCGAATTTCATGGTTTCGGTGCAGCTCGACACAAAAATGGACAACTGTTTAAAATTGGTGCAACTGGCGCAGCTGCTGCACACCTGCAGATGCCACAGTCATGATGATGCATTTGTGCACATAACTAAGAATGCTGTGTTAGGACAGTCGTAGATGTAAAAAGCAGATTTTTTCAATGCTACGAAGTTTGTGATGGTGGCGCAGCGGAAAGCATGCTCGGCCTCTTTGGTCGCGGACCCAGAGGTAATAAGTTCGAACCCCCTTGATGGAAATTTTTTTCTTTGTCTTCTGATCGTGCGTATTTTTTCGGCGTCATTTTCTTGATGGAAATACGTCCCTGAAATCTTGCTGGACCACAGCATTAAACACTGTCGTGTTAAAAACACGACAAAACTTATTTTTTATCATTTATTTATTATTCTTACATGCTGCAGCCCGAATTGGCCTATCGCAGGAGTGGTGCTATACATCAGCACACACAAGAATACAACTCTTAACAAACAGGAATAGAACTCGTAATAAACAAATCGTGAATCAATACATTCATGCAAGAAATCTTCTAAACGCAATGATCTAGTTGACCCAGGCAATACATTCCATTTTTCTATAGTGTGCGAAAAAAAGCTGAATTTAAATAGGTTAGTACGTGGATGGAATGGTGTCAGGTTGAGTTTGTGGCTATTTCTTGTGGGTTTCAGTTTATCAGGAGATAGATATTCCTTAGTTAATGCGAAGCGTGGGGTATTAGCAAGAATATGCAGCAACTTTAGGCACTCTAGCTCGCGTCGCTCGGACAGGGTTTGCAGACATAGCGTAGCAAGTTGAGAGGAGGGTGAGAAATTCCAGTCGTAACGGCGGGAAACGAAACGGATGGCTTTCTTCTGAACGGATTCTAGTGTGCTGATGTCCGATTTTTTATGAGGGTTCCATACGGGGCAGGCATATTCGAGGATGGGACGGATGAGCGATTTATACGTTAACAACTTTGTTTCGGGTGGAGCATCTTTTAATGTACGATTTAGGTAGCCCAGTTTCTTAAAAGCTTTATTGCAAGAGTATTCGATATGTTTAGACCAAGACATATTGGGTATGAAGATGAGGCCTAGGTACTTATATTCGGACACACGTGACAGAGAGGAGCCACTGAAGGAGTAATCGAACAACGAAACGGAGCTGCGTTTACAGAAGGAAAGAGCAACTATTTTAGTAAAGTTTTGAGTTCATTTGCCACGTGTCAGACCGTCTGCAAAATTGTGCAAAACAATCATTAAGTAAATTGTGGCCATCATTGGTATTAATTACATTATATAGGACACAGTCATCAGCATAAAGGCAGATTTTCGCAGACACATAATTGGGCAAATCATTTATGTACAATAAGAACAAAAGTGGTCCCAGGACTGAACCCTGGGGGACTCCGGATGAAACATTCACAACAGACGAGTTTGAGGAATTAAAAGAAACAAACTGAGAACGGTTGTTTAAAAAGCTAGCAATCCAGTCAACTAAGAAATAATTGTTAAGAACAGCGTGAAGTTTGTGCAGAAGTTTAGAATGCGTAACAGTGTCGAATGCTTTTGCAAAGTCGATGAAAATTGCTTCAATTTGGTATCCAGAGTCTAGAGTGTTCGAAATGTCGTGAGAAATTCTACAAGCTGGGTTGTTGTACTAAAACCTTGGCGAAAACCATGCTAGGCATTACTTAGGATGTTATTATGTTCAAGAAACCTCATGCTTAAAGATAATGTGTTCTGAAAGTTTACATGATTGAGAGTTAATGAAATTGGGCGATAGTTTAATAGTGACTGCTTGTTGCCAGATTTATGCATAGGAAAAATTTTCGCTAATTTCCAAGCTGAAGGAACAGTTGAAGTGCTTAAGGACTTTTGAAAAATTATGGTCAAGTAGCAGCTGGTCCACTCACAATATCTAAGAAGAAAAAAATTAGATAAGTAAATGTAGAAGGGGGGGGGGGGGGGGGGGGCAAACCTTTGGTTTAGCAGGGATGGTTGGGTCTTGATGTACTCGTCAGAGTCCTCGCTCTCACCGCTCACAAGGCGTGACACGATCTCTTGCATCTGGTCGGAGATGCTCTGGCAGCGGGCCATTAGGCGATTGACCACACCACGTGTGTGCAGCAAGTTTTTGGAACTATTCAGGAGGGCGGGCGACAAGTTCTTGCATGTTTCGAACTTAAAAACCTGCACAGACGGGGTGGAAGTTCAAATAGGTACACGTCACTGAAACAAAACAAAAAAACAAAAACAGCCTAGACAAATAGTTGCCATGGGACATTAAGTGCCGGAGGAGCTAGAGGATTCCTCCAGTAAATCATTCGGATGGCAAGCTGGGCAAGTTGGTTGCCCAAGGTAATTAAATTCAAGCATGAACTCATTCACACAATTAGCTTCTTGTAAGGCAGCAACGCGGGTAACAAAGAAAATGCCCCACTGCAAGAAAACAGCTCAAAGTAACAATGCTGTGCAAATGATGCACATTATTTGGGGCACGATGTTGCCCATCTTTGCTCAGCAGCGTGCGCAGATATTGCCTTTCTCCCTGCGCACCTCATTTCAATACACTAGTCGGAAGTATCAGATCAGCCCAGTATTCATATTCTACTTGCACTATACCATATTTACTCGCGTAATCATCGCACTCGCATAATTCTCGCACCCCCCACATCACCCAACAAAAATTCTATTTCTTTTTTTCCTCGAGTAATTATCGCACCCCCGAAAACTTCCGCAATGTCGTCTGCTCGTTCCAGCCAGATAATGATAGCGCGCGCCATCTGGCGTTATCTCTTAAGCATCAAGCATACTATTATTGCACGGAGATTCAATTTAATCCAAGCCAAGCCCAAGTGGCAAGTGCACACTGCGGAGTGTTTTGTATGTTGCGTCAGTAATCTTGTCACGTTATGGGGCAATACTGAAGCTACACAGCTGCTTTCAAGTTGAAAGTGATTGATCATGACTAAGCAACGGCAACAGGGCCGCCGGCAGCTGAAAGCCACCAAGATGCGTTGGGCCTGCCGCGTGCCTAAAAACTGGGATTGATTGTAAACTTTATTTCTTCAGAAGGCAACTACGGACAATTCTGTTAAATAGCCATCAGCCCAATACTGACGTCCTACACTTACCTTTTGAGGGCTCCTGTTGAGCGACGAACGCTGCCGCTACAGCCGCATGCCCACAAGCTTTGCGTATGGTATTCTAATTCTAGACTATTTGCTTGCACTTTTTGTGTCTCAAATAAATCTTGCCTTGCGTTGAACCTGGGCTTTTATTGTTGAAGTAAGTTTTAATTGGTACTTCTCATAACTTGCTATTAGTTGCTGGTGATAGAATCTCGATTTGCGGCCACTTCGTTTTCTTTCTCACTCTGTACGTTTTCGTGAAAAGTTTTCCCCGCGCGATTCTTGCACCCCCCAACTTTGCATCAGTTTTCCGCCAAAAAAAGTGTGAGGATTATGCGAGTAAATACAGTAGTGAGTGACAACCTAAGAATAAATATAAGCTCTACCCATGAGGCTCCGTCGCCTTTCTTTTCCATGCCTCCATACTACAAAGAAAGTAGTTCCCAAACAATGGCAATGATTTTCACACGTACAACGACAATATCAAGCAAGATTAGTGTCAGGTTAGCAATATATATCTTGTTTAAATCTCAACCCCCACCGCACTCATTCTGGAGTCCACGAAGAAACAATGTACATCTCTCGAAGGTGACGTTTCTGCGCGGTACCTATGATGGTACTAAAACAAAAAATGCCACAATTAAAAGGACACTGAAGTCAAATAGAAACTTATGTCATAGTGAAAGCTCAATATATGACATCTAAATCAACAATATTATCAACAGCAGCGCCCTATTTATTGAGAAATTAGGGTAAATGCACAAGAATACATGCGTCGCAGTAGGACATTTTCAAAATGATCCCGATGACATGAGATGGACCGCCTACAATTAATCACCAGTAATCAATATAACTGCACTAAATAAAGAACCTTCCATGCATCAAGAGACACAATAACATGCTGCTTGTTCGTCCCTTTTTGATTCATGGAAAAAAAAAAAACGCCAGACGTTACCATGGGGAATGGCGCGAGTGGTTCAAAAATTCCATTTTCGCGTGGTTATATTGGGCAGGTCGTGCCATCTAGCGGAGCACAGTTGAACCAAAACACGTCTGCCATCTCGGAGCCAATGACAGGAAATTGATCAATGGCCGTTGTTGCTGCCGTGGCTCCCACTGCCTTCATTCTGTCTACTAGTGTCGGCGACCACACAGTAAAGCCCGGCAACCTTGTGCCCGGCAACAGTGACGCGAGTCGCGCTTCTTGAAGCGGGTTATTTGAAGTGCGTTAACCCGATGCGGGCCACTAAAACGCGATTTTATTTCAAAATTAGCCCTTCCTTGGCACAAAAGTAACACTACGAGGGTTCTGGACCACTATTTCAACAAACAATGTCGACTTAATAGTTGCCTTTAAGTGTCCCTTTAACGTACTATTTAAAATAAAAGAATCGCTCTTTCGCAGTATCACAAAATGAAACAGGGGCTTTAATCATATTTCATAAGGTCATCAGCAATTATTTCTTGTCTTATGAAACTCTCACTGCCCGGTTTTTTCGCTGTCTGGCAACTGTGACTAAAAGCATAGAATAGAAAATTTGCGATAAACTTCGTGAACTTTGACTCTTGTGCTGCAATAACCGAATGTGCGTCTCGAGTTGCCGTGCCTGTCCTTGTGCTTGAGATAAACGCCAATGCTTCATTCGACATCATGCTTCATCAAAATAAAACGGTGTAGTGCACATTAGGGAGTAACAGTGACCATGTCACTGCATACATGGTCGTTATGTTAATATTAAGCCGGTGCCTGCGGCTGAAGTGGTGGTGACTAAAAACTGTAGGTGAATTTTTTTTCTTGCTTCGGCAACTTGCACTTCATGATGTTGCCCTGATCCTGTCAGCCCTTGAATATTAACTTTTTCAAAGCAGGACCTAGTTTTTCTGGTTAAGGGGCCACTACCTTCTATGAATGTGTGTGCGTGAAGGTGTGTCTGTGCAAGCAAGAGGGTTTTCTTTCTCCAGTGTATGCAAGTGAATTGCGTGCCAGACTTTGCTTTCACAGGAGAGTGCAAGGCATCCTTCATGTTTCTTTCAAAGGACTACAATTTAATTTAAACTAGTTATCACTACACAATACATGCACGAAACACAGACGAAATTTAAAAAAGACATGTTAAACAAAAATAAGACTTCTTAATAAGATATCGTTAAGTATGATACAACGCTTTAAAAAAATTTTTCTCTCTTTTTTTTTCTGGTCAATAATAGTTTCAGCAGCATCGCTTCAGTAACGATTACGATCGATGCAACTGATAATGATTGATCGCGATCACTGCATCGATATCGCATAGCAAGAGTAATTTTGCAGTTTGAAAAACCTTGCACAATGTTTCTCATGCAAAGAGTTCGTGCATTGAGCGTGAAATAATCGCTTACGCGACGGGACCATCAATCTGGCACATAATTATGAGCCGGTAGAAATCCATTCAGTTAAGATCACGCAGCTGTACCAATAAACACATGTCAAATTATTCGCACACACAACAGATGACTACAATTAACTCTATATAGCATACAACATTGCATATTCTTCCCACTTGGTTTGTTTACTTTCGTACTGCGTCAGACTAGCAGGTTCTGTTGGTTGCTCTATTCTCACGTCTTGTCCTCACTTACATCACTCATATGGGCGCACAACACAGTGCCCATTACAAAACATCACCAAAATTCTCACGATGCGAGACCCAAGTAACACACATGCACATTTAGCAACGCTGAAGCCATGGCTTTTGTGGGCAGAAAATCACAGACGCAAACATTCCCCAAAGCACAGACGCGTACATTCAGACTGCGCCTTCAGCTTATTGCACATGAATGACGGCGATGACAATCGCCGAGAGTGGTCACACTCAGGTGATACGCTTGATGCATTCAAACGACAAAGCTTCATCGCGTTCCGAAATGACGGAACGCGATGAAGCTCTACAGTAGGCTTGTGGCACGAAAAAAAAAAAAAACGAGGAAAGGACAAGCGCAACCTCCGTTAAGAATGAACAAACTCGCCCAACAAGTCACTCTGCTGAAGCTCTGCCGCTTTGGAGCCCTTTAAAACGCTACCAAATTGGAAATGTCTTTATCGAATGCCAAGCGGCGAGAATGATAGAGAGTGCGAGGGAATAACAGTAGCAAATAGCTTCCTCTTGACAAAAAGGGCATCACGGGAAAGCCAAATGAATGCCTGCCAGTCTCGGTGCAGCAGTACATCACCTCTCATCGCGAACGGTGTCATGCTGAATTTGTCATTAGTTCGTGACTGTTACGTCATGGTAAAGAGCAGTCGCAGTTGGACGCGCATAATACAAATGGACAGAGGCACACTTTACTTTTTATTCTTAGCTTGTCACCAACTTTAGAATTAAAACAAAGGTTTCATTGAAGTATATTCACTTGCGCACTACAAGTACTGAACACTAGAATGTGTAGATTGCCATAAAAAAAAAGGGGGGGGGGGGGGCATGCAAGCAAGGCTTTTATAGGAAACATTATCACCAAGACTAGTAAACATCTTTTCATCTTGTTTCATTGCCAAACAGCAATTGTCCCCAGTAGGTCTGGCAATGCGTACAAATATTAATAATAAAGATTGGCCGCGTATCTGCAAGCTTCGCTGCAAAGTACGCGAGAAAGACTGTCCTCTGTATGGAGGCACTGCGTGAGATATGACGCCATCTAGGAGTAATGTGAGAAATTAGCTTTTTGAAACGTAGAGCCACTGGCAGGTGGCAGCACCGTGTAGTTTTAGCGAAGCGTAAGAAACACCTGCTTTTTCGTTCATAGTGTCGCATTGTCCTGTGCAACACAATAAACACTACGGTCTTTAGGATTACGTATCTATGCCTTTTCTAAATAAGGAAAACACACTGCCCGATACTTACGCATTGATTTTGCACCTCAAATATGCATAATATTTACTTTTTGGTTCACAATGTTCACAAGCATGAATGGGGTCACCAGATTAAGATGGGTGGCTGTCGAGCAATGGCTTAAACTTTCACTGGGCAGCAGAATCGTTGGGACGATGGACCAACAGGCAGACCAAAATTTCTGCATTTAAGTATCCCAAGAAAGGCTATCAGTTTTCAATAATACAGTTGAACCCCCTTTATAAGAGACAGGACAACAAGAAGCCATTCTTGTTTTTTTTTTAAATGAGGTGTCTCATACCTAATTGTCTGTTATATCAGTGCCTCTATAAAAGAACGCCTTTATAAGAGGCACTGGAGTCAACTGCAACAACAACAACAACAACTAATAATAATAATAATAATAATAATAATAATAAATGATGAGTGAAAAAGCTTACCAGAGTCTTCCATGTTTGATATGGTCGGTTCTCCAGAACGGCCTCAGCCTTCTTCCGACTGCAGCCCGGGATCGCAAGTAGTTCATTAAGAGAGGCATTGTCAAAAAACTCTGTGATGGCCCGCTTCGTTTCGGCCCTCGCAGGTGTGTCGTCTGCCTCTGCACCACTGTCCTCACTGTCGTCAGCGGAGCCATAGATGTCCTCGTTGCAATACTCTTCCTCATCGCTGGCGTCGTCAATCTTAAGCGCCTTTGCTGGCCGCTGCGACACCTTCTTTTGGGTGCCTCGAGATTTGAGATCATTGAAGGCTTTGAATTTGGACAGACCAGCGTTCGTGCTCTTCACTGGTGATTCACTCGTCATAGCGACTTTTTCCTGGCGTTCGACCTGTATGCGGCAACAGACAAGAACACAAGCGTAGATGAGCTTGAAGGGACACTGCGACATTTTTTGAGCGTAGTCGGAAAAAGCAGCCAATCAGTAGTTGGGGCTACTGAGAAGATGAGAGCCAAACATTTAGAGCGCGGCATGCGGTCTGTAATTTACAACCAATATTCAAACTCGGCTAGAAGTTGCTCTTATCTCGCAAACCATGCCATAATCAAAAATGATCGCGCCATGAACGCAAACTCCATGGCCATGCGCCGATTCGAGCGTCACTAGCTGCATAGCTAACACGACCATTGTGAGATGTTGCACTGCGCCCACACTACTGTCTATAAGAAGTGCAATCAGACAGAGTATAGAATTACACCAGTGCCTTATATGGAATTACCCCATTGTGCCTTTAGATAACAAAGAAAAGAAAGCGCTCAAAGTCATGTCGAGCATTGACAAACTGATGTAGCTTCTTGCCTCCTTGTCATCCCCCCTGCATAACTCCCAGCCCACTCACTAGTAGGAAAAGAGAGAAATGTCACTTAATGCGTGCGACAAATCCCTGCAACTCCACTCGTAGTTGACGGATCTTAAAAAGTTGTGCGGTTGGTTCATGAGGCAAGAAACTCTTTAAATAAAGTCGTCCGATGATTACTTTGAAAAATGTTGCAGGGCTCCTTCAAAGGAATGCTGCATAGAGCCAACAAGTTAGGCAAGATCCGTAGATCACACTTACAGAATGCCAGAGGGGAAGGTCTTTTAGCATCAGTGGAGGTTCAGTAAATCAAACAGGACACAGAAACAAAACTGAGATTGAAGTAATACTGGAGAAACTGCACCATGGTGCACCCACTCTCCATCACTCACCGACTCACTCACACACATTTCAAAGCTTCTATACTCAAGGACAACTTTTCTTGGCAATGAACGGAAAACTACGGGGTCTGAGTTTCTGCACATGTACTCCTACCACAATAGAAAGTGATGGTTTTGAGCAATCAGCATTGCATACCGACTGAGACGCCGCTTGGCATTTGAGGTACGCTTAAACAGCAGGAATTTCTAACATGTCTACAAAAGCAAAAGTAACAATGTATAAAGTGGAATAACTACAAACATCTCACTAGTGTGAGCTGTGTCCTGTATCAAAGAGCTGCATGTAGAAAATAAAGTAGTTTTTATATATCACGTAGAAAATACTGACACAATTGTGGAACTAGATTCATTGAATGCAGGATACGTGCTACTTTTCTTGATAGCCTTCACTTCATTGCCAAGAAACATTGTCCGCAAGTATAGTATGAGTGTAATACAAATGATGAAAGAAGCGAGCAGATGCGAATATGAATGTGAGTGAGTGCTAGAATGGCCAAACTAGTATGAGTACAGTAGTAATATCCGTGGCGGAACATTTGATATTATGGGCGTGTAACACATTCAAGGTACTAAATGCAAAAAGTGAAGTTATCATATATCATTAACCTATATGTTGCCTGAATGTTTTCTTTGCGTGAGCTTGAATGACAAGCTATCTTATGTATTTTTCAATAGGTATAACAATCAGACAATTAAAGATCAGTTGCAAGTCAACACATTGTTTGCATACATTTGTTTATTTTATATGAACCAAACTACTGTTGGAGACTTCTTCAACATTTGCCAACACCTGTGAAGACTGGCCACTGACAGAATGCAAAATACACAAGGCTCAATCTATACCACTTTTGCAACGTCCCTTTTTAAAATATAGTACAGCAGAAGCTTGTTGATTCTAACTTGGTTAACTCAAACTTACAGTTAAATCAAACTGACGCCCTGATCCCAACGCAGCCTTGTGTATTTCTACAGGAAGAAACTCGATTATTCGAATGCATCAGATTCCACAACGGTTAATTCAAACTGCGAACCTCTTGTTTTCATCGTTCCTCGCAGAAGTTAGCCTTCAGTGATCACAATGTGTTGCAAAACCAAACCATACCAAATTTGCTAGATACAACACAGAAAAACAGCAGCATTTCTCAGCAGGTGAGAATTCCAACGCTGTGCCAGAGCTATTGGGCGAGCTGCAAGGAACGCTCATGGAGTCACAACAGAACAAACAGAAGCAAATTACTGATTGCTTTCAATTTTGCTTGTGTTATCTCTGTTATGTAAATATACACAATTTTGAGCACGAATGGCCACAAATATTTCGAAGCTAAAGCTCATTGTTCACACAAGTGCCAATCGGTGCTTCTTTCTGGTGTATCACTAACTGATCATATTTCTGTTCATGGTTCGAGCTCCATGAAACTGATTCACGAAATCACCTGCCACGTGTAGTAGTAGCATCTTATTTGCGATAACGAGTACAGAGTTTCTCTGGACTTTGCCCACGCAATGTGGTGAGATTTCTGTTCATTCAAGTGACCGCCCACTGATTTGAACTCCACTTAATTCAAACAATTTTATAGTTCTCCTCAAGTTCAAACTAATGAGCTTCCACAGTACTATCAAATTTTACTAACATGCTCTGTTAGCAAAAAGTGCAAGAAACTTCAGCGCCAGTAGCAATCACATCGACAGAAGCAATTAGCTGCCAAATGAAATAGCTCAGTTTTTCATGAAAGTATTTTGCAAGCAAGTGTGGGAACATACCTTCGGCAAAGCCTTTTTCTGCTCTTCTGCACCATCAAATTCACCCCTTTGCTGCTGGATGAGGAAACCGTCTTATACCGTGCATTTCGATGTGGGCTGGGGTCCTTGATGCCCGGAGGGTTGCCCAGCAAGTGCATACGCGCTTTATGAACATTCCATTTACATTGCACCAGAGCATCTTGAACGTCCTAGATTGCAAAGAAATAGATGAAGGTCAAAATTACAACGATCGCGGGACACTGAAAGACAACTCCGGCTGAATTACCTAGGCCAGAAAGGTTGAAAACGTAATATCATGATGAAAGTTTGGAAAAATACCTCGCTTTGCCGCAACATTAAATTTGGAAGAACAAGTTTAAAATGCACTGAAGCAGATGTCAATAAATGTGCGATCACAGATAATAATGAATTAAGTTTAAGTGCACCTCTCCCAAAAGCTTTTGTGACACTACTGGAGCTTTTTCCCAAAAACACGAATAAGCATGCAGCTTTTTTTTTTTTTCACTGCCTGAAAAAAAGTGCCACTGTGCCAGAATTGAAACTGTTGAACGAATCAAAATTATGAACTTACATTTTTACACTTTACGTACGAAATAAATGAATGCTGTGCATTATTTTACAACATAGTACCAGTGAGTAAATATTAATGAGCAGAGGCAGATAATGGCAAGGTACGTATAGGGAGATGTTATTAAAATTAAATGTAATGTAATGTGAAGAAAGAAACGTGGTCGAAAAGATAACATGCCGTGGGCAGGGACCGCACCCGGGACATTCGAATTACATTCAGTCACTGCCCAGGGCAAGTTATCTTTTCACTTTTCGTCCTCGTTTTTTTTTTTTTTTCTTTGCAATTACATAACATTTACTACTAGTAACATCCCCTATACATTCCTTGGCATTGTTGACTGTTAGTGCCCAATAATATTGTGTCTAACAAAGAAAAATTAGCCCTTCAAATTTAGAGTTCTTTCTTTCAGTGAGTAGTAAAGTAGTTTGCTTAGGAGATGCACAGCATGTGAACCAGCACACGTGCAATGTAGTTGAGAAGGCACACGGAATATTACTGCTTTTCTCATTCATTATTCTACATGAATATTAAGAATGTCAGTGTCTTCTAATTGATTTGACTACTACAATGCAGTATAAAAAAGGAAAAGCTGCTAAATTGCACCAGTACTTTAGCAATGAATATGAAAGACCTACAATACAGAAACATCATTACATACTAAGTTTGAACTGCTTCAAACTGAACAAATGATTTTCTTTAGCACGCTACTTCATTGATGCAATCGAAAACATGAGCTTCAAACCAGACGGTCACTATCGTTGCTTGAACTAGGCTTGCTCGAGCATATTAACAATGCACACAGTACAGATATGACTATGTTGAATTACCAGGCTGCCAAAGATGCAGACCAGATACCACAACTGACAGAACTTTAACCATAACTACACAGACCACTGTACACCTGGTTTATTGTCAGCATACATGTCTACACTGGGTGGTCTCCATGTAGGCCCTTTTGAGAAGTCAGCATAGGCATATTCTCAATTAACCATCCCTGTTTGTTAATGCTTACGTGCCTCGTGACTAACAATGTTTTCTGTTTTTAGTTACTTGATGATTTTGCCGTTTTAATGTCGTATTTAGGGAACTGAAGGAGCGCAAGCGGTCTGGCTGTAATCAACAGAAATATGCAACCTGCAGTTATGTAGTTACTAACCATGATGTCAGCTCCTCTGAACTCGTCAATCAGCAGCTTGAGCCCCTTCTCTTTGTCAGTCATATACCTCGTGCACTCATCATCTGAATTCTTCTCCCTACTGCTGTCATCGTCCATGTGGTTAGTTTCCCTTCCGGCATCTAGAGCACACCTCTTCGAACTGCTGCTGCTCCCTCCACCCTCTTCAGAGCTGCTCGAGAGGACGCGCTTTCGCCTCGCTCCATTGGTTACAACTTGACTTTCTTCTAAGTCAGCAGTCGAGCAGCTTGCGATTGTATCAGGAGACGCTTCCGCACTGCTGACAATGTGAAAGAAACAAAAATATGATCACAAAATTAGGAAAAATATGTCAATCACAACACTGTACTATTCGATACAGCTTGCAATGACTCCAAGCAACTGATACTCAGAATGTCAGAAAGTTGGGTCCGTGCCTACAACACTACGAGATTGAGAATGGCTTCTGGTTAGGCCATCAATTTTCACACTCTCAATTATTTCCTCGTTCTCTGAGGACATGAGTGGTAGAAACACAAACCTATGTGGCATGCATGGTGAACGAACAAACGGCAGGTCGCAGTGAATGCAAGCGAAGAAATTCAGAAAATACAGTTGTCACTACTCAATATTGTCATTACATAAGCTGAAGCCTTTGAGGCTCCAGCTTTACGAGATAACCGGCATGTTGGCACACCTCACCAAGTGGTCGAATGAATGAGTAGCGATAAAAAAAACATAACAGGGGGCTTGTGTGTGCATGTGCAGAGGATAGTACAGTCGCTTACTTCTTATCCAGCCCAGACCGCATCAATACCGACTCGGGAGTCTCAGGGATGACAACTTCATCTGCGCACAAACAAAATGCAAAGACGCTCTCAGACGCGAACACAGCATTCGATTGCGAGTCGCACGCTCGCAGGTCGACAGACCCACCTTCGTCTCTTTCAGGCGAACCTCGCTGGTCACTCGACGGCGAACGTCGCTCCAAGCCAGGGCTCTGCTGCGAACATTTCTTTTGAAACCTATAATGTCTAAGCGTATTCAACAGGCTCGGCGAGCTGCTGCCGTTAGAGACGAATGAATCGGACATGTTGCGCAAGGCACCCCGGAAAGAAACAGCTCAGACAGGTCACAACGTGTCAACTCCTGCTCCGTCGTATTGCACTTGACACACGGCAATGCGATCGATATCACAGCAGCCGAAATAATACCGCACAACACGTTTGCTAGCCCCAGCGGGACAGCAAAAGTTTACCCGCGAAATCGTGCACGTTGTCAACTCCAGCGGTGGTTGGACAAAGAAAACAAATACCTCAAGTCCTACACACCATTACCGATACGCTGCACCTCCTCAAGTACTGTGGACTTTTTTAACAGCGAACTAACAGAAACACTTTGGCTAGGACAACAGAAACGTAAACCAGGCACTTGATGAATTCTGAAGATGACAACCGCGGACCGCGGTAGCCGCGGCTCAGCGCTCGGCTCGGACGGCTGACCGAGCTGGAGCAACTCGGGTCAAGCGTGGCGCTGCGGTCGCCGACTCGAATGAGAAAAGTAGGCTTAACCTTTAATTTGCCGCTAATTGTTCCTAATAAACGGCTTGAATTTTGTCTTTCTTCCGTCTCGATGGGTGCCAGTGTTCACAAAGTAATACAGTTAACGAATGGGCGAAAGACAACATTCCTGTTGAGTTCGGCAATGACCCAGATTGGGTTTACTTGTCGTGCGCGGAGAACAAAAAAAAAAATAACCAATATTAGAACTGATTTGCTCACAGTTGTGTGAACGTTAGTTTGGTTTCATATGCATTTTTGCTACCACTGCCGCAACAAATGCAGGTTTTCGTTTTTTGTTTTTTTTTACACGATGGCTTGCGTCGGAAACCACGCGCCTGCCAGTTAAATTGTAGTTAAATGCACTCATCAGGCTCTCAGATTTTACAAAAATCTAGCGTAACGCGAGGGCAGTTTTCTAAACAGCATTAAGCTATTTAAAACAGCGCGTCAATATCCGAAAGCCCATTTCGTTACCTAGTAATAAGGTGGCGGCATTTCCCAGCAAACGATCAGGATGTGCAGCGACTCGCGATATGCGAAAGCGAAAACAAACAAAAAAAAATCGAATAGCTAATTCAGCTAACTCGCTTACCATTCGCACTGCTATAGTCATGTTCAAGCCTTACCTTACCTTACAGAGACGGAAGTTGCACCAAATATTTTGTGGGAGTTAGGAAAGTTAGAACCGCTAATTTTGTTCTGCCAATCAGGCTTCACTGCATTACAACCAAGATGTACAGGGAAGCAAGAGCTTGTAATACTTATTGTGATAATTAGAACATGTTGTGTTACCATCTTCAGTCTCATGCTTGATCTCTGTACGTCGCCTCGCTGTAATACGACCCGTTTGCTGCAACGCACGAGGAGAGAAAGATGGAACGTGCGTGCATCGTTGATGATCTTCTTCTTCTCGACCATGTAAGCACGGCAGAAGAAGAAACCGTAAACAATTTCACAAGGACGTCTTGTTTTTTTTTTAATTAGCTACAGTTCAGAACTCAACTGACTTTAGTGCACAGCACGAAAGATACGCGTGGCAGCGGTAACGCAAGAGCTGTGAGACTACTCGACAGACATCGATCGTCCACGCTGTCTAATAAGTACAGTGTATGCTGATCATAACCAACACTAATTCACCAGCCAAGTTTGAGAAACAGCAATGATATTTATTGCAGTCTTCGACGTTGGTACTACGTACGAAATCAGGCCCGCGAGCGATTAGGCCTGGCGGCACAAAGCACAGTGGCATGGACAAAAAAAAAAAAAAAAAGCGAGGCATAGTCAGAACACACTAAACTGCAAAAGTTTTTTTTTTTCTTATTTAAAAATGGCTTTCATAATGCCTCTCGCACAACAATTGCCACAAAAAGATGCTTGGGTTGCGATGCTGCCTTGAAGTTTTTGCACCAACCCGTTGTGACGACACTTATTTTGATGGCGCTTATTTAGCTCTCAATCAGTAAAAATTAAGTGCAATATCCTATGATCAAGAGACCCAGAAGGCTTAATGCGCCAAGTTTAAGAAAATATCTTCGATCCAAAGTGGCTATGAAGAAAAAAAAACATTTGAAATCTATGACATCATGCACGCCGACTTCCACATGCAGAAAGGTCAGTGTGAAATCGAAAACAAAATTATACTATAACCTTCAACTTGCCATTAAAGTACAGATTTAAGCAACAACTTGTTCAAACCGATTAAATGTCCCACTTAAGCGCCACTTTAATGAATATTTGTTCATGTGACAATAGTGTCACCATATGGTGCAACGGGGGCAGTGATGGGCATTTGGAAGCTGCACTTCAAGATGCTATTGAGGTCACAGAAAGCTACCTCAGACCTATTGGACTCCGATACTCACCGCGTATATCAAAACTGCTACTGTACAGCCCCAAGTGCAGGGGCCCCAAACCGAAAGGTTGGAGGCCTGTAGATGACATCGACACCACTCAAAGGACAAGTGAGGGTGGACACCCTCCGCGTTCTGGGTATGATGATTGAGTCAAACAGTTTAAATAACCAGACTGTACAGAAGCTTACAAGAAAAACAGACAATGCGCTCAGATTGATAAGAAGGGTTGATAACCGACAGCAAGGACTATGCAAGGACAACCTCATCAGGCTGGTGCATGCTTTCGTGATGTGTCACATCACCTACGTAGCGGCAATGCACAACTGGGAGAGGTCGGTTCGGGACAAGTTGAACATGCTGATAAGAAAAGCGGTAAAGAGAGCCGTCGGGCTTCCCATGTATACAAGCTCGGAGAGGCTGCTTCATTTCGGCATACACAACATGCTGGAAGAGATAGCCGAGTCTCAAGAGAGGGCGCAATTCACAAGACTTTCTAACACCAGTTCCGGGAGAAACATCCTGAAAGAGATTGGAGTTCCCCTAACAAAAATCGATACCAGCTACTGCAGCGTTCCTAGAGAACAGAGAGAGCGTATTACCGTGGCGCCCATACCTTGGATTGTCCACCTTGAATACGATGTAGGCAAACGACGGGCTAGGGATAAAGCCCTCTTGGAGAGTGCCTATGCACATGCCCGGAGTTGCTGCTTTGTTGATGCTGCACAGTGCGCAAGCGGAAAAGAATTTGTTGCAGTCACTGTTGATCAAGATGGCATTGTTACGAACTCCTCGTCAGTCCAGACCACAACGACTGAAGTTGGCGAACAGATCACAATAACCTTGGCCCTGCTAGACAACGAGAGAACAACAATATACAGTAACTCGAGATCAGCAGTCCAGGCATTCGGAAGGGGCACCATCTTAGAATCAGCCTTTCGCATCCTGCGAAATAAGGAGGTACAACAACACACAATCCCCTGGTTCCCAGCTCACGTGGGACAGATTGAGGGCACTCCATCCAGCCTCAACGAGAAGGTCCACAGAACTACGCGAGGAGTCGTCGACCGCGTAGCTACTGAATGGCGTGAAGATGAGGTTCTGGACAACAAAGACCCTCCAACGACGCACAATGAACTTTGCCCCGCCGCAGTGGTCTAGTGGCTAAGGTACTCGGCTTCTGACCCGCAGGTCGCGGGTTCGATTCCCGGCTGCGGCGGCTGCATTTCCGATGGAGGCGGAAATGTTGTAGGCCCGTGTGCTCAGATTTGGGCGCACGTTAAAGAACCCCAGGTGGTCGAAATTTCCGGAGCCCTCCACTACGGCACCTCTCATAATCAAATAGTGGTTTTGGGACGTTAAACCCCACAAATCAATCAATACAATGAACTTTGCAAGAACTTTTATTTGACGAGGCGAAAGTATCCGCCACCGCACAGTAAACTGAACAGGCCTCAGGCATTGATGCTCAGACTCCTGCAGGTCGGGGCATATCCCATGTCCCGCACTCTTGCACAAAATTCACCCTGAAATTCAGACGTCAAACATTTGCGCGCTTTACTCAGACTTTGCCAACTTAGATCATATTCTCTGTCGGTGCCCTGCGTAACGAGTTGAAAACGTTACATCGTCGAAGTGAGACGCTACGGTACGCAGTACAAATTTAAGGACGCAGCTATAAGCAGTCCAATGGGCCCACGACGTGGCAGACAGGTTATGCTATCTGTTCACGCCCAGATGGACCTAAATAAAGTTTTTCCATACATAACGTACAATAGTATAATAATGCTATATTGTGGTAAAATTTTTAAATTGCACAGGGAGTTAGAACCACAAAATGGTATTTATTTCTCAGATTTTAAAGGTTTAGTGTGAAATTTACAGAGCTGTGTGAAGGGCAAATTTGTTGTGGGTGCAATTATGGAATAATTTTTTGTGTGCTCTTCCTAAATCCATCCTTCATTTTGCACTAAGGCGGCTCTCACTAGCCCACAGCAAGGTCATTGAACACTTTTCGAAAAGCAGCTTTACATTTATAGACAAATTATCGCAATGCTCTTCCGAGTCAAATGTCCTCCTTTGCAAAAAGTAATTCATATCTAAGGTAAATACATCATCAGTATTCAAGACCTCATAGAAGCCAGCATTCAATACATATTGCATAGAGATAAAGATGCAAGGAAAGGCAGGGAGGTTAACCAGACGTATTGCATAGAATTATTACAGTGCCTATAGACGTCACGATCAGCCATCATTTCCCCCATGAAGTACAATAGACATTACAGATTTAACAGCTTGAACACTTACGAGGTGTTCACCTTAGATGCGGCCAACCCTGTACCTACAATGTCGTATGAAAGGCTGCTTGACTGGTTGCTCCCAATACCCTTACCATAGTCCTGTAAATAGATATAGCTCTAAACAGGAAAAAAACACAATGGTAGCTCAAGTTGTTTTATTGCAATATCACTGTTTCACTTCCTATGAAAGCTGCAAAGCTCACCGATTAAATCGTGGCTCCACGCGGTAATGAACGACAGCTCGAAGCGCACCTACAACATAGAATTTAGAAGCATTCAACAAAATTTATTGGAAAATATTAGCCAAGGATGATTAGTTCAACATGGCGTAGAACGGCGTGAGTTAATTGTGAACGTGGTTTAATTAACTAGTGAGCACACAGAAGACATCACTCAATACATGAAAAGGCCTAAAATTGTCAACAGAGTTGTTGTTAGCACTTTTTGATTAAAAATTGATACACAGGAAAAAAAAAAAGTGGTGGCTGAAGCGCCTGCTTTTATGGGCGAGTCCATATCCAACAAACTACTGATATAACGACCACTTATCCCGCGCCACCTTCGTGTTCATTATAAATGGGTTCGACCGTAGCACCTAAAATTACTCAGGTGTTTGTGTGGCCCATATGACATTGAACGTTATTTACAACTATTACATTACACTTTCCATGCACGCACACGCATACAGGCACAAAAAAGAACCCAGCCGTGTACGTGTATACTTTAATAAAATCACCTTCGGGAAGACATCTGACCACTCTCTACCACAAGGCAGTGCAAAAGCTATAGTGGCTGCACACGCCTCAACCGTGGCCGTTGTCGATCCACACTCATGCGATGTTGCAGAGCAGTGGCATACAAAGATGCCGCCATGAGCACCTTGCTGGAGTTTTCTTTAATCTGGAAAAACGACAGCCAAACATAACATAAGGAGAGAGAAAAGTGATACACTATAAAAGAACTCTGGCGCCACCATTTCCCTGTTCCATTTTAACCCACGACCCACTGTTTATTTAAGTTTTTCGGTCTAAAATGTTTTTTTTTTTCTAGTTGAGATCAATACACTGCATCTGAAAAGCATGCTTTGATTGAAGAAAAAAAATTAGGGTATATATTACTCCAAATTGGCATAACAAGGTCTACAGTCCCACAGGCTACTACTCTCTTTCACGTTTTGCAAAATAATGTCACAGTTGAAATCCTAGTGATTATAACATGTCAAATCATCAAAGTGAACTCTGATATTTAAATGACTAGCGTCTGAAGATCTGTTTAGTGACAGAAGGCTCCTTTTCCATGATGACGCACGAGCAAAGCACTGCACAACATTTTGTAAATACGAGCCATAAAAAAGGTGCAACGGTAGTTAATAAAAGAAAGTGCAAAGCAAGTGCAGCCATCTGTAATGCGAGACACAAACTAGCCTGAAAATGAGCAAGTGTCGTACAAGGTACTCACGGGGAAATATATATGGAGCTGACACTGCACCGTGTTCTCTGTTGGGCTTCACAAATACCAGTCATTTTTTGAATTAAATGCTATGATTTAGAGCGGAGGAGTTGCACTCGTCCAAAACAGTTAAGGCGCTAAAAGAATACTGACAGAAAATTTTCAAGGCGAGAAAACTGATGGAATAGACTTGTGTGAACACACATGCATCATCTACGAAATAGCAATGAGTATTATAGCATAGAACATACTTAAAATCAATTTTAAAGAATGTGTCTACCTCCGAATGTAAAACAAGCCTTTCCTTTTTAAGAAAACCACCATGAGTTAGTGTTGGCTGCCACGATCTTTGTGAGCACTCTCTCCTAGCAGACCTTTTCAATGAAAATATGGGGCACCCGCATGAGTGTACAAAGGCTGATGTTCTTGCCTTGGCGGTGCATTTTCAGCGGTCACACATATTTAAACCATCTTAGAGGGGATTATAGCAGCATCCATAGAGCAACGTTATAGCAACGAAAGAAGCCTTCGTCGAAAAGAGTTGTCAACGAAGTGCTCATGCGCACACTGTTTTGAGTACTCACATAACCAGCGTTGTCTGCATAAAAACCACTCCGAGTCCCACCTTTCTCTGCACTCTATGAAAGCACAACTGAGACTGGTGCTACATAATAGCTCAAGCAAACGAGTGTTCCAGCCAGGATAAGTGAAACGTGAGCAACACTTATTGCAGCAGAAAAAGTAAGATGCAAAACTTTTGTCAGTGCTCCTTTTAAAGCTGACTTACTATTGTTGTTTAGACAACTTGGCACATTAACAGTCTGGTCACACTACAGTAACCTTTTACAGAGCTTTAATCCACACAAGAAACAGCTCCTGCCACTATTTGTAGAACAAAGCTTTATAATAGCGTTGTTACACAAGTAGATTTAGTACTGCTTATGCGCACTTGTCAGTACTACCTTATACATAGCAGACTAACATCACCCCCACATCCACTGCTTAGTTGCTTCCTTTTCGTTTGAAAATGTATTTTTCATGTCGAGCTTAATTTTGATTTCTAATTTAACACAAAAGCTAATGATTGATCCTATGCTTTTTTATACCTATTTTATGCCTTATCCTTTGTAACATACGGCGAACTTGTATATTGCACCTCGGCAGTTTATGTACACACATTCAGGTTAGCGAAATTCCTTTAAATGTATTATAGCTAACAGTACAAATAAGCCCTTACCACACTGAAACAAGAAGTTAAGGGGCAGTTGCGAATTTCTGGAATGGTGTATCAAAATCGCACTTAGTTGCAAGTGCTCGGACGAAAATGACTGTACCTCAACAGCCACAAAATCACCGGGATTGATTTGCTTCTCCTCCACAGAAGACGATGGCTGTTCTGTGACGTGCTCGGTAGGGAGTATAAATTCTTCACCATCGTCATTTCCCTCAGCCACGTCTTCTTGTTCTTGTTGGTTGGTCTGGAGAATAGGAACATTCCAAGAACACAACTGATGAGGTCATGCTCCAGAATAACTTTCTCTGATGTCTCCTCCACAAGGTTGCCCTTGATGCTCACTATTTTCAGAGAAAAAATATTCCTGGGAATGTGAATCTAAAATAATGTTTACTCTCCCGGGCACATAGCTTTTTGCTGGCTTCAGTATGACTAAGAACCGCACAGCAAAGCTTCGTAGCTACTAAGTCCAGAGAAGACAGACACACAGAGAAAGTGGAGGCTTAAAGGAGCACTGACATCAAATTTCAAGATCAAGATGTGCTCATCATTCGATCGCTTGGTATGCATAAGTCTTCTTGGCCAAATTTGAACTGGCATCCGTCGCGTGGAAGTTATTTTAATTTGATGTCAAACAGCGTAGAAAAGCTAAGGAGAAAAAACGGAAAATAGACTGCCCTGCGACATCGACACTAGTTCTACGTGTTCGGTGTGATACATTCCACAAATACCATCCTGAATGACAATGCCCTATTAGCGATGACGGGTATGATCCAAGTGTTCTTATCGTGGGCGCCGTAGTGCAGAAACGCACTCGCTCATCCCATCTGATCTTCGTCGCACCGCTTTGAATGATTTCACTAAAATTATCAAGATAAAAACCACCTTAAAAATAATGGCAAAAAAAAAAAAACAGATCATGATTAGGCGTGTGCTTGTCGGTCAGCATATCGGGGAATCGTTGTGAGTTGCAGTTGTCTAATTCGAAGCACATAAAAAGCGCAATAAGGGTGTCTTTTCATATCACGTATGTATTACACATCGACATGACCAGAAGCTATCAAAAGTGGAACAGCATATAGTCAGATATCATCGCTAACAAGTAACACACAGGTATCGTTGAATTTTAGTTAATCTGTAGACTTTACGTCCACGTAAAAGTAATACCGTGTTAACCGCAATGAGGCTGGATAGGAGGGGCTATCTGGAGGCGCGAAAAGGAACCCGGCAAGCAGGAAATGTATTTTATTTCTCCGCTGATGCTCATTCGCGATAGATACATTGCACTGACCACTCTGTGTATACATGAATGCTTTGCATGCCAAACGCACCAATATAGCTAACTGAGACACACGAGCGAACATGGTTGAAGCGTGCATCCTCGGGCAACTCTGTAGCGCTGCTTGGAACAGCCTTCCTTTCGGAATCACTGTTCTGCAAAAGGTCGATCGAAGCAAAAATAATTCGCGACATCGGAATCACGGTGATTCCAAGCTCCAGACTATCGTATGGAACCTGAGTCGACACTTTGTAGGGCGATGACAGCAGTGCAGGTGACAAGGCACGACTGAATGTGTCCGCCCAGCAGACGAAATGTTTACAGAGCAGCTGAGCCTGACGTCACTCTTTTCTGTGGAGAATTGGTCAGCTGTGGCGTGATCTGGAGGTGACCGCGAGGTAGCGCCACTGCTGGTGCTCCCAGCGCTAAAAATGGCGGGATCGCAGGCCGTTTTGAATAGTGCTAGATACCAGTGATATAAATCAATAAAAATGATAGTTATTCATCCCTCAGTTGCATTTTAGGTCGCGAATCGCTGCTACGGGGTATATAGCTACTCGCTGACACAAAAATCTTGGCATGAATAAATTTGATGTCAGTGCTCCTTTAAAGAAACAAGGGGTCATTGAAGAAGGAAGGTAGGTCACTGGGGCTAACACTTTTACAAGGCGATGTGTTCATCAGGGCATGAAAAGCTTTTCTTTATCAGCTTTTCTTTATTACACTAAATCCATTTCTAAAAATATACAGTTCAATGATTTTAACACCTTTAACATCATTCTCTTTCCATTTTTAGATTGTGGAATAATTGAAGATGTTTTGTTCTTTAGAAATAAGCATACCCTCTCATTTATACGATTGTCAACATGTTCTTCTGGATCACTTTGTTTTCATACTGTGGCCTCCGCAACTAGTTTGGGTAGAGCGCCGCCGGAACCAATTGCTCAATACACGTTTACGACGATGAAATCCAAGTGCGAGAAACGTGGACTTGCTGGCTGGACTGCTTAAACAGCTTAGGCAGCATTGTATCTGATGTATAAAACGAAGTATAAAGCGACCAGTTAGCTGCCTCAGCCGCCGTTTTTCGCAAAAATATGCAGACACCAACTATGTAATGATATTGAACAGCCATATTGCATGCTGGGTTCTCATGCTATAATCCAAGCATAAATGGAAGCTTGCGGCTAATGAGATGTACAGCAGCCACAGACGATGTCAGCAGCTACAGCAACATGCTGGACTGCTCTAGACAAGTGTGAAAGTCTAGTTTCCCACAGTGAAGGTACAACAAAGCATTTGTGCAAAAATTTCAAGAAAAACTAAAGAGAAAAAGATTTTTTCTCATATTGGTTAATTACTTTGTTGCCATTTCAAAACTACCATGCTTGTTGCAAGAAAATGTTTGGCAAGCAAGAAATCGTGCAAAAAGAAAAGGTGGGTGGTAATACCACATTAAAATTTCCGCACCAAACGCCATGACATATTGGATTTTCACAGTGTGTACTAAATCTTACATAGGAAAAGGCCAGAGACCTAGTTTTATATATACCAAGTTTTTGGAAACTTCACGCCAATGTCGCCAAAATTGCAACAATATGCTTTGAAATCTACGACTTCACGTGCGGAGGTTTCAGTCCAAAATTTAAAATAAAACTTACAGCGACTGACTCTCTTCTGCAGCTTGTGTGAAAAGTACGAGTCAAGATCAAAACATTGAATCCAGATCCGCCCAAGTCGCGACCAGTGAATGTGTGACACTGGTGTAATAGACACACATATTCATACATAATCTGCTTACGTGCTTTAAAGGCTCTGAATAAGAAAATCACCGGCCATAAAGCTTTGTTGATATTACTTCATTGTATATAGACAATTCATTTATCAATTTCACTACAAGCCAAGTTTTTCTCTTTTGTTCAAAATTTCAAAACAGAGGGGAAAGTTCAGTTATGTGCATATGAATGACAAAAAATACATAACCATGCAGGAGTCCTCAGCAGCAAATTAAGTGCTTTCTCCTAATTAGCTGCCATTAATTGTATACAGCATGTCCGTTCAGACTTGCCAATTTAATGGATTTGATTCGGTCTATTTGTTTACCCCAACACATGTGATTGGGGGGGGGGGCAAAGAGTAAGGTCATTTCATGCCACTATCACAGCGGTGCGAAATCGACCACAAATTATCTGAAGACCAATTCTGTACAACCCCAATGCATGTTCATCAGCAGGATCCAAATATTAATAGCCCAGAACCACTGAGATGCAATGCATTGTGAAAGTTTACCACTGCCATTCGCGTATGTTAAAATATGTTCGTAGCTCGTTCTTATCAGTGACGAGCCCTTGCTCCAACTGCTACAGTTATCACTGACCCAGTAAGGGAAAAGGATGAGAGAGAGAAAAAAAATACCCACCACTGTTTTCCATGTTTCATCTGGCCCACTTTCCTCAACAGCTTCAAGTTTCGGCTGGCAGATGGGTATTGTAACCAGTTCATCGGAAGAAGCATTGTTCAAGAAACCCATGCAAATGCGCGGTTCAATTTTCACAGGTGCACACTTTGCTTCTTCATTTGTTTGGTCGATGCAAGGTTCAACTTTTACAGGTGTGCTATCTGTTTCTTCGTCACTTTCGTCAGTGTCCCTTGTCGTACCATGGACGTCACCGTCAATCTGCTCTTCGTCATCGCTGACGACTTCAACCTTTATCTCACACACGGGCACAAGCTCCACAGTCCTTTGCAGGCAACATGTTGGTGAACAACACGTATCAGGATCCGCAGAAACTTGAGGCTCAGGCTCATCGCGAGTAGCATTCCTTCCTGATGCTTTGTTCCTTGTAGCAATCGCTGCCTGCATTATAATGCAAAAAATGTGACAAAGACCGGGAGCCAAACACACGAAATTTAATTATGGATTGGACTTGGCTGCCACTAATTGCAGGCAGCATGTCCCTTCAGACTTGTCAGTTTAATAGATTTGATTCGATCTATTTGTTTACCCCTACACTTGTGATGGGGAGCAAAGAGTAAGTTCATTTCATGCCATGAGCAGGGTTTCTTACAGCGGGTACAGTAGAACCATTTTTTTATGTGAGAGAAGACAAGAGGGGATGTGTACACTCATCCCGTTCCACGTTTTTTATTTGTGAACAGTGACTAGTGGTGTACATGCCTACTGTACTTGCATACTATGAGCATTGGTTAGTAATGTTCAATAGTGCTATTATAAAATGCTAGTAATGGCTGATGTCCGCTGCTGTGTGTCGGAGTCATCTCGCTCTTATAGAGTCAAGAGCTAAAGTTAGTCACGCCTCACTTTTTAAACATCTTCAACAGCAGTTTGAAACAGTCCTGTGATCTTGTGACAGCTATTACAATTCTATTTTCTTTTTCCATAGCAGACTTTTTAAAGGGACCGACAACTAACTTTTTTATACCTAGTTTTTTCCAGCGTGACCAAAGTTACCCTTGGCAGTGTTCACGGCTGCAGTAGTTACTCCCAAAAGCACGTAGTTATTTTATAAGCAGTATTTTTCCATTTGAAAGGCTCTGAACACCGACTTGCCTTTTGTCCAGCAATGCTGAGAATTCATAGCGATGCCGGTGGCTCATCTAGTGACTTGTGCATGTTGCCATTGTTCTGTTTTCGCAGGAGTTCCTGTAACTATGCTTAATCACGTTTATTCTGAGCTTTACAACTATTTTTGAAAGTAAGCCACTACGAGACGATGTGGCTTTATACAGCTTCCCTGTATTTTTACCACGTTTCGTGCGCCTGCAGCCAAGGTTGATGCACCTGTGTCTTAGATGGCTTGTCTCGTCGTTGTTACTCTCCCAACAAACGAGCCAAGGCATGTCACCAAAAACGCCCCTGTGCGTCATTTCTGAGACAAACTGTAGGTAAAAAAACCACGTCACTGCAAAATCTTAGTGACCAGGAAACTGCGTGCTCGGTTTTATGAGCATGTAGATAAGTTGCTCAAGACACGCTGACGAGCACGGGATCATTACGTCATGCGAAGGCAGCACCACTTTATTGCACACTACTAACCCAGGCCTATAAGTACATTTTTATAATGTAAAATCTTTTACTACAAAGAAGCAAACGATATTTCAATACTAACAGAAAAAATATTGACAGAGTACACTAGTTTACGGTGACGTGACAGGGCAGCTCAGATAAGTGAATTTTTTGCCACCGGGTGGCACCACAAGCTGTTCTTGCAATTTTCAATGCAGAAATAAAAATATAACTCCACTTCTCAGGATAAACACAGGGTTGGTTTCAGTCACTATGAGGGACAATCTTTCCATTCGTGCAGCCATCTCATTTCATGTTCTGGGCAGTTTTTGGTCCCTTTAAAAAAATCTAGCACCTGTCTCAATGTGGGAGCCACCTGCATCAACATAAGCATTTATCTTCAGGACCTGAATGAAGTTCAGCATACCATATCATACCTGTCTCTAACATTTGTATTCAGCAGGGAACAACAACAAAACACTTCATATTCCAATCATAACACTTCATAAATTTCCAATCACAGATGGATACATAGGTGCCATGCAGCCTGCAAACTATGTTTTTTTTTTTTTTAGCAGCATGTACTGCTTCATCTGCATTTTGTGAATCAACAGACAATCAAGTGAAAGAAAGAATAGAAGATGTTATTTGGAATAATTATGATACAAATGAGAAGAAATCAGAGTGTAGAGAGATAACCCGCCACCGGCTGGAATCAAAACTGCAACCCTCGAATAATGCATCTGATGCTCCATCAAACAAGCAGAGTTGGAGGAGCATCATGCCCATTATTCGAGGGTTGCCAGCACGGTCCCTCCAGGAGGCGGGTCGTCGTTTTGTCCACTTTAATTTCTTCCCACTTGTATCGCAATTACTCCAAATAACGTCCCCTACAGTACCTTCCTTGGCTTCATAGTCTGTGGGTTTTCATTGATGTCCTGCTTTGAAAAGAAAAAAAAAGCTCGTGAAATTCCGGTATTCGAATTCGAATTTCACATTGTACTAACTTTCTAGTCAGTAAGGGTTCACTTCCTTCATTGCCTTAGAGATAAGCAGCATTGGGAATTTGCTAATCTCAAATGCTTCCCAAAATGATCCCAATCATTGAATAGACATTACCGTTCAAAACCTCCCAAGGCATAAACTTAGCACGAGAACTGGAGAAATGTGGACAAATGAAAAGCCAACAAGTGACAAAGGCCAGCGCAGTTCCATCATATTTGCCTTCAGTTATGTTTGGGGCACGCGAAGGATGGCCAGTCGATAGACGGCGCCTGACGAAAAGGGAAGTTAATGAAAAGAGGCTGCTTAGACGCGGACTAAGCCGTTCTCCGCAGAACGCGTCTTTGCCCTCAAACCCCGTGAGCCTTTGTTCACCGCACCTTGTGCTGGGGAGTCAGCCGCATGGCGGTAGCGCTCTCATGGTGAGCCAGACTGAGAAATAAGTGGTCGCTGTCGCGACACGGCTCCCGACAAGATAACGTGGCGCCATGCTGTAACAATATGTGTGGATATATGGAAGAATCGTGTCTACTAACGCCAGACAGCCGACCAGCCATCTAGACGGGCTTGTTATCACACGAAAGTATCATTTAAGCTGTACATCGTTGAAAAGACGGAGGTCTTCTTAGTTGATTCCCGGAGGATAGCAAAGTGTGGGAACGCAGAGGCGGAGACCCATTTCTGAGGAAAGGGCAGTTGTTTGCTCCATTGGTGGAGCATCGAGTAGGAGTTCGTCCCACGAGGCTGTCTCAGATGAGACGGAAGGTATTTAATGAAGAGAAATGGAGAGAAGGGGGGAGCTTGGTGCTCGAGAATGAGATCGGGAAGCGGGGACAGAGGTTGTGCTTAGTGTAGACTCTGATCCAGGGTTGATACTACGTTGAGGGGGACAGACGTCATGCTTAGCGCAGACTCTGATCCAAGGTTGATACTACATTGAGAAGTTGATTTCGATGTGTGGAGTACACGAAGGGCTTGGCAAGTAACGCCGACGTTAATATTAATACAGGCCAGTGCTTACTGTGCTTTAGTTGCCACCCTGGTTGCTTTAGTGGCCACCCCGGCCTTTATTTGTAAATAAGTGTCAGTGTGTAAATAAACTGAAGTTTGCCAGGAAGTGAGCAAGCAGTCCAGTCCTTCAACGTGTCGTCGTGATCATCTGAACCACCGGGATAACATCCACCATCCCAATCTTAACTCCTTCCTTTTGTTCTTGTTTGTTGTAGGTTTTTGAGATGAAGCTGGTATGCACCAACTAACCTAAACAATGTTTTCTTAGAGCACCATCTCGCTGCTTGTGTGTACACTCAAACCTCTTTATAACAAAGTTGCATCTTACACAAAAATGAATTCGTTATATCAGAAAATTCATTATAAAGCTTTACTCCTAGCACTATATTTATTGCAAAGATATTTTTAACTTATCTCAGTATAACAAATACTTCAATATATCCAGTTTCGTTATATCGAGGTTTGAGTGTATTACGAGGGAAAGGGTATGCCTGGAAAGCAATCGCACAAAAACTTCCCATCATTTACTCAGGGTAAATGTCGAGCACATCTCTTGTGTGTATAATGACTACCACAGGTCACCCTCGGTAGTCACTCTGAATAGGGCTGACTTGGGAGTCTCACCTGTGGAGACTGTTCTCTCTCCTCTTCACTGTCAGAATCAACATTTCTGCTCCTAGACGTTGGAAAAATATTGAATTGGGCATTGCGGTAAGGGTTGGGAGCCATACGACGGGGCGGGTTTTCTTGCAGGTATGCCCGTGTTTCGCAGACATCCCATTTACATGTCACCAGGGCATCTTGGAGAGCCTGAAATGCAACATAATTAAAGTTGGAGGAAACTAGTTGCTGTATCACAAATAATTTTCGGATCAATCCATATTTTTATGTAATTTGTGACTCAAGCGTCGTAATCTTAAAATGTGACTTCTGAACCACATGAAGAATTTCATATTCGTGTTAAGCATACTTAGGCCTTTCACGTCGCTTCTTGTCTGAAGAAAATATGACGGCACATGAATACACTCTGTTCTGAATCTCCAATCAACTAGCACATTGTTCATGCAGTTGTTTGTGATGAGTGCATATATAAGCCCATTTCTAGGCTCAGTAACCCGACACATAACTGCTATGATCATTCGTTCATTATACAGGGTCTCGCACTACTTGATGAGCAGTCATCGAAAGAAGCTCCTAGCGCACCTACCTTTGAGCGTGAAGTTTTGGACAGTGCGGTGGTGAACGGATGCAGCTGTGTGTCAACTAAAGAATGCTTGTAAGCACTCAAGCAGTGGAGCGTGAGTGTGGGTCAATTTCATATTTCGTGCATTTTTGTTTTTTCTTGAAAAAAAAAAAAAAAACCAGGCAGATTTCCACAAGAAATGAGCGCTTGATACTGGGGTTATTTGAGGCCAGGTACAACATAAAGTAAATATTTCACCGATTCAAGCAAGAATAAAAAGTTTGCTAATTGAAGTCAGTTAGTAAGCACTTCATCATGAAAAAAAATACTTGGACCAACTCCCACTAAAGAGAACCATGTGTAGACGTGAGGCAGTTGGCGCTAACGCTTACACTGGCAGCGATGTTGACGCTGGCGCTCATCAAGCGAATGCCAAGTAAAGACGCCCTTGACTGAATTTCGAACGCGCAAACGAGTGTCTACATATACAGGGTGGCCAGTGTACGGTTGTGCAGCACGAGCAGTTGGTTTTTCTACTAGCATTCGCTGCCTGCGTCGGCCTTGTGAGGCGAGAGAGAGGAGGGGAGGGACAGTTTTGCAAGTGTCTTCCTATGCCGGCACAAGACGCGAGCATGCCGCACGAGAAGCGAGATGCGAGCATGCAGAGAGGAGTGTGTGTGGAGGGTATCTATGGTTTGCATTTTACAGGCTATTCAAAGAGCTGCTTCGCATCTAAAGAAAAAAACACAGGTTGTATGTACACATGATTGCAACTAATATACAACAGGTAGGACTTTCTATGAGCACATATCTTTTTTTAAATATTCGTTTTAGTTAGCTGTAACAACCTGTATATAGTATATTCTACAGTGGTGAATGAATCTAAACATGCGCTAACAGTAATTATGGAGAATGGTAATTGTTCGATCGAGTGATTCCCAATCGCACCTTCAACAATGTTAGAATGGAAAGTAGAAGAAACAAGTCTAACAACTATGCACCCTGATACATACCATAACGTCAGCTCCTTTGAACTCTTCAATGATCTGTTTGAGACTTTTCTCTTTTTCCGTCATGTACTTTGTGCCCTCTTCATCTGAGCTCTCATCCTCACTGCTCTCCTTCTTGACAGTCCTTTTTGAGCCGCTTGGAGCAGGCTGTCCTAATACTCTCGACTTTCCACAGGATTCCGAAAGCTTTCTCTTCACTCCAGTGGATGTGGATGGACCCTGTTCCAAGTTGGCAGCTGAATCTCCAGGTTGATTGCCAAGAGACTTATTTGCACTGCAGTCAGAGTTAAAAAAAAAAACCAAAAAAAAACCAAGAAAGTAGGCACAATGTTACTTTCTTCCATATTCTTATTCTTTAAAAGAATGAAACAGTGGTTGCCACAAGCCATGCTGCATATATATATATATATATATATATATATATATATATATATATATATATATATATATATATTTACATGACAGCAAGTTGTTCAGCTACTCCTCTGCTGAACTTAGGTCGCAGGATCAAATCTTGAACCGCGACAGCCACATTTTCAATAGACGTGAGAACTTTTGAGACCTCTGTACCTAGATTTATGTGCATGTTAAAGAACCTCAGGCGGTTGAAATTCCCAGAGTCCTCCACTATATGTTGTCTCTCGTAATCATGTCGTGCTTTTGGTACATAAATACAAAACAATCATTATTAAAAAATGGCAGGAAAGGGAAGATAGATGCTTGAAATGAAAAAAATCCATAAACAGGGGTTGTGGGCTCGAGCCAATGTTTCAACAAGTAGACTTTTCTTCAAGGCTAGAACTTGCTCGACAAGAGTGGCGACGTGGGCTTGTTGGTGAAACATTTGAAAGAAATTTATGTAGCGCGAGGCGAAAAAACGCTCTGTCTTCTCAGTCTATTCTTTCCTGTGTTCGTTTTTTTTTCGCCTCGCGCTACATAAATTTCTAGAACTTGCTATTTTTGAGAACTGGTAGCGTTTATATCAAGCTAGCTGGTGAGGTTCAAATGGGCCCTCTGCGTCATCTAGTAGCTTGCAAAAACGCCCCAGACTGACTGCTCATGCAAGATAACAGGCAGATATGTTTCAAAAGCAAGCTATCAATGTTATCTGGTTGCAATCAATGTATCAAGGTTAGCAACGGAGGTGTAGATCATCACTTGCCTTTTTACTACGCTTTGGCCTGGCCTCTTCAAAGATGATTCCGAAGTCCCAGGACTGACAGTATCATCTGCACATCAACACACAAAGCAGCTTTTAGAGGCAAGTACAGCATTCGATATTTATCGAGAAGTGAAAGTAAGTCGCCAAACTAACTTTCGTTTCGGGCCGGCACTGAAGGATGACTGTGGGTTTGACTCTGGCTGCTGCTGCTCTGCGATGGAAGCTTTTCGGAGACAAAGTTTTGCTGCAAACATCTCTTTCGTGGCCTAAACTGCCTGAGCGTGCTCAACAGGCTCGATGGTGCGGTACCGCTATTGACGAGTGAATTGGACATGGTGATATGTAACCGGGATATTGGCATTCACGTCACTGGAAAATGACTGTCAGCTGTCAACTCGGACGAAAACGACTTGAGCTTGAAGCCATCAGTGGGGCTCTTCAATTTGTGCGATTCGTACGAGCACAACAACACACTAACAAGCACGAAACAACAGAAACTTGCTCAATCGCTGCACATCGCTAAACCGTAAACATTGACTGTAAAAACTTCTAACACAACGACATCTCACACGCCACTTAACGCACGTCCAGGAACGATCGCTGGGACAGATCGCTGGGATTCAGGCACTTGTCGAAACAGTAAGTTGACAAGCGCTGACCCGCGATAACCGCGGTTCAGCGCTCAGCATTCTTCGATAGACTCTGAGGCTCAGGCTCGAGTTCGACAAGTGCAGCAAGTGTTGTAGCTTGGCTACGATTGGCTGGCTTCGCCACGTGACTGGCTTGGCTTGGCTTTTAAGCGGCTTTAAATCACAATAGAAGTAGAAATTAAACTAATGATATTACCACGCTCCCTCAGAGGTTGAATTACAGTTGAATGTAGCGCCATAGCGTCGCGATCGCATTAGCATATGCTTGACATTCATGCGGTGGGCGCACATGGACTGCGGTTTGGATTGCCAGTTCTAACTGCGGTCTGAGCATGTGGGCATTTTCGTAAACAGTGATATCCTATTTTACCAACTGTTCAACACTGCACATATGTGGTCCCCGAGGTCAAGAAATCGGAGCCAGCGCCTTTAGCAAACGCTGACCAAAGCCAACGTGACTTTCCCTCCACTACTTGGACCTCCACATCCACTACTTGAACTGAATTGGAAAAAAAAGAAAAATGAAGGAGTGTGTTTTCGCGCCATGGGAAACCTCGGTACAGATCGTGGTTATAAGAGGGAGAAGAAGAGAAAAGTGAGCACCGTAACTGTCTGCCACCGGATTCTTGGCCAATCCCCCTTAGTGGGTGAGAGCCGCAAAAGAAAGGAACAAGCAAGCAAGCAAACTGTCGGCCGCGTCTGCTGCCACCGGGTGGCACGAACCTTTTCGAGGCAAAAGTGTTCGGTTCACCCAATAGCCGCTTAAAACCGGCTTGACTTGGCTGAAAACGTATGAATAGACGGCGATAGAATCGCCGTGTTGGACATTTTTTTGGGGACGTTTAGGTGGTGGGAACAAAAGGTCTAAGGTTCCTCACTAACTTGTGAGGATCTTTACCGTGCGGTGGTTACTTATCCGTGGTCTTTGCTTGCCGGGAGCCTTATGCATTCGCGAGAACCGCCTCTGCGCATGGATACGTGGTCTCGTTCTGTAATACTGTCTATAAGCAATGTGGTAACGACTTGCCCGATCATGAACACCGTGTGTTATGCTATTTGTGGATGTATGCCGTACGTGTATGTCTGGTAAGTGCGTGTGTAGCGTAAGGATCGATGTGTCGCTTGGGTGAAGTGTATGCTTGCGCCAAAACTTTCATTGAAGCTTCTTCTTGCGTAACTGCGTGAGACAGATACGAAATGCACAAGTTGGAAGCGATGGACTATTACCAGGCGTTCACACGACGTTATTTTCCGAGTGGCTTAAATATGTTGTCGCCGAATACGATAATCGGTTTTCTAAGCTATGTCTTTTCTTGTGGGTGTATACAAAGAAAAAAAAAAGAAATAAAGTTGAAGATATGCTGGGAGCACTATAAATATTCGCTCAAAATTGCCACCTTAAGCGTCTTCTTAAAATTAAACAGTGCCGCAAGGTAGTCGTGCCTTGCGGTGAAGTGCACGCTGTGTATTGCGGTAAAACATACATATTGCGCGCGCTCGTGTTTAAATTGGAAATGTAGCACTGACATTGGGCCTCGTGTGTGCACCTAAATTGTACACGCGCTATCCTCTGCCTCATCAGTGACGATGCGGCAGTCAGTATCGTCATCATCTTCAGCTTGTGTAACAAGCACAGAACAATTTACCTAGTAAAATATATTTTGTGGCAGGCAATTCGCAAGGCATTCAGATGTTAGTTCATTGCAGGATTAATTCAAGATTGTTAAATGGCACCTTCAAATAAACGAAACATGCATATGAGAGGCTTCAGTCGTACTTCAAAATTTGTGCCATGCCTCAAATTGAAAATGATTAGAAAGGAAATATATGCTAAGGCTGGGTGTAGACTACCATTCACAATTCAATTATCATTCATATTTTAGAAACTTAGAAAATTTGTAGCTCATGTTTTCCTATCGAGTAAGCACAAAAATAACTGTTGAAGAATGGTCTACAATTACTCACACAGTTTGCAAAAAATAGATCTTTGAAACGTATGTCGTGCCGGAACTAAGTGCAAGGTGGTTAGAGGAAACTGGTTATGACCCGACATAATAGCGCATGTTCGGACGTTTTACATGGGCTGCTTGTTGGCAAAATGGGGTGAGAATTAGGTAAGTGCCTGCAGGGATCTGCACCAAGAGACGAAATCTGCTACATCTTTTTCATAAATTTCATTATTTGTGTCAAGCATGCGTGCACTCTTCGTTGTTGTGTTCTCTCAGGGAGCAAGTATATGGCATACGCTTGAAATCCATACGTTACCCCTGCGATTTGAAGATGTTATCACAGTGGACATGAACGTGCAATGTAGTTGAAAACGTTGCTGGGCACCAACTTTCTTAACAATCTGAACCCGCTTATACTACAAAAGTTACCACGTGACTTCAGCCAAATAGTTTCTAACTGTTGTGGTTACTGTCAGATAAAAGTAATAATGAGCTAGTTGTGCTTGGACAACAGTCTTGCTTTACTGTATTAAAATACAGTAATTTAGTACCTGCATATAGAACTGACCACTTAGTTATTTTTTTTTATTTGTGGTCCTATTTGTTACAGTTTACTTCCAAAATATTTCATACAAGGTGGTTGAGTTTTAAGTCCATACAGTGGGCAAATTTTATCAGCAGTACCGCATGCTGTACAATCACTTTTACTTCTCCTAGAAAGCATGGTGTGCCACTATTCCGGTATGTCTCGGCTGGGCTTCTCGACCTCGACGACTGTACATGTCAAACAGTTTGCCAAGTGTAACTACTTACTCCCCCATAACTCTAAATTTTGTCGAGCCATAATAAATAATTGGCAGTAAGGACCAGTTACAAAACACTTTTTTTATGAAGTGCTCATTAATCGGGGACCTAACAATTCTGTACATAAACGATGACAGCAACCACTTCTCCACAGATTGAACGATTAGGTTGTACTAATAAAAGCATTAATATAATCAGACTCTTTTTTTTTTGGAAAGTAAATACAATGCATAAATAGTCTTACCAGTCTGTGATTCAATATTGTAGCTAAACTATCGTTGAAAGCCAGAGTCATTTACAAATGCCATGTGAATTCCCGGAAAGTGCTAGGTAGCTTTATATAAATTGGGGATGTCTGCAAAAAAGCAAAAAGCCTACGTTTATGTTGAGCAGAAGTCCAAGTGAACATGCATGCATATGTTCATGAACTAGTTCCCTGTAACATGTGGTGCAACAGCTCTAGCTTAAAAGCTTCAGGCAGCTTTTAAGCTGCTCCAAAAAGATTTTAGTTGCACCAGAAGCTCCGGATATGCCTTTCATGAGTCACGTCACTGTGCCTGTTGAGTCTTTAAAAAAACAGGTTTGAAGGGGATGCTAAAAATTTTTTTTGAAGGGGTGAAGTAGCAGAGAGCATTAATTTATTAAAGTCTTCAATTTTATTATGTTAGCTCTGAGGCTTGCAGGTATGTTAAATGAGCATGGTCATATGAGTAACACCTCATAGGTCAATAATTTTTGGGTTGACAGCAAGGTATGAAGAGACAGGATTATGAAAATTGCAGAAGTAGAAGTAATGAAGTTGTCGAGAAGACTTTGTTAACAGTACAATTACAGGCTTCACGCACAATTTGCTTTCCAGCAGGGTGAATTTACTTTTGCTGATGCTTCCGATGGCATCATTGCACTTCATAAGCACTGGTTTTATGCACTGCACGTGACGATCTTGTTTTTTCAAGGTTTATGTACTGATTAAAAAGTATAGGATCAAGAAACTTACATGCTGTCTTAAGGCATAATCAGGCTCACCATAGAGGTAATTGGTGACATTTTAGTGAGTTGTATGTGGGAGGTCTGTGTACATAACATCATAGTAATCTTGCAATGCTGTAGCTTTATTTGTGTAACGAGTGAAGCTTCTTTTCCTGTTAAAAATTTCTGCCAAGCAAACAAGTTCCAACAGTAGGATTTGCCCTTGGGTAAAGCAGGTGGTAAGAGTGAGCTTATTCAGAAGCCCTTCAAGAGTACCCACTAAAGGAATTAGTACCTATAGGGCAAAAATTCCAGTGCACCAAGAAGGGCAAGGGAGGACGGTGCAGGTTAACATTTCAGGAGGGCATCTTCTGGACATCATCCTTCTCTAGCCACAAGCTTGTATGGCCAATGTTTAGCAGACTCCTACTAACATAAACTAGGTATAAATGTTGCTTCTCTATTGCAAGATGACACACCATATACCTATTGAGAGTCTCCTCACCACAAGCCCTTACATTAGCCTAAACATATTTTTTCTACGGTGCCCTTTTTTTGTCGTAAACAGTTTTCTGAAGCAGCAATATGCACATTATGACAGTCTAGGTGGTGACCACAGAGATGGCTCCCGCCATCGCGATGTATACTCCACTCAAAATGTAAGACACTGCAAAATCATAGTCCGGTGTGCGTGCATACGACCTTGAACATGCAAGCAGTGACCACTTCTCTTGTGTTCTCTGCACTGGCGCATGCTTGCTGCACACCTGTTCAAGATTGTGACAGTGAAATTAGTTCTGGCAATGCTGTCTCAGAGGTAAGACTGTGTACACCCTTAGGAACACCATGGTGGAGCGGGCAGAGATTCATATCAAATGTAGTAATAAACTCGCAACACCATGGTGATATAAGCACACTTCCATTAATTTATTACATTTTTATTGAGGCAGACATCACACAGCTAAGCCTAGTTGTGATCTCTTTTCATTATTGTCTACATAGTTTTCCCGTTGGTCACAGCACAGGAAGAAAAATTTCTCTGTGGAAGCACCATATTTTAAGCTTGCATGACTCCAATGAAGCACTGTGCGAACAGATATATTGAAAATGTCAATACTTCGGGTCCTATAAATGGTGAACTGGTTGTCACATTCAGCCGGTGATCCTGCAGGAGCTTTAGCATATACTCTAAGGTCATTTTGCATCAACAATGCCACATACAATAGTTTAACAATGGTTGTTAATGGGCAAGATGATGCATAGCTTCAGGGAGGTAATTAAGCTAAGGGGGAAAATTATAGATGCCTAAGCACCACTGGAAAAATGAAAAAGCACAGAAAAAGAGCATCGGTCACAGCTGAACTACAGAAAATATTTACACTGCACCA